TTGGAATCCTGGTCTCTCCAGTAGTTCCGAATGTTACTTGTTGTCCAGGCAGACATTTTGATGGACTGGTACTCCTTGTTCTGCATCACCCAGTGGTCAAGCTTCGGGATGTCATCTACGGTGTGACATTCGAATGGGCGTTGTATGCATTGAGGGTTCCATATGTATCTCTGTTGAGCAGCTGGTATGATCTGTAACCTGTTGTTTTCCAGCTCATTTAGTACCCAGTTTGTCCTTCTATCCCAAGCGGGGCTCCTGCTTCTTCTCCTAATGGTGTCCTGTGACCAGAACCTACTGTTTCTTTCTTTCCCGCGAGGCGAGCTTTTGGGTAAACTTACAAAATAAAATGTAATTTTGTAACTGGATATTCTCACAAGGTGTGAAAACTGCCTACATAAATTGCACCTCAGTCCATACCATCTTTTGACATACCTTAAGCGCAGCAAGTTTGTGCTGTTGATGTTGTCAAGCCATTTGATCTATTTTCACCAATGCCTGGATATTGATTTAACAAGCAAGCTTTGTACACTTTGTTTCAAAAAAGAAAACTTTGAGCATTCTTATCCTATTGGCAGCCCATGGCATCTGTACAGCCTGCTTATAGGAGCTAATAACTCTTGCATAATAACTCTTGGAAAATATACCTCGCACAAGTTCTTGGTACTCTCATTACTACCCGAATATGGTGATGCCTACAATTAAAGACCAATGTAGGCAACTGTTAGCTGTTCTTATTTATTTAATGCTGTTAATTGAAACAATGTCATTCGATTCCCTGTCTGCCTTTTTACTCCTTTTTAGGATCTACTTGACAACAACTGGCGTGTCCCATTCATTTATTCAGTACTGCATCCCTAACACTCTTGAACCACTTCTGATACATCACCTTTACGGCATGGTTGACAACGACAGACTCATTACATCTATTACTTCAGAATTAAAAGTTTCTCTTTATATCCATCGCTATCAGAATTAATGCGCCTCAAGAAGGATAAAAGGTGGCGAGAAGCGCAAGGAACGGCCGGGAAGCAGAATTGCGACGATTATTATGCAGGTGGTTTTTGTCATGCTAGTAAATAAACAAGAATTAAAAGCGTTAACGACAGGTTAGTGACGTGCAGCAAGCTACGGACAGCCTGGCCATAGAGATGCACGATCGAGAGAATGTTCTAATCATGCAACACTGAAAGGTACATATTTTCAAAATCATTTTAGTTACTCTCCATATTTAACCAATTGAAACATTAAATAGGCAAACGGCAAAAGTCGGCTTAAGAACTAAATGAAGAAAAGCGAGAAAAGGAATATGGAAGAGTACAAAAAGCAGCAGACTCAACCAACGTCGATTTTGTTCCAAATCCGCGTCCATATTGCCATTCAGAAGAGTATATGAGCAGCAGATCAAAACTTTGTTTTTATTACACAACGAGCACTGAAGAGCTGCTACAAGAGGTTGTTGGTGAGAAATTTGACATATGACGAGAAAATGCACATTCGAAAGGGCTATCAAAGCACCATACCGAGATGGCTTCCACTCCAAAGTCATCCATCTTTGCAAATATGTGCGTTCGGTTATGATACTCACGCAAATGCTCGTAAACGTATTCATGCTCACGAACGTTGCTCTCAGTACTTTCTGCTTCAAGCAATACTGTCTCTCATTCCATTTTCCAAATAGTACGCGGGGAAAGAGTGACCGGTTCCAACTCTAAGCTCCCTCTAAAAAAATTAAATCAAGTATAGGAAAATTTGAAGACAGCTCACCCAGCCATCACGAGACTCTGGATTGAGAAGCCAACAAGAATTTCTGCCGCCATATCAGAGGCATGCGTTACATCGGCAACCAATTACTCAAGCGATATTGTCGAAAATTTTGCGGTACGAGATGCCAGTTATCTTCGATACAAAATCTTAAAAAAATTCTTGTAAGACTGAATGTAACCAATTGCCGCCGTAAAAATATGATAACGGTCTCACTGTATCTTTGACAGACGTTGCCAAAAGACGCACGATACCAGATTATCAACGAACATGCTAGAAATAGTAAACACTCTGACACAAAAGAGCTACCTGGTTGATTTTCCATATACCCCAGCACATCCTTTGCTTGATGTTTTGTCACCCCAAACGCAGAAATGGTAGCAAGTATAATTACTCTATTGTGGCCCCAATGTCCCCCAAGGTTTATAACAAGGTCTTTTTGACGCTTTTACTTTCGTATTTTTCGTATGCGAAGCTAAGCAAAAGCAATATCTTAGTAAACTTGCAGTATTCATCATTTGACCAAAAATTCAATGGTTGATGAACTGGCCTGCAAAAAAGATAAAATCGCATTTGCTAACAAGATAATGACCAATGGATATGCCATCAATTTTCTATTTGCTCGCAGAAAAGCATTCGAAAAAGAATTTTTTTTGGTATTCAGGGCATCCGATAAAGAAGTTCAGAATATGCGACTGGAGCTACAAGACTTCACCGTAAGTGAAATTCATGAATATTTTCAACCAGTGACGGTCGGCCCTGGCCGAAACCAAATATTCACCGCCTGTTATGGTTCTGGCAAACCGACCATCAAGTGAGACGGATGTCGAGCCTAAAGTACTACTCAATGGTAGGCTCAGGCCAAAGAAACAAAAGAAATTGGGGGGTGGGGGTGGGGGAGAAAGTAGAATCAGGTTATTTTATTGTGGAAACAGAACGTCCAACTCCGAGAACTGCCAGTGTACAGCAGTATCATCTATACTTTGGCGATATTGTGGTCAACTTGGAAGCAATACTGTGCTTCTACAGCCATCGTCATGGCAAAGGAAGGTTTCGCAACTATCAAGACCCGGGAAGAGTTGATTTGTGCTTTCCTAGATGGTGGCAAGAAGTCTAATGCCAGGAAGTCAACGGGAAAACATCGCAGACGAAGAAGAAAGAAAAGGGCTGTTTCAGAACAAAATGACATCTCTCCACCCACTTTGGCAACTGGCACCAGGTATCAAAATTTATTTCGTACTCCATAAGAGTCCAAAAAGCTCATATGTCATCTTTCTATGAGGAGTCTGCTATCCATACGAATGCCAATAGTCAATGCCTGGTACTAGGCTTGGAAGCCTGCGCCTTTCCAAGAATCAGCCAGGGTTCTTTGGTAAACTTGGCGATGCCATGTTCGGCAGGAAAAACCTTGCGCATATCCCAGACAAGAAGAACGGTGTTGTTGGGTGTTGTGGAAAGCACCAGAGTGCAGAGAAAGAGAAGGAAAGCTGCTGGCGATTCCCTTTGATGAATATTATACATTGCAGGAGAATATGATGACTGTCAACGAAAGATAATCCATACTTCAAAATCTTAACTTTGTAAGGTCTGTAGTAAATGTAGTCGGAGGGATTTCAAGAAGGTGTGGACTCCAGAAGGAATAACTCACCATGGAATTGTGGTCTGCACAAACTGTCAGATTCTATGGCAACGAGATATCAGTGCTGAGAAAACATGTATCACGCAGCTGAAGCAATCTGGAATGGTGGTCAAAGGCCGAGCCAGTTTGCAAGACCAACACGGTAACAACCAAACATCGCCGCTACAAATGCGGTTTTTTCTACTAGTGAAAGCTAGTTGAGATGCTCAAGATTTTTAACGCCAACAAGCGGTAAGCAAATTATTATCTGAGTGTCTTTAAAACAGTGTCTTGCATCTGACGCAAAATCGCCTTTTTATGAACGCAGTTTTCTTTTGGTAAAACAGATGAGATGGGTAGATTGGGTAGATTGGATATATTGGATATCAAGAAGAAAATTGTATCAAGAAGAATAAATAAAAGAAAAATGTCTTCGCTTGGAATTGGTGGCTGAGAAAAAAGTTGTGCCTGAATCACCAATAACAGGAAATTTTTCAAAACCTCACGGCGTGTTATACTGAAAGGTACCACGATGGAACATCAAGATTGAACCCCACAACCCAATTTTCTGATGAGTACTTGCGATTTTCCCAAGAACTTAAATACATTCTAATATTTTGAAAAGCAATAGCAAAGTAGTATTTCACTTCGTTCAGTTGTAGCAGCCAGAGATAACTATCACAAGGGACACGTTGAAAATGCTGCAAATTAGTAAATGTGCTACTTCTTATGAAACTCCAGTAAGTAACCAAAAAAGTCGTAGAGACATGAAATCGCAACGAGTTAGTAGCTTCCCAGAAATAATTTGTGCATAGCAGCAACCATGTTCCTATGTACGATTTTTTGCTGGACGAGGGCACAGTAGGTGGTTGGCAGATATCTTTGTAGCCAGCCAGTTGCGTGAGGTGGTAAGACATACGTAAATGAGCAGCATATGTACCAATTTGGGCACATCCACCTTGCAAATAAATGTATTTATAATTTTTGACACTAAGTATGATATATTGATTACCTTAGAAAATTTTAGCATACGTGCAGCCGTTTACGAAAGCCCGGTAGCTTGGAGACAAGTTATAGGATGGAGTTTGACTTCTGAATATTTGTGGACTATGTCTTTTAGATGCCATTATTATACCGTCGCTACTTACAGCAAGACAATCTATTTAATCGGTTGCGTCCCACGAGTCCATCTAACTGGCCATAAACTGGGTGATCGACCTGAGTTTAAATCGTTGCTAAATAGGTAAGGAGCGTGTTTGGAACCCGATCATCAAAACGCCAAACCTTCATAATGCACTCTTTTTCTTGCAGGAATGGGTCTTGAAGTTTGAAACACTTTGGAATCTCAAGTTCTCGAAGAACTTCTCTCAGTATACAAACATATGAAAATACGATCAGCCTATGACATCCGGGATAGACGACCGTGCCCTGAGAGAAAGAAATTTTAAAAGGTCCCAAAATTAACCAGCATCGGGGCATAAGTAATTTGCGCTAGCAATTGCATATCCGCTAAACCGACCAATGCCCAATGTCTCATGCACTTTAGTTATAAAACATATTATTAGCAAAGATTACGAAATATGAAATATTATAAAAGGGATTCAGTTACGTTCCGACATTTCACACACCTCTTCTCCCTTCCCTTACCTTTGATTATGAAATCCATCATCGCCGCCGTTGCTGCCTTCGCTATTGCTGCCGTTAGCGCGCAATCCACTCCTGTTTCCATTACATCTCCACTCACTGGTACTGTTTATACCGCCGGTGGTCAGGCTTTGATTACCTGGACCAACCCTACTACCCCAACCCTTGGTCAAATCCAACTTGCCAAAGGCCCTGCTACCGCTCTCCAGCCTGTCGGCCAGGTCGCTACCAACGTCCAAACTTCAGATGGAAAATACACTTGGACCATTCCTGCTGATACTCCCGCAGGTACTGACTATGCTTTCGAACTAGGAACTTCCCCCAACATTGCCTACAGTGGTTTCTTCACCATTAAGACCGGATCTGGCTCTTCATCAAACTCTACTGGTTCCGGATCACCCTCTTCTGGTGCTGCTGCTGAATCTGGTTCAGGAAGTGCTGCTGCCTCTGGCTCATCACCATCTGCCACCGGTTCTGCTTCATCACCTTCTGGTTCTGCTGCTGCATCTGGAAGCGCCGCCGCATCTGGTTCAGCCAAGTCTGGCGCATCTGTCATCAAGGCTGGTGTCATCGGCGCTGGTGTTGCTGCTGGTGCTGCTGTTTTGCTTTTTTAAGCGTGTCCACGGTGTGCTAGAAAGGACCAATGCAACCCAAGAAAATACATATCTCACGAAACCAATAAGTTTTACACTCCGGCATGATTATTTGCTTTAGGCAGCACGGAAGATGACATTTTTTCTCTACGTATCTACAGTAATGTTATGAATCTTCTGTTTACTGCAGTTATAATATATTTTGATATAAAAATCATGGCAGTACCGATTCATATTATACCATAAAAAGTTGACTGTACGTGATGTGCCATTTATGCCAAGTGAAGGGGGTGAAGGTTGAGTGGTATTTGAAGTATTGCCATGTAAAAATAGCTTTCAAAATTACTATTTGGGATGCAGAACTGTTATCCCTACGTTTGCCAGGTACTCCAGTTCTGTAAATGCCAAATAAAGCTGTATGCCTGGGAAACCACAAAACTTTACCAATGAGAGATCTCTTTTCTAACAGGAGGGTACCGCTTGTTTGTCAAAATTTTGGTATGATCTCAAAAGAAGGTGATGGCAAGGTTATAATGAGTTACCGTACCGTTAGACCATGTTAATCTTGTTCATAATAGAACTTTCCACAAAAAAATAAAAAGCAATCCTAGCGGACAGGCCGAGTATTTTGCTTTTTCTTCTACAATACGAAATCAGGCCCCACCCATAAGCATTACGAAGCTCGTCCGACTTTTCAAGAGAAAATTTAATATCGACGTCATACTTTAAGTTCCGACGGTGGTTTTAAAAGAGAGACCCCTACGCGAACTTTTTGTAAAAGCATACCCTTTTTTTTTTTAAGCGTTTTACTTTATACTCAACATGACTCGCAATTTCTTCGTCGGTGGCAATTGGAAGATGAATGGCTCTCTCTCCCAGGTTAACTCCTTGGTTGAGATCCTTAACAACGCTTCCGTCCCTTCTAACACTGAAGTGGTTGTCGCTCCCCCTGCTATCTACATTGATCGTGTCCGTCAAGCTGTCAAGAAGGAAATCGAGGTTGCTGCTCAAAACTGCTACTACAAGGCTAGCGGTGCTTTCACCGGTGAGATCAGCCCCGAACAGCTCAAGGATATGGGCATTAACTGGGTCATCATTGGTCACTCTGAGCGCCGTGAAATCTTTGGAGAATCTGATGACTTCGTTGGAGCTAAGACTGCTTATGCCCTCAGCGCTGGTCTCGGTGTCATTGCTTGCATAGGTGAGAAGCTTGAGGAACGTGAATCTGGAAAGACTGAAGAAGTCTGCTTCAGACAGTTGAAGGCCATTGCCAGCCATGTCAAGGATTGGACCCACGTTGTCGTTGCCTATGAGCCTGTTTGGGCCATTGGCACTGGCAAGGTCGCCACCCCAGAGCAAGCTCAAGAGACACACGCTGCTCTTCGCAAGTGGCTCGCAGAGAATGTTTCCAAGGAAGCCGCAAACAACACTCGCATTCTCTATGGAGGATCTGTCAACGGCAAGAATGCCGCTGAACTTGGCAAGAAGGAGGATATTGATGGCTTCCTTGTTGGTGGTGCTAGCTTGAAGCCCGAGTTTGCTGATATCATTGCTGCTTCCAGCCAATAATTAGTCAATGTAAAAAGAATACTTGGTGGTCCTGAATAAAATTTGATGGCATTGGCATAGATGAGCCATCGATCATTGTGTATAAAGCTAATGCTAGAGAGCCTGCGCGAAAGTGGTGATAAAATGATCCAAGGCATTGTCGATGACACCATCAAATATCTATCCTTTCAGCGGGTCAACTCAACTTTAGACGTGTCAAAGCCAGTTGCGGATAGCCCGGCTTTGTCACTACTTCTAATACCAGCGGTAGTGGCAGCTACAAGCATGGGTTGTGACATAAAATTTGCTCTACAAGGTACAATCTTTTTTATCAGCAAATGCAGAGCGGAGATAAACACTTCACCGTATCCGATACACAATCAAGATGTCTTTGTTATGGTGGTACGTGCTAAAGGTATCTTGTTAGTGCTCCTAAAAATTGCCGAGTGTCGGGTACCGGTCTGGTACAGGTTTCGCCGAACCCATACATTTTCAGTCGAAAAACCCAGCATTTATGTAATGGTTAATCCCGTACCAGGCAAACGGTTCATACATGATAGAACGCGTGGCTCAAAATATTCCTTACTCCACTGATCTATCAGTCTCACTTTAAAGTCATTACCGTATTTATTAGTCTTGTATAAACATATTTGTCTATATCGATTGGCATGTCAGGAATCGTTCAGGTTGGAGTCATAGTCTGTCACTCTCTGCGCGCCTTGTTGTGGAAGAAGCACAGATCTCGGTAAGCTTTGGTCGCGTGGGGAATAAATTACAAAGTCCATAAAGCCAATATCCATGAATAAGGGGAGCTTTCGATGCTTGACAACCAGACCGGTATATTGAATCATATAATCGGTGAAACTTTCTACTAGCCAAGTTAGACGATATTCAGTTTCGTATACAACCGTACAGGCAAACACCTTTCCAGCTCCATTTTTTAGTTTTTCCATATCAATATCAAAAGACCTTGTCTTTAGCTTGTTTGGCACTTCAGCGGAGTCGTCAATGCTAGTGTTTAGTACAACTTGAATATGATACCTTTCGTCGCCGTCTTTTGGAGCGCTAGCAAAAGAGAGTGTCTTCAAGGTGCGAAGGTATTGCAAGATTTCTTCATCGACGCCTTTATGAATATCGACTGACGGAATGGATTCTTGCCTGAAATACTCCATAACCTCCAGCGCCATTTCCTCATATGCAACAAAAGTAGATTGCTTGTTGAACAAATTCCAGAGAGCTGAAGTGACGAAATGAGATGTATTGGCCAATGCAAACGTGGAATGCTCCTCGCCCCAAGTGGTCTGCGGGACAAAATATTGCGAAAACTTGAGCAGATACACCACCAGGTCGAATGGGAGATAACCACCAGCATGGTCTTCTATTGTCGTCAAAAATTGCCCGTCAAACAAAGGCTCAGACGCATCGTCTTTGAACGTATTGGCCGTCTGTGAACGCATGATATCCACCAGTTGGCCCTGGACTTTCAGCAAATATATGGTGAAAACAGCTCTTTGCTTGTAGCTGCCAGTCCAAACTTCCAGATTACTATCGGAAGTACTGGGAGTCGTGAAATCAATAGTGGCAGGGCGTTTTAGCTGGAGCAGAATATCAGGTACAGAAAAACGATGAAGGGGATATCCTCTCAAAACACGATTAAGCACGACTTCCCAAATGGCGTTATCATTAAGGCTTGCATACCAAGATTTACAAACACTATTCGCAGAAATGGCATCCTCAATCTCCAGTAAAGAGTAGATTATGCACCAAATTTCTGTTGGTAGCCTCGGCAAGAGAAGGGAATGTGCAGACACCTTGAGCAGCTTTCAGACTTGTAACAATCTGTTAGAGATGGTGTTAGTAGACTATGTACAGCTTATACAAACGCTCTCATTGAGGTATTATCTCGTTACCTTATACAAAAAATATGCTTTTCCCGTACGACGTGGAGAATTTTTATCACAGAGGCACTTGGTGATCTCCAACGACCCAAGTTATAGTAACACATCTCAGTATAGAAACTAGAAAATACAGTAATCCAATTTATGTCCTATATTACATTAATATGAAACTCCACAGGTTGTCTGAGCTGCACAACATTGCGTACAACATGATAACAAGCTTTACAAGTTTCCAGCGTTGGACATGGGTCAGTCCATGACCACAAGTCTTCACTCTGTAGGAGATATGTATTTCCTGCAGCCAGCCTAAAGTAATCGGCTCACAAAGTCATCCATCACGAAGGCCGGTAAACTGGTTTTCGCTCAGTATAGCTGCTACGAACATTCTATCTAGTAACGAATGTAACGTAAGAATGGATTGCAACCGAACAATTTGTTAGGTAGCATAGTGATGAGTCTTGGACGCTTCAGCAGGAAGGTGCCAGCATCGCTGGATACCGAGTTAGGCAACAAAATTCGCGGGTTTGAAAACAATATAGATAAGCTTGTCAAACATTTCTGTATAGCCTGGTTAATCAAGACAATATCTTGCAGGAGAGAAAGATCGCGCAGCTCTTGTAACTTTAATTCACTACCTCTTTCCAATAAGATCATATATAGAACGGAAAGAAAAACTTTTTATTGGTGACCTTGAGCAGCATCTCATCAGGTAACTAGCAGTCAAAGATGGTTCTCGCTGAGTGTCATAGGTACGGGTTAAAGCATGGATGGTACCAGTTCCGACACGTCGTCCAGGCAATGCCGGGTCTGGTACTAGTTTCTATCGAATCAATTAATTACAATTAATTATTTAAGTGCCTCATACTTTCATTCAACTCGTTTGATTTAAGAGCTACATAAGAACTGTCGCGAAATTCAAGCCGAACAAACATTCTGCCTATGATGGAAATGCACTACAAAATCATCCACTGTTATGCTCTTAGATGGTTGAATTGTGTGTTGAAAGGTGAGAAGTTTCGTAAACAAAGGGCCGATTGAAGCCACGAACAATTTGTCGTGTCCAGTCACAAGCAAAAAAAGCTTCGATATCAATAACTTCATCAGTGTGATTGTAACCGAGACCAAGGCTCCTTTACCCTGGTATAGATTATTACCCATATTAGTTTATAGTTGCATGAGCATTGTCTGAAAAGTCCTAGAGTTGCCGCGATTAAAAGCGATTGGACCAACAGTATTAAATAATAGTGCTCGATGCAGTATTTCATGCTCGGCAAGGCGATCCGGGCGAATTTTTCCGTATGCTCTACCGTACGGCGAAGTGCGTTTGTCACCGCTCCTTTTCCGAACTTCGGGACCATGAAGCCAAAGTCTCTCCTTGCGTTTTCATTGCTTTTATGACTGAGAAAATTTCTATTCACTTGTCTGGCAAATATCAATATGGCCGAGTGACTTCATTCGTGTGGATAGCAGTCAAGTGATAACGTCAGGATACTATGTTGTTGGTTCTTTGACAGGTATAAGGATGTCTTGATTGAGAGGTGAGTGCTATGTCATAATAGGATAGGATGAAGTGGAAGAGCAACGGGAAGAGCGTTGTCGGGCCCAGATGAGGGAAATCAAAACATCCTGGAAAGGCAATTGTTTTTAACGACCCTTACCGCCGGTATCACGCAAGGAACTGCGGGTGCACAACTCAACCATCCCTCGCTTTGAATCTTTACATGTCAATCGAAATGGAGCCTCTCGTCCGTTTGTCAACCATCAATGTTGACAAACAAGATGAATACACTGACTCTCAAGTGTCGGATGGCTCAGTTTATGCGAATCCACAAAACCCTGCGCCGCTTACTTCAAGGTCAGACCCAGGAACGGAACATAACAAACCACAGTTTGTGAAAGCACATCGCCGTGGTGGCAGCTATATCCCTGGAGGATACAATTTTGCTGCAAATAACACTAAGGTGCCACTACCTAAATCGAAACTAGAGCAACTAGGTAGTGCGTTTCCAGCAAAGAAGATAGAAGTTGCTTCGCTGGCCATCAAGTCAGCCGCACAACGATCTTCTGTACTTCATATTGAACGCTCGATTTCATCACCACTTCCAGCTGTTTCTTCACACCTGATGCGACCTTCAGTCGGTCGATGGCGTCCCAATAGTGGACTACACGATATGGATCTTCAGCGTCAACCCAATAGTCAGTATATTCGAACTGCCCTTTCAAATGGATCCAGTAACCGCAGCCACATTGGAGCGACAAAACCTAGATCAAATATTGTAAAGCAAGAAGACACAGAAGAAAGCTCGCGGCGCAAAACAGTGACATGGTGTGAGCAGACTGAAGTGCATGAATTTGTTCATACGGATTCTCAAAGCAAAGATGTTAAGCCTGTTAAAGCTATTGATCAATCTGCCAAGAGTGACCTTACTGAAGAAAAACAAACCCAGGAAAGCAAAGCGTTCAAAGACGATACCCAAGTGTTTGTGAAAGATGTCTCTTTTGGAAATCAGTCTCTTCCACCTTTGGATATGAACAAATTACAAATTGTAACCCCATCAGAACTCTCAAAATGCGTCGACACGGATTCAGATATATCCATTTCATCACCCTCTTCTGAAGATTCTTTACCTTTCACAGATGCTCCTGAAGTTCCTGAACTTCCCGATGTCACTCCTGTGCCAGAAACTCAACAGTATAAACGAAGTAGTCGAATTTCTCGGGACGACGTACTCAGCCGCTTGGCGGAATTAAAGAAAAATCGAAGTGAAGAGGATGCTTTCGAGCCGATAAATATGACCAAAGACAAACCATTTTCATCAGATGCTGAACGGATAGTAAATGATATTGATGAGGTGGAATCGCAGGAGATCAGCGACATAGCAGCCAATATCGTTGAAGCTAGCTCAGTCGTCGATGCAGATCAGCAGCTCAAACCCCAGATAGCTGACACGCCTACCTTGAATACTGTACAGATCCCAGAAACTAAGCTCGCATTATCTGATAAATTTACATCTGAAGAGACGTTGGAATCAGCCATGGTACCACCCAGACCAAAATCTTCTACTGGCATTCCGACCAAGCCCAAAACATACACAAACACAGCTTCTGTCTCCCGACCGATGGACCTTTCTGAATGGTACAAACAACGCAAGAGAATGGAACGCGTTCGTCGCGAACAAGTCCAGAACGGGAAATATGACTTTGATATGGATGAGGTCAATGCGGATGTCCAGGATGAAAAAGACAACGAAACTCCTATGCTTTTGAGTGAAGGTTCTCGTAGGGCAACTTACACGGAGGGAGTCACAAATATGATTTCATTGACGACCAGTCGGCCTGGTGCCGGCTTCGAAAAATCCTTACTAGAAGACTTTGAGCGAATTGCAGAAGGGCAAAAGGTAGTGTGTCTATCTGGTGGATGAACAAATTTTACTATTGAAGAAACTAATATCATTTGTACCATAGCCAAAAGGATATCGAGAGCGACGAAGGTCTAAAGTTGTCGTAGCGTCAGCAGATTTTGAAAAAGCTGGTGGTGCTGATCAAGCAATAGCCGATGCTCACGCTATCAAAGCTGCTAAGATGAACGCAACTACAGAGGCTTTGGAAGCGTACGATGACTCTGCACAGTCTATCCACAGCATTGAGAGCACAGCCAACTTCGCACCTCGGCCGTGGGTGGAAAGACGAAGAAGTATGGATCTACTCTCCCGAAGCTCACCTGACTCATCTGCGCGTGGAAGACTATACCTCAAAGTTATTGCTGCCCAGGATTTGGATTTCCCCTTTCCTTCTCGTAAGTGAAACACAATGCAGCTGTGATTTATAAAATAGATCGACTAACGTTTTCTTGCTGAAGGCGATATGGAAGCACGTTGCGTTCTTAACGAAGGTACCTATGAACACACTTCACCTAGTCGTCGACTGAGCAGGAACACTGAGTTTGGCCACGAGTTTAAACTGTAAGAAAACAGCGAATTGCGGGTTAAGGCGGCTTTCGTGATACTTATCGAAGAATTGTAATTTATAGGGAAACTCACGACTTTTTGGACTTTACTATTACCATTCATGTTAAGCATCCAGATACTGACCGATCAACCACATTGTCTCGGATTCTATCTACTCAGAGGAAATCCAGAGCTGAAGGTCTATCGAAATACATTAATGGTGACGATGGTGCGCTTGCACAAGTACGAATATCCTTCCAGGATATAATGTCAGAGTGCCAAAGCAAAATTTGTACGGCGACGTTTCATCTTGTAAACGGCTGGTACAAGGATGCAGGGATTCCTCTGATCGCTTCCAGAAACCGAATGGCGAGACGACCAATTCGCGAAAAGGTGGTTGGTAAACTTATCGTAAAGTTAGCTTATCTTCCAGGAGTGGATTCACAGGTACCGTGTGTAGCACATCTTTTTTCTTAGTCTTTATATAGTACTAACTATTTAAACCTACAGAGGTTCTCTCTTCCGCCAAGCTTAGAGGCTTGTGAGGAAGCCCTCAATATCCGACGATGGCATGAAACCTGCTGGCATACCGGCTACATGTCACAGCTTGGAGGCGACTTAAATGTAAGCACACATTGGTCATGTACATACACAAACATAAGCTTACAAAACTAATGTTTCTCTTTCAGTTTTGGAGACGGCGATTTTTCAGATTGGTTGGCGGTAGACTGTACTCACACACGGATACGAACCATTCTCTACGATCAGTGATTGATATGTCCAAAGCTGAAATCATGACTGTTGACCACGCTATAGTGGCGCATTCACAAGAACCCCATGTCCTTGAAATGATAGAGATGCTGCCACCGACCGACAATGACTTGCATCCACATATCAAGCCAGGGTCCATCATGTCATCGCAGATGTCCATATCGTCAGAGAGTACCAATCAAAGGTTGTCAAGGAACAGCCTGGACAGTGACAGCTTGTACTGTTCTGTCAAAAACAGTATACGGATCACATTTTCAAACGGAGAACACATGGACTTCTTTTGTGACAACTCCAAAGAGCGGAAACAATGGGTCGATGTATTGAAAGTCATCGTAGGTCGTGTGCCAGAATGGCCAGAGTGGTTGATCGAAGGGCGTGAGGTCCTGAATCAGTAACCCAATCAACTCGTGTACAAAAATCAGTGAAATCAACAATAGTAGTTTGTGTATATAAAATATATATATTTAATGTGTATGCGGGTGATTGTGTATGTCTATTTCTGCCATAAACCATAACGATTACAATGCAAATAATAAATGATGCTCTAGAGGTAACTACCGAACTTCAGGTCCTCTTTTTTGTTGTGTCAATTTTGATCATGATCGGAAAAGCAAATAGGCAAATGGATGATGCTTGTCAAAAGTATGAAAGGCATGTGGAATTTTTACGGGGGGTTTTTAGAAAGTTGCGCCATCAACTTCAGAAACGTATATCTTGACTTCAATGCTTGCGCTAATGTGTTCCGCATCGTCGCCGTATTCAATGGCAATCTGAAGGCTATCACGGCCACCATTGGCAGCCAAAATAGTGCTTGGTGTATACATTATGCTGTTCAATAAAGCATTGACGTCTTTCTTGGTAACTTCACGTAACTCCAATGTTGACTCTGCGAAGTCTGATCCATGAGCAGCACCGATACGAAGTTTACCACTGGTGACGGAGAGTTTTATGGAAACCAATCTACTTTTGGCTGGTCCTCCTCGTACATAAATGACATCGAGCCCTTGGAAAGTGCCAGGTATTTGCTGTAGGCTATCCGAAATTGGAATTCCTAGTTTATCGGAAGCACTTGAAGTGCGATAAATATAGTTCTTGGGACCCACTAGCGTGAACGGTGTTTGCATCTGTCGTGTTGAGCTAATAATGTTATGCGTTGTTGTATCGGTATGAGGAATGTCCAGATCAAACTTCTTGAAGACCAGGTCAACGACACTACCACTTTGAACCGGTAGATGATTGGTCATCTTGCCAAACAGATGAATACTCCAGCTCTTGACCATAATGTTATATCGAAGCTCATGTTCCGCTAATGCATCACTTTCGAGCAATCGATGGACTTCCACATAATTAACGGGATAGAGAACATTGTTGGGAACAATGGTAAATCCTGCAGCTTCCATAGACTTTCGGTTGTGCTTTACATAGATGGTGATCGCACGTGGTCCAACGCAGTTGAAGCATGCTGGATTGTATGACGGCGAAAACGCTGCTTCGGCGATATCCTTAAATGCAGTCCAGCCTTTTCGGAATCTCATGACTCCAGGAGCAAGGTACATACCATCGGTATCTAAGGTCCAGTCTGCATCAGATTTGAGGGTGGCATAGTCTGCACCGATGAACTCGAGGTTATCATCAGGAGGAGAGCGGATCCATAAAGCGTCCATGTCCATGTAAGTACCACCATACTTGTAAATCAACAGGTATCGCATGTAGTCCGTCAAATGGGAGAAGAAGTAAGGACCTTTTTCCCACTTGTCCCAGTCTGTCAACCAGGAGTGAGAGTCAGGGCCCAAGTACCATCTGTAGTTGAGTAGCAAGTCCTTGCTAAAGCGGACCACATGAATGTTGTATCCGTTACGTTTGTATTCTTCGAAAAAGCTATCGGGAAGTGTTGTTGTCAGCATGAAGACAACGGCTCGAGGTTGGTGGATCCAGATCAATTCCAATGTTCTCCAGTGACGATCGGTGAATGTGGAAGGGTCAGTCGTCCAGCAGACCCAATGAAGCAAGTGCCAATTATCCGTTTCAGAATAGGTGGAGGTCAATTGGGTCAAAAGTCCTTTTACGATCCAATCATCGTTTTTACCCAGGACAGAAACTTCTGTCTTATCCTTCACTTGCTTGACGGTTTCGGTTACCAAGGTCATCTCAGGCTGATGAAGTAAAGTGACACCTTTCGTTTCGTCACAGTCGAAGTTCCAATCTTTCCAATGATTGGCTTTTCCACGGCAAGGGTAGCATAATGCACACAAGTTGGTTTTGAATCCGGAACAAAGTCTCTTGTTGTTTTCAATGTTGTTCAACATGTCGTACATGGAGCCGCCAATCTCGTAGCTATCTCCAAAATGTTTGGCAATCATATCATCTTCACAAACATCAGCTTGTTGAATTCTACGGTCGTGGATTGGTTTGACATTATAAGGGAACAGCCAGATGCCCAGATTCTGATCTTCGTTCTTGGTATATAGCCTGGGCCCAGGAGTTCCGACTATAGCGTTCACTACGTCCTTTGACAAGATGTACAAAGCACCAGCAGTGAAAGGAGGAAACATGGGTAGCTGGTAATCAAAGGCAGCATTTTTGTTCTCGCTGTTTTTGATAGGGGGAATGTTCCTGAAAACAAAGAGAGTTAATAAATGGCTTCAGACAATTTCGCAAGGCCATCAATGATCATTTACCAATATCCAAGACCACGCCAATAGAAGCGCTGAGGTCCGAGCGTTGCCAGTTCCTGACTAATGGTGTCCCATCGAACAAAGATATCGTCATCGGTCTTTACTAGAAAGTCGAAATTGTAGTCATTTGTCCACTCCAAAGCCTTATATACTTTGCGACTCAAATCGTTGTACAGATCAGATGAAGGAACGATGAGAATATCATTGTATATATCGTTCTCCCTTGTAATGCTGGGACCCATGAGGGATGAGGCTTTAGCTGAAGGGGCTTCGCCAAGAATGAATCTGTAGGTGAAAGCGATGCGATCAGTGTTTCCGGGCATCAACTTTAATGTTGTGTTTCGAAACACCTGTCGCTTTTCGAAACCTTTTGGAGTCCAAGAAGAAAGAACGACCACCATGACTTTGACGGCAGACTGACCGAAATCCGCCAAATCTGTAGAAGTTGAAAGCTTGAACTCTTGCTTCATGAGTTGGCTGGAGGTATAGCGCAGACGATCGATTTGAATCATGGAAGAAAACATGGTCAGCAAGATCACCACAAATAGTGGAAGAATCAAAACTTTGACGACGGTCGATTTGTGATTAATTCGTGGTTCTTGAACGTCCTCGACCTTTCTATTATACTTTGGACTGGAGGCAAGTACAATTTTCAGTACGTTGGATACTAGAAGGATGAAGCAAATGGTCATCCAGGTCCATATTGGCGCGTCAGGACCATAGTGTGAATTTATGAAGGCAGAGATGGACCAATTGATGGCAGTGAGAGTGACCAATCGAACGATGGCATTGCTCAACTCATAATGGTAAAGCCACCTACGCATCATACTTGTCGTCAGAATCCAGCTCCAGTAGCCAGCTAACATGCACTATTAAACATGATCATTCAATAAAGAGAGTGCGGTTAGCATGTCAAGTTTCCTCAGACCTGTGAAGTAGTATCCAGCTAGTAACTTACCCATAATGTAGCCACCCAATAATCTGATTCTGTACTGCGAAGAACGATAGCTCCACCAGCATCACGCAGTGGGACTCTCCATGCGCATCCGATATTGCGAAATAAACCAAAAAGTGACGGTATCAAGCTCAGCGCTCGAAGAAGTATAATAGGGATGTGATAGCGTCTTGGGACATTGAGAGTCGACAATGACAACGCCCGATGTCGAAAGGAAGGAAGGGGATTGGGCTAACAGATGAGATTGGACTGGTCAGTATAGAAAAGAGATGACGGCCTTATATAGAGAGATGAAAGTTTACCGTTGGCATCAAGATTTTTCTGATGGTAGCAAATCGACTTCACCCGGTAAGTTTACAGAAATTCGCGGTCTGACCAAAAAATCGAAAACCCAATCCAGGACTGCTTTTTCCATCTTTTTTTGCAAGTGATGGATGGACTTTACTGTTGTTGTCTACCGACATTGTTTCCAAAGTAGATAGGGATCAGGACATGTCCAATATTAAAAAGACAAACAAACGTTACCAAGATCCATCTTATGAGAAATTTCATGTTATCCTATAGCATCGAATGCTTTGGTCGATCAATCCAATCAATATTCATCCTCCGTCAACATTTGGCAGCTGAAAATTGAGGTCCCGCTAACATGCGCACAAACAGACATCAAAAACGTAATTGTACAAGTAGCTGTATATTAGCAAATATTATAGAAATGATGAGTATAGTTCAGTAGCATATTGGGAAGTTATGGTTAAGGGTGGCGAAAAAATAGATTCTACAAGAATGCAGTAGGTAGGAATGGCAGAGTGTTTTAGACGTTGTTGAGTTGTGATGGGGCAGAAACCTTGCCCTTCTCGAGGTCGGAGACTTGTTCGACAACTTGAGGTTCTTGGGTTTTGGGATCAACAGTAATGATCTTATCAACGTGGTAGTAAGCAGCAACGCCAAATTCAGCTTCATCCAAACCGACTAATTCCTTTGCTGGATCAATACGGAGTGACAATCCAGGGATTTTGTCCATGATGAAAAGGATAATATATGTGACGACAAAAGACCAGCTCATACCGGCACATGCATCAGCAATCTGGTATCCAACTTGGACCCAGTTGCGGTTGAGCCAACCTCCTGGGATAACGGTAACACCGTCAAGGCCAGCAATATAAGATTCAGCGAAGATACCGGTGAGAACATCACCAACGGCACCACCAATAGCGTGAATGGCGAAGACATCGAGAGCATCATCGTAATCGAGAAGGTGCTTAAGCTTGCAGGCAAAGTTGCAAACAATGGCGCCAATGAATCCAATGGCAACGGAAGGAGCGGGACCAACAAAACCAGAAGCGGGGGTAATGGCAACAAGACCAACAACGGCACCAGAGCAGAAACCGACAGCAGAGAACTTACGCTCCAGACGATAGTCGAGAAGCATCCAGGTAAGACCAGCGGTAGAAGCAGCAATGTTAGTGACAACACAGGCCATAGCAGCACGAAGGTTGCCAGCAAGAGCAGAGCCACCGTTGAAACCGAACCAACCGAACCAAAGGAAGGCAGTACCAAGAACAACATTGGACATATTGTGGGGTCTGAAGTCCTCCTTTCCGTGACCTTGACGCTTACCCAAGATCAAAGCATAAGCAAGGGAAGCGGCACCAGAGCTAATGTGGACAGGGGTACCTCCTGCGAAATCGAGACCTCCCATGAGGTAAGACCAACCATTGGCATTCCAGGTCCAGCAGGCAATGGGATCATACACAACAGTAGACCAGACAAAGATGAATACAATCATGGGGAGAATACGAGCGCGTTCGGCAGCAGCACCGATAGCAAGGGCAGGGGTAATGGCAGCGAACATGCACTGGTAAACAGCGAAGACTAGATCAGGGATCTTAGGGCTACCAATAGAAGGATCGCCGAGGACACCTCTGAAGAAGGCGTTATCAAGGTTACCAATAAACTTGCCACCAGTTTTACTGAAGGTTAAAGAATATCCCCATAACCACCACTAAATTGCGTTTGTAAAGTTAATCATAGGTCAAAAGAGGGAAATTGTGGAATTGAACGCGAACGTACCTGGAAGGAAACGACAGCAATAGAAATGACTGACAGCATAATGAGAGAAAGGGCATTCTTGCTTCTTGCCATTCCAGAGTAGAAGTAACCAACACCAGGAATCATAAGCCATACAAGGGCAGTGGATGCAAGCACCCAAGCAATATCGCCTGAGTTAAACTCTGAGGCGTAGACAGCAGTAGTATCGGTACCGTTGCTACTCATTGATGTGATAAAAAAAAGAAAGAGAAGTCAATAGCAAACAAACACAGATGCCTTCAACGCCCTTTTATACCATATTGCGATAGGAAGGGGGTTTGGCCATAATTTAGTTGTTGAATGATAACGAAAGAATCTCGGAGGGGATCTTTGGCGGAGGAAGGCAGAATTTAGCCAATCAAATTAAAGTGATAAAAAATCATAGTACGATAAGCCTCGGGAAGTGCACCAGTCTCACACTTTAATCCCTAGCTCCCAAAACAGACACCACCGTGATAAGATATGCCTTAAATTTGTTTGATAGGCAAACAAACTTGCATGATCATTCAAACGAAGGTAAATGAGGACAAACGACAGGCTGGTTTTCTTTGATAGTCGCATCTCATCTGTGCACATCCAAACCAGACAAAGGTGCTTCAAATGAAACCACATTCAGCATAGCACTCATCTCAATATAAGCTTCTGTCACTCCACAGCATGGAGGAGATGGCGCAGCAGCCGATGGAAGACAGACAGTGACGTTCTTCCGCGGCAGGTTTGACCTCACCCCACCTGCAAATTTGTCCATAGACGATCAGAATGCGCAGTGTTCCTAGAACCCGTTCTCCGCAAGCCCGTTTTTTACGGATGGCATGTCTTGGATCGGCTGCTGTGTACCACATTCAAATTGGGTAGGTGCTGCTTATCAGTCAACACAACGGATAACGATAAAGAATATAAATGGGTTGTAGATAAAAAAATTACCTGGGACAGCGTTTCAAAAGATCTCATTTTCAATACAATCATGGGTTCTAGTAGGCGAAGTCGTTCTAATACACCCTCTAGTGCTCTACATTTGAACTTTCCCAGGTTCATCACACATTTTATCATTGGCGGGGGTCAATCAGGCCCAAGGTGACACGTCCGATCGAGTTCCGATGAAATAATATGCTTGATGTAGAAATACTTCATGTGAGTTTTAAGTGACACTATCTACACAAAAACGGTCGCTGTTGTCAACTATTTCCACCCAACTCACGTCAGCTGATGTGGTTTTGTTTGCGCGCTGCTGCTCTTTGGCCATGGCCTTGGCTGGGCTTTAAATACAATTTCAACACGCAAAATCCCTAGCTGAGCCCTAATGCATCCAAGTTTGCCTAAGCCTCCCTATTCTATCCACCAACAGGAAGGAATGAAAAGTGTCATTCTCTTCAGGCTATGTCCGAAATATCGGTTACGCTCTTGGTAGAATGAGTTCACTTTACGTGCAGGAGGTATGATCGCACAGCACTACCATTGAGATAAGAAAGCCAAAACTCCGGGAAAAGGTTGATCAATGGGGGTAATACAAACAGTGATAGCAAGGCACTCTCGAGACGACAACCAACAACGACTTTGCATACAATACAGACAGCAAGTGGCTGTAACAGTACTGCTGTTGACATACCTGATGTCCATTGTTTCCTGACTTGATCCTTCCTGGGTAGGTAAAACATTGTACACAACTTTCTCACGTACGAAGATAAGTGATGATTGAAACACACGATATAGACATTTGGCCGGCTACTGAGCTTCATCCTAACAACAGTTTGCTAGATTGTCACATGTCAGAGTTATTTAACCACCACTGAGCATACAGGTTGCTTTGGTAAAGGGATTGGGTATTAAGGTTTTGTGGAATTTCTTTAGCTTAAGCTATGGGCAATGTGGGGTTGACGGCGGAAATCGCAGAAGCTTGCCTTTCTTTTCTTTTCTCATCCCATGTCGGCAATAATAATACACTCTCCCCAGATTCCTATTCGTCACATTTTGTTAATAGCACCTCCTCCTTGTCTCTCATTGCGTACGTTTCATGTCACTTTGCAGCTACCTGATGATGTGCAGAGCTTCCCATTCAACGGGCAGAATGAGGTATGGTGTAACAGAAGATGGAGGGAGCAGTTTCTTGAAGGCAATAGTAGGAGCGGTCAGTAGTGGAAGAGCCCGTATCAAGGATTTCCAAATTAGGTAATCACCTATCAACCAGCACTGATAAGCGGATGTTTATAGTGTCCACTATGGTAGAAGTAGAAGGGTAAAACAGAAACATAGAGGGTATATCCATACTACAAAACGATATAGTCATGAATCAAAACCAAAAAATGTAATAAAGATCTTCATAACCCTTTGGTATGTCCAATTCCATCTGTTCGTATGCTGCTACTTTCTAACGGTATTGTGACGTGCCCGCTTCCATTTTTCTTATCAATTACCACAAAGTGGCTTGAACTTGGGGTAATAAGCTTCCCTCTCTTATTATTTTGTTTTCCTCTCTTGTAACTACCCTATACTCGGGCTTCAATGACCATGGCATTGAACGCAGTCTCATCGCCAACCTACGCCCCAGAATCCATTGCGCCGACACACCAACAATTTGAACCCCAGGCTGAAGACATCTTGTGTGATGAAGAATTACTCGATCTGTTTCGAACCGTTAAACAAATCTTACGCAAAAAGCCAAACACCGAACGGATATCGAAACTACTGTTTTGTTTTTGTTATGCTCTTGGCGAAGATATCAAATTTTATAAAGAAATAGGCGCAAACGAAGATCGCATGTTCTTCAAGGAAGAGTCCGCTCGAAACTATAGTATCTTACGTCTGCCCTATAGTTCAAACGACCCTGCTGCATCTCGTTTTAAAGAGTATGTTACCAACAGAGAAAGAGTTGCGCGAAATGGGTCAGCCTCGAGCCCAATTCCGGTATCAACCAATGTGCCAGAACGTATGTCAACCGGTCACCCACTCTCTGTATCTTATTTGACTGGCCCTGGTAAAAGTACTGGAGCGGACTATCATTCTCAACCTTCGCAATCAACCTTACCTCCACCCTCAGGATCAGCGAGTCCAGGGTTTCAATCTTATAGACCGCTTGTTCCAGCTACGTCAAACTCACAACACACAGTAGACAATACGCGGAGAACCATGTCTACGGATGCACATATTAGCGGCCCTGCTGGCAGTTCGTCGCGTCAACATTCCTTCAGTCAACCACAGTATAAGTATCCCGGGGAAGATTCGGCACAAAAACAATCCAATTTCGGCCCCAGACAGCTTGAGACGATAGAGCCTCATCAACGCGGCTTTTACTACGAAGAGGATCGCCTGTCAAGAGAAGATGCCGTGCTAAGACGCTATGCTGAACAAGGTGTCTTGACGCAAGCTTCCCTGTTGAGGAAACGAAAGAGACGTTCTAGCGATTTAAATTTCTCGCTCGGGTATCCCACATCAGGCGTTCCTCCAAAAAAAACTAAAATGCCACATAGACATGGTGAATTCGAACAACGACGTACGTATTCTCATTTACCTTCATGAACGCAGACTTCTTTTGTTCTGATCTGACTTCCTACGCATGACAGGTGACGATATCATTACTAGGCTTCGAACCATTACCGAGACTGACTTAGATCAAAAAGCTGCAAAGTTGGGGAACGATTTTACACTGGAAATCGAGCATGTTGACGATGTTGAAGATAAGGACTACACGCCAGAGGAGGCAACGAAAGCGTTAGAACCATCTTTACGAGTTCTGACCACCCAAGCTAATCTCAAACCACATTTGGACAATGGTATGAATCAAAACGGCATCTATTACAACACCGACTACTTTAGACTATACCTCGCATTCGAACAATTTCAAAAAGCACATACTAAGCTATACCCTCAAGACAAATCCGATAGTCCCGATGGTACTTCAACACCCAGTACTCCATCAGGTGGCATTATGTCGACCATGAGTTCGTCATTTGGCCAACTAGGTGTCAATCACGACAGCGAACGAAGTGTCAATATGAAAATTTATCGTTCTTTCGTCGAACCTCATTTAACTGAAACAAACTGGGCAGCTTTCCGACGTAACATCGTGGTAGGCGAGAGAATGATGCAACTGACAAAAATCCTCGGTCAAGGCGTACTTTTGATGACCAAAGAATTGAGTGGAAGCAAAATTCACTTGACATTCACCAATAATGAATGGGACGAATTTCTGAACGGTCTACGTAACGGTAAATGGGACGACTTATTCAAAGACCTAGAACCTCTCCCAGACGGAGGATCAGCTCTCGTGCGTGAGCTGAAATCCAAATTCGAGACGAGCCGATGGTTCACTCCAACAGGTGAACCAGCCGTTTATTCTAATGCACCTTCAGCTTCCTCACAATTACCACCCGTTTTCTCAACTACAAATGCGGGAACAGATCCAATGGGAAAGAAAAGTGGATTCACCCAAGAAACTCAGGACATCTCTGACAGGCGGTCAGATCCTCGATAAACAAAACTAATATTCTGCCCTTTTTTTGTATTCTCTCTTTTTTTGCTCTTGTATTTTCTTTGTGTTTTGAACTCCTTGTACAGTGTGATTTCTATTTTATATATCGATCTGTTTGTACCTCAAATTGTTGTTACAATTAATGTAGAGGCAATGGGCAGTATTATGAAAGGTGAAAAAGACTATGGACAAATGGCGGAGGAGAGGTAGGAATAACGTGTAAAAATATAGTACAACTTTGCATCAGCACAATTATGAATGAGAGCTGTCATCCATATCGTCCATTGGTATCGTCTCATACTTGCCCTTCCCCTTTGTCGAAGACGAGCCAAGTATCTGCTTGCCCTTGTCTACTACGGATGAGGCAGCGCCATGATCTGATGTTTTTCGTTTTCTTCCAGAATCGGCGCTATTGGCGTCGTCACCTTCGTTGCGAGCATTGACCATGATAGGCTCCATTTCTCGTTGCATACAAGCCCACTCAGCTGTCAAGGTCATGATAGCACACGAAAAGATATTGAGAAGCCACCATAGGAATGTTGACGGAATATGACGAGAGTAGTATGAGGTGATGACGAGGTGGAATACATGTAAGGTGACAGCAAAATCCAGAATAAGTTTGGCGCGTTGAACAATGAACACCATGAGCCCGACCCCGATGACCGAGTTGATGACCCAGCACAAGGTGATTGTCCATCCCATTACTGTATCGGCTCTGATTTCTGAATAGTTTAAGATGTAATCAAGAGATAGTTCTGTTCCTGTTATTGCCAGTACCAGTAAGATTAAGACGCTGACGGACACATAGTATAATGCTTGCAGAGAGATTATCTGTAAAGTAGACAAGCATCAGGGAAAACTGCAAGGCTATTGTAGCAAAAAGAAAACCTTCATGGTCTAACCTGCGCTACAATCAGTATTGGATCCCAAGTAGTGATTCGGAAGGATGCCGGCATTCAATAAAGTGAAGGATGTAGCCCAAAACCTTTGACTGATACGAATTACGGCCCTCGTAAAAAAATCTGTCACATGTAGACTGGCTGGCCACTTTCCCGTACTTTTCTCGCTTCTCTCTTTCACTTTGACCTTTCTTTCCAACCTCATTGCTTTGCTCTTATTCATCTTGCATGGCCACATTAGCAAAGTATCAAAAATTCTTGATTAAGCAAGCTCCTAGAATAGAGACCGTGGAGTCATGGTTGCGTCAACTGTCGCTTGTCATACCTGGTAAGTCAGGATATCGTATTACGTTGACGATATACGGCTTTTTCACAGACATAAAAATATAACGTTTCAACACACATCTTTAGGTCGTTTTGAGGATTCTGATTTCGTCTCGCAAATACGCAAGTAACCCTTTTGGCTCGATTTCATACCCAAGCGCATGAAACCACTAACTACTCCGCAATAGTTGTCGCTGTTCTCAATCTCATCAGTCTATACCATGATAGTCTGCTGTGGAAGGTCGTTGCCCGGCATGCTGCTGTGATCACACTTCCTTCGTCGCTGTTCAACAGATATACGAGACATTGGTATCGAGAACCAAAGTTTAAGCGAATTGCTCTCACCTTGACCTTGGTATCATATTGCGAGGTCGTAGCAGAGATGTGGATTAAAAAGAATTACAGCGAGAAGACACGCTGGCGATTTGTTGTCTGGTTGGAGGCACTAAAGTAAGAGTTCGTTGGTGAATACTACCAGAGTACTCGATTTTTAAATCGTCGTTCCTAGAGCACTATGTAGATACCAGCTGTTCAAAATATCCGGAGGTCGAATGTTATTGCACCCAAGTCATCCACAACGTGATATCGACCCATCCACGTTAGAGTTAGCAGAAGATTCCTCCGACTTCGATCCACGTACTGGTGGTGTACACTATCACAGCAATGAAGCCGAGCAACAATGGGACCATCCAGATCAATTGGTACTGCCGTTACAAGGGCTTGCCAAATTCGGCGAGATAGCATGGATCGTACGCCCATTGGTATATGGTAAGAAAATGGTATATCTAGACGTACGTCGCCATGTTTTCAAGATACTGATCTCGCATATGTAGTTTTGGCGGTTCGGAGATTCGGCTTTCAATCTTGGAAAGCATGGACCATGTCTCTCGCAGTTGATTTGACTTCTCGTGGCCTAATGCGCTCTGCATTTGCCAATCGCAAGGAAGGATCGATGACGCCGCTAGAGGCTGATGAATACGGAAGACGCGCGTACCTTTTGCTGTATTACTTGTTACGTGGGCCCTTCTATCAGCACTTTACAAAGTATGTAATCTCAGTCTTGTCAGTGTACGGTGAAGTAATTGATACTGAACTTAGTTGCTTTTTTTTTAGACCAAGAATTGAGGCCTTCTGCGATGCAACAGAAACCCGTCCTGTCGCTTCCATCATTGCCGGAGCCATTCGAGACTACCAGCCACTTTGGGAAGATGTGTTCTTCTACACTGCTGGTTCATAAACGTTGTAACAATCTTGGGATGTTCGCACAGTGTAATAACATCATCTATCTACAATACGTAATTATATACATGTTCAACATGTTTCAAAAGCATAATAAAACCACAGTGTTTGAAGATGGGATTGACCCTTTCACTCCAAGTTAGAACACCAAAAGCCTTGAAGTTAATTTGCCATTTATTCATTACGTATGCTAAAAAGAATGTATGTGTGCTTGGCGTATGTTCATTAATACACATGACATTATGAATGATTAAAAATATAGTGTATACACAATGTGATATAGAGTTGCATTGAAAAATAGTGTCCTTATGGACAAGAACATATGAAGGGTAAGAGTGAGGATGGTTGTTACTTTCGCACGAAGCTTAAAAGTGACGTCTAATGCTTAACGAGTGGCTCTATAGAGGATCTTGGCTGGAATTGCAGGGATATCTTGAGAATTTGGGGTAGTCTTGGAAGTGCTCTGAGACTTGACAGAAGCAGCCTTCCCAACCTTGTTCTTGCGACTAGTGATTTTCTTGTAAATTTCTGACATTGTTATGGATGTATGATTTGATTGAATGAGTATTCCATGTAGAATACCATCTCATATTTATACAGTTGACATTAACTGTGCCACTTGGGGGCGTTTCCAGATGATGTGATGTTTTTCATTTTTACACAGTCCGGACCACGGAGCCAAAGACGGCCGTTGAACACTAAATTTGAGGAGATATACCCGCAAAGATTTTCACGCTATCTGTACGGTACATCGCTTGAACACTGGATCCATTCTGACCCACAGTACCCTCGTCTCTGATGAATCTATGCTGTTTTCCATCCCATACGGCTCTTTGGTGTTGATTATAAATGTAACTGCCCTTTATGGACAAAAGATGAAGTGTGCAAAAACCGAGATTTTTAATTCCCGTCAATACTGCGCATTTTCCTTATGGTTCCTGAGTCATGGTAAAGCTTCATCTCATCAGTAACGTTTTTAAGCTATACTTAGAAGTAGGGCTATGGTATACCATTACATTATTTCTCAATCAAATCGTGTTAATGGTATTCTGTATACCTTTGATCCGGCAATCCTCTCGCAAAATAGTTTAGATTTGACTGTCATTCGAAGCCGCCTTAGACGAAACATGACGTTCCAATTGAGGTTACCCATAGCAGATAGCTTGTATGCTCTCCATTAATAATAGACCACGTTAATGATTTAAGGGTGCTGATTGTCGTAACCTTTGTGCCGGAACCTCATACTATACAACACATCCGTATTTGACCATCATAACGCCTGTTGAGCAGGCATGACCTTCAAACAACAACTACGACGATTTGATGACATCAAGTGATTACGAATCCAAAGTAAAAGATCATTACGCTTCAAAATTTTACCCTTCAATAAACAAGGAAAACCAGCATATCTTCTACTTGACAGGCTTCTCAGTAGCTAATATACCTTAATCTAATGCTGCGGCCAAAGAAAGGTATAAAAGAAACTCTACACGAGACCACAATTCAGTCGCACTCAAGTAAATCCCAATAGTAAAACAAGCTATACAAACTAGCAAACCGATTCACCATCCTAAACGTAGCAACAGACGAGTGCGTACTTTCAGATTAGATTTGATATATTAAAGGCTTCTGACCAGTACACAACGACGCTATATGCTTTTTTCTTTTCTAAATTGTCCGTTTCAGCACATTTGTAAGATCTGGATCTAAAAAAATCTGATCCGTGTTTTCACTACCTGACCTGATCTGATCTCCAAACCTGTACCTATGAATATGGTAAATTGATTGCTATTGATTTTCTTTCCAATGAATGATTTATTGTATTTACACATTGTAATTAGGCTTTTAAGACCATTGAAGTAGCTATATATATAATGAGCAAAGAAAATAGATTTAAACATATTTCAGGAAGAGCTTGAAATGTTATGTCTACAAGATTTTTTTTCACAGATCAATGAAGAGTAATAGTAGTAAAGGCATATTGTCCTTCCGATTATTCACTACACGATGTCGTGGTGTGCCGTAGAAAAAGAAACATAATCTACGTACACTTCGAAAGACATTTGGCGTAATTGATAGTTACAGCAATGCTCGGTAAATGGCCTTGGCCGGAATTTGAGGAGTAGATCCAGCCTTTGGTTGTGCTTGACGGCATGAGGACTTGGAGCTTGTGACTGAAGCAGGCTTGATCTTTTGCTTCTTCAATTGAGGGATCTTGAAAATGGTGGCCATATTGTGTAAAAGTATTGCTTATTGGGAACTGAATGTAGGAAACAACAAACGCATCCTCGTTTTTATACTCTGGAAGTTTTCTGATCGGGGTTTCTTTCGACTGATTCAATCCGTTACCCCATTAAGCAACCATACTAGCATTGAGACTTGATCTACCAATTTTTTTTGGTTGAAGGTGTACCATTTCTCTTCAGAACGCTTCCTCTTCAATTGATCTCATTCATCTTATAAAAGTGTATTGCTATTGACTGCTTTTTAGACTTGTAGGTAGTGGTAGATGATTGATTCGCTTACAAATAATAGATTTATACATTGATGACAAACCAAGGTTTAAATTCAGAACAGCGCATTCATCCTCCATGAATTACCTTGTTTCCTGAACTTCCAACCCGTCACACGAGATCTCGTCATCGTCACCGTATTAGAAATCAATTGAAATACCATTAAGATTGATATTTCCTGCCGACCTGACTCTGACTGAGTAGAGATGACTTGCCCCACGTCGGAGAGTTAGTTTTTTTTTTGATTCGATGTCTCTGATTTTTCTTCGGATCACAGCTCAAAAAAAACACAGTTCCTTAGCTTGTCTCTGTTTTCAATTGAACGAAGAAAAAAACCCTTCATTGTTGTTGAGGCTGATCCTTTGAAAGAGTCAGATGAAAATGCGACAATCTCAAAGTTGGCTGCACTCTGACTTGCAAACATGCATTGTTGACTAATGACGCACTTAATATATAACACTTTAGCATAAACCTGTCTTAGATCGATCATCCCGATGAAATAATAGTCAAGGGCATGGATTCAGTTTCTGCATTTGGGTTTTTAATTTGTAAGACATGAAGTTCAGATTTACCACTGAAGACATTTGGCAAATGCTTTTCCTCCTGCGATACTCAGAACAAATGAATGCCATTTCTTTTTGATCCATTGCCCAAAGTCTATCTATATCGTTGTCAATCACTCGCAACCTTCAAATTAGAGTATCGTATCTGTTACTCTATCTCACTTGAATGTATACTAAACTACTTGATTCAGCTCGCCATTGATACCACAAAATTTTTTTTGCCAATTGCCCAAATTTAATCCATTACGTTTAGTATTAGGGGAGAAATCAAATATTTAGCATATTAAGTTGAATAAAAGTTTTGGATATGTTAAAGTAAATAGAAGCGGGTTATAACGTAGAAGTTGTACAGTTTGCTTGACCAAAGTGCATTATGCAAGCAGCATGATCCGCAGATAAGTAAAAATGTATTTTGTTGCACGGCACCAATTTGACATACTTTGGTCTCCCTGGATGATACCAATTTAGATAACAGCCCTGTAGCTAATCATTGCCGGCACGGAAGATGGAGACATAGGTTTGGGACGGATTGAGTATTTTGGAGGTTTCCGTTTCTTTCCAAAGCTACAAAGAGTAGAAGAATCAGATGACACAAAAGAGGAGCTACAGCAGTTGTCATCGCCGAGTTTGTGCTTCCTTTGTTTGAATCGAATGCGTTTTAAAAATCTAGGTATTGCAAGACTGATTTTCATTGCGTAAACAGGGTTGAGTAGAGGAGTAAAAGTAACCGATAGCTCAGGTTTTATAGATTTTATGGTTGTCTGATTATCAGCTCTCTAGGTTTTTTTTTTTTTTTGGCATCATGCAAATTTTACCGATGGGTCTCACCACATATAAAAATGGGAATAAAAATGTGTTCATAATTAAAGTATAATTAAGTTATGATACCGCCATTCGTTAGACACCCTTGCCGTTGAAATCTTACAGTATACATAAGCGATCATTCATGTAAACAACATGGATGGAAAGTTATTCTCAAACGTTGACTAACCATTGCGTTGAGCCTTGCTGACAAACATCTAGGATAAAGTTCAACATCAGCATCATAATGGAAATACAAGTAGATCTTGAACTGGTGTATACCGCTGACTTTGCAACAGTGTGTTCATATTCCGTCACGTCGGAGGCTATATTTCAGTGATTCATACATAGTCAGGTACATCGATAGTTGAAATAGCATTCAAGGATGCTTCACCAGCCTTCCAATGGAATACGATATCATCATGATAGCAAAGCAGCATATTGATGTAACACTGCCATATATATGTAGATGTTAAAGCCAGTAACAATTGGAGTAGGACTTGATAGTCATCCATGAGACAGAACAAACGCCGTAGTAATCATCTAATGTAAAAATTGCAAGTGCTCAAACGGCAAAATAGATGATTTGCTCGCCTCTGGAGTGCTTAGAATAGATGCTGGTGAAAAATGCCTAACAAAATATCCTTGCAAAACTGGTAGATCAATATTCAGTCTTTTGAAAGATTCGATGGATGCGTTGCTCTGACGGCAGGAAGTATCAAGCTGCAGAATTCCTGGCATTATTGAAAGGATTATGGCTCTTTTCACTGTATATGAGTCTGACTTACCGCATGATCGCACAGTTTGCCAATTGCATCTCCTTTTCATGTCAGAAGCGCATTGTCTATAAGTTTACTAACGCTACTATAATCCGAGTCCCTTCTTATGACATTTTCATTGCGGGAAGGAAACTCAGTGCTTAGGACCAACCAATGCAATATCACGTGTAATTCCTTTCACTCGAAATCCCCTTTCCAGTGTCACTACTGAGTGAATTCAGCTGCAAATGCTTTAAAATGCCTTCACCACCGAAACCTTGGGAAGCATCAGGACCGCAAACTGTGAGTGATAGCGATGTTTTGACTTCAGCATCTACAGCATTGGCAACAGCTCCTGCAATTCCTACAAGAGCTAATACAGCCGGACTGTATAACTCTACCAGCAGTAAGTTTTAAAGCTCCACCTCACTTTTTGTATCGTCGCCCAATGCTTACACACAGAATGCACAGGTTTAAATTCATATGGAGGTGGAATGTATAACCGATATGGAAGCTACGGTAGTGGGTATGGCGGATATGGATCTTACAATTCATACTCGCCCTATAACCGGTTTGGAAGCTACTCAACGCCTTACAATCGACTGGGATACGGTTATGGGGGCGGCGGACCTGAGGACTTTACAGTCGGTCAGCGCATGGAAGCTGGCACACGAGCGACGTTCGAGTTGATTGAACAAATTGTCGGTGCATTTGGAGGATTTGCTCAAATGCTGGATGCAACGTTTATGGCGACACATGCAAGCTTTATGGCCATGGTTGGTGTTGCGGAGCAATTTGGGCATGTCCACACCTACCTTGGCAACATATTTAACATCTATAATCTAATTCGATGGATCAAAAGGTCCGCTAATAAGCTGGCAGGTCGGCCTGATCCTGTCGATACTTCCGAGCAGCAACAACCAGCCACCCAGCAGAATCAAGTGGCGACAGATGACTCTACACCACCGCCACCACCAGAACGACCAAGAGAGAAGCTGTCCAAAACCCCTTTTATCATTTTCCTTACTGCCATCATTGGTCTGCCCTATTTGATGAACAAACTTATGAAAAGCATGAGTACCTCAAAGGCTGTGCAAATGGAAATGTCTGATCGACCTCCAGTCGCTGTCGCCATGTTTGACTTTGTACCAGGTTCTCCGATGGAATTGAGACTTACTAAAGGCGCTACCGTCGAAGTCTTGGATACTTTAGATCCAGTTACCCGTGAGCCCAGCTCTTGGTGGCAAGGCCGGCTTCGGGATGGTTCCATTGGAGTATTCCCAGCGAACCATGTGCAATATATTAATCACACTACCCAACCTAACGTGCCTGTCAATATCAGCGTCGATGATTTTGACAAATACTTTTAATATAAATTATGTTCTCGGCACTACCTTGTTAGTTCTCAACTGCTGATGAATGGGGGGAGGGGTTGTTTCATTGACGACAGTAACCCATGGCAACGGCCGGACATCATTGCACTGGGACACATTCCTAAACTTAATAATTAAATGCTTTTCGATGGGTAAAGCAACAAATTTATTCATTGATTGCAAGTACGCTTCTACTATGAGATTAGACATGTAAGAAGAGCAAACAGGCCTTTGTTTAGACTTTGAAACCACGGGAAGAACGCTTGCCACGGGCCTTTTCGAACTTGCGACCCTTGCTGCGGACATAGGGCTTCTTGTTCTTGTGGGGACCCATACCGAAGTGCTTGACGGCCTCACGGGCGTTCTTGGCACCACGGAGGATGACAGTGTTAGCACCAGTGGGAGCACGGAGAGCGAGCTGATCGAGGGTGAGGACCTCACCACCAGCCTTCAAGATGCGAGCCTTAGCAGTCTGGGTGAAGCGAAGAGCAGCAACAGAGAGCTTGGGGACTTCCAAAAGACGAGAGTCGTCAGTGACGGTACCGACAACAACAACGGTCTTACCCTCCTGCTTCTGGGTGTGGCGAACGATGCGGGAGATAGAGACAGGGGGACGGTTGATGCGGGACATAAAAAGACGCTTGAGAACGACCTTGTTGAAGTTGGAATCAGTACGACGAGCCAAGAAGCGGTAAAGCTAGAAAAAAAAAAAGGGAATTAGTAACTTTGTCAAAAAAGTCTCTAGCATGAAGGTTAGAATGACTTGAGCAAACAAACTTTCAGAAAGTACAATTCCAACATCTCGTCAAACCAAGATATTGAATCTACAGTGTATTTCCCAGTTTCATTCACATCAAGCCAATTCCATTCCAAATTGTCAGATCCTCACCTTGACCAAAAGTCTCAAGTACACATCCTGAGACTTGGGAGCCTCTCTGTGTCCAGACTTGACGTGGTGTCTCTTGATATCAATACCCTATTGGAGAAAAATAATAGGCGGTTAGTAAAAAGGCCTGGTGGTAATTCAAACATGTTACATTTTCGGATGTTGCGACATTGGTTCCGACATCGTGTTCGTGCCTATTATCTCGCAGAATTTGGATTGCAAAACGTTTTTCTAGTATTCGTTACTCGGTTGGATAGTTGTAGGTGGATGGATGTATGTGGATTTGGATGGATTCCTCTTTTGAAGATGGATGGATAGATGGATGGATAAAGTGCCCAATTTCGATGTTGCGATACCAATTTTGTTGGATTCATGGAGTAGTTGGATGGATTGATGCCATGTACTGTAGATGGTGTCGTTTATCATAATGGGACTATAACTCTCGTTGATCACTCACCATAGCTGATAGTCAAAGTGAAAGAAGGAATCAGTAAATTTCGACTGGGCCTGTGGTAAAAGCAAGCGACCGCCTCCAAATTTGGTTAGCAGTCACACTGGTTGAAAAATCCTGGAGGCACACTCAACTTGTTTGAGCTACGATCGGTTGATCTGTTGCCCTGTTTCTTTCACCTTTCTACAACTATGCCCGTAGTATTGTGATAGTAGATTGATGAAAAGCTCTCAATTAGCACGTAAGGTTCAAATAGTAGAAAATCGAGCTAGTCTATTGAGAATGTTGTCTATAACGTAACAAACCTACACATCTGCACTGAGGGTTATTGCTCGAGGGTTGTTTGAATTTGTAGTCGGCTGCGTCCATTCTGTGTGTTATTATAAACCCAATCATCTACTTCATAATCTACATTTCCAAAGTCAAAGATCTTCAAAATTGACCTTCCTTCACACTAGACATCTACTACACAACAACGTCCTTCCTTGCAACACGTTTTCCAAAGTTGCAAGCATTACATATTTATGATAAAAATTGAAGAGATATAATTACAAGTCGAAAGGTAATGAATTTTGTTGCCGCAACACTACGTTAAGCTATTTTTGAATGCTTGTCGTACCTTTTTCAAAAAGCGGAAGAAATCTCGAGATGAGTTGAGTTCATCCACAAGACGTTTGGCAGTTGACAACTCCGGATCACAGGCTTTCACTATTGAAGGTGAAACGCTTTAGCACATATTTCCTTTGTATAGAAATAGATATGGATTGTATTATCAACTTACGACTGTATTGTTTGCCTGCAATCTGGATCGTCACTAAAAATCGGCGATTCCAGTCATCTTCATCAATGTTGTGGAACTGAAAGGTGAGAACGTCCGCTATAAAAGATATCGTTATAATGATGAGAAAGGCAATTCAAAAGTTGCATACGAGCGTAAAATGAGAAAAAACCTTACTTGCGACACCAATGATCTTACATGCTAGCTTTTCCTCATAGCAAAGGAGTTCCGGGACATTCTTACGTTGCTGAACAGCATTTTCCTGTATCATAGCACTCTTAGCTGTACAGAGGGTTAGCGCTGATTCACAAAGTTCTCTTTCAGACGTCTCATCTGATTGTCTTGTTTGAGATACTGTACCTTGTCGCTTTTGCTCCAGCTCCCTCTTCAACTCCATAATTTGCTTTTCTAGCTCTTGCTTTCTAGCGAACTGTATATCGCGCTTTTCCTTGTATTCTTCAATATCTCTTGTGGCTTTCTGCAGTTCCTCCTTTTCCTTTCCCATTTCTAATAAGCTTGTCAACACAATTAATCTGAATCCAGCGCATCACTCCCGGTACTACTCACTGTCTGACAGCAGTTCAGCGTCTGTTTTGTACGTTTCAATCGTACTTTGCATCTTGACAAAGTTTTCTGCAATGAAAATTTAGACGATGCATAATCTTTTGTTGGCCCATGTTCTAATATTACCTCTGTCCTGTGCATTTTGGGCAATCCACTTGTTTCGGTTTGAAAGTATCGTTTCTTTTTCTCGCCGTATGTGGTCGTCAAAGTTTCGCATGAATGTAAACATCTTTCCCTTGACATCTTCTTGGGCAATATTGGTAGCCGGTGGTATCCATTGTGTGGTCGCTTCGGCCATTTCCAAAGTGTAAAGCAGTACCCAAGACGCGAACTGACAAAAAAATCTGGCCGCCGGACGTGAAATTATAAGCGACACCGAAAATCTCGCGTCTGAGCACATGATCAAAATGTTGTGACGTCACACAACTCATCTCGCCTTCCCTGCAAAACAAAATTTGCTACAGATAGTAACGCTCCTCATACAGTTACCAGCAAAGATTAACATGTTCGGTCTTCGCAAGTTCAGCACCCCCGTCCTTCGCCCCATGGCTCCTTTCTTCATTGGTACCGTTGCCATCATCTACCTCGTTGGAAAGGCACAGACCGCTATGATTGAGAGTAAGTAGCATCAACCAACCAAAACAAACACCTCGGGGTGTAGTAAAGTGTGTCTGTAGTAGAGTGCATCCGCAAGGTCTACTTTGCAAACGTGGACACACTGAACACCTAGATACAGTATCTACTGGAATTTAGTTGTGTTGCTACACCTTCTCGAATCTGACTCAAAGTGGCCTTTACTCACAATTATCACTTTCTTACAATTAGGCGACGATTACAAGAACGACCCTAGAAACCCTGCTCGTAAGTTGTATACCGACTGCCTACTTGTCAACGCTTCTACCAGATGTTAACATCGCTTTTTCCCATTTTACAGTTGCAAGCAAGAAGGCACATTAAATAGCTGGTGTCTAACATACTTAAGAACCAACCAAAAATCCCTTCTATCAATGCTTCAGTGTAGAAAATAAACAGCAATTATGCTTCAACTAGATTCCATTCAGGACTCACAACCTGGTGTACAGTGATGTCCACACTTCTATGGTGGGTTACGACATGTTGCTTTCGAAATCTGCAGCTGGCAAACTCATCCAAGTCAATAAGTGACATGCTGTATATGACAGCTACCATAGTTTAATGGATGTTTGGGGAATCGATTGTGGGCTATGCCATCTAGTGAGCGAATATGAGTTGTGACCATGTATTTTGAAGGCATAAGCGTCTGTAGCAGTAAGCTCTTCAGCATTTGGTTTATTGAAGGATGAACTATCAAGCCTCACAAGGAACCAGCCATCTCTGCAGGATACACAAAGCTAAAGTTAAAGTTGATTATTTCATTCCTAGTGAAGCACAGCGTCAAGCATCGATTTCGCATGCGTTGTCTCTTCATAATAATGCATTGATACAAAGGGTTGCTTCTGTACTAATTTTAACGACAGCGTACTATGGTTCGACACGTCTCTTAGTTCCGTAAATCTTATCATCATCCAAAGCGAAGCCGTAAAAGTGATCTGGGAAAGTAACTAATTTGCAAGACCCACGCCTTAGATAAAGTTCCAATATTTACTATGTCCAGGATACTACTTGCATACGTACCTACGACTCGCTTTAGCGGGGAATTGAGTTCATCCGAGACTCCTTTGGAGAGTAATAGTTGGGTATCATGAAATATAGACAAAGCAGCATCAGCTCTTCTTTGAGCCTCCTCTTTTGAGGAGCTTGCCTATAGATTTAAAAGTGGCGAATGTAAGTATTGATTCCTAGTGGAGACTTGAATTGTGTACATCTGCAGTGACATAATACTTGCATCTATGATCTTGCCGTCCACTGCTGAGGCGACGAAAGACGATTCGTAGTCTGGCGCTTTTGAAAGCGCTTGTATCTCTGAGCTCTGTAACGTTGCAAATCGGCATGATAAGGTATACTGTGTAATGCATTGACAGCGTCGAGGTAATTATAAACATACCATTATGGGCCAAAGTCGAACCACTGACTGTGAACAGCAATTTTTTTATAAAAGGTAAAATTTCACACAGTACAGTGACACCTATCATTTACGGTCTTTGTTCAACCTTTGCTAGGTCAATGACCTGACAACCACTGATACCTTCTTACTTCTTTTTGGTTCTTCCTCGAGTTGTTTTGCCCTTCTATACCTCAACGGTCGGAACCCAGTCTCTGAAACACTAGACTAGAATCCACAATTGCAAATTTTTGGGACTTTCGTCTGTATTGGTTTGTCGCTAAGGTATGCGCCAGTTTGCACCTGCCTTCGCGTCATCCTGTAATCGCAATCCATTGCCCAGCAAAATACTCACATTCAGTTAATGAAATCGATTTAATTAGACCTCAATTCTAAGGTATATCATATGTTGTTATGCACTATCTAAATTATGTTTGTTGTAAAGATATCACGTTTGCTATCATTTAAATACCGGCACCAGCATAGCCGGGAACCTTCTCAGAAAGAATCTTTTCGGTGAAGTCCCAGAGCTTCGTTTGGTTTTCTTGCGTTGCGGCATAGCCGGAGGGGGTAGAGGGTTCGGCAAAAGGCACGTAGTATTGGCCATGGATGTCCTTTGCTTCCACTTCAGGGCTAGTGGCAAGATACATTTGTGTGATGGCACCATCGTTGGCGTCAATGCTGAATTGGCGGATAATAGCATTCAGAACGGGGCCGTTGTGGCGAACAAGCTCGGTCCTGACAATACCAGGGTGGTTGCTGTTGACATAAAGGTTCTAAATTGTTGGATATCAGAATTAGAAATGGTATTATGAGAAATTATAACGGCATATGCAATCAATCAATCTTACCTTTACACCCTTCTTCTGCAATCTTTGATCCAATTCGCGTGTGAAGAGAACATTGCAAGTTTTGGTTCGGGCGTAAGCAACGCTAGGGCTATACTTGGATTTCTCATTCAGAGTATCAAGGGTGAAGCCGTGGAACAAGAGCATCTTATGTGCTGACGATGAGACGTTGACTATGCGGCTAGGTTGGCTTTGTTCCAAAATTGGGAGCAACTGTGTAGTGAGGTAAAAGTGTGCAAGCTATTTTTGAAGCCGTTAGATTTGCGCCTTTTGGTGGCCGATTTTCATGTGAACCTCTTTATCAATACATACATGGTTAGTGGCAAATTGTGATTCAATACCATCTTCTGAGAGAGCGAAAGGGCATGCCATGACACCGGCATTGTTCAAGAGAAGGTGGAGAGGAAGATTCTTGGCCTTGAACTCGCTAATGAATTTAGTGACTGAGGCTAGAGAAAGCAAGTCCAGCTGAATGAATTCGATCTTGTCGCTCTTGGTTTCTGCCTTGATCTCTTCAATAGTAGCCAGGGCCTTTGAAGGTGTACGAGAAGCAACAATGACATGAGCGTTCTTCTTAACTAGTTCCAATGCGCAGACTTTGCCAATCTGTTTCAATGTTTGTGGTAATCATCAGAGAGTGTGCAGAGCAACAGGAGAAGATCAAGTGAATACTCACGCCAGTGTTTCCTCCAGTGACAATGCAGACCTTTCCGGTCATGTCAGGAATCTGTTCGAGAGTGAAGTTTTTACCCATAGTGGTGGTTTTCGTGTATCAAATGGTGTAAGCAGCGATCCAAAGCTTTAACTTTGTACATTTTTAATACGATATTATTTGGAACGCCGACCGAAAATTTTCCTTCAGTTTTGATCGGATTCTGTATCTGAACACAAAGCTGACGCGGCCGGGTGCGGTAAAAGATAACTCCCCCCAATCCAAGAAGGCAGAAAGGGCAACGCAAGCTTCCCCCAGTGATTTACACGGCCGCGTACTGCACTTTCCTATAATTTCCAAATTTAACCTTGAGTAGACTCATTGAAAGTGACATGAAAAACGTTGTTGATATGCTGATGTTCTAACTTAATCTGCCAGCCAACCATCAAGTGTTCTACTCCTTTCAACGAATCTAACAGTGTAAAAAAAGCAAAATACATACAATTTATTAAATGGTTTAAAAAGGCAATAGAGTGGCAGCTTGTCTTCCAACCATCCATGATCCGTAACGAAGAGTGGATACGCCACCTGGAACATACGAACCGAAATACCTTTAAGTGCAAAACGGTTATACCTCTTGTCAATCGATATATATTTTCTGGAGATAGGTCACTTACCAGAGAAGCGCAATTATTTGAAGGACAGCCGCAATAATGGTCAAAATGTAGTTACGTGCCTGTAAACGATTACGGCATACATACTCATTTAGTCATAATATCATGCTAACGCAAGCGTACAGTTAAACTTACCCCCAATGAAAAGTAAAGCGTCAGCGCCATAGTACCAACGTAAGCGGCAGTAAATGGCAGTCTCTCCACAGACATCATATGCTTGACATGTGCCCATGGTCCTCGCAACAATGCCACGCTAAGTAACATCAAGATACTGCCCACTAAGAAAGCATACGTAGTTATAAGAATGGAAACAAAACCAACGTCTCAACGCTTCAAAAGATCTCACTTACAGGTAAACGTGGCAGCAAATTTTCCGGGGAAAAGGACCAGCACTGGCAAGAACAAGAAGAACGCCTAAACCGATCAACACCAATCAGTATCATTGATCCTTTCCTTCTGTTCATGTCCTATAGCATCGTCAACTTACCATGGCAAAGCAAGCTAATCCGAGGACAATACATAAAGCGCATGCTGTTAATCGCTACCATTCGGGAATGAGAGTCATTAGCCTTGGCAGGACTTGGCAGTTAAAAAGGTGAAAACCATGATAACCTACCTCCCACCTTGACATTTGGAACCATGGCTCATCGACTTCTTCCTGTGCATTGACTGGAACATATCCTTGCACTGTTCTGCGGGCATTGTCCATGGCATCGACCGCTCCGGATGTAAACGACGACCATCCTCGACTAAATGCATTTCCTCCGTCATTAGTATTTGTTGGTAGTTGTACTCCCCCTCCTCTAGAGTTTGAGTTAAAGCCTCGCAAGCTGTTGCGAAAATTGCTTTCTGCTGAGCTTGACATTTATGATTTGGCAAAGGACAAGTGGTGGTCTAAACGTCCTGAAAATTTCCAGAAATATAAAGGCAGAGCACATGGACACTTTAACAGCCACGTCGTTATGACCTTGCCTTGGCAGCTAATACAAATACCATGAATCAAGTCTTCTAAAGATTATTTGTTTTATTTGTACAGTAATGTCTTGTCAACATGATGTGAATGAAGAAGAGGTGCCAGTGATATTGGGTTTTCCAGACTTTTACCACATAGCTCTGCGCTTAACCCTATTATCGTGAATAAGCTTCTTTCGGTATCCAGTCTCAGTTACTGTCTCGCCTACTTGGGAGACACCAGCCTGCTTCTTGCCGGACACAATGGAGATGAAAAATTCTGAGCACCCAAAACGCTCAGCCAAGGCTTTTCGAGTCCATTGACTAGGGTTTTCTGCTCTCAGCTTTCTGATTTCCGCTATTTCAGATTCACCCAACTTCTTGCTGGCAGCTTGAGGCTTCTTGTGAAGTAATGGTGCGGCCTTTGAGCTTTCTGGAGTGGACAGGGCAAGACGAGTGATGAAAATGGTGCCGTCGGGAAGGACATTTTCGACAGTAGGTACTCGAGCCTTTGATGTCAAGTTGGTTGTCTTTGACTTTGTAGCATACTGTCGAATTTGGCTAGCAGAATGCCTAGACAATTGTGTGAATCGAAGCATTTTTTCTTTTGTTGATGTTGGAAAAATATCAAATCCGCTGTCACCAAACGAAAAAAAATACAGACAAGGCCGTGCACGTGACTTATTCATGTTCAACAAAATTTCTAAGAATTGAATCCACGCCTGAACCACTTCTTATCATCATGAGTAAACCCAGCGTACTAATAGCTGGCTGTGTTCATTTTGCATTAAAAGAGCTGGAAGCTCTTTCAAAGCTTCATACCGTTCATCATCTTCCTCAAGTTTCACGACCAGAGTTCTTTGAACTATGCAAATCCAAGTATCAAGGAGTGAAAACCATCTATCGAGAGTCAACGTCTGCCAAGTACATAGGTTCATTCGATGAAGAGCTTATACGCCACCTTCCACAAAGGTCAGTGAGTAAACCATTTTATGGTTCAAGGTTCAGAAGGTGACGATGCTGATATAGCTGGAGCCAGTGTCAAATTCATATGTAGCAACGCTGCCGGTTATGACAGTGTCGATATCAACGCTGCGGCTAAACGCGGAATCTACGTATCCAATACGCCAGGCGCTGTTGATACTGTAAGTTGCATCAAATAAGCGCTGAATAGATTCTCGACCACTGACGTTTTGTAATAGGCTACAGCCGATATAGCCATGATCTTGTTACTGAATGCTTGCAGGAACATTATTCAGTCGGAAAAAAACTTGAGAGAAGGTAATTTGTCTACAGATATATTGTAGTGGTTCCAGTGCTAAACTACGTGAGTTAATAGGTCGCTGGAACGCCGGTATATTTATGGGTACCAACCCAGAAGGCAAGAAATTAGGTATCCTAGGCATGGGCGGAATTGGAAAAGCAATTGCCCAACGAGCACACGGATTCGAAATGCAAATTCAATACCACAATCGATCTCGGCTTCCCGAAGAAGGTATTTCAATATCTGTTGTAGTGGAATGAACATCAAGCATTGAATCCTGACACATATTTTCATATTCTGAAATACGTTTTTTGCCCGTGATATAGTGGAAGAAAAGTATCATGCAACCTATGTTGACTTTGAAACGCTGCTTAAAACATCAGATATTATATCGGTGAGCGTACCATTGAGCAAGGAAACCACGCACTTGCTTGCGGCACGTGAGCTTGCAAAGTGCAAGGACGGGGTCATTATCGTGAACACAGCGCGAGGCAAAGTGATTGATGAAGCTGCGCTTGTCAAAGCTTTGGAAAGTGGAAAAGTCTCTGCTGTTGGGCTAGATGTATTTGAAGAGGTGAGTGCTAAAACGATTTGCCGCGTGTAAAGGCTTATATACATCTCACACATTAAAATTATTTTCAGGAACCTAAAATTCACCCAGGATTACTCACGCATCCAAGAGCAACCCTCCTCCCTCATGTTGGCACCAACACGCTCGAAACTGAGTTAATGATGGAACAACTCACATTGAAAAATACTGAAGCATCACTTACTACTGATAAGCTTCTTACGCCTATTCCTGAACACAAGCAATATTTCACATCTTAGATCGCTTGAGTTTAATCTTTTCTTATTCAAATTATTTTGCATGAGATAATACAAGCGAACATTGTGCTATTTGCGAACAAAACCGGATAGTGGGTTAATGGAGAATAATCACCCATTGTAGTCTTGAGACAGAACTTGACGTGCAAGCATGGGATAATACCATGCCTCCGTGGGATTTAGCACGCTACACAATGAGCTTTATGGTAAAGCGGTCTTACATCACCAGCTGAACTGAATTAAGTAAAGTTGGGATCAACTTGTTGATGTAAGAGAGTGGCGTTTGGCTGATGAAATGGCCGATTCATGAATACCAACATCAACTGTTCTATGACCTTTTGCTAGTGATTTGACCGTCTTGCCTTTGGTTCACATGAAATAGTAACTAGGTATGATGCGTTGGGGGAGAACCATCGACCGTAGACTATTTCAGTGTATCAACTTCTCCACAAAAAAGGGCTTTCACATGATAATATAGACCCCAAACTGACAATGGGAGCCATGCTTCAGGAATAGTCAGCTTGTTTTGACGCAAAAGGAAATGCAACGATTGGGAAGAACGATTGGCTCTAACCCCAGCGGATAATGAACTTCGTCCCCAAATTTTAAGTCACAAAATATAAAAGTAGCGATATTTCAAAAGTAGTGTACATACTTCTTTCAACTCTTACGACATGTCCAACGAAGAAATTGTAACTCCCGGATTCCAATCCTCTGAGCTTCTTGCTAACCTTAAGGATGCTCTTCAAAACGGTCTCTCCGCCGAAGAGAAGGCCAAGCTCTTGAAGCAGGTACAGTGTTTGAATCTGGACAGTGCTGGCCATGATACCTCCAACTAACACATCCTTTGTCTTAGGTCAATGGCGTTTTTGAATTCGTTATTAAGAATTCCGATGGAAAGGAGCAGATTTTCACCATTGATTTGAGAAAGGATGGCGAAGGTGAACTCTACAAGGGCAAGGGCAAGGCTAAGCCCAGTGTTAGCATTACCATCAAGGACAACGACTTTATTGACCTTGCTTCTGGCAAGCTCAATGGTAAGTGCATATGTTTGGTAGCCAATAGCATTCGGGCAGTGACTGACATTCCATTTACATCTAGGTCAAAAGGCTTACATGACTGGCAAGCTTAAGGCTAGAGGCCAACTGATGCTGGCTATGAAGTTGGATTCTGTGTTCAAGCAGGTCATTGATACCCAGGTCAACAAGGCCAAGCTGTAAACGCACATTTAGGTTGTTGATGAAAAATTGTACAGTTTTTTCTGGTGTAGCTGAGCAGAGCTCAATAATAAAGCTTTTCCAAATTCTATCGTAGCGCATTGTCTGGTTAGTTTGACGTAGAAGGCAGTGAGTGTGTGGGAAGTAACTGTGCACTTTGGGGGTACCTGACGTAGTGGTGGATCATTAGGGTGAGCTTGAGTGTTACTAGTGCGGCGATGGTTCATAGAGATGCTAGAAAACGCAAACATGGATGATAAGTATTTTATTCACATAGTATGTCGTGTTTGGCATGTAAAGCAGTGTCTTCAGTTCTTCTTTTGAAGTCTTTTGTTTCCAGCATAAACCCCAAGCGCAGAGCCTATGAACTCAAAAAATTCAGGGACCGAAATGCTAAAGATTTTTTTTTTTTCGTAACCTTCGAGTTGAGTAACCCCTTTCTAATTCCCTCCCTCCCCCCTTTAGTGGATCGAGTCAGCGTCGGATTCCATGGACCCCAACTCAGTATATCAGCTCTTTGTTGCCACCTACCATCCCGATCCAAATGTTCATAAGCAAGCCGAATTGACTATACGAAATGTAAGCCTTGATTCTCCTTTGCCGTTGTTGGCAATCTGACATTTCTGTGACACGCGTTTTTGCTTTTTCCAGATTGATGGCCAAAACGGTTTTCTGACCACTGTTCTACATATCCTTTCGAACCAAGAGACTGAACTTGGAGCACGTCAAGCAGGTGAGTTTCAAAACATATACGATTGAACTCAGAAATAGTGCGGGGACGGTCAGGTTTCAGTCTATGTACGCATTGGGCCCACCCGTGGAGCTCAAAGGCACTGACCCTACCCTTTTGTTGTTCTCGCAGCTGCCATTTACTTCAAAAACAGAATAAGTAAAGCATGGGACACTTCCAGGATATCCCCTTCGGTGTCTCCGATTGATCCGGCAGAGCGAGTGGTCATCAAGGAGCAACTGCTGAACGTTATGACCAAGGTCCCGCAAGCTGTCAAGTAAGATACGGTGTATAAACCCTTCATATCATGCTTACAAATTCTAACTTGTGCTTAACAGAGTACAACTCACTGCGTCGCTCAATACCATCTTGACATCTGATTTTCCCGGCCAATGGCCTGATCTGGTTCATCAGCTACAAGCATCGTTAACTTCACAAGATGCCGATACCGTTTATGTCGGGCTATTAGCATTAAGGGAGGTGGTGAAAATATACCAGTAAGTGTGACTGTAGACATCTATTTGTGATGACAGTTATATGAGGACCCAGTAATGAATAATTCCCTATCAGGTGGAAATCTGTTGATGGCCGAGAGCCGTTGCAGCAGGCTGTGAAGCTCCTGTTTCCAACTGTACAAACTACAGTTTCCAATCTTGTGAATCAACAAAGCGAAGAGGCAGCTGAGATGTTGAAACTAGCTCTCAAGTCATATTACGGTGCTATTCAGGCAAGTTTTGTTTTGTTTTGTGCGAGCCTCCTCCAACATAGCATCACAAGGCTAACAATGATGCTCCGTCCTTTAGTCGGATTTTCCTAAAACGTTACAAGACCCAGCCTCCCTGGTAGCATGGGGTACTTTGTTTTTACAACTGGTAGACAAGAAGGTTGAGAATGAGATGACCATATCCGAAGACGAGAGAGAGAGGATGTTGTGGTGGAAGGCTAAAAAGTGGGCGTACCATTGCTTGAACCGAATTTTCACTCGCTATGGTAACCCAACACTGCTCCCAGGGAGCAACACAAAATACATGGGGTTCGCCAAGCACTTTGTTGCAAACTTTGCCCCAGATATCTTGCATGCCTACCTCAAGCAAGTGGATACTTGGGTCAAAAAGGAGGTTTGGCTATCGAGCAAATGCATGGCTTTGATTGCTGCTTTTCTTACCGATTGGTAAGTTGAAATTTTGCGTCTTTCATGGCCACGGTGCGTTGATGAGCGTGTATTCTCTAACACCAATTCTGTTTGGTTCCAGCATAAAAAACAAAACCATGTGGCAATTGGTCAAACCGCACAGCGAATCGCTGATAGCCTACTTCATCTTCCCTCAAATGTGCTTTTCAGATTCGGACGCTGAACTGTGGTCAGAAGACCCTGTAGAGTTCGTTCACAAGAAAATAGGTTAGCCAATACCACCAGTTTTATCACACTGCACCACTATAGCATATTCACGAACATGCTCCCCTTAGATCCCCTTGAAGATTTCCACTCAGCACAGATGCATGCCAGTAATCTGCTGATAGATATGGCAAGGCACAGACGAAAGCAGACCTTCATGACAATCTTGACCTTTACCAATGAACTCTTGACCAAATATTTAACAACTGCTCCCGAGCTTCGCAACGGAAAGGAAAAGGATGGCGCTTTGAACATTGTCGGTTGTCTTTCAAATGAAATTTTGTCAAAGGTATGGCCCGGGACATTGAAAAAAAAAAAAATTGGTACACTACCACGTCTCTTATCAGGTATCTCTTTAGCAAACGGTCGCATCCATGATGGAGCCTTTCTTTGTCGCACACGTATTTCCCGAGTTCAACAGTCCATTCCCATTCTTAAGAGCCAGAGTGAGTGCCTTCTTTACTACCACTATATGTACTCAATGTCCACTGATCGATTTGTCTACACAGGCTTGCAGTATTACTCGTCAGTTTAGCGATTTCGACTTTGCTAGTGAAGAAGTAAGTGAAGTTATGACCGCACATGCATGAAACAAAAACCTAATGTTATCTATCATTCAGAATTTATCCATCTTGTACAATAGCCTACTTGGTTGTTTGAAGGATAATGAGCTTCCTGTCAAAGTGCATGCTGCATTAGCGCTTCAGCCAATGATCAGACATGAAATTGGTAAGTTGAAGGTGGATCAAGTCATGGTCCGGTACGGTACTAATACATTCAACGCTTAGTACGAGACGCCATGGTACCAAACTTGCCTTTCATCATGCAAGGTATGTACATTATGCTTACGCTAGACATGTTCATATACATGGTACTTACCTGCGCATGGCATTAGAACTTCTGAACTTGACAAACGAGATTGACGCGGACGTGCTTGCTAATGTGATGGAGGAATTCGTTGAAATTTTTGCTGAACAATTGGTGCCTTTTGCCGTTCAGCTCTGTACCCAGTTGGTATGTGAAAGAGTACACTTTCAAAAAGTTCCGCTCGTGATCCATTTCTGATTCATTGTCACATATAGAGAGATACGTTCTTGCGCATCATGGAGGATGTTTCGCAAGCACAAAAGGATATCACCGAGGAAGACGTATTGTCTGGATCAATCAATACAGACGGCGTAGCTGACAAGATCATGGCTGCTATGGGTGTGCTCAAGACTATTGGTACCCTTATTCTCAGTCTTCAAAGTACTCCCGAAATGCTCAGTCAATTGGAAACAGTGCTACAGCCTGTCATCTCCTATACTCTTGAAAATTCTATCATCGGTAAAACAAAATCTTGCTATTCGCATCCTTGCCAGACATTTTGTAACCCACCATCCATCTTGACTGCCCTTTCTGCAAACAGATTTATATGACGAGATATTTGAGATCATCGATTCTTGCACATTTTCAGCAAAGACCATTAGTGAACCAATGTGGAATGTACTCGGCCTTATTTACAAGGCTTTCAAGACCTCGGCTGTTGACTTTATGGATGGTAAGTACCCAATATCATGCGCAAAGCGACGATAGTAATGCAATTGGACTAATGACCTTGTTTCAAGAAATGCTTCCGTGCCTTGATAATTATATTTCATACGGCCATCAAGTCATTTGCTCAAGCCAAGAGCATCAAGCCATGATGTATGACATTATTGAAACGGTAAGAGCTCAACTTTTTGACGACAACATCCCCATGCAATTATGTTAAACCTCTCACTTTCATAGGTCATGAACAGCGATCGCTTGGGCGAGAGTGATCGGGTGTGCGCGTGCAAACTCATTGAATCTATGCTACTCAACTGTCGCGGCCACATCGACTCCTACATCCCACCGTTCCTAAACCTTGCTTTCCAATTCATATTTGCCAATTCCATGAAGACGGTCGAATTCCGCGTGCACTGCCTCGAAGTGGTCATCAACAGTCTCCACTACAATCCGGCACTTACCATTCGACTCCTAGAAGAGAACCAATGGATTAAAGGATTCTTTAGTCTTTGGTTCCAGACTGTACCAAAATTCTCCAGGTACGTGGCCATTTCATACGTTCAGGTTGTTTTAATGTGAAATAGGGTTCCTGATGGTGGATTTGTAGAGTACATGACAAGAAGCTGATCGTAGTATCACTTTGTGCGATATTGGACATGCCATTTGACCAAGTACCCACTTCTCTCCGAGATGGATGGCCCAGTATGTTGGATGCTATCATCACTGCATTCCAAACGCTTCCTAAAGCTATTCAAAGTAAGCTCGCTGGTCTACGTACCATGGCTGTAGGATGTGTACATTGACCAAAATTATTATAGATCGAGAAGAGATGGAGCGCTATTACACTGGAGATATTCCTGACGATGAGGCTTCGGAAGCCACGGCGGATACCACAGATGAAAATAGCACCGACAACGGCGAGGATGACAGTAAGTGTACCGCATATGAGCAAGTGGCATGAATCTCCTTAGGCTAATAGACTTGGGATGTAGATGAAGACGACGATGTGGAGGATGAGGATGCCGAGTACCTTGAGTTCCTTGCCCAGCAAGCCAATGGGGCTGCAAGTCAGGCGACGGATGACGAGGAGGAGGAAGAAGAGATTGGAGAAGAGATTTTGTTTGAGTCTCCCCTTGACAATGTCGATCCATATATCACCTTTGCACATGCATTCAAAAGTAAGCAGTTTGCACGACTCCACCGCGGTGTCTTACATTTTTCCCTCAAGTGCTAATCACCCACTGTCCAACCTCTTGAACCAGATTTACAGCAAACCCAAGCACAGTCATACACTCTATTGACATCCAGTCTCAACATTGAGCAGCAGCAGCAATTGATGGATATTCTATCCACTGCAGGTGAGTGTCAAAATTGTTATCGTTGCCAGCCAGCACACCTATAGGCTAATGTATATCTTGTAGAACAACATGGACAAGCACAACAATTGGCATAAAATCCACAATATAAATCATTCCAAATATAAACTCATAAACAAGCCTACGCAACCTACTTTAACTAATTCGTTGATTTTATATATATGTGTTCTGGATTCAAGCCAGGTCTACCAGAACACCTACGTTGGTAGGCACTACGTGGTGTGCCAAAAAAATTTTTGCACAATGCAATAAGAACAAAAGGGAATCTTTGATTAAAAGAGGAAGAAGACCAAAAAAAAAATGAGACACAGAAGGGTTGACAGAAGAAGATGTAGGTGACGAGGATTGAGATTTGGGATGCTCTCTTTTGTTTTTATGGTGGATTGCGTTGGGTGATCAAAAAAGATTTTAGCGCGTGAATGGGGAGGTGTATAAAGAAGGGACGAGGGTATACGATGTCAGGATGAGAGGTGTATATGACTGGGCGAGCGAGTTTCAGTGGATTCATACACTGCGTACAGGCAATCGATCGTCTGGTTGGTGGTTATGTCGACCTTGTTCTGAGTGGGTGTGGCTCTTTTGAGGACCAAATCGAGTTTGAAATTTTACCAGTTCGCAAGCCAGCCTATCCATGATTTCAAGTGCTGTGGCATGTTCTGGTGCTGGAATGCAACACTTTTCCTCTTCCTCTCCTTTCGTCGATTTACCGTCATCTTCATTGAGTGGTATAGTTGATGCACTGCTGAGCGATGAAGCCATGGAACTAATGGACAAGGATCGCTGCAACACTATGGCTGGCGCGTTACCAGACGCTACCTCTAGTTCACCCACCAGTTTGTTGTTACCATTGATATTTCCGTTACTACAATTCTCCGTCAAGGGTTTAGATATCAACACTGGATCAATTTGTGCATGCGCATCTTGTCGATGATACCCAGAGCGTTGCTTCTTGGTCATTGTCAGTTGCATACGGTTGATGTATCTCAGAATTTGAGACGCACGTTTATCCATGTCGCCAAGGGACATCTTATTGGATGGGTAGCGTATCTTTGTTGGAGGTGTTTTGGCACGCATGCGAGGGCTTTCGGTATCAGAAAGACGTTCTTCATAAGGCGATAGAGGAGCACGAATCTTTGTGTCCATATCTTCCTTATGTGTGATTAACGGACTATGTTTGCTAGGAACATGTCGGTCAAGATTGGGAGAAAGTGGGCTTGCAGCTACTGCTTTCCCTCGCCGCCGAGGTTCATTGCTGAGCTTCTTGGTGCGACTGTTAGCTGCCGCAGCCCCCCGTCGTCTAGTAATGGTATGTCCGTTTTGCGCTTCATTCTCCTGTTCATCTTCGCCTTCCATATCTTGTACCTCTCCTGCTTCACTTGATTTTTGCCTTATGTCGAGATTACCTCCTCTTCGTCTGGTATTGATGCCATCCGGTAATTCCTTGAATGCTATTTGAGGGCTTGCGCTGGCACGCAATTTTGCAGATCTATCTGATACCGTTCGACGCTTGGTTCCACGACCGTTTGTCTTGTTTTCTTGATCCACGTTTTGCTTGAGCGCGGTTGGAGAAGTCGACCGCGATGGCTTCACCAAAAGGTCCCGTTTAGTGGCTTGAGCTGATCGAGAGGTATCGCTGGTACTGGTGGTGCTTCGTCGGCGCTTTGAGAACCTAGGGCCAATGGTATCATCAATGTCTAAGGTAGTGCTGGTGCTGTTAGTAGCAGCTGTGGTGGCTGTTATGGTATCCGAAGTCATGGAAGGGCTAATAGATTCAGGTGGATGGCCGTTATTATCTGACGCGAGTATTTGGTAAAGTTCGGGAATAGAGTCTGTTGCATCAGCACTATTCATCGTGGTTCTCTTCTTATGCGCTCTTTGACTTTGTTGTATAAGACCTTTGGGATCATATACTCGACGGTACCTGAAGATAGCATTGCATAGCAAAAGAGGGGGAGGAAGAAAAAAAAAAATTACACACGCACAAAAAAAAATTAGTAACTTCAATAGAGCCCTAGACAGCCCAAATCGCCAACGAATAACTCACCTTCCATATGAATCTACCATAACGTGATTTTCAGGCTTGCATTCTTCACAATAGTACTGATCGGGCATTTCGTCTTCAGAGATACCTTCCAGACCTACGCAGGGGCAGTGCTGCCATACGTTGCAATTATCACACTGCACCATCATTCCATCATTATCTACAACAAGAGAGGCTCATTTTTATTAGTGCTTTTGAAACAATACGCTGGACAAGTGGAAAAGAGCTTACGGATTTTGTGGCAAATGCATCGAGTTACTGAATTTTCGTCAGAACTATCGTCATCGGAGGACACCGACGGCAATCTTTGAAGTTTTTGTTGGTTTCTTCCGGCTCTTGCTCGCCTTGGTCTATCTGCAGCTAAGAGCAACACCAGTGAGTGAATCATTCCAAGCGAAGGGTACTCGCGAACAAAGCATTGACGCCCATTCGCATAACAAGTAGAAAGAGATTTCCCGAGAAAAAAAAAAAGGAAGAGGGTGCCAGGAAAGAGATGAGAGTCTGACTTACTCATATCAAGTTATTGTATTGTTCGATCAACGTAGCGTATTCTGAGGTTCGGTATGGATGTTCTGCGCCTTGCGTTAGACTTTAAACGCTGTTCTCTGAGCGTGAGCTGAGGAGAGAGAAAAGGCGAAGGCAATGAGGAAGGTTTAGAGAATTTGAACGGCGACAAAAAGAAGCAGTCATGCAACCAATGAGTTTGATTCTTCATTCATTATTTCAAGCAGCAATATAATGTATTTCATAACAGGCGAAAAAATATGTAAGGTAGAATTGAGTACATAGATACGGCGGCAGATCTTTACAAATAACGCACACAAGTATTCTATTGATACTAAAGTTATACACAAGAAAGACTAAAAATCTTTAACATAGCGGTAGACACGTTCTCTGTCCATTGCGCCGTTTTTACCACTTCATCAAGGACTAAATACAAGCCTGATTTGGATCTCACCACTACCAGGTGGAGATATAGGGAACCATTGCTCTGTCTCAGCAGACTGACCAGGTTGAACCTTTAGTATATCCCATAAGTTAGCATGGAAGCTACCGAGAGCAATAGAGGATGACAAGGTGTTATGGTCCTTAACATCCAGCTCAAGTCCAACTGGAGCTTCTGTCACCTTGAATTTGAAAGTCTCATTCCTAGCGCAAAAAAAAAAAAAAGTCAGAACAAGATGATCATTTCTTAAAGCGCTTCCCTATTTACATACCATTGTGGGTCCAGTGACTTTTTAATGTGCTTCGTTTTGCTGTGGTCTTTACCAACTTTGAGTCGAACAAAAGGATCGCTAGTACCACTTTTGTCTACTCCCTTTAGGCCTCTTGCAGATATAACATGAACCTCAACGATGCCATTTGCTCCAGTGGTTTCTGTTAGTTCACCTGTAGCCATAAGAAATGAAAAAGGCATAAGCGACAGGGTTATTAAAAACAAAGAGGCGAACATTAGGTTTGAAAAAACAAAAATTACAACGGGTAATTTTTGTTGGCTTTCCGTATTCCGTCTTGTTCGCTCTCTTTACGCCAAACAAAGCTCTTACCTCTAGCCGTGGGATCCATAGAGTTTCGCTTGTTTTGTCCATTTATAGTGGAAGTAGAAGACGATTGACTATTGGGAATGACTCCACTTTCTGGCACCAGCATATTGCCGGATTGATTTCCATCAGTAGCGTCAGTCTTGACATCTTGTTTGCTTGACTTTCGTCCAATGTGGAAAACAGAATTGAGACCACCTCCAATAGCTTTTCCTCCGCCTCCAACCACTTTGGAGCCAACGCTCAGACCACCTCCAATGACCTTAGTACCAGCTTGAAGTCCACCTCCAACTACTTTACCTCCCAACTGGAGACCTTCACCAGCGATGGCAGCACCACCTCCAATAACAGCCATACCCGCACCAACAGTAGCGCCAGCCGTACCGGTTAATACCTTGGCTCCACTAGATAGAATGGATGTATGCTGCTTTTTGCGAGCGAGGAGTTGAGGTTGCCACAGTATTCTAATCTTGACACTGCCGGTAACCCCCTTAACCCCTTCAAGCGGCAAGTCAATTTCCTGCGCGGTAAAACTTTCTAGCCTGGATAACGAGATACCGGTTGAACCTGTAAGGGGGAGGAAATGCATGGGTAATTAGCAAACTAAGACCATCATAGATAGAAACCCGCTAATAAAAACGAGACCGTACCGAGTGGCATGCCTGATCCAACTTGGTTCCAATCAAAGACTTCCAATCGGAAACTGGACGCAAATCGTGAGAGCTGTAAGGAAAATTCATGTCAAGTTTGGAAAGTTCAATGGGTGGGGTTAAATACAGAAAATTAACAAAATTCCAAACAGATGTCAGAGGATTACTTACAACAGGAGCTGTAAAACTTTCGTTCTTCCACTTTGGATTTAGATTCTTCTTGATGGTTGCGCTCTTATACACCTTATTGCCGTCAATGGAAAAGACAACATAAGGATCACTCTTGCCTGCAAATACAAAAGGCATATTCATTAGCGCGCTGCATGATGCAAGTAACATAATTGCTTCTGTTATTTCATACCTGACTTGTCGGCAGCCATCAAAGACTGGGCACTGATGAGAGTAACAGTCAGGTTGCCTTGGTCTGCAGTAAATACAAGTGATTAATTAGCTATTCGATGGCAGAAATCATAACAAGTCTTTACTTACTCTCCAAGCTTTCCTTTGGATCCAAAGTGAAGTCGAGGACGGGCGAGAACTTAAAGCTAAGTCGAATCTTGCCAGTTGTATTGTCTCCACCAAATAGCGAAAACCATTCACCGTCATCTACAGTACTAGTGCCTTTGCCTTCGTCGCGCAAGGTACGGTTTCTCCATTGAATTTTTCGAATAATGTCATTGGCTTGGCCAACCCAATAAGCCATGACATCGTCGTCTTTCTCGTCAGCGTTACCTGGCTTGATCTGAATAGCGACTTTGCTAAAGTCGGACTCTTTTACGAATGCATCGGTGGTTTCATTGAACTCCAAGCTGCGACCACGAAGTTTGGTGGTACGGTATTGAGATTGGATAGAATCAATCAGCACCTCAGCATAAGCAAATGTTGGCTTATCGAATGATATTTCATGGATTTTAACCGTCAAGACACCAGACTCGTAGGATCGCAAATCGACGATATCGTCCGGTGTATACTTGATGTATGTGCCATGCAAATCTTTTTCTGGGCATTCAGCATCAATCTCTGCAATCATCTTGTCTGTCTCAGCTTGTACATCGGATAATTCGCCACGGGTTTCTGCCTCTTCTGCTTTGGCTTCAGCCTTTTCTTTGACAGCATTTTCTTTGTCTTTGATGCTAGCATCCTTAGCTAGAGCAAGCGTTGGGTAGAATTCAGCTTCATATTTGATTTCTCCCTTCACCTGAGTGCGGTCGAGAGACTTCAATGGAGCCCATCTAATCAAATAGAGAGAATAAGAGTTCAATATTATTACACATGGTAGAGGCGAGCGGAACAGTATAAGTTATTCACTTACTTGTCAATTTTGGCTCCAGTAGATTCATACCACTTTTGAAGAGTGTCGCCTTCTCCTTCAGCACACATCTTAACCAATTCTTTGACGCTAAGATCTGTCATACCGAGAGATTTGTCCTTGCTATTTGCATTCCAATCCATAACCTCGAGAGTAAGATCTTCCTTATCAGAATGGATGGGTACGTAAACAACGGCTCCCCATTCTGGGTTCAGGTTGTTATCGACGACTTCAGTACATGCACGAATTTGAACACCAGACTTGATTCGCACATATGGATCAGACTTTCCACCACCAACAGATTCAACGTTCTTCAGGTCTCTAGCTTCCCAGAGTAAAAGTCGCACAATACCAATAGGCGGTGCTAAAGCGAAATGAAGGTTAGTTGATGACGAGGTGTATCATTTACACGCAGCTCTTAAAAAGGAAAACATACAGTAATAGCCATGGCCACCGAGACTTTCAGCTAAGCCAGTCATAACCACCGGTTTCCATTCGGCACTAATGCGCAGACGGCCACAATTTTTGCCATTGCGAGTCAGATCCCACCATCCTTCATTCTTCTCAATTTTGTCAAAGATACTCAATAAACTTGCGGACCATGAACCAAGTTCAACATCGGATGAAAAGCTCGTTGCGTCTTGGATTTGTACGCGCATTTGTACCTCAGTCTTATCAATGACCAGTACCTCAACAACCTTCTCAAACTTGGGATTGGCGTTCCTCTTCAATGGCTTACTCTTGATCTTTTCTGTTCCATTGACGAGCACACGAGCATACGGACTAGGTTTACCGGATAAACCTTTGACTTCGTGTATGGTAAATCGCAAGATACCGGAATCTGTTATGATGGCACTGTCAGGATAGAAACGTCATGGCTAATTGTAATATATTAAACAACTTACTTGATTCAACAGCTGGGATGATAGATCCATCGTCTTGTTTGGTTGGCTTAGACACTGGAAGGTATCTAAGATCGACTTTGAGTTCACTCATAGGTTTACCATGACGAAGCACTTGTAAATTGCTACGTGAAGGAAATTAACAATTTCGTAAGTAAGATAAATTTGGTCTCTTTGGCCTCCAGCCAGCACTTTGTTGATACTTACGCTCCTTCGTCCGAGGCGTCTTCAGAATCTGCGAGTTTCTGGAGCGCATAAACTACGGATCCAAAGTCGCGATCCCGAGTAGTATTGTTCTTTCCACAGAGGTCCATAGATAGACTATCATTTAAGTTATTGAGGAGCAAGAAGTGTGTTTCATTCCAGTTTGGTTCGTCAGTGTTATTCAAAACACTGGTGCGACCTAGGTCTGGGCCGCGATTGATACGGAAACGAACATATGGGTCAATGGAACCTCCTCCAAACAAATCGCCGGACTTGATCTTGGAGGCAGAATACACGGTGACGGCCAAGACACCATTCGCAGAAGTCATGTCCATATCGCCAGACATCAGTTTTTCAACATCCAAAGTGAAGACATTAGGATAGTACATCATGGGACCCAAATTAGAGTGGACTTGATCGCGAATGAAGCCTTGTAGACCAGGAATCTAATGTTTTGCAAAGGTTGAGTTTGTATCAGCCGACGATGTAGCATGTCTCTGAAAAAAGTAGACTAGCCTGCTTACATTGTTAATATCAAATCCAAATGTTTCTCCTCCTACAGGTTTGAGCACATAGTCGAATTCAGGTTTTTCCATAAAGCAAAGTTCAACGCGTTTAGCATGTGGAAACTTGCTCATTAGTTTGACTTTAACACGCATGTAGCCTTTGAAGCTGATATCCTCCACTAGGACAGGCATACCAGCTCCTAGCATACCCTTTCCGACGCGTATAGTCAGGATAATTTTAGGGTTGACCTTTGTTTCTTGTTCTCTTGGTGTCATATCATAAACATCAGTTGGCGTGAACGAAACCTTCCAATCCATAGTCTGAAACGAATAAATCGGTGAGGTCGGGTTAAAGCAAAAGGGCAAGCGAATTTTCAAGGTTTTGTACCACAATGTCTGACTGAGTGTTACGATATGTTTTGACAGCATCAATGCGGGGAGGCTTGGTGCCAAGAGTAAACGTAGTGAGCCGCAAAGAATCCAAGAAAGCAGGGCAGTTATCTGCCAAGACAGTGTCCACTTGTTCAATGACTTGTGCACAAAGCACAGGTTCAAAGATAAGCCAGAATTTCTCTGCAAAAAAGCTGTGTGTGAATAATCTAGAAGAGGGTCACTTGCGCTTTGCTCCGGATGAGGTTTTACCGAGAAAAGTGTTTAACCAGTCCATGGATTCAAAACCAGCCGCCATATCATTCTTAATAAGTTCTCGCTGTATATCATCACGCACATTGCGTCTAAAACGTCGAACACTTGTTTGGTAGTAGGTTCCTATGTGCAACGTGATAAAAGGGTTAGCGAAACAAGCAAGGAGGGAGAAGGTAACAGAGTGTAACATACCAAGAAAAGCACAAACAACCAGGACGGTGGCCAGTCCGGCTCCCATTTTCATCAGAAGCCAAGTAAAGAACCCTGTAAAAAGAAGCACTCCGGCATTTTGCCACCATTCACCATACCAGCCTTCCTTCAACTGGTCACCAAAAGCATCTTCAGGCTTCTCTGCGGCTCGGAGTTCAATAGAACCACCAGGATTTTGCAGATTGGAAAATGCAGTCCACCCTGAGCGGTAGTAATTGGGAATTTTCGTAAAGGCACCAGGTTCCGACTTGGCTTGCTGTTTAACACCTGTTGTTGTAACATCTGCGGTAGGTTTTTTTTCTGCACTGGCCGCGGTGAGGCGAATTTCTTCAGCATCCAGTGTACCAACGTCCGTAGCCATGGCGCCAGGCTGTTGTTGAGATTCCTTCTGAGGTGGGAGTACTCCTGCTGGTATTTGTTTTTCAATTTGCTCCCTCTTTTGCTGTGGTGTCATATTTTCGTCGAAAGTATGAACGTTAGCTGCACCAGACGTGTTTTCGACATACTTCTGTGCTTGTTTCTGAGCTTCACCTGCCTTTGATTGGGCATCAGGCGGCAGTTCGGTTTGCGAATTCATAGAGTCTCCCAAACGCTGAAACAAGAGATGAAGAAAGGGAAAGAAGAGACAAATAGTTCACTCTGCGACCACTGCCAGTATTTTTAATTGTCTTAGGGCGGAAATTTGCATAACAAAATTAACATATAAAAAAATCTCCCCCCAAATAAACGCCTTGAGATGAATTCTCCCTCAGCTGCCCTAACCCATCACCCGCCGGAGCTCAGCTGCCCTGCTTTAACAGAAGCCTGCCTAGCTGTCAGTGCAACCTCTGTCAAACCCGACATCATTACCATGACTCCACATGCATTCAGCAACATTAAATTGGTAGCTTCGGATCTCGATGGAACTCTTTTGGTTCATTCCGACGTTACTGCTCAAGCAGGAGGTGCCCCAACAAAACGAGCATTAGACGTCCTTCATAAGTTGGCTAAACAAGGTGTTCGAGTTCTGCTGGCTTCAGGACGACCTCCTCGGACCATGCAATGTGCTGTTGACCAGATGGGCTTGGATAATATTCTTACCATTTGCTGTAACGGTGGACTTGTCTATGACTCGTTTTCTAAGACCATCGCTAAGAAATATTCTATTCCCAACCAGCATGTCAAATTAATTATCAATACTCTCCTTCAAGATATCGGCCCCAGCGTCTGCCTCGGAGCAGAAAGTGGCCTTCATTTTGTTTGTGACAAAAACTATGAAGTGAACAGACGAGATTTCCTAGACCACGATTACATTCTACGTGACCCCACTGAGTTTATTAAGGACGAAGAAGATACGATCGAGAAACTCGTAGTCATTCAGCCCGGTGTCATGGCCGAGACTCTTAACCAACGACTTCTTGAACTGTTTGGAGGAGACGAGTGGAAAGATATTGTCAACATCACCTTCAGCAACCCTCACTCCATTGAGATCTCGGCTGCCGGGGTGTCAAAAGGTTCAGCTCTCAAGGATCTTTGCAAGGACCTTGGATACGAACCTGCGCACGTTATAGCTTTTGGTGATATGCCGAACGATAGCGAAATGCTTATTTGGGCTGGTCAGCTGACATTTTCCTTCTGTATATGTTCAATTATGCCGGTTCGATGAACTCTAATACCTCGTGTTTCGAACCATAGGTACTGGTATCGCTGTGGGCAACGCTCACCCTAGCGTTAAGGAAATTGCAGGTAAAGAGACGCAACGAGCGGGGATACGTATAAATATTCTTCCGTTTTAATGGATCGTCCCTCTTTATTCCGATGAAAGAGACATTGAGACAATGTGAACCCTCTCCTCTAACCACTTTGAAACCCTTCTCCTTCTTTAGATCGCATCACCCAAAGCAATGAGCACGACGGTGTTGCTATTGTGTTAGAAGAAGTCCTGGAGCATCTTGGTACAAACTAGAATATATCATCAAGATCCGCACGTGCTTATATAAGAGGACTGAAGCGTGGTCTGGGGCGGACAGATACACTTGGGCATATTGTAGTGAATGACAGGATATAGCATCCTCTCTGTCGCGCACTCACAAATAAAATCCGTCTCTTCTCGTGTTTTTGTTTTGGTTTCAAGGCGTCCCTACGCCCATTCTATGTTCGAAAACGTGGAGGTAAAAGCTAGTGTTTTGCACTTTTTGATTCATAGATGTTGCATTCATTCGTGAGAGTTCATTTTTATTGTGATATCTTATACAAGCTGACGTTATTTCCAATGTTTCATCGGACTGTTGGCTGTAGCCTAATTATATGGGCTTATTCAGGTCGTAATCTTTTAATGCTGCCCTACTGTGATATCGCTATCCTCACGATCGGGCTAGAGGGTGGCAATCCACAGTCTATGGCAGTTCGAGTTATCTTTCATTTTTCAAAGCGTTGTGCTACTAGATCGAAGATGAATAAGGCTATCTATTGAAAACATGCAAATTGTAATCTCTTTACAGCGTCCTTCAATGCACTAGCCCATGAAAGAGCCGGCCATGTATTTTTATTTTTAATCTCATTTTTAATCTTGCTCTTGTTCGTTAGGTTATTTTGCTTGGTGAGGCAGACTGTTTCCTGGAGAGAACACGGTTTCTTTTGTAAAAATAATAATTATCGTAAATGGCATGATCAAAGATAACGAAAGTAATGTGGCACTTTTAGCAAGAAAAAAACCAGCCTACTGTCAACATCGGATTTAATTCGCTTAGATTGCATGGCACGGGTATGTTCATGCTACTGGAATTTTCACTGTTATCGCCAAAGTTTGATTGATGTATCTGCCATGTTTATTATATAATCCAAGAATAGACTAATATTGAAGCGAGACTCAGTTCTCGCCATGGCTTGAAACAAAGTGAAGTACTGGTGAATAGGAAAAAAAATAATTTCCCATCCATAAAACTTTTTCGACCATGTAAGAAGCTGGGCTCTGTCTTTCACAGATGCTCAGGAGCCCTTTTTCCACTCGCAGACATGCAAAAAAAAAAAACCAGCGTCTGCAGTGACACAACAGCCGCGGCTCATACGCAGTGACAGGGTTTTGGTTCTGTTTGTGTCTTGTCTATTCGGCAGGGGTCAAGGGGTCAATGGACGTTATCTTTGTTAGCCAACGCTAGGCATTTTGCAGATGGAGACTGGGCCGGCATTAGCTGATCGAGAAAATAACGGCACATAGGCTTGAAACGAAAGTAAATACCAGTTTTGGTAATCACCCCGCCTAACCCTTCCTTCCGAGGAGGAGGGGAATAGAGATGCAAAGATAGAACAGATAATAAAAAAATTATTAGCTATCTATCGTCCGCATTATAGAAACCTACACATACCTGAGTCCTTTTTTTCCGGAATGCGGCATTTATACCTCTCGCCTTGGTGAAGTATGTCCACCGTTGTACAGCCGTGAGACCTTCCACGGGGGGGTTCGGTTGGGCTGATCCAGTGAAAGGTTCATAAATTAATCAATTTATGCAAATACGGCACTATCTTTTACATCTGTCAAGATATAAATAACAGTTGGCTTTTTACAAGAACGATCCATTGTGCTGAAAGATAGTGTAGCTGGTTATTAGATGGTATAGGCTTATCAGTCAGGCCAAGGGATCTGCGCCTGTCATGAGTTGCAAGGAGAAGATCGGGTGTTTTTTGATGAAGTGGCCAAGTGGTTTAGAAGGTGGTTTAGAAGAGGTATACCGCTACAGAATGAAGTGTCTATCATAGCCATGTTCTGCACTTTGCTACATGTTTCTTGCGGTTTCTTTTGGTAGGATGGTACGATAAAGTTACAGTGTTTGCCCTTATCGGTCGGAGTCTAGACCTATTACCGCATGGATGATAAGATGTTATGAAAGGTGCTTATCAGACCTTCTCCTAATGCGGACTTGTTATCTCTTGTGCACTGCCTCACTTTTCTCTTATCTTTTGCTCCCATTCCATTTAAAATACAAGTCTTGAACTGCAAAATTCCTATTTTCTTTTTTTTCTAATCCCACTGTTCACCAACAACCCACTTCAAACAAAACACACCATCTCTTATCTCGTCCCGTTGCATCCCTCAACGATACGATGACTCCCCGCTGGGAACACTACAACAAACCGTCGACCACCACCAGTGTCGACTCGTGCCACAAAATGCCTTTAGAAGAACAACAACCTGGACTTTTTGAATCAAAGTCAACCATGTCATCGTCTACCGCCGGTGTTGAATCTATCAACGACCGTTCCCAGCTTTATGCTGGTTCGTTCGACAAGACGAATGTGACCTCTTCCAGCAGTGTGGCCTGTCATACTGAGCCGTGCAACTCCAGTGTTGCGAGATCGGACATTGGAAGTGGATCCGCCGTTGCTTGTTCGAACTGTGGTGTTACTGCCACCCCTCTTTGGAGACGTGCTCCAACCGGAGAAATCATCTGCAATGCTTGTGGTCTTTATCTCAAGGCCCGCAATGCTACAAGACCAACTTGGCTTAAACGCAATACGTTTGCCAGAAAGAATGTCAATGCATCTAAATTGCAACACCGCTTTGTTCTTCAAGAGCAGACAAAGTCTTACAAGGAAAAGCCTGAACAAGAAGACCCTGTTCTACCCACTACACCGTCTGAGCATAACTCTCCTGTTTCTGATCCTGAGACGCCTAATGGTGACCGCCCTCAAATGGTCTGCGCTAACTGCAGCACCACCACCACTCCTCTTTGGAGACGTGATGAAGAAGGCAACACTATTTGCAATGCATGTGGTTTATATTACAAACTTCATAATGTTCAACGTCCTGTCACCATGAAGCGTTCCGTTATCAAACGTCGCAAGCGTGTTCATGCTAACATCATTTCTCAACATCACCACCCCCTTCCTCAACCTATTCAACAACGTCGTCTTTGTCCTAAGCACCATCATCATCATCACCATTCTTCTACTGATGACCACCCTCCTATGTTGACTCATGATTCTTCTTCATCTGGAGGTGAAGCCAGTACCGATGATGATGAATCCAATGACCGCAAGCGTCGTTATTATGAAGACGGTTTCCGTTCTGTCAAACGCATGAATTTTGGCTATGATGATCGCCAGTATCCTTCAAAGAACCCTCAAGTGATGGAACCTACTTCCATTCATGCTCCTTTGCCATCTCAAATCGCTTCCTTGTTGAACCCTGTTCAGGAACAAAATAACAATCCTTTGGTTGACCGCAAAAGCCAATCTACTGCTACTGCTGCCGCTATTGCTACTGTTTCGGCTTTATTGAACCCTCACTCCGATGTTCAACACACTCAAAAAGTCCTTGAAGCTCACCGTCAAGAACTTCGTAGAGAAGTACAACACCTCACTTCCTTGCTCAGCAAGACCCATGCTGTCTTGGATAACCTTGACAATGCCATGGTGCATGCTGGTGTTGAGCCTGCTCATTTGGCCTCTTCTCCTACTCAGCGATCAGCTACCCCAGGATTTTCACCCTCCACCGCGGTATCCATCCTTGGCAACTTGCTAGGAGGCGGAGACCCAAATGCCACCAATGCCTTAGCCACCATTCTAACATTGGGAGCCGCCGCTGCTGCTGCTTCTCAGAAGGACAACGTTCACTTGGCTCCGCTTAAAGCTTCGCCTACTCCACCTTCTCATCGTGAACTTCCTCCTACTCCACCACCTTGTCCTATTCTACCTTATCCAATGGACCGTCGTCAGTCAGCTAGTTCAGACGCTCGTTAGCTTTTTTTTTTCCTTTATTAAATACACATATATTCTATATTTTGAAGTAAAATGCTCATTTAAATGGATGGATAACCCTTACCAATCGATGCATGTGAAAATGACTTTCCGGAAAGGATCGGAATGCGATTTTCGTAGCTCTGGATCAAGTGATTTGGCTGAGGGTTAGGTGAAAAAGCGCTGATCGGGCGGGGAACTCACCCAGTCAGTGATTGCTTAGCCAACACCAGGCAGGCAGGGCTGTTCAACCGGTGAGTAGTAGTGCCTAGCTTTGAACCAACCAGCCCAATTCCTTGCTTTCTTCCATAGCAAACCCCTCTTGTTGGTCCCCGACACTTTGAAAAATCTAATAAAGGATCGTGTGCGGAGAAGTGCTGATTGGTCCCGCATTTGTGATTGGAAACGATCCTAGTTTGGTATTCCATTTATTCAGCAGAAAAGAGAGCCTGTCTGACTGACTTTGATGACGTTGCTTACGTTTTTTTGAGCAACTGTAGCAACGGGACTTTGAAATTGGATATGCACTTTCCACCTTCTTTTCTCTCTCCATCTTTTGTCTGTTTTTGTCTTTACATGCTGACAACCTTGATCCGTTCATAAACCCATTTTCTTCCTTTCTATATTATCTTACTCGCATACTTCACATCCTCCCGCGCCCCCCTCTCCTTTTCTTTTGACACATACATACCATGAATTACTCAAACTCAAGGCAGTGGTGGTCATCCCCACCTTCTAGCAATGCTGTATTAAAATCCACGCAAGACTCGGAGGAACCTATTTCTGAGCCTGTCCCATTTGAAGGTAGGTGTTTTTTATATATATATAGATAGAGAGACTCCTTCTCCACCATGGTTGCTTTTGAGACACCTGCTTTGTTCGTGTCATCTAAATTAACCTATGGTTATTCTATAGATTTCAAGTTTAGCATGGGCCTTGACCCAGATTTCTCCATGCCAATCCCTCTCGAAACTCCCCCACCACCACCGGTCATGGACATGGCTACAGAGTTCCCTACAGCAGATAACTTCTTGCAACAAAATGCCAACCCTTTACTGGATGAAAATGATCAACGCGCCTTCACGCAATTCTTGGATTCCTTCTTTGTGGAGCAGGATTCTTCAGCTGCCGAAGATCATCAACAGATCATTCCCAGCTTGTTTGACCACCAACAACATAGCGATTCACATGATCAGCCCTCATCACATTTTACAAACAATACCTCGTCTTCTTCATGGAACTATAATTACGAAACCCCTGGCGTTCTTTTGAACCACGACCGTTCGTCTTCGGATTACCATGACCCAGATCAACATAGACGTAGTATCATTGATTCGCTGGACGCATCACATCAGCAACGATTCTATCAGCAAATTTCTTCCATGGTTGTTCCGGTCAAATCAGAGACGGAATCGGATCATACGCTCATTCAAGATGGTACCAATTCTAACTCCAATAACCAGCAACGAGGTAGACGAAAACAGTCTGTAAAACGTAGAGCATCAGAAACAGATTCAGATGAAGATGACGACATGGCTGAGTCGCCTGGCTCATCCACTTCTGGCAACAAGCGAAGTAAGCAGCACAAAGAACTTCTGACGGAAGAAGAGAAGCGTGCCAACCACATTGCGTCCGAGCAAAAGCGTCGTAACACCATTCGAACTGGGTTCAAAGAGTTGACGGACATCATTCCCACGCTCAAAAATATCAACAATTCAAAGAGTACCATCTTATTCAAGGCCGTCGAGTACATCAGGTATCTAGAACGACGCAATCGAGGTTTACGAGAACGGGTTGGTGGTTTGGAAGTACGAGTGGAGGTTGAGGGTCGAATGGGGAACTTGATGAACCATTCGCACCTGAATGGTCGAAGGAACACCATGTCCAATTTCATGAACCTTCGAGCCAATGACAACAACAATAGTAATCCAAATCTTTCACCGGAGCGAAGTCGAACCATCAGTCATAGTGGCAGTTTCTCCACGTTTGCCAATACGCAAAAGTCTACTTCCAGCCAAGACACCGATATGATGACCAGTCGGTTTGTCGACAACACGTCAGGACTTCCTCCTGCTGCTGCCGCTGCGTTGTTAGCTCACAAATCGCAGCAAAAGCAATTGCAAGCTTTTCAAGAACAACTTCAATTGCATCAACGACTCATTGCTCAAAAGTCAAAGGATAATGGTGCGAAGGACAAATCCTTTCTAGATGAAAGACGACAAAGTTTACCTACATGTGCTTCCAACACGACCCTTTCCCCATCTCGTTCTAATTACGACTCCATCTCTATACCCATTTCCGACACAGCCAATGCTTCCAATTCTATGGCTTTGGTGATGCCTGTTGATGAACAACAGGAGTGGCGAGAAACCGATCGGCATAAGGATGCTATCAATATACCGGTTGATCATGATCACAAGGATCAGACTATGGACGAACGATCCATGACTCGTACTTCAGAGATGCGTTCACCAGAGAAACCCACCAGTGATTTAATCAACAGTTTAAAGCATGGTATTGCCACCACTACTGCTGTTGCCGCCTCATCCTCATAATCTAAACCCACACAATTCCCCCCTTCCATATGCATCAGCCCGGAGGTGTATGCATGCATCCACCACCCTTTTATTTTTTTTCTTTCTATTTTTTTTTTTTTTAAATATAAATACTTTTTGTGAAAGTACCATCAGCCCATTTCTTTTTCTTCAATCTGTTTATCCTTTCTGCCCTTCTCAAATGTACAGCAATATGTTAAAAATAAAAAATCCTCTCATTCACACATAATTAAACCCACAAATCGTGTATCACACCAATTTAGACGGTGGTGTCAACTGATGTGGAGCAGCATTTTTATGGAGTATTGTTCATTATCACATTTTTGTGCCATCTTTTGTCATTCGAGAGTCATGGCTTGTAGCACGAACAACACGTTCACCATAGGCCTTTGACTGTATGAGGTTAACCTCGTTTTGCATCACGAACCCCCATTGACAGACTGCATTTGTACGCAGGTAGGTCGATTGGGGTTTCCCGTCTTGATGATATCTTCCAAATGACCTTGTCGGCCTCTCCAGGAAAGAAGTATGCAATTCAATCTTCTTCCATTTCTCACTGCTCGATGCTGGATCAACGGTGGTAAAAGAAGTGCCGTAATGCGAAAATGTTCGTTTCGGTAATTACGTTACACCGGAGCCGCCTAAGGAAACAGCATATGAAATTTTTTTTGCTATCTTCATCGGGCCCCGACAAGCGAACAGAACCATATAGATCATAGAAACATGAATGACAATAATAGTACTGACCGATATTCAGAAAATCTCGATGATTTAGGGTGCAGTTTTGTTCGCAGGGTCAGCAACTATCAATGAACCAGCTGGCTTCGGAAATGATACGTTCCATGGCCCGATTCACCCAACATCCAAAACCTTGTGTTTGCATGCCTGCTTGTGAGAATTTTTTTACCAGCTCATAGAACATCTCAGTTTCGCCCAAGCCACCTTTGAGTCATCTTAACGGAAGAGAGAAACCTACACCTGACTTGTCACGGACACCTTACAGTATACTGAAAGTACCTCGTCTATTGACAACATAGACGGAATGTATTTTTGAGCACGTACCAAGTGCACGTGAAACATTGATAATGGCCGAGATTCCCAAAACTTGGAGTATCGACTGCCCCACACCCAACTTTTGGCTTTGAGTCGTCAACTTCATACCTTTGCCTTGCAGCAACCAATGCACAGCCGCAAAATAAAGTAAAAAATTTAGCCATTCGGTAGACCGAAACACAAAGCAATCTCTGCATATAATTTTTTCCCGCTTTGAGGGCAAAGTAATTTCTTGGTACTTTATATAAACCATAGCATAAACCTTTACCAATATGTAGATAAACAAAGAAGAAGAAGAAAGAAGCTGTATTCGCATGAAGATATCTAATCATCCATCCGTAGTTTACATCTCTCATAATATGCTCTACACTAATAAATGCTAGATCAATAGTAGGAGTATAATGCATTGCTAAAGTTACTCCTGTCGCAACCTTTCATTATGATGAGCATTGTTTCATCGTAGTATTATGGCTTTACACTCTCCTGAATGTAATCCATATTGCGATTTGCCTACCGTAAGGTATCAAGGCTCATTTTGTCCAAGCTCGCCCAATGCTGCTGGTTGTATGCCCGTTCTGCAGGTATGCTGACCAAAGTCTGTACGAATGCGCAGTGGAACGCTCAACAGCATACAAAAATATGCCCATAACTGCATGAGTTATGAGATTCCAAATACACTATGAATCGCCTTCTCTGTCTCTTCATTCACTTCTCAGAGGTGTTGTGCATCGAGATGAAAATAGGTTGCAGAGCCTAGCCCTCTTCATTGATACGCATATAAAATGGTCGAGCTCAAAACAACATAAGCACTATTATTCAAATTACCATGCTTGCAAAGTCACCTTTTCCTCTCGCTAACCGTGATGGCCGGTATGGTCATGGCTACCTACAATAATAACTGTCATGGAAGCAGCAGATGTAACAAGTCTATGGGCCCTACTTGCATCAATGCCTCCAACCGGTTCATCGATGGAAACACCTACGGCCAATACACTTCCAAGGTCTATGGAGACTATACAGCTATCTATAGTTGCACGTCCACCTATCCATCGCTTCGCGGCAGTGACATGAAAAATTTGTTCTCCAATATTTACGGCAACCAGGGCTGCAAAGGATGTGGCAGCCATGCTTTCAATGGCGGCAGCTGCGAAGTAACTTACAACTTCTGTGCTAACTGTAGGGACTCTGGACCAAATTAAGCTCATATGGTGCAATGTAGCGCGACCACAATGGTTTCAGAAAGCATTTTAAATAAACCCTTTTTGATGTCTGTATCCGTAAGCATATTTTATGCTCTGCTTATACATCGTACCACATTAAATCCAAGAATGTTTTTCCCATTGATTTTATTGAGCGCATTCATGTAGTAAACCAGAAAATAATCTTTGTGTGAAGAGCAAGAGGATGAAACGGGGTCTCTGCTTCAATGGCTGGACAATAGGGCTGAAAAGTCGGATAGTGATTGGGTGAGAATCAATATATCATGTGATTCCTGTTGCTGACGTCAGCGCAATGTTTTGCTTTTTTTTATTTCCATGAACTTTAGCACGGTTTGGTCAATTCGTCCTTTGGAGGCTTGGGTGAGGCTTGGTTCTTCGTTCGCTCTTCTTTGACTGTTCCCAAAAAGACTCCGTTCACCTCAAGCGACTAGCACAGCAGAATAAGGAAATAACACACGAAACCCTACTTCGTTTTACTGCTGCCGACTCGACATGGCTCGCGTCCATCTTTTTACATCACATCACTCGGCGCCTGGGGACCATAAACACAACCAGCCCGACAAAGCGTTTGCTGCTCTAAGTGCTCAAGAGCAGTCCACCATAGCCCACACGCATAAAGAAGCCTCGGACGAACCACATACTCTCGATGTCACGGCAGTTGCTTCTCCCAGTACCACGGATGAACAAGGCGATGAAAAATCAACTTCAAAAGAGCCAATCAAGCTTTCTCAGTTGCCTACGTCGAGCGCCGCCCTGACAGCTGCCTTGCTACAAGATGCAAGCAGTATGGACGTTGTCGGCTCACTGGCAGCCGCTCTTTCGGGGAAACAAGGTATATGGATGTTTTTTTTATTTTTTATTTTATCTTTGTAATCGAGCCACTTTTAGTCCATGGCATTGGACGAGCCGGCTGCTGATTACAGCCTTTTCACTATGGGCTCTAACAATCGCGGTTGAATTATTCAGGGGTAGAAAAGGATGGTGACAAACCCGCTGAAAAAACCGAATCAGACGCTAAACCTGTAGAAGAAGACAAAAAGGCGCCAACCGGAAATGGAGAAAGCTCGGAACTGATGGAGCAAGCTGCCGCAGCCACGGCATTACAGCTGCTGGGTCTATCGCAAACCGAAGGACAGAAAGGCAAAAGCACATCACCATCCGACGACAATGAAAAAACATCTAGCCCCGAAAGTACACCAATGCAGGTGGACGACGATAACACCGATAGCAATGAAGCATCGAACGTTACAGACGCCATGTTACTTGCCAGTTATCCCGGATTATCAAGCAGTGAGGCGTTGGAACTCAGTAACAGCAGCAGTAATCTGGATAATATGAGTGACGATGGCAGTGTCGGCAAACGTGGAAGCTGGACAAAAGAAGAAGATGAATTACTGTTGCAGGGCATCAAGCGATTCGGCTATGGCAAATGGAAGGAAATAGCCATGACGATTCCGGGACGGAAGGGAAAACAACTGAAACAGCGTTGGGATAATTCACTTGCGGCAAAATATGTCGACCAAGGAATGCTTCCAGCCAAAGCCAAGTCTGAGATCTTGCCTGGTGAGGAAACGCATCATTCCACAACACTTCCGGAAGATCATCCGCAATCGACTTCTGCGGAGTCAAAAACTTACAAGTTGCTGGATACCGAGTGGAGTGAATTAGCACAAAAGCTGACTGAACGGTTACGAACCTCGCATCATGAAGGCGCCGAGCAATCGCTTAGTCTACTCAACGATGTCGCTTCCCAATTGGCTCGATCTTCCCAAAGCCTTCCCTTCCCTGATGCCACCGCTCTCGCCATGTATGCGCAACAATTGCAAACTGGACACCAGGAAGGTATTGATGGAGGCGACAACCATACATCCATTGCTGGTCAATATTATTTACCTAATCCGTTTGGTGGGTCTAGCCCCAACGAATCAGCCATCAATGCTGCTGCTGCAGCCGTGGCTGCTGTAGCATCGTCAAATAACAACGATTCTCATCTCGAAAATGGCCAGCATCTTGGTGATTTGGATCACCACCACCCTGGTTTGAAGCGAAAGCGTTCTGATCCATCCTTAGCTCAGACACAAGCCGATGCCATTGACTATTATGCTTCGGCACAACCCGTTACCACCACCATCAACAATGAAACACACACCGTTTACCCGTGTCTTTTCCCCGGATGTTCGAAAACCTTCATGCGGCTATACAATCTGAAGAGTCATTCCAGAACACATACCGACGATCGTCCGTTCAAGTGCAGTGTCTGTGGCCAAGCATTCAGCCGAAACCATGATCTAAAGCGACACTGTAAGATTCACGGTGGCGACAAACCACATCACTGCCCGACGTGTGGTAAACAGTTTTCGAGGTAAGTTTCAGTGCATGTAAAAGTCATACCTCGAATATAAATTGACGGTTTATTCGGTTTAGATTGGATGCGCTCAAACGACATAAAGCCAATGCAAGAAACCGTTGTGCTTAGAATGGGACCACCGTCCAGGCGTATAGTCATATCGTTCTGTGTATCTCTATCTATTCTCTCTATTCCCTCCCCATGACGCCCTGCTTGTCATTACAAGTATAGGTCGTTCGCTACGGATCTGTACATTGTTTTTCATTTTCTTGTATTTGGTTGACCAATGCATTAATGTTTTTTTTTTTTTTTTTTTCTTTTTTCATACGATACGCATCTTTTTTGACAACTCTGTATACCACAGCACCTCTTTACCATTCGTTCTCTATCAATTACTTTGTTACAGTTAGAAGCCTTTGTTTTATACATATATTTCCCTCCTTCTGCTCCTTGTCAGAGATATCCGTAAGCACACCGCCTTAACGCTGAAGCACGACGTTGTCTGTCAGCTGCTCATTTATTTTTTGGTAGCTTTCCAGAATGAGCATTCATAAACATATTTCAGCATGGAATTTGGATTGGAAGTGTAGGTTGATGGAATGGTTTTTTCGTTCTAGAGAGGTTCAGTTTAGTTTATGGGCGGCGCAAATGGACCTGCTTGCATTCGCTATGTGCTCTTACCGTGATGGTGAAACCTATTTTCTCGGCAATTTCCTTCACTTCAGCCAGGCTGAGCTCTATAGAGTTCTCACCCGGTGTGTTTTCAAAATGATACAGAAGTGGTCCTGATTAAAGAAGGTTAACATGCTGTATTGCCGGCCAAAGGTCCAAACAGCATGACTTACCGATATTAATCCACGAGCCGCCAGGCTTCAAAATCTTGTGTATGACTTCAAGGTACCGAATGATGTTTTTGGCAGTGTCTATGAAGAAACAAGTCGCAACCACATCCCATTGCCCTGTAACAAAAACAAGCAGGTATAAGGATCTGTAGACAAGGCTATCGAGCCAGGTCAACTTGGCTCCCCATGAACATTCTGTGCACTCACCTTCACTTTTATCATTATCTCCGTACACTTCAACAAAATCTCCTGCAACCATGGAAAAATCAGCGGTGGGAGGCAAGGAGGATGGAAGGACATCAGGTATCTTGATAGGGGCCAACTGCTGTTCTGAGTCGCGAATGTTGGAGAACGAGTGAATGAATGGGTAAATAGAAAATTCCTCAGGAGCAGATACTCTATTCAAGATGAAGTTGGATGAAAAGAGCATGTAGAAGGAGAACTCGTTTCCTGGCAGTAGACAGTGTTATTTTGCAAATTGTTCAATCGGAGTCGGGGATGAACGTAAACCCACCTTGACAACTGAAGCCTCGGTTGCAAATTTCAAATGCAAGTCTTCCGAGACCAGCTCCAGGAACCAAAACACGCACTTGGCCTCTGTACCAACGATGATGTTAAACATGAGACACGTCTGGTAAGATGTTCGCGAAGTTCTTATTCTTTACCTTTCTTCAAGTGGCATGTTTTTGTATATGCTTTCCAGTTCATTCAAAATAGGTTCGTATGCCGCTTGACGTTCCGGTTCACCCTGTAAATGAACATTGGCGACGAATTAAACGGTAATTTCAACACTTGATTAGAGACAATATTGGAAAAAAGTGTTAATGTCATGCATTGCGCCTTACCTCCTTTGACCAATCTCTCACAAACTGCTTGAGTGTACTCCGGACCTTGTCCATATCAGATGGAGAAACAGGCGGCTATTTTCCAACAGCAAATGTTAAAAAAAATTCACATCAAAAGATACCAAGAAGGATTGAAGCTAATTCCATATTGGCCATCCTGATACACGAAACAACCTTTAATCCATATCACACCTACCTTCTTGCCACGATTGTTCATGATACTGGCTTGCACTTCAGTTTCAGAAAAGATCCCCGAGGCTTTTACGATTTCTTTTAAAACCAGCGCATTTTCTTCGATCAGCTTGTCCACTTGATCGACCTTTTGTAAATAATCAGGCAACAGTTTCTTGTGGTGTTGAGAGATCAAGTTGTAGTCATGTCGCCTACGATTGTTCATAATAAGGGAATGGCGACGGTAAAAAGCTAAAGCCATCAACACTTTCTGAAAATGCTTTTGCTCTTCAATCTCGTCCGATTCTCTCTCTTCTGTAGGCGATGGAGTGTCGAGTGGATCGCCATGGTACGACTCGCTATCGTGGTGATGGTTGTGAGCCATGGTTGACTGGAAAGTGTGGCAAGAAACACAGTGAACAATCAGGGCGGGGCAAGTCACACCGTCACGCATTTACAATAAATTTCTCCACTGCACGCGTCGTGTCTCCGCCTAACTTGCGCCTGTTTTTCTTGAGCAATGTCACCACCAACGACAGTGGTGCGTCGGTACCATCAACTCGAACTCATCACAGAGCACCTGGGATATCTGCCTGTTCGCTTCACCGACGACTTTTACAACGCTTGCATAGGATGCATGGCCAAAGCTGTCGAAGGAGTTGAGGCTTTCGTTTCAACACTTCCCGGTGATGAGCGCAAGAAAATGGAGGTGAGTTGGAATGCCTCTGCACAGGTGACATTACAATTTGAAAAATATAATAACCAAACCAATATTTTCAGGGCGTGGAAAAATTCGATACCCTGCTGGATAATGCTTTCGATAAGCGGTTTGTCGTATTTGAAGAGTTTGTGTTCAACAATATCTTTCGATTGCCTGAAAACCTGCCCATTACCCTGAGCCATAACAAGGTGAGTTTCTGTGTCCTTTATCTGCCATCTTTATCAAGACATCTTTACTGACTGCGTTTGGTAGGGTCTAAACTTCACATATACCCAAGCCTACGAAGATCATTTAGACAAGGAGCTCGAAGATTTGCGAAAGAGTGTGATTGCTGTAAGCCGAGGTTTCTTGTATGAAAAACAAAGGAAACAGAATATGAATGTTTTCTAACAACAATATCTACTCATTCATGTAGCAAAAGGCTTTGCAATTCAAGCTCAAGAACCAGATCAAATCAACAGAACGTTTGACCCAGCGACTGGAAAGTTGTCAAAAGGAAATGGGATTTTTGACCACCATCCCAAAGCAACACGGATGTAAGAAAAGCCAGACTTACGGTTTGCATATACGTACGGCTCAAAATGCTCAATTACTTTGTTTTGCAGTAACCCAAATCGGTGATACCATCGACCTTGTTTCAAATCAGCTGCAAACGTTACAAAACCTAATGGCACCACTGCAAGAGTTCATGGCAGATCCAGAGAAGATGGCCTTAGTTGCAAAAGAAGATCAGCGAACACAGTACATAAAACGAGATGTTCAGCGGCAGTTGCGTATGTATAGCGAGGCGGATCTGGAGGATGAAGCGTTCCATACTTTGGTCCGACAGGAGCTTTCTGAAAAGACAAGTCAGATTGCAAGCTTGACTGATTTACAGGTAACTTCAAGATTCTTTTCAGTTTGAAATAAAGGCACACAATTTGGCTGACAAACGTTTTGCAGGCACTCAAAGAGCTTTATCTCTAAAGAAAATCCCCCCGTCTCCAATTGTATATCTAGTTCCCATGTATTTGTATAAAAACACTTTTTCCTTTATAAGCGGTACAAGTGCATCCATGCCTGTCTAATTTTAATAGATCCATTTCAAGCTCTGTGCTTCACCCTCTCCAACAACATTGGTATTCTGCTTGAGCACAGCCTTGACTTTCTCAGCGACACCACGCTTGCCTTTGCGTTCCTTGAGGAACCAGTCGACTACTTCATTTTCGCTAAGCGCATAATCGCCAATGTCGGGAGCTTCACCAGTCACGACAAGCTTGATATCATTCTCTGAGGGAAGGGAATACTTGCGGTGAGGGTATTGGCTGTAGTCTTTGTCGGACAGGAGTTCGAGATCATGAGCTGGTGGTGTGTTAAAGTACTTTTTCAAGACATCTTTGGTATTGACCTCAGCAAGAGTGCTGGGTTGCCATTTTGGTGCGGTCTTGTTGACCAACGATGCAGTGACGCCCTCAGCAAAGTCGTGGTCAGCCTACTCAATTGTAAATTATTTAGTTGAAGTTGTGTTAAAGAGTCGCTATAAACATCACTTACGAGAGATTGTTGGACCATGCCATACTCCATTTTGAAGCAGCTTATAATGCTCTTTTGTGCGCCTTGTCTGACTTGTTCTAATGTGATCTTGAGGGAGCTAGGTGACATCTTGAGCAACGTATCCTTTGTTTCTTTAGCCCAAGCCGACTCCTCCTTGTCCAACGCAGCCATGATGTCCTCTACAGTCTTCTTTCCAAAAATCCTACGTGGCGATGCATCAGCTCGTGACGAATAAAACACAACATGAGCCTCTCTTCCGGCACTTACTTGTTAATGGACTTGCGTGTTTCGGGATCGAGAATGAAAGATTCAGCTGTGTCATTTTCGGTAAACTCTTCGATGGCATCGTTGATCACATCAAAATTGGATGTCTCCAGCTCAGATAGCCTTGCCTCTAATTCAGACAAGCGATTGGATGGGACATAATGTGTTGCAATACCTCCATAGCTATGTTCAATTTGTTAGTACATTGGTTCGTAAACAGGAGATATATAGATCCGCATAGCCATGCCACTTACAGAACATCCAACCCCTTTAGACGCTTGCCGGTCATACCGAGGTATGCTCCAATATGACCATCAAGTCTAGGCAAAAAGAAACTACCTCCAACATCGGGGAAGAATCCTATAGCTGTCTCGGGCATAGCAAACAGTGTGTTTTCAGTTGCAATACGGAATGGTGCGTGCACAGACAATCCCACACCTCCACCCACTATCAAAACACAGAGTTAGCCAGGGGCTGTGATAAATTATCCAGTAACCAACTACTTACTGGTGATTCCGTCCATTACTGAAACAAATGGAGTAGTCATGGTGGCAATGTAATGATCGACCTTGTATTCGTCTTCGAAGAACTTGAGTGCTTGAGGATCGTTTTTGGCAGATAGCTCGATGACGGCTGTTGAAAGAGAGTCGTCGTGAGCAATGGATACAATGGATATACGACGAAAAATAGAAATCTAACTTACTTCGAACATCACCTCCTGCACAAAAGCCCTTGCCACCACTACCTTTCAGTAACACGACTTTCGCCAGGTCGGAATTTTCCCACGCCTTTCAACAAAGCTGTCAGTTTCACCTAGAAAACCGAACCATCGATATCCCTTGAAAGTATTACCTCCAGCTGTGGTTTCATAGCGTTGATCATATTCCAGTTAAGGGCGTTAAGGCGCTTTGGTCGGTTCATAATCAAGTGTCGAGCGGCGAGTTGAGACTTGGTAATAATCTCTTGCTCGCTCTCGGCGGCTGCTCCACTTCCAGTTGACATCTAAAATACGAAGGTCAGGCGATTGCTCGATACATGGAGAAAGTAATTGATCACCGGCTTACAGTTCTGTTGCCTGTAGCAAGCCAAGATTCAAATTTGCCAAGTCGGTTTAACGCTGTTGCTGATGCAGAGGGCTTAGAGCGTGTGGTCATAACTGAGCGTGAAAAGGGTGAACAAGCAATGAAGGATTGATTTCGAGGAAGAGACCTCAAACTGTTCATTATGTAAGAGCAATTACGCAAACGTTGCAAAAAAGTACTCTCTCACACTACTTAAAAGCAAGCTCCGGCTCCCCCCACCCAACCACACTGATATGTTGTAGTATGCAGTCAATTACACGTGACTTAGCTCCAACCATCCTCCAAGGCAGTATCTCACTTCTCGCTATTCTGCAGGGCGATGTTTAGGTCTGGGCATTTCATTTATTCGCCTGTGTTCATGCTTTGCTCAGAATCTACCGTTACCACTGAAGCGCAATTCAATACAGCATTAGAATGATTGTCATTGGACCAAACGTCTACAAAATAATCCAATTAAAGCGCATTTTCGTGTCTTTGGCCGATCAATATGGACATTGGATCAAAAATTTCAACATAAAAAAAATAGCGTCGACAACAGGATTTGAACCTATGCGGGCAGAGCCCATGTGATTTCGAGTCACACTCCTTAACCACTCGGACATATCGACAGATTTTTTTTTGGGAAATCTCGGCTTTTAGTAGTTCTAACGTAAATATACACCTTGAGTGTAGGTTTCACTTCATCAGGACCGAGTTATTTCCATTGATACCAAACACAATAGAGCGCGACTAAATGGTACATAAGAGGCACTAAACTAATGGAATTTAAAAAATTGTAATAGATTGCGTTAAGCGTCTATATTGACACATAAAGTAGACTAGCTTTTGATATTGTATACGGACTGTGGCATGTAAGAAGTAAGATAGGTACACCACTATTGGAGGACGAAAAGCTCATTGAAAATTTAAGGAAGAAAATGTGAGGCTAATTATAAACTTTGTTACTAACGTTATTATGTCCATTCCACCTTTCTCACTCTCAGTTGTTGTAACCAAAAACGTCTTGTTACCTCGCTGACTGATATCGATTCATTTCATTGATATCAGATCGACATCAAATGCGCGAACAAGTCAAATTTTGAATTTGGGTTGGCTTGAGCAGCAATTACAGTCACTGAAGTACGAAGTCATGGGGGTGGCAGAATCCTCATATTGGTCAATGCCTCGTTGGCCTGATGAGCTTAGGCTTGAGTTTGCCTTTACATTTTGTTTATAGTTGTACCTATAGTCTTGATATTATGGCAATATTGTATTGAAAATTCAAAGTAATGGGCATATTGCTGTTGCAGAAAACTGCCCGACGCGACTTTACTTAGAAAGATACATATGCTAGGAATGAAGCTGGTATTAAATCAGAAATCTAACAACATATGGAGTACTAAACACAGAGAAGAGGAGAAACATTGCATACAATAACGAAACACCTTGCCGCTGTGTGAGTCCATGAGTATGCTAAGCATATATTTCTGGTTTGTTGTACCCTGATGTTCTTTTATGTCAAGTCGCACATATACGAAAACTCCGTCTACCGCAGCAGCAACCATGCCATCCAGCGTCTTCAACCGTGTGTGCGTACACTTTCTCCCACTTTCTTCTCGTTTAACATTCAGGTAATTGATCACCATCCAATCTTGTTCTTTTCGTCTTGCACAACTAAATTGGCCGCATCTCCTGTAATGTTCAGTCCAAATGGCAGTCAATACGTCTAATCCCTCGGATCTGCGACAATTAGTCGCTGACGGGTATAATGTCCTTGCCCAGCCCTACCTCGACTGGAGTAAGGGACCTGACGGAGGTGGCAACGGAGGAAATGATACGCCGCTAGAACGGCATTTTGATCAATTTCTGTCTCTCTTGTCCTCAAAACGCGATGAAACACAAGAAATGCAAGTACTGGAGATAGGCTGCGGCGCCGGCATCCCATGGACATCAAGGGTATCAAAAGCTTTGGCCGGAAATCTGACGGCTACAGATATCTCACATTCTCAGATAGAGCTCGCAAAAACGCATCTGTTACAGTGTGATCCACCGCACTCCAATGTCACTCTCCTTCTTCGCGACGCAATGGAACTGCAGTTCGATCCCAACCAGCTCGATGCGGTTTATGCTATATTCTCTCTAATCCATCTACCACAGCAGGACCAAAAGACGATACTAAAAAGAATTGCAACCTGGCTGAAACCGGACGGTTTGATGTTTATGAACTTTTCTGGTCAGCTTGAAAGTTCTGATGATGCAGAGGTTTGGCTGGATGGAAAGACCAAAATGTACTGGAGCTCATTAGGATTATTGAGCTATGATCAAGCCCTAGAAGAGGTTGGATTGAGTGTGATTACTCGAGATGTAGCGACTGTGGTCGAAGACGGGCGAGAAATCCCATTTGTATTCTACATTGTCAGGAAGAGATAAACTGTTGTACTTGGAGGAAAGGCTAGAAAATGTATCGAGCACAACAACCTTGTGGCTTAATGCCTCGAGTTAGTTGCAGGTATATTGTAGTATGGCTACTTGAAAACAAACTTATCAACAATCCCCACTAGTGACGTTTATAGGCACCATTGGGTAAAAATTAAGACACATATGCTTCAGTTGGTATTTTACTCTTGTACTTAGCAATTTACAGACAATCTTCTATCTATGATCTAATACATTTGTCCGTTACTGATTGAACAAGTTGTCGAAAATCTTCTTGACTTCATCATAAACTCCGTCGACAGAGTTTTCGCATGAAAGCTGTATAAGCAACCATCAGCACAAGTGCACTACGTACCCATTTTTGAAAAATTAGATCAATTCCTTACCTTCTTAACCTTTCCTTGAGTCTCATACTCCTCAATGACGGGGAAGCTGGTATCAGCGAAAACGCGGAAGCGCTTCTTGATAGACTCAATGTTGTCATCAATGCGACCAGAGCTCTCTCCGCGCTTGAGCAATCGCTTCAACAACACCTCTTCAGGGCATTCAAAGTACAAAACAAACTGGCAAGGAACCACCTAATAATACGTTCAACGTTAGTTCCTACGCCAAAGATATCCCGAGAAATGAGATTGTACACGAAGTAATAGCACTTACAGCCTCTTCGAATTTGACAGCTTGGTCAAGTTTACGTGGGAAGCCATCGATCAGGAAACGGGATTTGTTCTGCTTTTTCATAGCATCCTTCATAGCGTTTTCCAACAAAACAATGGTGACTTCCATGGGAACGATGAGACCATCCTTAATATAGCTCTTGATGAGTTCACCATATTGGGAGCCTTCACGTTGCTGTTCTTCACGCAAAAGATCGCCAGCTGTGGATCCAGTTGACAAGGGTTATTTAAAGAACATGTGCCAGAAATTTTTTATCAAAATACTGACCGGATAAGTGGACAAAGTCATAGTCCTCCTTAATCTTGGCACACTGGGTACCTTTACCAGCACCAGGACCACCTGCAAGCAAAGAAATCCTTTAGCAACCACGCACAGCCAGAGCATACATAGCCTTTACAACGTACCCAAGACAAAAACGACCGTAACATCCTTCTGATCAAAAGTGGGGATCTTTCTGTCCTCTAGGTTAGGGAGCTTAGGCTCCTTAGGTTTCTCGGCTGCTATCTTTTGCTTTCTAGGCAATGCTGATGGGTTCATGGTCACAAAGTTAGCTGTGAATTACTGATTGTGGAATATGTCGTATTCATATGACTGATATAGAAACATACGTTGGCCCTCTCGTGACTTGACAAGAGTATAGTAGGCAGCGAAACCTAAAGATGCAACGGCAATCATGGCGGCAGTGCTTGGCTTGCCACCGCTAGGCTTCTGGGCGCCAGCAGTGTAAGGGCGCTGGGCAACAGCTCTGAAAGGAGTTGGCTTGCTGATAGGAGCACGGACAATGGAGGTTCCCAGTCGTGTACGGGCGAGAGCTGCACGAAGAGCCATTTGGTATGTTAATGAAGTTTGACCTGTTCAAAAGGTTGGAGGAACGTGTCGGGAGTAAAAAAAATATTACTGGGTTTGGCGCGGCTGGCTTCAGGAACAAAAAAATTTCAAAGTGATCGAGAGCGTGGCTGCCGCTAAAGGTTACCGAAATTTCAAAAATGTGTAATAGCAAGCAACAACTCAATTGTAGCTGTCCTACTTCATTAACCTCAATGACAGATTCTCAATTGTCATCCACCGCCAGATTATGAGTGAAGCTGATAGGTTTTTCTGCTCAGAATTGTCAAACATTTAGTATAACCTTGCTTATTTCATCTATTTTTATGCTTTCTGGACTATGTAACCATGCTTCCAATCTAGGAGACAGCCAATGTTCGAAGCACTGATAGCCAATATAACAGCAAGTAGTACCTGATTCGCTGAGATTAGCTACAAAGTGGAATCCCGACTCTGTTACTGTAGCACAAATTTTATATTTCTTCAAAAACTCGGATTTCTGGTTCAACCTCTCTTTTAACACTCTTTCAATACCGTATAAATCATCTCTTTTGCTGAAAATCGATGCCTACAGCGATTGTAGCAGCCACTTGGCTGTTCCAAGCGTTTTCGCTCATTACTTTATTAGCATTAGTAGGATACGCCGTTCTTAATCCTTCTAGAGGGCATATAGCAACGACCATAGTCGGTATACTACTGTTTGTATCCGGTATGCTCAATGTCGCACTTGCTTCAGGAGCCAAATTCTCCATGTTGGTAGAACAGATCTTCTCTATCATATCTGTATTATCATTTGGTATTACGGCAGCAGCACAAATCGTAGCTATCGGCGAATCATGGTTGCCGAAAGGAGAAACACTCAATCGGGCGTACGGTAGCGTTCGATTGGGTTGTGCTGTGCTGGCCATCTTGGGCATTGCAACCATTGGAGTTGCATTGAGCAACAAGCAGATCATCCTACCAAACTCTGTTTCCGGCGGTCTTTCAATAGCGGTACACTCATTTTCCTTATGTACGCTTTGGGCAGCGACCGTGTATGCTTGGGGGCCGACCCATACGAAATTTTACACCATGGCAAAGGAGCTTCATCAGAAACGCCAACAAAGAGCGCTGGACGCATGGTATGTTATGATCTATGCATGACGATTTTTGGGACGTTTGTTGTTTATAGGACTAAACCCTTTGTGTCCTGTAGGCGATTACGCTGCTACATGGCTGTTCTCGCCATATACACTATTATGACCATTGTCGTTATGGCACTTTCAGCGCAATACAACAATGTTTCGGAGAGCTTATGGTTATGGATAAGGTTGGTTCTTAGAGCTTAATGATGCGATAGATCAGCCTCCAGACGTTTTGCCTAACACTTTTGGTTAGGCTGTTGGTATTGCTTAGCAGCCAGATTTCAGTTCCATCATCGTGGCTACCTACCTCCGAATATGATCTAGATCAGTTCCAGGGCAATCAGCAAATGTATTTGCGTACGCCCGATATACAGGTAATGGGACCCATGAAGAGCGGTGATATTCATATCCCATTATCACCACCACCGCCTGTTCCTGCTCATGCTTCACCACCCAAATCATACATGCCGGGAATGGAGCAGATACCGACGCCAGAAGAAGAACAAAAGCAATTACAAGAATACGAGCGTTATCAGGAAAGTCCCATTAAGCAGCCATTACTCTTACCTCCAATGTTGAGCGGCAACGACATGTCATATCGTATTCCCAGTGTACGTATCAGTGGATTACGTATGTCTCAAGTGTGGAACGACAAGAACATGAATCACTCATGATTCATGACATGCTACTGTAATATATTGCCCCAATCTTGTTATCTCAACACATAAAACATAATACGATATAATTATTAAACATACACTTTCGGCGGACTCAAATTGTGGGGTACCCGTGCGTTGGTCATGTCCGCATTGACCATAGTCGCGCCTTTGCATGCTTCACAGCATCTTTCAAACTGACTATACATGCTTTTGGAACAGCATCAAATATTATGAGTTTCCACCGGTTTATTCCCTTGAGCGTCTTAATTTACATCGAGATGGAAGATACCAAACTAGTCTATTTTTAATAGGGGGTCACCAAGCAGTATTTACGGTGCATCTCCACCGCGTAGAAATTGCTTCTTGTGAATGGATGGGTCTACAAAGTCCTTTTGGCTCCAAATGCCTTTCTTTCGTCGCCTATAGTGAACCATTTGAAGTTAATAACATATCCAAATGCGTAGACAGTGGCCCTATTCATTTTTCCTTACTTTGCTTGCTGCTCTGCTTTTTCAAGCTTGGCAAGGTACTTGCCATACTCTGCCCCTTTGGATGTATATATGCTGGCCATGCCTGCCTTGAGCATTTCTACAGAGACGTTACGTCGAATCCAATAAAATGGCCAGGTACGTAGATGGGCCATAGCAACCTATTACGTTGAAGATTGTACATGAAGACTATGGTTAATGATAAAGAGTATTTTACGTCAATGGCACAACACCTACTTACCACACGATCATATCGGTCTCTACTGTACAACTCCAGGTGAACCTTTTTGTTTAGGGAGAGGTTTGTGAGCCAATCCTTGGATTCCGCGGAGAATGGCTGAGCGGGCATACCAAAGTGAGCGCCTTCTGGAGCATCAACGCCAGCCAATCGCACATGAAGAGTCTGATCCTTCAGTTCTGTAGACGACGATGTTACTCTACGACAGCCTCGGGTAATTCGAAGGGGTCGTCACCTACCTTTCCGAGTAGTTGGCACGCTTCGCAACCAGCCCCAACCTATGCCAGGAGTATGGTAAACACGAAAATTATCACTATCGCCAACGGAAACAACTTTTCCTTTGACTCTCTGGCTTTTGGCAAAGGCTTGTGGTGGTATATGCGCAGCCGTTGGATATCGTTTTCCGACAATCAGTCGAAAGAGGGCAAATGACGCCGGAATGCCAATGGCGGCTGCCGCTACTGACCATCCTATGGGCGCTTTTTCTATTTCTTCGGGGATCGCCTTCATGGTACGCTCAAGGACGTTCGATGCGTTATGTTCCTTGTCATTGAACAAAGTCTGCCACCATGGCAGATCATCCTTGTTGCCCATTCTCGAAGTGTTAACGGAATTTGAAAATTTTGTTCTTTTCAAATTGTCGAAAACCCTGGTTTTTTTTTATCAAGATTCCTTACCTTGAAAAATAATGGCGGCAAGGGCAGCAACTAGAGCCATCGCAAATGCTGCGGTTCGTGCCAAGATTGCATCGAGACCGTCTATTTCCCCCAGAGTCTCCCATGCTTTCCGACAACTTGCCACATCTCCAACCTACATTCGGGTCAGTGGCACCCCCACCAGACCGGCCTTTATCCCAGCCTTGCGTTGCTTTTCCTCCGAGGCACCACAGCAATACAGAACACTATCATTCTACAAATTCAGCCCTATAGACCGAAATAGCTTGAAGGGGCTGAGAGAAGAATTGCTGGCAGATCTCCATGCTATGGGTATCGTTGGCCGTATTTATATCGCCTCCGAAGGCATCAACGCTCAAATGTCATGTCCAGAAAAGCACCTTCCTCAGCTCAAATTGTATCTACAAACGAAATTGAAGTCGTTATTTGGAGAGCTGATGGATTTGAATTTGGGAACCGAGCACTCAAGGTCATTCCGGGCTTTGCACGTCCGTATTCGCAAGCAACTTGTTTCTGACGGAATGAAAGAAGGCACATATGATCTGTCACTACAGCCCTCTCACCTACACCCAAAGGACTGGCACGCAAAATTGGAAAAAGCAAGAGCATCCGGTAAAAACCCAATTCTGATTGATATGCGAAATCACTATGAAAGTCAAATTGGCTATTTTGAAGGTGCCATCAAGCCGGACGTCGAAACTTTCAAGGGCAGCATGAAAGCCATGAATGAAATTGTCAAGGATATACCAAAAGACCAAGAAGTGTACATGTACTGCACAGGTTAGAATTTCGTCTTTGAAGGAGAATGCACCAAATGGTATGCCATGACTGACTGTCAATTACTTATTAGGAGGCATTCGGTGTTCCAAGGCAGGAGCAATTCTGAGATCAGCAGGAGGATTTGAGACCGTTCATATGGTTGCTGGTGGTGTTACAGCATATGGAAGATGGATTCAGGCCCAAGAAGACAAGATGAGATCCCTGTTTCGAGGCAAAAATTTCACATTCGATGCTCGACTTGGTGAACGCATATCCGACGAAGTTCTCTCGCAATGCCATATATGCGGGCATACGTGCGACTCATTTACAAACTGTGTTAATGCTTCATGTAATTTACTATTGGTGGCGTGTTCGAATTGTAGAGCACGATTCAAGCACACCTGTGGTCGACCTGAATGCTACAAGGTGGTAGAGGACTATTATGATCAGGGTGTCGGACGATCGTTCAAGAAGCTCGGTGATTACAGCGAACGAACAGTCGTCGGTGTTGGAGCCAGTTGTGAGCATCCGCACGATACACGAATTCGCGCATCACAGGTGCTCGGAGAACCAGGCGACGTTATGAAGAAATGGGAGCAGTTAGGCTTAGAATTGCCGCCTTTGAACACTCCGGTTTAAAAATACCAGTCTCGCATTAGAAAAAAAGGATAATGGTTGTAATACTAGATTGTTTGTTGTATGTGTGTGTATGATAGAAAGAAAGAAAAAAAAGAGAGCAAGAATTCAAAACAGAAAGTCTTTGAGCTACAAAACTAATCTACAGGAATGCAGCGCATACTGGGCTCTGAAGAACCTCCTGAGGTCCACAATGAGATTGTGATAGCCGAGGTATAGATCATGGATGACATGCCAAATACAATAAGGAAGATATCGCCTGCTCTCTGACGCCAGTTAACAGCGATTGCCTTCATATGGAATAGAGGAGGGAACAAGAAGCCAAGGGGTATACAGCACGCTGAACCAATGATAGACACGAATTTGTCAAGGTCCTACATCGAGTGGAATGAAAACATGTTGAGTTAAGGCCGTCAAAGTGGATCGATGTCTAGAATACTTACGTTGGAGCCGCCAATGGCAATGATGGCACAGACTACAACCATACCGAACCGGAACATGTTCTTTTGCCACTTCACTTTCATGTTTGTTTTACCTGACAAAGTGAACAAGCCATTCTCCATAATGCGAATGGCAGGGAACAGCTGCAGGGGAATAGATAAGCAAATGGCCATGGCATAGAGTAGCTGTACCGAGTTGACCACGGCACTGTGAGCGGGAAGATTGAGAAGAATGACAGTCTCCACTTTATCACCGAATGCCAGGTAAGAAACAACACCAACAGATGTGAACAGAACAGTCATGAAAATCATGCTTCCTGTGAGCACCTTGGGGAACTTCTCTGGTTCCTTCATGGACTCAGCAATGGGAATAACTGTGAACCAATACCTGATTAGCACTTGAAGCTCGCTTTTAGTGGATTCCACAAAGAACGCTTACCTAAACCAATGCCTTCAAAAGTAAATACAGCGGTACCGACGAACAATGGGAATGAGTTAGCGTTGATGATCCATTCGATGTTTCCTAGGCCCCTGGTAACGAGGACAAAGGTGTCGTAGTAGTAAAGATAAGATAGACCAATCAGAATGAATAAATCGGCGATCAGCGCGAACACGGATAACTTTTGAATCTTTCTTATCATAGCCAATGGAACAAATATGAACAGCTGTGCGAAGATGAGCCAATGTAAGCTGATATCAGTCTTGCAATTCGAGACCGACATGATGAATGCATGAATGTTCTGGGCCACAAAAACCATATAAGCGCAAACAAATCCAACCTGAAAATAACAATGAAGTTCAGTTGATGCGATCGAATCAGTTCAGACAAAACAGGAGAGACACTGACTTGCGAGACGGCAATAGAAAACAAAACAAACAACCGCATGGCCGGACCAAAGAGCACACCACCCATATCACCAAAGGACACAGGAACTTTGTTCCTTGTTTGAATCAACAGCAAGAACGACCACAGAGACAATCCAGCAATCAATAGCATGACGGATGTTGAGAACAACAAACCACCATTTGAGAAACTAAGGAGGAGTTGAGAGCAGGGGTTGTGTTAAATCGATGAGCAAATGTATGTTTGGCAACTAAGCATATGCACTTACGCCTTTGGTAGAAACATAACACCTGTATTGCAATGAAAAGGTAGATGCCATATCAGTATAAAAATCACCAATTTGAACCATACGTAACACAAATTCGGTCCCACGGTTGCTCCAATCCCCCCACAGATAACCACGTACCTGTGCCGATAAAGGACTTGAGAATCAAAAAGACTGCTTTGGATGGCGTGGCAGTGCCTTGGACGGGTTCTAGCTCTCGGCCAGGCAGTAGAGGAGCTTCTTCGTCGATGCGAGCCAGTATATCCTCATCGCCTTCATCGTCTTCCAAATCCTCACCACCGAAATGTCCATATAGTGCCAAGAAGTCAACAAAACTACTAGTCATCCATCCTGGAGGGTTCTGTCCTTTGATGATAGCTTGTTTGTACACGTAATGTCTTCTAAAACCTCCTGGGGCTCTTAATTTCAACAGCGCCGGGTCTGACGGTTCACCCCTAGGCAAGGAAAAGGACTGGGATCGCTTTCTCCTAGCTTCCTCCTGCTCAACATTCTCAACATATTTGTATATACCATGAGTTATAGCCCCCCCTGGTAGCTGATGGAAGCTACGAGCATCGTCCGATTCTACTACATAACTGTGAGGAGACGTTCCATACGAGGAAGCAGGCGATCCTGTAGCAAGATGCATTTTTACAACCTTGGCGATTTCTTCGTCAGGAAGATCACCATGCGTGTCATGGTGCTTAACAGGTGTTGAGCTCCGAGACTGGCGTTCGAGTTCCGGACGATTTGAGTTATGTCCTATACTTCTGGCCGGCGATGAGCTTAATCGAGCAGTAAGTTCACTTCGATCAAATGACGTGGCCAGATTGCCATGAGCGTTGCTCAATTTCAAATTGTCCTCCTCCCAGCGATGTCTAGCGTGATCGCCTTCAGGCCTTATATACGGGCTACCTGAGTTACTTGGTTTTGGAGAGCCCATTGTCAAGCTTTGGAAAGACAGTAGAGGACACCACATCGTGACTTTTTCGGGATTTTTGCAATTGCTATTTTGAAAGTCCGCACAACAGCCAAATCCTCAGACCGTGCGCATAGGCGGAAAAATATCCCCTTAGCAACTTCTGCCCAATATCAGCCGGTTACTAGCAGTTGCTGTTAACGAAAATGAAGAAAAAGGACATCCTATTCTACAACTCTTGACGGAAGACAATATAAGCATGACTTTTAATGACAGATCACCTGCCAGCCACTTTGGGTGTGTGTCATCCTTGAAAATGACATGCTGTGTAATACTAAAGTCGTCGTTAGGTTATCGCCTAAACAATGCGAACGCTGGTTTTCAAAAAAGGCTGTAGATTGCAGCCTGTCATATTCGAGCATCTTTCGATTTGATATTTAAGCTATTTGTTATTGTAAACATTGTGCAAAGCGGGCATGCTCCTTTGGTTTTCTGAAAAAATGCGAGCTGCGAAAAATGTTTGGGTTTAACAAAACCAGACCGTAGCATACTCTATACAGAACTGAGGAACCCCACGGGGAAAAGATACAGTAGTAGTGTTTTTAGGCTTTTTTCTATTGTACAGCCGCTATACTGGCACTTTATTTGCAATGACATTGCTAATGCAAGAAAAGCAATGGGGGGAATTATGACTTGAATGTTGATCACACAAACACATGTGACATATGAATCCAGCTGACACCACGCTCGGCAACGTTACAAACAATTGGCCTGCATCACCAATGCACATCCTTTTCCCGAGGAGCAATATACTACGAGTCAAACGGTGAATAAGTTAAAGATGAGCTATGTTTGCAAACTACCTCCAAATCAAATTATTCACCGATCGGCCCCGGATACTGAATTACATTTGTATCGAACTAATAATCCTCGATTGAAACACTTCTTAGTTTGTTTTCATGTCGAACGAAGCCGATATAACTTCTCAGTGGCCAGGCCATGATACCGACGCCAGTGGATCGACAGAAACGATTGTCAGTGACTCGCTAACCAATTCCTTGACCGCAACTACCGTTGTCGCGTCGGCTTACTCTGCATCCTCTCAAAAACCTTCACAATGGCTAGTTGAGACGCAACGCTATTCGAAAGTCAACCGAATTGTCCTCATCTCTCTCGGTATGCTCGTTTTTGTCGCGCTTATGGCTGGATTGGTGTATTGGATCGTCAGCTTTTATGCCTTTCCACCAAGTTATTCAACAAAGTATTCCGATGTTCCATATCCAAAGCAATTGAATACTACCATAGTCAAAAACGGTGATCTCCACCAGTCATTCTATGGTATTGGATACACGCCAAGTCATACGCAGTACCCCCAATGTGGTTCAACAGCAGAAGAAGTTTTAGAGGACATAAAAGTGCTTAGCCAGCTGACATCAAGGTTGCGGATATACGGTATGCATCTGAATTTGAGAAGTGAAATTCACTCATTGACTGCTCTTGCTTTTTTGTTTTCATTGTTGTTATTTACGTTTTACTGACATGTGGACTGGGGGAAAATTCTCAACTTGTACGCATATAGGCATGGACTGTAATGCAGCAAACTATACTCTGATGGCTATCAACTTATTGGATGTCAATATGACAACACTTCTTACACTTTGGGTAGACGGCGATGAGTCTACTTACCAACGACAAAAAGAAACCTTGTTTCAGATCATCGATGAATATGGTACATCACGAATTGACGGTGTATCGGTTGGTAACGAAGTCCTCTTTAGAAACAAGACCGCAGAGCCGGATCTGATCCAGAAAATGACATCTTTGAGAGAGGAATTCCGGTCTCGCCAAATCTACCTTAACATCACAACCACCGACCTTGCCAACTTGCTCGATCCAAAAGTCATTCTAGCTGAAGACGTCGTTATGGCCAATATTCACCCGTACTTTGGTGGCGTTCCCATTGAAGATGCAACTAACTGGACCATGTCATTCAGCGAATCAGAACTTTTCAAACCAGCAAGACTTGCAAGGAAATCCGTGGCCGCTATTGCTGAGGTTGGATGGCCAAGTCGTGGTGTGTCCAACAGCGACAGTGTGCCTTCCTTGACCAATTTGCAGACCTTTGTAGATGATTTTGTGTGTCATGCAAATAAGGCCAATGTTCGATACTACTACTTTGAAGCCTTTGATGAGCCATGGAAGTCAAAAGAAAATGAATTGGAAGGAAGCTGGGGCATCATGGACGAAAATCGTAACCTCAAGGTTCGCATTCCTGTATGCTAGATTACAAAGCACTTGATTACATAATATATCGATTTCATGCAATATGAAACTGAATTAATAATTGAAAGTCTGAGGGTGTCCTTGTAGCGTGATTTTTTACATATTCATTGTTTGAAGACCATCTTTTATGTCGATGAATCATACGTTTTTTTTGCCACGTGGAGAAGTTTTTTTTTAAAACAATGGCACTGGAAAGATTTTGTCGATATAGTAACCTTTAAGTAGGTACTTGGAATACACAAATGCCTTTTTATTCAGTATCAATCTGTTATATGGCTCCGATTCGTCCCGCATAACATGTTGACTTCGAGCGGAGTATTATGCACGCTATTGTCTATGCAATGGCGGTTGGTATTTATGCGGACCGAATCTATAAAAAGGACATTCAACCAGGCATACTTCGATAATTTGTTTCAAGAAGAAAACTTTCTTTCTACCAAATTTATATCGCATTCATACAATGGGTCAAAAAATCAAAGCAATCGGATTAGTGAAGCCTGGTAATGTCTCCGTCCTCCAAGCCATGGAGATTGAAGTCCCCACTCTTGCTCCTAACGACATCAAGGTTCGCATCAAAGCTGTTTCCGTTAACCCAAGTATGTTGATGCCGCAACGTTTTTCCTTTCGACCCTAATTAGAAACATATACTCAATTTCAATCCTTTTTATCAGTTGATACAAAGACTCGCGACGGAGGATGGCCACTTTCCTCGGATCTGCCTTGGGTCCTTGGGTTCGATGCATCAGGTGTGGTTGAAGCTGTCGGTGCTGAAGCCAAACGTTTCAAAGTAGGAGACGAGGTCATGTTTGCAGGTAGTCATACCAGAAACGGGACCAATTCAGAGGTCACGGTGGTCGATGAAAGAATCGTAGGCAAGAAGCCCAAGTCGCTGTCTCACACTCATGCCTCAGCTTTACCGTTGGTTGGTTTGACAGCATGGGAAGGTAAAAGATTTTTTTTTTATAGCTTGTCACAATTTTGAAAGCCTGCAAAAAAAAAAAACTAATCGGCTTCTACAGCTCTGACCGAAAAATTGGGTATTCCCGAGAATAACGAGGCAAAGGATTTGACACTGTTGATCGTCAACGGTGCAGGCGGAGTAGGATCATTTGCAACGCAACTTGCAAGAAACATTCTAAATGTTAAGAACGTCATTGTGACAGCCAGTCGACCTGAGACCATTGAATGGTGCAAGAACCAGGGAGCAACTCACATTATCAATCACAGAAAACCCTTGAAGGAACAGATCGACGCACTTGGTCTCACTGTCGATTGCGCTTTTCTCTGCTTTGACACCAATGGTTACCTTCCGATTTTGTCCGAGGTCGTGAGACCCTTTGGCCAGATCGTATCCATAGTGGAAGTCCATGAGCCTATTAACTTTGGAGAAGCTTTGTTTAAGGCTCAAACCTTCCACTGGGAACTCATGTTTGTCAAGCCTGCAACCAACTACGATGTCTTGTCGCAAGGTCTTATCTTGGACAAAATCGCTGACCTTATTGACAACGGTACCCTTAAACGCCTTGATACGAAAACGTATGACGACCTATCAGTTGCCAACTTGAGAGAAGCCCATGAGACTTTGGAAAATGGTAAATCCATCGGAAAGATCGTACTCACTGTCACCGACAGTTCTTTCCAGTAGTATAGCCACATCTTGCACAATAAAATATGAAATTCTTTGCAGTATATTTTGTGATGTGTTGTGTTTGTACAGTATGTTGAGCTGTCCGTTGTGTAATATCGATGGATGACCTTGATTGGAAAGCTGACGATGTTTTGCCAATCTAAAGAAACTCACGAACCTTTAAAAAATGGTATCTGTCAAGGGAAGATTGTGCTCACTGTCACCGACAAGTTCTTTTCAATATTTGAAAATGTTCCACATCGGGCACAATGAAATGAATGTGATTGATGTAATATTATATGATATTTATTGTACAGTATGATCTGTAATATGGAGGTATTATCTACAAACGTAATAAGTATATAGGACTTTTTAGGTAGGACTTTCCAGTCATTTAGGCGTACACGTCCACGCCAGACCAGTTAGCCGTTGCCAATGGGCATTGATCTATTGAGTCAGGGTTGTTACCCCACCAAGTTGGGAATTCAATGTTGTTGTTTTGGAGAGCAAAGAACAGAACGATGGCACAGATAGCAACACCAGAATCCATTGCAGCAGAGATAACATAGTTATACTTTGACCACCATGCTTTGAAGTTCTTCTTGATATAAAAGTTGAACACAAAGCCTAGGGCGACCCATGTTGACATGAGAGCGGTTGGGGCAGGGGGATAAGGTCCCAAACCAAGGCATACAACTGGGATGTTGATCTTTGCAACCCAAGAGTTGGGATATTTGCGAGCAAGGAAGTAGAATGGAATAGGAAGCAAGAAACCAATCAAAAGGAAGTAGGCGATTGGGTTGTAGAGAGTTCCGGCTTCGAAAAACTTTCCTGGTCCGATCAAACCCCAAATGACGGAACTGGCTCCAAACAAACTGGCGTTGGGACAAGTGAAAGGATAAGCTGAAGGAGTACAGATGTTGGCGATGGTGTCCATAAGATACTGCGTGGTGCCGAGTGAGACGAAGGATGCAATGATGGTACCGATAATTTGGAAGATAAACATTTCACGGGGAGGGATCTTCATGTAATGACCAAGCTTTAGATCCTGGGCAAACAAAAGAGCTTGTTTGCACACGAGATAACCATAAGTCTTGAAGATCATGTTGCCAATGGGATGACCAGGTCTCATAGCACCATAAACCCATTCTGTAATCATGGAGATGGTGGGTTGTTGTGAAGTGATGGCAGTAACGATACCGATAGGGATAAGCCAGATGAAAGCGAGAATGATAGCGATGATCAAAGCCCACCATGGCATATCGGATGGCCACAAAATGATGGTGACGAATGAAAGAGCCAACATGATGACAAAGAGGACAAGATACCACCAGTCGGGCACTTCTTCATATTCATCCATCAAACGAGCGTGAATATCGTCGTTGGCTTGCTTGGCGGAGCGGAGACGAGCCAAGACATCTTTGCCGTTATACAAAACAGTGTGCGTGACAATAGCTCCAAGGGCAAGTAGACCTTGTCCATAACAGATTGCGAAAAATCCAGTGATGCGCACAGGTGAATAATCTTCATAAGCTGCTTCGTTGAGGTATTGCTCAGGTGTAAGAATTCTGGAACGGTTGTACTTGCCACCCCATTGGTCGTACTGGTTGGTGTTGTAAATGGGAAACATTTTGCTGTCGAATGAGTCTGTGTAATACACAGCGGGAACAATGATGTATACAAAGGCAACAAATCCGGCCAACATATTAGCTTGGACCACCCATGGAATGGCCAAAGGACTGGGAAGCCAAGCGGTCATGGTACTCCAATCCAGGGTGAAACTCAAAACACCAAGGCCATTCATGCCACTACCGATTTGAGAAACCAAGACTGAGTTCTTGTTGGTCCAGCAGATCCAAGAGATGGATGTGAGAATAGGCATCATGTATCCAGGCAAGAAGTACCAGCAGAAAGAGAAGACAAAGCACACTAGGAACATCTTGTTACGAGACCATGACAATCCACGAACAGCCTTTTCAGCATCACGAACAGCCTTGGGGACTTCACGATGCAATGTGTGGAAGAGAGTAGCGTTGACCAAATTGATGGGCCAGACCATAGAGGCAGGGCGGACCAAGAATCGTCTGGTCATACCGGCGAAGGCAAAACCCAAAATACTAGTGGTCAAAACCAACAAAATACCGCCTCCGAATCCCCATGACTGATCGTAATAAAGCTTTTGCACGACAATGATATCAATGGCATCAAAAGAGGTGGCTGCGGCGTTGGCCATGACGGTGATGAGAACGTGTTCCTTGACATTGAAAGGCCCGCTGTTCAGTGAAAAGGTGCGTCCGAATAGAGTCCATTGCCAGTTAGGCATGATAGCTGCCGTCAAACGGCCAGCTGGGTATGCGAGCAATTGAACGACGAGGACCTTGATAGTAAGAGGGTTCTTACGGAACCAAAAGAACTATAAAGAGACTTTGATTAGAATCAAGGTCGGAACTAGTCACAGATCGCATAGCAAAGCATACCTGGTTACTGAATGAAATGGCTGCTGAAAACACAATACCCCAGAACCATGCGCGAAAGGTGGCGGTAGGAAGTGTGGTATCATCGGTTGGTGGCACACTTGCGCGCACTTCCTCAATAGGAGAATCTTCGATGCTGTGGTTAGAGGTCTTTTCCAGATCAGAGGAGCGATCAAAGCCGTCCTCAGAAAGCTGAGGAGGCTTTTCATCAGCAAATTCGCTCTTCTCCATGTAAAAGTGAGATTAAGAAGAAAGAAGTTGAAAAAAGCTCTTGCCGGCGGTAAGCTTATATGCTAGCCAAAGGTGACAAATTGTAAGTAAAAAAAAAATTATAATTAAATCGGCGACAGTTTGAGCAACGATGTCGCAATTTTCCTCATTGTTGATATGCTCTCCCAACAACAGCTGTCAGATTTGGTCTCGGGGAATCATTTTGAACAATTTGTATTTATTATACCGCTCAGATCAGTTCAGTTCACAAAGAGGTGCTCATCGTATTGCTTGTATCAAGGCTAAGTATTACAGCAGTTTTTAGGCTATCTTTGTTTATCATCTGATGGCACTGTTTTCACACAGTGTCCTGACAAATATATCTAGGTGCAGACAGAACTTCTTCCGGCCCACCGGCAATGCCAGAAACATCAACAGTATTTTTTTTGGCTTGCAACAGAGAGAATGTTAGCACGCAATATACTCGAATTTTCATTGGACTATTAGCAAAATGTAGTCCGCACGAGCGAACAGACTCAGTCGTTTCTTCTGAACGGGTCCAATCATGTCCGACGAACCCGAGACAATATGTACCTGAGGCAAATTCAATTGATACATAAAACGGATTCTGCTCATTTCTTGACGGAACGAGCATTCTTTACAAAGCGTTGTTCCCGAAGGATAAGTTAGCGACCTACGGCCGAGGGAGGGTTTCCATAGGTTCTAACCATGTATGCCCTCTGCAGTCACGAAAGGTCATACAAACTCAAACCAAACCATTCGATGGATGTGCGCCGACCCTGAGCAGTTACGCCACCAAAAAAAATTGACCCTATTAGCCCTGAATCAAAGGCCATACCAGTGATCCAATTGTGTTACGGGCTTAACATCGATCGACTGCTTGAAGCAATATGTATCAATTATTTAAAGCCTAGTCAGAGCTGAGACTGGAAATGTGCATAATCCATAGGATGACAACTTATACAGCACTATGGCGAACACATAATATCATACACAAGGTTCATGGAGTAGCCGTGTCGAGATATGTAAGTTTACTCTATGAAGTACAGTGAGTGACAAAATATCTTCATACGCCAGTGAACTATAAGTTGAGTGTTTTATGTAGTAAAGAGTAGTCGTTATCACCATTCGCATCCGTATTCCTCAAATGAGAATTAAGTGTTTGCGAGTCTGCTCTCATGCTCCTCTAGAATACTTGTTAAAATCTGACTTTGGGGTTATACTGTTTTGTATGATTTTCGCGGCCTGAGTAAATTTGATATATTTGGTATACATGTGATTAGACTGTAAATTTTCGTGCACTTGAATGATGATTTGAATGAAGTTTTGAATAAAGCTTCGAATTTTTGTTCGAGGTCAGTATGATACGAAGGTCAGAGGCTTGTAGCCTCCTGTTATATTGAAGCATCTAATCAGCCTATTTTACCAGAGGTCAAGAAGCAATACCAAAAAACTCATTTGCTTACTCAACTCAAGCACTAATATTAAGTAACGGATTCCCCTTATCTCATGAACCAAATTACAGAATAGCTTGGAACCTGGTATGAGTTGGAACATCCTGCCGAAGTTGCAAAAGCGGCACTGAGTTTCAATTTTGCGCAAATAGATTTTGCACATTGTCGCATTCTGATGTTCCTCCTCTTTTATTACAAGTGAGTATCTTTATATGCAACAGCAAGCGAATATCACAGCAATCCATCCATGATCGATGCATCTATTAGATGGATGGATGGAACGAGACATGGTTCGCCAGCACTGCAATTCGAAGCATTCCCAAAAGAAAAATTTACTGACTCCTAATTACCGTCATTCAGAAATGTCTGCTGAGGAAGAACACGTTGCTGTTGACGCCCAAGAAATCGAGGTTGCTGCTGATGCCACCCAAGGACAAATGTCCGTTGAAGAGGCTCTCCAGGAAGTTCTTCGTCGCGCTTTGGTCCACGATGGTCTTGCCCGTGGTCTCCGTGAAGCCGCCAAGGCTCTCGACAGGTAATTACATGCAAACAAGAGCCACTGCAATCTTTGCCAATTTCTGTAACTCATCCCTTCACCCTCAGACGTCAAGCTCACCTTGCTGTCCTCGTTGAGACCTGCACTGAGAAGGAGTACATCAAGCTCGTTGAGGCTCTTTGCGCTGAGCACAACATCAACTTGATCAAGGTCTCCGATGCTAAGAAGCTCGGTGAATGGGCCGGTCTCTGCAAGATCGACCGTGAGGGTAACGCCCGTAAGGTTGTTGCTTGCTCCTGCGTCGTTGTCAAGGACTTCGGTGAAGAGTCCGAGGCCATGAACGTTCTTTTGGACTGTAAGTTGACCATTCATTCTATGTGATCTATAATATACCACTGCACCATGTCGCTAATACATTGATGAATTTTCAGACTTCAAGACCCGTTAAAAAGTTTTGTTTTCTTTCACAAAAATAAAATTATAAAAAGACGTTTATCGGTCTAATATCCTAAATCTATCATATTTTAACGTGGATGGAGTAAATGCAATGGGTCGAGTAGTGTTAGAAACGTCGAGTTGTATACATTCAAGTAACAGCGATAATGGCCGTTACACTTTTCTTAACTACATTGCATTCATGAGCTACATAATCAGCACCAATATACGTATAGGCCTTCACGTATGATACACTTATTTCACCGTTAAATCATTATTTTGAACATCAACTGAATGAGTAGTTGCAAATGGAACCCAGCCTCTTTACAGAGCCCAAATGGGTTCTCTAAAGCATTCTTGTTTTTTTTATTGCAAGTGCGGAAGTATTATGACAAGTATTCAACAAAAGGCGAGTGCTTTAGATGAATCCAATCTTGTTGGCAACATCAAGAGCATCGGCATCAGCAGTCAAACGAACATAAGCCTTCTTCTGACCATCGGGTCTAAGATTCGAAAATAAGATTAGTTATGTCTCTTCAGGTGATAGATACACATGAAAGCAAGGCATACCTGATGAGGGTGTTGATCTTGGCGGCTTCAACATCATAGAGCTTCTTGACAGCATCCTTGATTTGTCTCTTGTTGGCCTTGACATCAACGAGGAAGACAAGGGTGTTATCATCCTCAAGCTTCTTCATGGCAGTCTCAGTGTTAAGAGGCTGACGGATGACGCGGTACTGGTCCATGCGGGGAGCGTGGGGGATGGACTTGCGGCTGTACTTGGGAACACGAGCAAGCTTGAGAGTCTTGGGCAAGTGGAAGGTGGTGGTGGTGCGGACCTTGCGTTGAGCCTTGCCTTGGGTACCCTTAAGGGCAGCCTTCTTGGCATTGAGAGCCTTGTTCTTAGCAACTGTGAGATGAGAAAACGAGTGTGCTCATTAGTGAATTGCTGGAAACAAGAAACAAGGGGACAAGTAATAAAACGAGCGGACGGACGAATGGAAGAGGATTATTTTTTTTCGCCAAAACATGCTCAATGTTTAAAAAAAAAAATAACGATTGATTGCCGAACGCATGGTCGAGTCGAAGTTATGGCTTCGAAATTGTAGTCGTTTCGAGTAACACTGTTGGCTACTGGAGTGTAGCCACCCAATATCGTGGTAATGTTGTAAAATGTCAGTGGGCTGACAATAATGTCGAGTTTGGCTTTAGTGGGCAGAATCGTGCTTGAAAAGACGTTATCGAGTTTCGCAAAAGCCATCCATCATACATCATCCATCTGTCCATGAAGCTCATCCATCCGTCGTCTATTACGAGATTCATCGCAGTGATATCGTACCTGGAGCCATTGGGATTAGAAAAGAGGGAGACTTCGATTTCGGCGTTGATGGAGGCTAATATCCTGGGCTGGCAATTCTGGCACCAAAAATAATAATCACGTGCTCAGTCAATTTTCCAAAGCACCCCTTCCAGCCGCGCTTCGTTACAAGAAGTAATGAATGTCTTGCTCCAACGCAACCCCCTCGCAATAGATCCAAATGATATAAAATAATCAATTTCTATAATATATATGTATTTATATTTTAGTAAACAACACAGTGCAAAAAGTAAGCAGCCTGATTGATGAAGCTAGTGTCCAACAAAATTGTACAGTCCCAAAAAATAACCACCATGTGAATTATGATATATAGCGAAGAAAAAAAACAACAACATTGAATACAAAGGATGAAATAGACATTATACTGCAGCATGATTGAGCTGCCACCGTGGTTTCGGCATGGGCCAGTTACCATTGGGCAACTGCTGTGGCTCATCATTCCATACGACCGGTCGGTTCCAGCTTGGATCAAAGCTGGCACGTTGTTGCATGGGTTGCGGCATGGGTTGCGGCATATGCATACTGTTGTCTTGCTCTGGAGGGTAGTTCCAATTTGGTGGTGGAGGCATGTTGTTACCGCCTGGAGCAGGCATATAATGCTCATACGGTTCATCGTAAGCGCCTTCGTCATCTGACTGCTCACGCTCATATACATGTTGTTGTGGAGGACCTTCGTCAAACCTCACTCTCCTATTGCCGTTCAATTCCATGTTGGGTTCCATTTGATTGTAAGATTCAGGTATGGGTGCTAAATTTGAATGGTATTGAGGGGGATATATGTTTTCGTTGGAATAATCGGATAACGAAGATGTGGTGCTGCCGGAATCAGACGGTGGATGGCCAATAGTGATAGAATCGTCACCGTCCATGAAAGCAGGAAACACCCGTAGTGGTTTTCGTCGCAAGTAGCTTGATCGAGGGAAATTTGAGTTATTCATTCCTGGCGTTGGCGTGGGCTCTGGCATGCCTTGCATCCCTGGGAGGCCACCATTTCCATCCATATCACCAAAGCCCATCCCTTGGGGTATGCCCATGATGGGGTTTCCCGCTTCATCCAGGATGGGAGGCTGATTTCCCATCATCATATCTCCAGGAGGGCCATCGAAAAACATCATATCCTCTCGTTGGTCAATGATGATGATCGGTTTGAGTTTGTTACGTCGTCGATCCAATATGACCGGGTTTTTGTTCGGGAGTCCTTCTCCTCTCACTGGACAATAAATGTTTCAAGTTAATTTTCTCAGTTTATTCCAGGCACCCAGGCTCGCGAGGCACCATTACCTATGATGACTGGCGGTTGACCATCAGGTGTAGATTCCCGCCGAACAACCACAATGGGAGCGGGAGCGAATCGAGTACATTCGACAATGACAATGGGTTGGAGTTCATGACCGAGCTGAGCGGCCGTATCTATTTCAACTATTCCGTCCAGTGTTTCTTTCCCAGTTTATGTAAGATAAAAAAGTTTGTACAAGAAGAAAAAAAAGAAAAGCCAAGAGTGATGATTTTAGTTGGATGTGTTGTGTTATGGAAACCTTCGTCCGTAAAAGGCAATGTTTTCGAATCAAAAAGTGTTTATTCTTTCGTTGACTCTGAGGTTTGTCTTTCCAACTCGGCTATCCACAAATTGAACCGCTCGGAAGCCGACGAATCATGTAAGGCATAAGCAATGGTAGCGGACCAGTACAGAGCAACAGCATCATTAGGACGTGCAAGAGCGTTGAGTGCATTGAGTCCATAGCCTGCTCGTTTCGATTGTAAGTAGCTGAGGACAAAGAGTTAGCTGAGTTACATGGAAGATCAGCCAAAGCAGGAGTGCGATATCATACCATTTTGCGGCAAATTCGTACTGAGATACGGTTTCTAGGTAAGCCCCCCATTCGTTAAAAAGCTCGCTAATAATGTCACTGCCTTCCGGTAAACGTAATTTAGCTAGGGCTATGGCCTCTCTACAAGTACAGTGTTTAGTAACGAATAAACCTCCATTGTTATGTGAAACATATCCTTACTTGTACAGTTTGGCTCGTCGATAAACGTCTATGGCTGGATATACTTGAAACGCAGCAAGGTAGCAGACCACAGCCCCATGCGGGTTGTTGGTCATGTCCAGTTTGGCAGCTAACCTTACAACTTTTTCTTCCCACAACTCCCTACTGACTGTTGATACAAAACACACATTAGTTATCCATTTTACAAATAATCGTCATAGAGTAATCCACCTACACATCGGGGCAAGTGCCAGTGCTACCCAGTCTTCAGTAGTGACCATGGTGTTGCGGCTGTCACTTGCATCAATGGATTCGCTCGTGTTGCGCATGACATCGAGAAGTATTCTGGGGTCGAATGATGCTTTGGATGTTACATCGGTGACACCAGATATTTGCTTGCCGGTGTTGGTTTTGTTATATGTATCAACTATTTGCAAGACATTGGTCAAAACCGATCAATAAATGCAACAAAGGTTTCATTTAAGCCGTCCTACCTTCTTCATCCATCATGTCCCGCACTCGATTTTTACTCTCAAACAGAGCTGAAAACAATGGGTCGCCAGCAGTATCTAAGTCGCTTTGCTTCATACAGGCGTCCAATGTCTCTTTCGTCTTTATCGTGTCCAAATTCCCAAGCCTATCAAGCGCTTTCTTCTCCATGTCTTCCACGATTGATTCCCAGTTCCCGCACACAGCGGCAATTTTCAAACATTCGTAGCACGTACTGATACGACTTGCATTTTGTATTGATGCCTCTAAACGAGTGAAAATTCCATTCTCAGCATTACCTTTTGCCTTCTTTCTTGCATTGGCAGTAACTCGTCCAGATTGCTGTTGATCGGCTGTCCGTTTTGCAGGAACTGATTTGACGTCGCGCACCTCAGATGCATTTACAGTGCCATTTTTCGATGGCTTTGCAATCATTTTTCGATTCCAATTGACGCTATTTATGGACTTTTTGATGACCTGCTCATTTTCTTGAGAAAGAAGATATTTGAGTACCAGTATGCGACCTACAAAATGTACTACCATGTTCTTACCCTCCATAACGCGTAGTTCATCCGTTTTCCAAACATGAATGCAGTGGTCTTCGTTACCAGAAAATAAGGTGGAGGGTATAGTTGGGCTCCAGCACAAGGATAAAACACGTATAAAACTGGGTATACAATTGAGTGGTCGTTCGCGATCAAGATCCCAAATCTGAAAACAGGGGTATCGATGAGCCTCCAAGTCGTTTGCCTTCTTCTGCAGTATTGTGCACACTTACCAGGATATTTCCGTCGCTAGAAGAGGATGCAAGCTTATTTTCATTTTCACCTGGTTGCCAGGTAATATCTGTGATCCCTTCCAAATGGCCCTTGAAGACCTGCACAAAGGTAGTGGCCGGGAGCGGGATATCTATTCAAGGAGTGCAAAAAGTCAGTAAAATGGAATGTATGGTTTGATATCTTGACTAGACGTACCTTGTAGGTTGTTGATGTTGTCTGCCTTGCCCAAGTAATGCGCGCAGATAGTAGTGTCAGCAGAGCCAGTCGCTAAATAACTATGCTGGCCATCTAGATGAAAGTCAGTGGTGAATTTCAATCATGGAGAAGCACAGGGCATTGAGTCTATGACATACCTTTCTTGGGTTTCCAAGCCATACAATTAATTGTCTTTGTTTGATTGTTAGCCGTATACAAAAGTTTTAAATTGCTCAAGCTGTACACTTCAATGGATCCATCAGTGTTACCCAGCGCTAGCATTTCAGTATCGTTATCCACTGCAACATCACACCGTGATATTCCTTTCTCCTATTAAAAAATAATGGTCAATGCCTACCAGCCAAATATACAAAGTCGTTGAAATATATACCTGAACAGACTGTATCCAAACAGAGTTTTGTTCCCTGAAGGCGTCATCGATATTGACAGCAGGCTTAGAAGGCTTCATGGAGTCGTGGACGTAGACGGAGCGGCCATCACAGCTTAACACCCAAGGTCCTTGGGATGAACCATTTCCTTGCAAAGCTAGCGTAAATGCGTCTGAGGACGTTACCCAGTCCAAGGAGTATACAGTTCCCTTGTGATATGACTTGAAAGATGTAGTTTTGCCACTGTACGTGTCAATCAAGCTCACAGATCCGTGCTCCGTACCAAACACAAGCGAACCTTCATTTTGTGGGTGCCATTTGAGCTGTAAAACGAAGGGAGGATTAGCGACTTTATTTCCAGCGGCCACACACGCTGCGTATACTTGCCTTTGTAATTTTCCCCTTCAAACCCTTCCAGATGTTTTCAGAGCGGTATAAATCTCCAGCATTCGAAAGGCTAGAAAATGCATCCTTGGATATTGGCACATTCCATATTTTGATGTTACTGTCACTCAGGGCAACTGCCATTTTCGTTACATCTTCTTTGCTGATATCCATCGAGTAAGGTATTCCTCCCATCGTTCTGATTGCAAACTCTTTCTTTATATGAGTTGTATCCCACTTCACAACCTGGAGGTAGAGAAAAAGATTGGAGAAAGAAATAAAGGCGTAATCATGATCGATATCACAGACTTACCGATCTATCCATAGAATGCGAGATGGCAAACCGCCCGTCATCCACTATGTCAATCCCAAATACAGATCTTGAGTGCAGTTCAGTAAACCTTTTGTATTTGTTGCTCTTGGGTACAGCTTTGTCTATGTCTATGTAAATTATGTCCCCACTAGAAAGAAGGGTGAGATATTGTAGATGGATGTTGGTATCTTCAATCATGCGTACTTACTTCAAGGAAGAATAGAAGAGACGCTGAGGTAATATAGTGGACCACGCTACCACTGTGAAAACGCGCGACTGTTGATTGTTTGTCATCTGTTTGTCTTTGGGAGGTGACACTTTTAGACGGACGTCCTCGTTTGGTACATCCCAAATCACGAGAGATCCATCCCTAGATCCGGAAGCCAGCTTCGGCCAGTTAGTGTTTTGCTCGAATGGTTGAGTATGTTGCCATCGTAATGATTGAATTTCGTCAATCTGGTGTTCCAGTCGGTATAGTATTTCAAATTGCTGCAAACTGTTTAGCTTGCCAACGATAATCATACCATTGGCATACCTAAATCAAGAACGATTTAGTACCATCCAAGGGCAAATTACGTTCATCCTCTGCCTAACCTACCCAACAGCTATTATATCTTCCTCTTCAATCACTGTCTGACCGATTATTCGAATTGTGTTGTTGATGTGAACTTTAGACGCAATGACATCCTGAGATCTATCCCAGATAGATAACTGGCCATGTTTGTCACCTATAAAGGATGGATCGTTACAAACTTTAAATACTCCATGCCGATAATAATGAACACTTGAAAAAAAATAACCTAGTAATCTACATACCTGATATCAATACAGTGCCTTTTTTCGCCCAACAGAGAGCATTGACTTCTGCCTGGTTCGGATATTAGCTTCACATGTCAAGATCTGATATCACATAGATCAATTCGTTACCTGGTGGCGAAGATGGCCGTTTTCTAATTTACAGTTATCCAAGTTCCAGCATCGAACAGCTTTGTCCTGTCCTGTCGTGGCGCAGATCGTACCGTGTATTGCGATTGCATGCAGCTTATGCTGAGAGGCTATGAAGGAGTTCTGTACTCGGAGTGTGTTTGAGTTGAGAGCAATAATCCTATTCCTGGAAGCATAGACATACAGCTCAAGGGGACTGCAGAAGGCGGATACGGCAGCACCAAACCAGTTTGGAGCAGAAGGAAATGTCTCGCATGGACGAGCAACATTGTCCATGGTGTTCGGCGGTAAAGAGGAACCCGAGAAAGGCGGTCACTTTCCAACGAGGCGACTGAAATTTTGGGAAGCAAAACGCTTACAATAATTTTTTTTATTATTTTCAAATCGTAATTCCTAGATCTAGTTGAAAATGCCATCCGAACTTAAAGTTGTTCTTCCTGGCGATTTAATACCGGCAGCCGATGAGAATGACAAGTCTCAAATGGAAGTGGACGATGAAGCCCCAGTTGTTCGTCTGGGACCCGGCCTGACCCAAGTCCAAGAAGATATCGTGTCGATGAAGGCTGGCGTGTTGAAGCATCAAGACACTGGAAACAAATGGTGGTTAGAAAGTAATCAGCGACGAGTAAGTGCCAACATTAGTACGCATTTGTGCCTACTTCTATGTTCTAATGCACAGCATTTGTGATCTAGTACGTTGCGGCCACGGGAGAATCCATTATTGGTATCGTCGTTGCGCGACTTGCAGAGTACTATCGTGTGGACATTGGAGCAGCCCAATCTGCCATTCTTCCTATTCTTGCTTTTGAAGGAGCAACGAAGAAGAACAAGCCAAATTTGATACCTGGAACTTTGGTCTATGCCAGAGTCATTCTCGCTAACAAGGATATGGAAGCCGAGCTTCAATGCTTCAACCCGTCCACAGGAAAAGCAGACGGATATGGAGAGCTGAAAGGTGGTTTTGTGATCAAATGTTCACTTGGACTTTGCCGAAGGTACAGTAATATTACTACTTTATTCTGACGGCAAACATGAATGTCATACTAATTCGTACCATCTCCCTTTTGTCAAACTAGGCTGCTCAACCCTGAAACACCGATTCTTAGCTTCTTAGGAGAACATTTTCCATTCGAAACTGCAGTCGGTATGAACGGACGGATATGGGTCAACTCTGAAGGACCAAAATATACCATTCTTCTTGCCAATGCCATCAAAAACTCTGAATATCTCAGTGAGGCTCAATGCAAAGCCATGGTGGATTCTCTCGTCGACAAACTGTAATAGACTTATAGGCATGTGAATGCTATTTGAACAACATTGTATATATAAACAATTTCAGAAAAACAAATTGGAAACCATGATAATGGTCATTGCAAAAGATACGAGAAAGGGTGGGTGGATTGAGTAAAGGAAAAAGGTGGCTTTGCTTATAGGATGGGAACATCTTTCTTTATATATGGGTAACTTGTACGAGTAGCAGTATTGTGGTAATATTAGGCCAACTTGTTCGGGTTCTCTATTACTTGTACAATTGATCTTCCTCGTCAGTGGTGGCATCATTGAAAATGAGCAAGTTTGGAGTGTCCTTGGGAAGTGATTCGAACACACCCTCGGTGGCTAATTCGAGAATCTTCTCCTTGAGTTCCTTGGCCGTCAACTCAACCTCACTCAAGCTGAGGAAGTAAGCTGCAAGACCGGCAACATGAGGACTAAGAGATGAAGGATGTTAACACATGTTTCGGCTTAGGAGCAGGGTGGGGGTGGTTTTACTGTGAATATACGTACGATGCCATGGAGGTACCACTCAAAGTGGCAGTAGCGTATTTACTACCTCTGTAGATACTTTGGATGTTGAGACCAGGAGCAAATACGTCAACGCACTTGCCGTAGTTTGAGAAGTACGCGCGATCGTCATCCACGGTGGAAGCACCCACAGTAAGAGCATTTGCTGATGCAGCTGGAGAGTAGTCACAGGCATCACGGTTATCATTACCAGCAGCGACGGCAAAGAAAACGCCTTCTTCCACAGCCTAACAAGACGACGAAATTGGTTCATAAACATAAAATAAGACACTGGAGAGAGATGAAGGAATGATCACTTACCCCATCGACGGCAGCATCCAAAGCTCTTGACTTGCCACCACCAAGACTCATGTTGGCAACAGCACCCTTGTATTTCTTACCAGCCTTGGCGGCTTTAGACTCATCCAGCTTATGTTGTTCCACTGACCAATCAACGCCCTTGACTACGTCAGACATGGTACCTGAGCCACTACTGCGAAGCACCTTGACAGCCACTGGGTTAGCCTTCTTTGCAACGCCGTACCGTTTGCCAGCAATTGTACCAGCGCAGTGAGAACCGTGCCCATTACCGTCTTCGTCCTCATCGTTATCGGGAATAGTGGCACCCCATGTAGCACGACCGTTAAAGTCAACATGCTCCACATTGATACCGGTGTCGATAACATAAACCTTAACTCCTTCACCGCCCTCTGGGTCATATGAGTACTTTGAGAATGTTTTCAAACTCAAAGGTTCCCTGTGAGAGATACGGGCCAAGCCCCATGGCGCATTTCGTTGAAGCTCAGAGGCATAGACCATAGAGTCCCGCTCGACATAGGCAACCTATTGAACCTCAAGGTAAATGAAAAAGGTCCAAAACACCATAGTACGGTAAAAGAAAGGATACCTACATCAGGAGACGAACGAATGCGTTCAAGTGTGAGGTCGCTGAACTTTCCGGTGTAGCCAGCAACGGTGGGAAGATTAAACGTGTGCTTGATACCAGCTGCGACGGTTGGGTCTAGGAGAGAAGTAGCCACAGCATCATCATTATGGAAAGAGTTGACCCAGCCGCAATGGGCAGCAGCTCTTGCTTCGTCAACATGGTCCTTCAATACAACAATATATGATTCTGGGATGGTATCTGTTTCTGTGCTAGTGTACAAAGGAGCCAGGGTGGGAGATGTGGTATGGAAAGGAGCGGCGGCGGCATATCCAGCCAACAAAAGAGCTGAGGTGAGTAGAGACAACTTCATAATAAAAAGAACAATTGTTTGTATGAGAAGACGTGCGCTGAGCTTTTAAAGGAGTTCTTGCCTGGCCCGTCATGAGTCTTATCTTCCCCCAATTTTGGCCATCTGACTGACTCACGGGACTGCATGCGAGGCGATCTCTCAGCACCCTTTAGACTTATCAGCTGCTTATGGTGTGATCTTTAAATTCACCCACCAGGATTGGTTCCCTCACTCAAGATACTGTTTTTATTTATACTGTACGCTTGAATTTTTACTGGTCCACTCTTGAAACCCACCGCATAGTAATCCCCAAACATGACATGCCTAGACACCACAAGGATAAAATATCGAGCATATCATTTATGTTCAAGCTGTGATGATATATGACTATATTTTTTTTTTTACAAGTATTGACGAGGGTAGCGTGGGAAACAATTCTACGAAAAAAGGGAGACGAATTATTACATATGCGTATTACGGGAGGGGTGCCAAGTATGATGCGTTGGCGGTTGTTCAGTAGATTGGTTTTGGTGTCGATAGGCCAGTGTATGTAGATGAGACGGTGCAGGTTTGGGTTGAGGTTGGACGAGACACTTGAGCTCGAATAAGACCTGATAAACATCATTCGAAGCGTCCGTCATGGCTCCCCGGATAGTTCCGTTTTTCAACGCCGGTGACAAGGATTGGATATCAATGCCAGAGATGATTTGTTCCAATGCCCCCTGATTTGATTGCAATTAGTGTATGAGCCAAATAGCGTCATCAAAAAGAAAAATGATACTTACAGTGAGCATGTGACGTATCTCTATGAAATTCGGTTCAAAGGCAAGGACATAGGGGTACGAGAAAGCAAAAGACTCTGGTTGACCTTCCCATTCTATAAGGAAACCAGACCTCTTTCTGCGACCTTTTCCATCAATGTAAAAGGCATATTCTACAGTCACGGTTTGGTGAGTCGGATCCTCTACAAGCAAAACACTTCATAGAACACCACTTACCATCATAGCATACAAGGTGCTCATTTGATTCAATTCTGTAGGTACAGATATGCTTTACACCCTGGCGAATGTTCAGCACAGAGTCGGGCATTTCGCGATCTATGATAAAGCCAAGGTCAGGATCATTGGGATCCAGTAGAGCTAAACAGAAAAGAACGGTTAAAAATCCAAGTAGCCATCAACAAGCTATAAGCGGAGAGTAGTACCTTGGGTATTTGTTGTTCTCATGTCGACCAATTGAACGCCGCGTTGACAGGTGATAAACATTTTGGTTGCACTCAGATCCACCGACCAAGCTTCACCAGGAATATAGATTTCCTTGAAGAACTTGAGGCCAATCTCGTTGTAAGCCTTTTTGCGTCCAAAGGCAGATTTCTTTTTGGTGTCACCAAGCAAAGTTGGTTCATAAGTAGAGACATAAGAATTAAGGGACGATGATTTGGGTATACAGATAAGCTTTTTGTTGAGACATTCGCCAACAAATATAAAAGGGGTATGCTGTCTGAGCTTATGGCCAGCGTCGGGCTTTTCTCCTGTCTTTGTGTGCAAAATATCAAAGGGAAATTCCCAGAGAACTCTGTCTGCCACCACCAGCAGGGTAAACGTCTCTTCAATGACTTGAATCTGGGTACAATGATCAAGATGAAGGATTCGTCTAGGCGGGGCAATGTCGCCTGTTCTACCGAGATAAACGCCCTGATCGGCGGCCAGGAGGAAGTAGCGCCCATTGTCGAATGAGATAGTATGGTTCACTCGGTTGGTGAGAGAAAAGAGTCGATCACAAATGGTCACTAGTTCAAATATTTGTCGATTTTTCGTCAGAGCCAGTTGCTGCTTTTCAATCTTGTCGATCCATGGTCTCCTTGCAGCTAGTGTTGCAGCATACAAAGTGAAGTGGCCGGATCCCTTTCGGCCAATATGATGGAACGATATCGGGTACCCTCCTTTGCCTCCAGTCCATCCATTGGAGGTATTGAGATCGCCAGCAAGCGGTCGCCCTGGAGTTGTGTAAGTCATATTATGCTGAATATTCGATCCTGGCCGTGCATAGGGCAAAATAGAACTGGCCCGCCTAATCCTAAGTTGCTCTGGAACACCTACAACAAGCAAGTCCAAGGGAATGGGCTGTAGAGGGGGAGAAGAGATGAGTGTCATGACTTTTTAATTTGTACAGAGATGGATGTCGACTGCAGGCAAATAAATTAGGAAAAAAATAAAGAGACATCAATACGAACCCGCCGTTGAATAGTATAATGCTCCTCAAAACTCAAAACTTTGTGTTTCGTGATCAAGAGGTAGTTGTCCAAGAGTATAAGCTGATAATCCGATGAATCAAGAGCGGCTGTTTTCTTAAGCGGGCCCTGCTTGATGATGAACCGTTCTTCCGCTAGCAAGTCAAGGTCCTATTACAAAAGAGTTAGCCTTCAGCTTGGTTCAACGGCACGGCAAGCGATAGGATGCTTACCATTTCATCCGACTTATTCTTAAAACTCAAATTGTCGTGTAATTGTTTCAAGTCAAATTTGTTCTTAGCATTACCCGACTCGCTGTTCAATCTGCGCAAATAACCAGTAATTGTATCCATTGCTTTTCGAATTAACTCGCAATCCGAGTGACCTTCAGGAGTGTGCTTGAGGATCTCGCCCAATAGCAAATTATATCGACCAAGCCTTGTGGTTGGCTTTGTCAGGTATCCGTTGATTTCGAGCTTTCGAGATTCCGGCTTTCGTTCAACTTCCTGCAACGGGCCACCAGCAATTAATTTTTTTTTTTTTTTTTACCAAACCGGATGTGATCTTTGGCCAGACAAACTTACTTTGACAAAGGCATCAAACTCATAGTTGGTTGCTCTCTCCCGCTCAAATGCCATTTTCCCTCCATATTGTCGAGCACCGTATTCCACAAATGGCTCGAAATTGACAACATGGTCCAGCATGACATCGCCAATTTGAGAAACCACTGGGTGTTCGCTTTGTCTGCGTTGCAGAGCGTTCAAAAGCCTCGAATTCACCTCATAAATCGTAGTGATGTTGGAAAACACGGACTGTACAAAGTTCACTCGGCGAGACGTAGGAATGACCTCGGTGGTCAACAACGGTACCATCCACATCTAGAAAGAAATAAATCAGAAAAGGAGTTCAGGCCACCTTTGAAATGACTAACGATAGCGATGGAAAGGGCTATTTTACCTGATAGAGATATTCAATATCGTTCACAAAATTTTTCTCAGTATAGATTAGTTCAAAAATGTTTTCTTGTCGCTTGCGATCTTGTTTGGTCAAGCTATCGACAATGTATGAGGAAACTTGGTTGACCCAAAGTTCCTGTGGTTGCTATACAAAGTGATCGTACATGGTTAGCCGATTATGTCAGCACGTACTGCATGCATGGTTCATTCTGAACTTACAGGTGTATGAGTTAACGAAGCGCTAACAGATCGGCCAAGCGCCGACTTTGATTGAGATTCGGCGATAGGATGCTGTGCAAAGCGCTTGGGACAAGATCTACTGTAACAAGGCTTGTTACCAGAGCAAGTGGGTGAATAGCAAGTGGACAATTCAGTGAACACGCCAGTGATATGCGATTCCTGCTGCTCTTCTTCAAAAGAGGCTTCGGACTCCTCATACTTTTCATCCGCTATCTCCTCTTTATCACTGACTTCGGGATCGTCCATTCTATAGGAATGTAGAACGTTGTCGTGAAATTGGTAGATTTCATTTTCAGAGTCCAGTAATCGATGCTCATAACTAACGTCGTTGAATAATTTTTGAGCTCCCAGTGCACGGCCCAGCCGGAGTGCTTGCTGTCGATTATTCGAGCAAATGATAAGTGCCAACTTGCTAACAGCCTGCCTACCGTCAAAAACACTCTTGTATTCTACGCCATTCTTGATTCTAGTGCCAATTTCAATCTGTCGCTTAAATTCTTGGGCGACAAGGGATAACAAGGCCGGATAAACCAAAGGAGTCCCTTTACTGAAGTAAAGCTCATGCTCCTTATGACGATCACGATCTTGCTTGGCTTGATTGAACATGGTTCCGTATGAGATAGACTGTGACCTCTGTGCTAAATTAAGAACTTCCAAAGATGAGGCGGCTTGGTCCTCACTTTTTGCATGCACATGCGGTGGAGGTAGGGGCGGTGGCGGTGAGGTATTTTCTTGGTTATTGGGCTGAACACTGATCAGTACTTGGTTTTGATCCACAAAATGCTGGGAATGATCGCCTAGTTGGTAAAGGTGTTAGTCTCCATCATGTTTCAAAAAAAATAAAAAAAATGAGACCTTCGTTTTTCAGTCATGACTTACGCTTCATGGCCGGCACGTCTGAATACTTAAGCTCAGGGACACTGGCAATGGGGTAGGTTCTAGTAGTGCTGGGTAGGCTGGATCGTTGAGAGTCGTTCTGATATCGGTCGTATGGCGGGGCTATATAGGGCTGTGATCGAGTTTTGGGTAGTTGAGGTTGTCTATCGCCTGGCATGACAAGGGAACGTCGATCATAGCGCTCGGAGGGCAAAGAGCCCCGAACTTCATACTGCTGCTGTCTTGGGAAGTAGTTTGAAGGTGCCGACTGCCGATGCCCATTGTGCTGCTGAGTAGTTTGAGGGGTATATAAACCATACTGCTGTTCCCAACCTTGCTGGCCACGTGAAGGGGCCTGTCCTGTCCGCACGGGCGAAGGAGGCGGTAAACGGAAGTCGGGAAAGTGTGATTTTTCGATTCTATTTGAAGGGACTGGCGGTGAATGATACACAGCATTGGAATTGGAATTCAACCGATTCCACGATTCCTTTTGGCTTGCGCTTAGATTCACATGAGGAGGTGGCAGTGGTGGCGGTAGGTCGGGGGTAGCTGGGGATAACGGGTAGTTGTAAAGTGACGTTGGGGTGGGGGGTAAGAGGACGGAATCCGGGTGAGGATGGTCTACCCTGGGTGACAAATGCGATGCTTTCATCAACCCTTCAATGTGTTCAGAATGTGGAGGAAGGGAAGTTGGGAAAGAGCAAAGCTGAGGCTGAGGTAGCCAACAAAATGTTTGAACCTGCCAAAACCAGCTTTTTGTGCGTGTGTCCCTAAAACGACAAATTGCAAACTGCGGGAAGGACTGTTTTCCATGGAGTCTTCCATTCTAAAGAAAGCTATGGTCGACTGTCAAGAACATGGCTATCAACAGCAGAGCTCTACCAATATATATATATATATATTATAACAAATGGACACAAGGATCTCTTTAAATTCTTCTTCTTACAGCACTCGATAGCGTCAAGAAATTGCATAAGGCGATATCCTCAAAAAACCAGGTTGCGCAGTGCGGTGAAGAGATGTTTGTACCGCTTAGCAACAAAATTCCACTGTATTTTTGTTTTTTATTTGGTTGCCACAAAGATATGGGATGTCAAGCTTCATAAAAAAAACCATAGTGTGGAGTTTTGCGAGGTATTTGGTACAATAAGGAAAACTAGGCACAGCGTGCGGTGTAAGCTATATAAGAAAACGGGTTATGACTATGACTTCTCAAATTCATCCAGCAATCGATCGACTTCCTCCAAAACATCGTCTCCATATTCTTCATCTTCGTCGTCATCAGCGTCGTCCTCCTTTTGGACCGCCTCTTGTGTACCGGTAGAGGGCGTTGGTGTCGCTTGGACCACCTGGCTGTCCTCACTCGGACTACCAATCTTGTCGGACTTGGGGTCTGAGACTTGATTGTCTGGTGCAATACTGGAGATGGTACTTGAGGAAGGAGCTTTGGAACTGGTTCTTGATAACCCTGGACGTCTTGATCCTCGACCGGAGGCAAACCTTGAACCAGCCGCAAACAGACTGTCAAATATTTCGCGGCTAAGGCTGCTTTGCCTTTCTATCGGAGCTTCGGTCAGCTGGAAAGACTGCGCAAATTCATGATCAAAGAACGTTTCGAGCGTCTCGTCCGCCAATATAATCATTCTATCGTACCAGATCACAGTTAGAAAAATAAACATTTAAAAAAGTAAAAGCGTCGATGTTTGACTTTACCTGCAAGATCCTAATGAAAGGTATTTGTTGTTGGAGCTTTCCTCATCCGGCTTGGCTTCCAGATACTCGTAGGCTCGCTTTAAAAATCCCGAGACGCCTGTGAGATGTTCACCTTCCTCGCCCTTTTCTCGGAACAGCCATAATAGAGTTTCCGAAAGTTGTAACACTTCCTCTTTGCTCAAATAGCCATCCTTGTCACTGTCATGAAGATTGAAAAAGAATTCAATCTGTTCCATGAGACCATTGCGCACAATGTGGCCAATGCCGGTCACGACGTCTTGGAACGTGAGGCCATTCATTTTTTTGGTGTCAATATATTCGAACAGTCGAGTCATGAAATTTTGTCCAATGCCTAGTTGAACTTCGCGTTCTGCTGTACGATCTCTGGCTGTAAACTTGGCCCAGTTGGCTACACTTCCCATGAATCTTTCGTAAGTCACATAGTTCATACGTGCATCGCTTCGTTCACCACGTTTTTGGTCGTAGTAGATGGCGTTGTAGTATTTATCGTAAAGGACTCCTAATTCGTCTTTGGTCAAGTTTGCACTATCGTCGAGATTTCGGATAGCGGATCGTTTGGTAAATGATTCAATGCCAGCCACCACCTTGAGCTGATGGGTTTGACGCAGTTGACGAATACTTGTGTCGGTGACAATATGGAAATCGCGGTATGCAACCAAGAGTAGTTCATTGAATTTCGTCAAACTACGGGCTTTAGCAGTCTCTGCGTTCGGGTATATGGGGTCATCTAGAGAGGCAAAGAAATTCTTGAGGACATGCATAAACGCCCCGTCGTCTGTGGCCTGCAATAGCTCTGCACCATTTATCTTCAAAACGGCAAGACCAATCTGGAACAGAATCTTGGGTCCCTCCATGAAAAAGCAATCCAAGACTCGGAAGGCAAATAGGAGCGGCATAGAGTTGATATATAAGCTAAGGAACCAGGGAAGACATGCCACTGAAAGTTGTATATCTGCTTTCTTGAAATGCTCGTGGAGCATGGGCATAGTTGTCTCCAAAAGGTGTTCGAAAATAAGCTGATCGAGGAGAGCACCATACATGGAAGTACTATAATAGCCTGGCAGATAGTCATCGCATAGGATGCTTAATGTGAAGAAGGCCTGTTCCTCACTCATGTAAATCAGAAGCGCCGAAGTCACGATGTTCATGGCTTGACAATAACCAAGTTCAGGATCTTTCCATGAATACGCTGTCAGGACCCGTCGTAGGCTGTCAATGCCGTCTGATGTTTGGTAAGCTGCGTATTCCGGTAAAGATCTATTCAAATCCTTTTCGATCTCTTCGACACTAAGAGACATTTTATCCTTGTAAGTTTCCAAAAGGTTCTGAAACTGTCCTTGATTCATAAAGCGAAGGTACATGGCACCAGAGCATGCTTCCCATATTTCGCCACGCAGGCGATTAGGCAAACCAACTCGAATAAGCTTGGGGAAGTTTGCAGCGTGCATCATGGTCAGATTGCGTCCATTTGCTTTCAAACAAGTTGGGTTAGTACCTTGTAGTTGCGGTTGGTCAAATAAAAAGATTCTAATGTACCTTGCAAATATTGCTTCCACAATTTCATCTTGCTACGATCTTTGAGCTTCTTGGGATCGCCAGGGAAATCAAAAACCAGTCCAAGACCACCAGGTACTGATTCCTCGGCTTTGGCTTCGTCGTCCGAGAGCAATGCTTCCGATTCACAAGTTGCCAAAAACTGTTTCAAATCCTTCATATGCTTGATCTGGTTTTTGAGATTGTGTTTAAGTACCTCACAAAATTGCTCGCATTGAACTTTTTGGCTGCATGTAGAATTAGTAAATCTGGCATTAATTTGTTTGTGACATAATGTAGGACTTACCCGCTTAGATTGAATACATGAACAGATTGATGCCAAGTAACCATCTTTAGTGAATAAATTTGAGATTTACCGTTAAGACGCTCTACGCGGCGAACGGTATAGAGTGGCAACACAAACTCCAAAGTCTTTTGCTTTTCCAGACATTGAAATGTGAGGTATGCCTCTGATAACGAAAGTCTTCCAGTGAAGTCAGTAGCAGCTGGCTCAGTTCCATTGGCGGCTGGTTTCTCTTCCTTTTCCTTCTTCTCAGGCAAGTATGTGGCTGGAACTTCATAGTTGAGGTTTTCGGAGGCAGGAAGTCTGAAGTGGATGCGAAACAGCTCATTTTGTTTCTGCATGGCAAGATTCATTTTCAACGGCTGGACAAGTTTTTGAACTTCAGTGGTCGGCAGTGATTTGATTGCCGCAATATCCTTTTCTGTCGGCGCCATATCTTCTGTTTCGCTTATAGTTATTATTTCTGCACCGGGAGATGACCCAAGCGATGTATTTTTAAGTAATCTTTGCATTGCTAAACCTGTCAATTGGATCAACGTTTCATAAACCTATTGAAAAAATAAGAAGTAATAAGTTTAAAAGGTGTACTGGCAGCAGCAAAATGAGCTGTGTGAACTTTATCAACTTACTTCGTCTCTCTTGAACAGATTAGAGAAAAAGTACTGCAAGAAATACGTGGTTTAATAACAGTTTAAACATGGTGTTACTGAGATCAACTAGTACCTCTTGTTTATCTTTGGTTATAAGCTTGATAGCGTCCGAGAAAACTCCTCTTTTAGACTTTTCTTTCTTTATGTCCTGGATATCCTTCAACTCCAGCAAAAGCTTTGTCTCGATGCCCAGTAAGAAAGAATAAAATGCGATATAATTTTCACTGATGTAAAGCCACCCCTGACTGGTGAATCGCTTGGTATGATACGCAGCCGAGTAATCTGATTGGCCATGTCGGCAAAGGTTATGTCTCGATGTAACCTCTTCACGCATAAAGCTCGGGATGCTACTTACAGTTGACCAAATGTTCAGTAGGAGCTATCTCAAATGTTTGCCGGAAACTTCTCGAAGCGTTCCTAACATTTTCGTCAATGGAAATCTCATCCGTTCCGGCATCTAGATCACACGTTAGAATGTGATTTCTGCAAATCAACCCACTTTTCGGCCACAATCATACCTATTCTCGTCACAATGGAGTTAATCTTAGTGGCGACCCATTCTTCCTTCTCCGACGCCGTATCTAAGACAACAACTTTAGGAGCCAAATTTTCTATTGTTGAAATGACGGATCGCAGGGTAAATATGTAAATCAATGAAAGGTAGCGCCATGTAGGACCGCATACCTTGAACCCAGGCCCAAGCCGCTTCAATCTGCTTCTCTGTTTCGGCAACCGCTATCTGAATGCATATTGTGCTCGCACCACGACGATAAAGGATTCGGTAGGGAGGTTGTTTTGTATCGAAGCTATCGGCATGTAAGCAAGGTATGATGAGTTGCAACACTCTCGTTCACAATGTGACTCTGTTCAACTTACACATTCTGAATAGTACCCATCATTCCTCGAAAAAGCGCGTTCTTGCGGGCTTTTATCCGCTGTAGAATGAAACTGTCATTTTCCTTGAGGGTTTCCCAAAACAGGTTGATAGCAATGTCTATCTGTGTTGGGATCGTGAAGCAATCCTTTGGAAGCTCAGGCGGCAAGTTGGTGGCCATGGCTTGCTCCTGATGTAAATTGGAATGTTTCAAGATGGATAAGTGACTTTGGTGGCACAAAAGCAGACTGCCAAATTTGCGAGCGGGCTCGGTTGTCTCCAAGCCAAGCAAACACTAGCCCGCACCACATTTTACCGTGCCTGAAATAGCCCATTTGCACACGCTCATCGACACGATAAGGCATCATATTCTTCGAACAGCCCCAGCCCTTCGATTTGTTAACAAAACCCCCTGATGTGTTGTTTGATCCTACTTATGCTCCCTGTGCTATTGACTGTCCTATATCTGAATCTCTGTAAAGCAACGCAGGGAAAATCTATGAATTACTGCCCTACGCCATGCTAATTTGTTGAGATAAGTTGTCTGGTCAGGTCAGGTCTACCGGAATGAGTCTCCTGTAAAGTATACTTCAAACGCAAAGAACATAGTAGACATCCCATGAAATGAATTTCGATGCAAATTAGTCAGTAAAGCATTCCACTGAATACTGCTTTGCTAAATGGTATTAGAAAGCGTTAAAAGCGTATGCGTCGAAATGTGTATAAGAAACCAGATCACTTGCTCAAAAGCACAACAACAAAAGAACACCATGGTGACGACCGGGTTTACATGATAGTACAAACTTCTGCTTATATATTTTTTGCTCTTTTCTATCATGCATATCGTTTATTCCAGAAGCTCCTCTTTGCTGCCGACACTACTGGTATAACATTTTTCTATTTCCATGCCTGCCTCCTTGGGACGCTTTTGCTCCGCTTCCTTTCTTTCGAGCAATTCACGTGATCCATGAAACCTCAAAAAATGAACTCACCAGTCTTTTTGCAAGAGTGTTGAATTCTCGCGCCTTGGTCGATTACAACGTGAAACATCCGAGAGGACGAGCGTTGTACCATTTAACGCCTTTAAACGCTTGATTCGACTCGTAGATAGCTCTGTTTGAAGTAAAATGAGCAGCGATCTCAAATTCACGCCAATATCTGGAGCGAAAAACAGCGATCCACTTTGCTACCTACTTGAGATCGATGAAGTAAAACTGCTATTAGATTGCGGCTGGTCCGACAAGTTTGATGTCGAAGAACTACAACAATTTAGAAGGCAAGATTGGACGATTGTTTCCGTAGACCCTGACACGTCGCTAACCCTTTTTTAAAAACAGGGTAGCCAAGCAAGCCGACGCACTCTTGATATCCCATGCGGATGTACAGCACTTGGGAGCTTATCCATATGCGAGAAGCCACCTTGGTCTGTCATGCCCTGTGTTTGCAACTATTCCAGTCGTCAATATGGGAAGAATGTGCATGTATGATTTGCATCAAGCGAAGGTCAACGAACAAGAATTCGACGTATTTACTTTGGAAGATGTCGATTCAGCATTTGATAAGATGACCCCGCTTCGTTATTCGCAACCCACAGCACTTCAAGGTAAATGCAAAGGCATTACCATTACGGCATACTCGGCAGCGCACACAATTGGTGGTACCGTTTGGAAGATTAAGAAGGATACCGATGAGATTTTGTACGCTGTTGATTACAATCACAGTCGAGAAAGGTAACTTGAGCACAATCTTTTGCCCTAGAATATATTCAGTCATTAACATGATTATGTACAGACATTTAGGAAATTCTGTTCTTAACGTGGGTACCAGTCAAGGTCTGGAATCCCTAGGACGGCCCACACTCATGATCACAGATGCAAATAATGCCGATGTTGCCTTACCCAAACGAAAAAGCCGTGATACTGCACTCTTTAGTAAGTGATTTCCCTTCCATGTTTACGCCATCACAACTTTCCATGGCCGCTATTAACGTGCTGTTCCCAATCATTGTAGACACTTTGGCCGAGACATTACGAAACGCTGGATCAGTGCTGCTTCCAACTGACTCATCCACCCGTGTCCTTGAATTGGCACTTATGCTTGATCAGCATTGGGCGAAAAATCAATTCACCTACCCCCTCATTCTATTGACCCATACATCATACCACACAGCCCATTTTGCAAAAGTCATGTTGGAATGGATGGGTGAAGATATGACTCGAACTTTTTCGCAAACCAGAGAGAATCCATTCGATTTCAAGTATCTTCGACTATGTCATCGTATCGAAGACTTGGAAAAATACCCAGGACCCAAGGTTGTTTTGGCCAGCAACCAATCACTTGAGACAGGCTTTGGCCGAGATCTCTTTTTGAGGTGGATGCGACAAAATCAAACGGAAACAGATGCTGTCAATACGTTAATTCTCACTGACAGAGCTGCTCCAGGTACTTTGGCCGCCCATCTGTACAATGAATGGTACGGCAGAAATCGTGCGGACGAAGCAGCTGCTGTTGCTGGCACAGACCGACCTGAAGTGCGATCACCGATAGAATACGAAACACAGCTTCACACAGTCATTCATCAGAGGGTGCCATTAGAAGGAGAAGAACTGGAAGAGTATGAGACAAGGAAACGCAATCAAGCAGAACGAGAAGCTCAACAAGCGGCTATTATGGCTAGAAGCCGAGTCATTATGGAAGAGGATGAATCGGATGCATCTGATGCGGATGAACCCGATGATGTGAATCTGGAAGATTTGCTCACTACGCAGTTTGATCTTTATGTTCGAGATGCTGGCAAGTCTGGTGGTTTCTTTAAGCAAACCCATAGTTATCGCATGTTCCCATACGTTGAGCGCCGAAAGAAGTTTGATGACTATGGTGAAGCGATCATGGTGGATCATTACAAGCAAGCGTCTGATATTGAGCAAATTGAAGAGGCTATGAATGCAGGCACAGGAGCCAAATTTGGAGGAGAGGTAAGTTATCGAACAGTGTTGAAGGCAGGTGAAGCTTTTTGCTGACCACGGTGTTTTACTAGGATGTTGACATGGATTTGGCTGAGCCAATTCTTCCAGCGCGGGATGAAACGCCTACAAAGTACATCTCGTTTGAAGATAGCATTACCATCAAATGCATGCTGCAATATATTGACTTTGAAGGTCTAACGGATGGACGATCCATTCGAAACATTCTGGCGAAGATTGCTCCCCGAAAATTGGTATGTGGGCTTTATAGAGTTTGATGCATGGAAATACTTGATGTTCATGCAGCGTCTAACCTATTTTCATCTTGATAGATTATCGTTCATGGCACACCGCAAGCAACAGAGCATCTCTCTGCTGCGCTCAAGAATGTAACACAATTCACCAACGATGTGTATACGCCTGATGTTGGCGAAATTCTTAACGTGTCAGCCGCTACCAATATCTACCGTGTCAGACTTACTGATGCTCTTGTGACCGCCTTGCGATTCTCAAAGGTAAGAAATACATTGCTTCTGCCGTAAAAAGCAAGCCGTATTAATTCTCCTTTTTCGCATCATATAGTTGGACGATTATGACCTTGCGCGTGTATCTGGACGTATCCACTTTTCAAGTGATCGGACGCCGACGCTCGATCTTCCATCTAGTCAGGATCAGATACCCTTTGAACCACCAGTCTTGGTGGGAGACGTGCGACTTCGAGAGTTCCGAAAAGTCCTTCAAGCAGAAGGCATTACCGCTGAATTCAAAGGCGAATTACTTCTTGTGTGCAATGACCATGTCGTGGTTAGGAAGGTAATGTTCAAATTGTCACTATGGATGTTTGGATAAAGTCAAAATAGCGTTAACGCCAAATGATTTTTTAGATGGGCACTGGTCAACTCCTTCTAGAAGGATTACTTTCACCTGATTATTACAAAATTCGGTCACTTTTGTATGCACAGCATGCTATTGTATAGTTTTCAATGCTCTAGATTACCTCATAAACAACGTTTTTATTGTTTCATACTTGATTTTTTTATCTCAGCGGTGTGTGCAGCCATCGTCTTGGACAGTGGGAATGATTGAACTACCTGCCCGGAAACCCCTTTGACAAGACATGACATGCAGCATGTTGTTAACAGCTGAATGCGCATTACTCTTCGGCTTCTAGCAGAGTTTGGTATGACCTTGTAACCAAAAAAATAAAAATAAAATAATTGAAAATTTACAAGTCTTCTTTCGTTCCCGTAGTAAAACCGAAATAGCTATTTAATTCATTTTAACACTTGTCTCGATTGGCCCCTCATCCTTAGCCGACTGTGCCGTTTTACATCTTTCATACCTAATATCAATACTGACGGCATGTGTATGTGCCTGAAAATAGGCGTGTGCTAAAGCTATACGGTACATAATAACTCATTGCATAGCACGATAATAATGGCCATGGCCGAAATTAACCATAATGGGTTTAATTTGCAGTTGGAGGATGCGGAGCAAATCAATTTGTACAACAGAAATTTGATATCGTAGATCCGAGTCCCTCTAGCTCGCTCCCATCCTTTCCTTTTTGCCAGGCTCACTTCATCCCAGCTTCATGGAAAAGGGATATCATCAGCTTTCAACTTTACACAGTGGCCAGTCTGCCCACTCGCTTTTGCCCGGCTCCTACTATGATCCCTCTCCCAACATGGCTCACGACTTTCACCGTAAGACTGAACATGGATACAGTCGATCGCCCTCTCCTTCCGTAACCAAAGCGCAACGTCGTCGAGAACAGTATGCTGGTTCATACTCTAAGCGTTCATCATGCGGTGTGTGCGATTGTGTGATGTGGCTGTTTATCATCATACTGTTCGCTATTGGTGTATACTGCCACTTGCACGCATCGTCTATCTTGTCTTCCGCAGACAACTGCCCTTCTCAGTGCCTGCAGTCCTGTTACAGCCAGTACCCTCGTACGCTGGATGATTGCGATCTGAAAAGCTGTGATTCGCAATGTAACCCTCAAGCAGCGCAGGCAAAGACATATTTGCTGGCGTCCATCGGCACTATTGTCGCTGGTGTCATGACCACGTTGATCACACTTTGCATTCGCGTGTGTCCGGGCTTCGGTGCATTATGCTACCGAGATTCATGCTGTGCCATTATTTGAAGGGTGGCGCCACACCTCCTGTCATTCTGCTATAAACATTTCTTTTTTATTTATTGTTTTTAATTTTTGTTTCGTGCTAACCTGCCCTCTACTTTTTATGCTTCAAGCCATTCTATTTTACAATGTGAAATTGCTGTCCAGTCTATCTAAATAAATAAGACTCTCCAGCTTTTAAATAACCGTTTCCATCTCCTTGATCACCTGGTTGTAGTCAAACTCTTGAGGTTTGCTGTGGAATATCTCAAGTAGCTTTCTCTTGCTCTCGCCTCCAGTGACATAGAATTGCTGGAGAGCAAAAGCAAGGTACTGAGCATTAGCAGGACTCAACAACTTGGTATCGGTGATTTCACCCTTCATGAGAACAATATCCTTGGAGCTAATGAGTTCAGGGAAATGGGTGATGGTGAGATAGGGACGAGCTTCTTCGCCTTTAGTCTTGAACTCGAGCAAAGAAGTGAACATGGCTTGGTGGTAAATGAACTGAAGCAAAAAGAATTCCACACCTTCGTCACGAGGGACTGGTACAATGAACTACAATAGGAACGTCAGTCCTGCCGACAGACGATGTAGATAGAATATAAAAAAGTACACTTACCATGGGGAACTTTAAGCTGTTCTGGTACAAGGTACCATAAACGTGTGCTGGAATACTAGCAGTGATGCAGTCTTTGTCAGCATGGTATTCTGTCCAAATCTTGTGAATGGTCTCAGCATTTTCTTTCTCGAGCAGTTCCAGCTTGACGATTTTATCAAGTGACTGACCAAAACGTAGGCATTTAGTATGACACTCAACAAAATATCAGACAGGGTTAAATATACTCACGGGAGCTGAAGAATCATATGGCGTACTGGCAGCAGCAGCCACTTGACTTGGAGAGCGCTTGGAGGTGGCAGATGGAGCAGTGGCCTTAACAGCAGCTTCAGCTTTCAATCGCTCAGCTTTCTCCTTGGAAGCCTTCTCGGCAGCCTTGTTTCTCTGAATGCGGACTCGATCAGCCTCTGCCTTCATCTGGGCTTTGAGATCTTGAACGGTGTTGGCTCCCTTCCTAAATATCAATAAACATTCGAGAACATCAGTATGCTGAGTAAATTGTCAGGTTTCGTGTCAGCCAGCCAGCGGTATGAAACACATACTTTTCAGCGATTTCCTTCAGCTTGTTAGCATATTTGGAGTCGTAGTCGATGGTCTTCTTTGTTGCCTCAGTGGCCATACTTCTAAGAGAGGCTATAGTAGTGTAAATAAGGGTGGCTATGGAGGGAATGTAGGTGACTAGTGAATGTTACCTTGACCATTGCGGGAGAAAATCATGGGAGAAAATCCCGAGACCACTTCAGCATTTCTGGTTTGCTGTCTAATGGTAGCATGGATGGACTTTGAAGAGAATCTAGCTGCTTCCAAGCAGCGCCTGGCTAGCATGGTGGACATTTTCTGATTGAATTGGAGTTGTACAGTCGCTTGTCTCAACAACCGGTGGCTGGCGAGTGTGCCTGGGTTTATGTGACTGGCAAAATTTCAAAAAACTACCATCAACTTCCTCGACCAGATTCACAGCACCTTTCCATTCCATTCTCAACATGCTGGCTGCTACCGCTCGCGCAGCTTTGCGCCAAAAGTAAGAACCTATTCTGAAGTGCTGATGTGAGGAATGAACGCTTCCAATTGCATAACACTAAACCGTCTTCTTCTCTAGCAGTCGAATGCCTTTCCATTCTGACCTGGTTACACCTATCAGGGCCAGACAGGTAATTACAATGAAGCAGTTATAGCCTTGGTCAAAGTCTCCAGTCACCTGGATGATATCGGAACCCAAGTGGATGTTTGTTTTTTTGGCTAAAAAGCTCTCATATTAGATGTCAACTTTGATGACCGGCAGACAACAATGGATGTTAAGAGACAATATGAGCAACGTCTCAAAGCGTACCGTACTTCCAGCACTCGGTGTCCACATGATCCATCAAAGCTCAATTCGCTTCTATACCACCCCTACCGAACAGACTGCAAGCGCGCCTGTTACCATCGATTCGTCCGCCGCCACACCTGTCACTTCTCCCGATGTCACCGCCAATGTGGCCGAGGTTGTATCTAACGCCCCTACCAGCGAGGCGATTACAGCAGCAGCAGCACAGATTGGAGATTTTAAGGCTATGGGACTGTGCAACTATACACCTGTAGGCGCGTTGGAGGCAGCATTGGAGGCTATTCATGTCAGCACGGGACTTCCCTGGTGGGCTGCTATTGCTGCTGCCACTGTGGCTATTCGTGTTTGTATGATACCACTCAACATTAAGGTCCAACGCAACAATGCTCGTGTATCCAATATCAACCCGGATTTGCAAAGGATTATGAATAACGTCAGCGAGGCCAAGAAAGCAGGAGACCAAATGGCCATTGCCAAATATTCACAACAAGCTCAACAATTGTTTAAAGATAATGGATGTCACCCTGCAAAGTCACTTTTGCTTCCTGTTGTTCAAGCTCCTGTCATGATTTCTTTCTTCATGGCTCTCCGAGCTATGGCTGAGTTACCTGTTCCGGGATTCCTGGATGGTGGTTTAGCTTGGTTCACGGATTTGTCCGTCAAGGACCCTTATTACATTCTTCCCGTGCTTTCATCCGCTGGTATGCTTGCCATCTTGGAAACTGGTAGTGAGACTGGAGCAGCCAACCCACAAGCTGCTGGTATGAAGAATTTCTTCCGTGGTATGACTGTGTTGATGATTCCATTCACTGCTTGGATGCCCAGTGTAAGTCCTCCGTGCTATATGAACTTTCCTTACCATGAAATTTTTGACTCACAAAAAAAAAATTTTTTTTTTGCTATTGCAGTCCGTTTTCGTATACTGGGTGACCAACAATATGTTCAGTTTGGGCCAGTTTTTGGCGCTCAAGGCACCAACTGTCCGAAGTGCACTCAATATTCCACAGCTCGTTAAGCCTGCAGCCGAGCTGCAGAAGAACAGCAAGGGTTTCGTACAAACTTTTAAGGAACAGACTGCTTCATATCAGAAGACGGAGAAGGAGCGCATTGTTCGTGAACGACAGCAAGCTGCTGCTATGGCCCGACGTTCCAGCAAGCGTCGCTTTTAGATAGAGGAGAGACATTTAAGGGCTCATTAAAATAAAAGTAGTAATCTAACAAACATAGAAAAATAAAAATCGTTACAGCGCAGCATAGCACCGCTCTACCTTGTTCAAAGGACGATGAGGTTCCTGGTCTGGGGCATCAACACCCATATGTCATCATTAGCACCCGCTACTCAAACAGGCTGATGTGTAACCAAATAATAATTTGGGCGATGCATGCGATTGACATGACATTTGCTTGAAAAGGTACTCATCGGCACATGCGATTGGAAACAGTAGTATGGATCATTGGGGCAATCCTCCAAAAACAGCAGAAAACCCATCCCTCTGCGCGCGAGGTACGGTTTACCACAATATGTCAAATGATGCAAAGAGGAGGTCTGTATTGTGTGAAATGGTATGAACAGAAAATGGGGATAAGATAATATTACATTTGGAAAAGGAATGGACACCAAGGGCGATATGTTATAGAAGTGAATGGAACGATCAAGTCAAGTAACGGCAAAAATTGAGGCTAGCTTTATCTTTTTCCTTGAGATGTTTTTAATTTTTTTTTTTGGGTGGGTGAACTATCCAGATTAGCCAGCTAGTAAGCCAAATGCACCGTGTCTTGTTTGAAAATCTCTCTCAGAGAGATAGGAGCCAGCAAAACCGAGACGTCTTAAAAGATTGACTGTTGTGCACAGTGAGGGATGGCACAGCCATCCAAGCACTTTCTTAGTCAAAGTACCAGTGGACAGTACCTACGCCAATGGAGGATTTTCCAACGACTTTGTTAAAGAGTGCCTGAGTCATGTCGATTTGGCCTTTGCTGGGACATGAAGCACAGCAATCGGCGACCTTGGCTTTAGCAGTGCCATGGGGACCGGTGATGGTCACATATTTGCCACAGTACTTGCTCTTCTTGTTTTGATTACCGTACTGGTTTAAGTTCTGATGTACAAATGTCAATTAGGAGAAGGCTCAAGCGATTCATGCTACTTGTATTTCAACTTACCAAAGCGATGATCATAGCATCATCTGCCAAATGGCCACCACAAGCACCCATGTCGCCGCCTTGCTTAGGATCGGAAGGAGTGAACCAGGTACCACGACCAGAATAGGTGGTTCTACGCTTTTGAACCGGTGCGGCAATAGCCATGATGGTGAAGATCAAAAGAGCTGCAAGGAAAGCAATGCGGTTCATTGTGTGAGTGCTGAATGAAAAGGAAGAAGGACCGATGAGCTTGTTATATAGGTTTTTTTTTTTGAGCATGGGGATGGACACTGATCAGAATTTTGTACGCGGGGCATGGCATCTCAACGGCCTTGGAAGTGTGCTGATGTCCAATTTTTTTTTTTTTTTTTGCTTTCGGTTGCTCTTTTTCATTTCCGGCAATGAGGCTCAAATCAGTATTTTTTGCATTGTTGATGGGCGATTCTTGCATATAACTTTTGGGCAATCAAAAACGTGTACGGACTCATGTTTGTGGCGGTCAATAGCTATTCGTTCGTTTTCATCCATGTCGCTTGAGTCAAGCACTCCATGGGTCTCAGCAAAAGAGCCTCGGTGCTCATTAGCTTTTGGAAGGCTGAGATAGATGAGATGTCGGAATGACCTTGTCACACCGCTTCGTTCGAGAGCGCGCAGGGGCCAGAAAAGTTAAAAGTCGTGGACCGCCACCACTATAACTCTCTTTACCTGAGGTCGCTCTCACATGACCTAGGCACTTAACCAAATGCATGCATGGCCGTGCCTTTTATTTTATTGAAGAGGAAAAACCGTACGAACTGACCTGACGTCAATTTACTTTTTATCTATCATGACTAAAGACAAGATGTCTGTGAAATACGATGAAATGCTCGGTCCCTGCAGTGTGCATGGCAATGGATTTCCAAGGGCCAGGAGATTGGTGGCCCGCCTCCTCGCTTACCCTAAGCCGAGTCAGGGGCAGGCAGGCCCACTTCATTTGGCAATATCTCAACCAACGTTTCCTTGAACTTGGCAATCTTGAGGGGCGACAGCCGATTTCGCGTACGTGACTCAGCAAAGAGGTGTATAATTCGGAAGAAGATTGTCCTTATTTTCATACTCCATCCATTCGCTTGACCATTAAAATGGAAAGAACCCGACTTCACCAGGGATCTCATGCCATGGCCTGTCGTACAATTTTGCGAAACGAAGAAAACGGGAAGTCATTGTACTTTTTTGGCTGAGCCGGACGAGAGTCGACGACAAGACGATGTAAGCAGAAGAAATTTCCGCACTGATGTCAAAAAAAAAAAAAACAACCGCTCTCTCCATTCATGTCGCCGACTTAATATCAATAAAGCAAAGAAAATTTTTACTACTGTTCAACAAAGATGTTCGGCCACAAATTACTAAACGGATGGACGTTTGACATATTGACATAGTCATTTTTCATAAAAACGATTTTCATTGACTGGGGCCCTGGTCAAAAGATAGCGGTATTCCCTTTTGCGTAGTTGAATGTCGTTGATGTTTGATTTGGCATTGCTTGAGTATAAAGTGGTTGGAGCCGAGCATTTACGTCTTACAAAGAAAAAAATATACACCACATCACGCTAACGCATACTCGGTTACAAACCCGAAACCGCCGTTCACGCCTTATTGGGATATCCGTAGGCCGAACCGTTAACGGCAATGCGTTCTACCCGTACGCTACGATCAGCCACAGCCACTTTGCTCTCCACTCCACTCCACTCCACCCCATTCAGTGGTGGTGTGGTGTAAGTAGCACACACATCGGGGTGGCGAATGGAAAAAGAGGCGAGGGCCAGGCAGGTATACCTCGATAGTATGTGAGGATATAGCGCAACTTCATGGGCCAGGTTCGAGCCTTGCCAAGATGATGTAGACATGTTTGTGCCACAACGGTCGAACCAGATCAACACTTTTACAGACAGACACTACTTCGTCCGTACCACCTTCATACGTTGTAATGACCAAATCAAAGCTACCCGAATTTTCGTCCTTTTTTTTTTTGAACAGAGCCAAAAGCCTGTCAAGACATTTATTGATACAAAAATCAAACAAGTGATAGGGCATTCTTAAGAAAGAAGAGAAGAAATAGGTTTCTTTTTTTTTTCTTTGTAAGAAAAAAGATATGGTAGAGCAGAGGGGGAGTTGAAAAGTACAACAGAATGTGTCAAACCTTGCCGTAAGCAAGAAATACAAAAGGTTCAATGATGGGTATGTCGTCGTTTTATAAAAGGGAAAGGACCTGAAACCGTTTAGTGAGGATATGCGGTGACGAGCGCTCTATGATGGGTTACATGCTTAGTTTGAAAACCACCTCTCAGCATCGTTACCGTGCGCTTGTGGGACTTCGTCATCAACACGTTCATCAGTGAACCACTTGGCATCATCAGCATGAACACCAGGAATTTCACCCGTGACAGGAGGAACGACTTCATCATTGTGGACATCGGTGAACCACTTGCTGCTATCATCATTAGCATGAACTTCAGTGTCAGGAGTACCGACTTCGTCATTGTGGACATCGGTGAACCAGTTGTTAACTTCAATATCGTCGGCATGGATACCAGGAACATCATCGACAACAGGAGGGACCACTTCGTCATTGTGGGCATCAGTGAACCACTTGCTGTTATCGTCAGCGGCACCAGGAACTTCAACTTCATCGTTGTGGACATCATCGGTGAACCACTTGCTGTTATCGTCATCGGCATGGAAGCCAGGAACTTCATCATTGTGGACATCGTCGGTGAACCACTTGCTGTTATCGTCATCAGCATGGAAGCCAGGAACTTCAACTTCATCAGCGTGGACACCAGGAACGTCATCCGTGATAGGAGGAACAACTTCGTCATTGTGGACATCAGTAAACCACTTGCTGTTATCAGCATCGGCACCAGGAATTTCAACTTCATCAGCGTGGATACCGGGAACGTCATCAATGATAGGAGGGACCACTTCGTCATTGTGGACATCAGTAAACCACTTGCTGTTACCATCATCGGCACTAGGAATTTCAACTTCATCAGCGTGGACACCGGGAACATCGTCAACGATAGGAGGGACCACTTCGTCATTGTGAACATCAGTGAACCACTTGTTGGGAGTAGCATCGTTTTCGCCAGTGGAAGGAACCTCATCGGAGTGATCTTCTGTGAACCATGTGCTGGGAGTTTCATCGTTATGGTCAGCATTGGCGGTGCCATCGCCGACCCACTTGGAGTGAGCATCATCGTCGCTGTGAATATCGGTGGTGGGGGTTTCGACATCATCTTCATGCCAACCAGCATCACTATGGTCACTGGTGTCCTCAACGGAGGGAACGCCGTTGTACTCGTCAGTAAAGTATGTATCATCTTCAGAGTTCCAGTGAAGATCAGTATGAACGTCGTCGGCGGTGGTAGGTTGCTCATTGCCGGCGAGTTTGCTGAAGATTTCATCGAGTTGTGAAGAAATATCGCTGTCACCGCTGTTGTCATCATCTTCGGTTGTCCAGTCGTCACCACCAACATCGGCATCATTCTTGTGCGTGGTCAGAGGTTGATTTTCAGTAGCGCTATTGTTGTCCAAGTATTGCTCATAAGGCTGGTCAAGTGACTATAATGAAGAGGTAACGGCATTTGATTAGCTTCAAGTTGATGCAAGCGTCTATGCACGAAAAGCGGAAAAAAAAAAAGTATTTTTTCTTGCCATGTCTTACCTCAATCAATTCTTCAAAGGTTTGAGGTTCACCGCTGTTAGTATCGTTTTCAACATCATCTTCGTTGGTGTGCCATCCAGAGACATCGTTGTTCTCAATATCATTGACAAGATCTGAAATGGCGTCGCTGTGACCGAAGGTAGGTGTTCCATTCTCTTCAGCATCGTCTGAGTGCCAGCCTGAGGGTTCATTCTCTTCGACATCGTCTTCGTTTGAGTGCCAGCCGGTGAGATCACTGTTTTCAACGTCATTCACAAGATCTGTAATGGCGTCACTGTGGCCGAAGGCAGGTGTTTCATTTTCTTCAACATCGTCCTCATTTGAGTGCCAGCCAGAGAAATCAATCTCTTCGACATCGTCTTCATTTGAGTGCCAACCAGAGACGGTGGAAGGAACGTCGTTGTCTTCAATATCATCTTCATCGACGTGCCAACCTTCGTCGTTGCCGTGGTTGTATAGGTCGTTGAAGATATCGTCCAACTCTTGGTTGGAGGGAGGCGTAGTGGGTGAATCGTTTGTATTCTGGTTTCCATCTAATTTACTGAAGATATCGTCCAAATCGTTGGTGCTGGGAGCACTGTTGCTAGCAGAGATTTGAATGGGATTGGAGTCGATTTCACACTCGCCATCTGCTTTCAAGGCAGTGAACTTCAAGTGATAAAGACCACTGGGATGACCTTGAAGAGAAATTTCTTTCTGGCCTGTATTACCCTGAGAGGCATCTAGATTTCCAATTTTAGCAAGGGACAGAGTGCACAGGATTTATGATTGGCAAAAAATTTCATTACCATAAGTTCCAAAGTCCGAGATGGTTTGGTTATTAGAGTCAAGGAGAGCAATGGACACAGAGGAATAGGAGGAGGGTGCTTCCCAAGAGATCGTTTGCAAGCTTCCCGGTGTCCAGTCGACGGCTAGATAATAAATGACGGGCGGTTAGCGTAACGGGCTCAAGTGTGGCGAAGCGAAGGAGCTGCGCATTAGGGATCGAAAACAAACACCCTAAAAAAAAACCATCGCTTTCTCCAACGCGTAATAGACATATAAAATTCGTAGTGCTATATACCTGCAGTGGACGAAGGCGACGTGATTTGGAAATCTAGAGGAAGATAGGTTGTTAATGGCGGTGGTTGGATAAATGGCTGGGGACATGAGACCGGGAACTGGTAAAGTACCTGAGCATTTCTGAGACAAGTCGTCAGTAGATGCGTCATTCAAATGTGAAAAGAAGGGAGAAGCATTTGACAAGGAGGGAAAGGCAATTGCAACAGCTGCCGAGATGAGCAACTTTGACGTGCCAAACTTCATTTGCCTAATAACAAGATGGAGAGAGTATGAAAAAGAGAGGCGAAAACCTTGACCAAATTGATATTGAGTCCTGCTACTCGGACTTTGAATCCCGCCAGCCTGCCTATTTTTAAATCATTGCTGTTGCACAGCTTCATTGAACCCATCCCCAGCCTCATGAAATCACTCTTTGCTTGAAGCCATGGCTGATGAGCCATACAGCAGAAAGAAGGTAGAGGACATTGAAGGGTACAGTCAAGAAAGAGACTCCCTCGATCTATGGTAAATTCATACTAAAAGCACTTTGGTTGGCGGTCACATAACTCTTCTTTATTACCTGCTATTTTTACACTGCACCTACCCTAAGCCAAATCTTTGCCAAACGAAAGCTTGCGATGTTGATATGAAATTAGTGGGATATCATCAACCTGAGGCATGCCCGTGTACTAATAAATAGATATGATAAAAGAACAAAATTATACTGAAAAATAACAGCAGCGATACTTTTGATCTACCAGTGGTTTAATTGATACTTATAAAGGTTGTGTTGTTGTATTGACGCTTACATGCTGGTGTGTTCATTCAAATCAATAACAAGTTTGGACAACGACCATCCAACGATGTGAACGCATCTGTATTGCTTCATTTTATCTTGGTCCTCAATCGGTGCTATGTTCATCCGTCGAATATTTATTTCGTTCACTATACATTCGGACATTGATTATAGAGTATATCCTTAATGCCAGCAACTTGGACATTCTCTTGCTACAACTACAATCTATCTATTATATTGCAACTTTACCCCACTGTGATTTACCTTTGGATGCCGTCGCTGCAGCGGGTAAAATTTCCCCAAAGGTTGCAATAAAAAACGTGCAATATCCGCTTCGACTGAAGGTGAAAAAATGTAATGTTACACACAGCCGAATGGATGGCCCTAAAAATTGGGTGGTTCTTGATTCGTGCACGTGACTCTGACTTGACAGATAAGCTTTTAGTGCTGTCTTGGAAAAAATGGTGTGGATCGATAGAGCAGCAGAGCTTGTTCCCGTTTTACTCCCTGATATCCACAAGTACTATGTTGGCGGCCAGAGGATCGCTCACGCGAGCTCTGGCTCTCATTTCCATCACCCTAATTCTATCCATATATTTCTTATCTAAGCGGTCAACCACTCCTCCCAGTTTGAATCAATCCAACTCTCTCTTGTCATCTGACGAAATCAGCTTCCGATCTGCTTGCGATGGGGTGAACTTTGATTCCATGTAAGTGACCATAAACAGCCTGTATATGATAATAATGCATCAGACACTCATACTGGCGATTAGACGAGACGATAGGGCAGTATGGGATGGTGCATCGTACAAATCTTTCATAGTAGCTAGGGATGGCTCGCTGACGTTACCAGAGCTCGATATATCTGCTGGGGATTCTGTTTGTGTGGTTGTTTTGGTAAGCAATGAGGGGGACATGGCGCGCACCCATCGGTCTTAATACTAAACCAAGCCCATTCAATTTCTAGTTACCTCTAACACCTGCCTTGACCCCTCACTTTGTATCTTCTAATCTCAGCCCCCCTGACAGCATCCTTACCTACGCTATTAGCACCACCATCCGATATCCTATCGAGCTGAAGCAACATTACAGAGCTAATAATTTATACTATGGATCAGCTTACTTCCCCCATCCTGATATATACCACCTCAAGCATACGGTCGAACATCGATCTCACTTTTGGTTACAACCATCTCGCCATCCATATAAACCCATCAATTTTGAATCCTCAAACCGTGTTCATGTCACCGCTCCCGATTTCAACGTTACAAAGTTACCTACCTGTAATCCTGCGAACCCCGAGTCATTGAACGGAAGATGGATCAAAAAGACGAAATATCAAACCCTCTATCCATTTGATTTTTATGGCATGTTTGATGAAATCCAAGAAGATCATGCTTTACATGATTATCTATTTGTGCCGGATTGGTGTCGTCTGGAATATACCAGCATTGGCCAGGGAACCCGCTGCCTTGATAAGAAGACCGTTCATGTATGGGGAGACGGTCATGTTCGACGTAACCTCAAATCTATTGCTACAGCCGATAGATGGTGCGACGCAGAAAAAGGCGAATGCATTTGCAATGATGATGGAGAAGCCTTTGACACGTTTAACTGGATGCAAGATCCCCTAGTCCCTGTTCACTTTAACAGCTCTTGGCAAGTTGATACCCAATTACATATCTTGCAAGCCGGCACTATCACTGGATCAGATTGGACTACTCGTTTTGCAGAATCGACAGAAAAACTACCTCAAGCTGATCTGGTGATCTTCTCACTTGGTAATCTTGATATTGCGTCCCTTCATGTTGAGCCACAAGCTTTCAAAGACGCCCTTATCCCTTTCGCCAAGGCGCTGAAGGAAGCTTATCCAACGCAACGTATCGTCATTCGAACACCTCGACAATTCGCAGGTGCGGTGTTGCAAGGAACTGGCTGGAGCGCTGGACGCAGTCAACTGTTTGCTGAATTGATCAAGGATGAATTGCAAGACTTGCCCAATATCGTGTTTTGGGATGTGGCAAAATTAGGCGTTGCAGACTACACATGTCTACAAGCCTCCAACAATAACTATGCCCATCGTCAGCTTGTTAGTGTTGAGAATCTACTGCTTTGGAACGCCGTTTGTTACAAGGACACCACTACTTCTTGATCGTAAAAGCCTATGATTTTCACTTTATCCTTTTTCGTTCAAAGGAAACGGCTAGACTTGTGATTGATTTTTTTTTTTTTACATATATATATATTTTGCTGTAAATGTGCGAATTAAACCGTTTGGCTGTGCTGCTTAGCTATTGGATAGTGCGTTGTGTCTCGTTATGTTTGCAGTGATATTGTTATAGACAACCTGCATAATGAATCACTGGAGGTCAGGTGAAAGATCCTTCAGAAATTTTATTGACTCGAAGCCAACTGTCCGCCTGCGCTAATACGCGATCTCATTCCACCATGGCAAAAGGAAGGTGCATCATGGCTCCAGGGAATCACACTGAATATCCCGAGCGGGAGATATGGTAAGACAGAGTCGATTATCCATTGGTCAACTCTGTAGCTGACGTCCAGTATAGGTATCCAGCAGTGGCGGACGGTTTGCGAGAAGCGACCAAGGACGGGGAACCTGTGTTCTCGCAGGTGGTATTGCGCCAGTTCCCGGATTGGTATATAGGAAGGGAGTCGGTAAGATAGGAACGACCACCCTTGGTGTGAGAAAAACGAGCAGGTTAGGTTTCATTCTAATCCATCGTCGATCCAGGTATGGATACCATTTCTGCGCAACGAGCTGCAGGTCGGCGTGAACGATGTTATTATCGGGCACAGGTACAGTTTCGTTACCATAAGAAAGTTGGATGCAAGAACAAATCGGCTAATCTGTATCACTTTCTGTTGTACTAGCACTGGTGCCATCGCAGCATTACGGTACGTGAGTCCATACTCAATGAACAATACTTCATAATTTTGTCACCAACACAGACTATGCAGGTACGCGGAAAAGCATCAGGTGAAAGGGATTGTTCTTGTCGGTGCGTACCACACCGATCTGGGAGACCCGGATGAAGTGGAGGCAGAGTACTTTCGCCAGCCATTTAATTATGCAGCCATTCGTGACAACTGCACCTTTATCATTCAATATGCTTCACCCAATGACGAATTTGTACCCATAGCGGAACAAAGATATGTTGCTGAACAACTGAAACCCGAATACCACGAAATAAGCAATCGTGGCCATTGCATTGATGATCACACATTTGATGAACTGATAGCTGCGTTGCTTCAAAAGATGTGAAGGGGCCGAGAAAAATCGTACTTTGATAAAAACTCAATTATGACTCCACCTTGTTAATCTGACCTCGACGTATGGTAGTATTCTAAAGAAACGAGCGTGAAAAAAAAATAAGATGATATCGAAGGAAACGGAGCGAAAGAAGGCTATTATTTAAGTATGGCATTGTGCAAGGTTGGAACAGTGCTTAGTCAAAGAAATACCAACATCTCCCCCACTTCTTTCAACTAAACGACACGTCGTCTTAATTACGAGAGGGTAATTACACACTTTGAGAACAACCACATGAAATACCGTTCGCATGTAACCGCGAAAGGGAAATCATCAGCACTTTTTGAATTTTTTGATTGTCAGCCAGCGCCGGCACTATTTCACTTCAAGTGCGTCTTTCACGTGGAGCACAGTACCTTATGTCCACGTTCAACAGAATGGCCATGCTGCCTTTCGAAGGACTTATTCCTGTACTCGATTGGCTGTCGTACTTGGTGATCAACAAAATATACCAGTCTCCTATCCTTCTATCCCTCTACAAAATATACAAACTGATTCTACGACTAGCCACCAATTCAACGGAAATCTCAAGGCTCTGTTCATCTGCAGTTGCGCGAGTCGTTTATGATCAGCACTGGGAAACTGATGTAGACTCGCAAGACTCAGACGAAGTGGTGAATGAACGCGTGCCGTTGAGACACATCCGCACAGTGCAAGTGAACAAAGGGTTGAATCAACTTATCAACAATGTACAGAACGGCGTCACAGCCGATATTCTCTACCGCATTGATAGATCCATTTTATACTCCAAGCAGCTAGCCATAGAACGAAGGGAGCTGGAGCTATCAACGTTCAGCCTAGATCAAGTCAGCCAAGCGATCCTTTCCAAAAAACAATTCCCTTCTGGCGGAGCCAAAGATACCCCAGAAGCCAAAGTGCTGCAATTTTGCCTCCAGCGGATTGCTGAAACCCATCGACTTGTGGCAGAAATCAATACGAGAACACATACAAAGTATGATTCGGATAACAAGGCACATGAAGCAAAGTTGATGGAGTTGTGGCGTACATTGATGGTGGATACGCCTCTGGAAGGTCGAATCACTCGACAATGGGGGCAAATTGGTTTTCAAGGTTCAGATCCTGCCACGGACTTTCGAGGAATGGGTATGCAGGGTCTTGATGATTTGCTCTACTATGCCAAGACCCACCCAGAATCTGCGAGAAGGACACTTCAGTGTTCCTTGCATCCTGTCTCCTGGTACCCCTTTGCCATTGTCGGTATCAACATAACTCAATATGCCGTCCAAATTCTCTTGACTCGAAAATTGCAATATTATCTTTTCCAATATGGATCCACCCGAGAAATGTACAACGAGTTTTACTGTAAGCCCAGGTTTTTTTTTCGGGAAGTGGGTTATGCCATGAACATTATTCATCTGAACCCTATTGATTTGCAGGTTACCTCTTTTATTCATTTAATGAGTTTTGGATGTCGCATGAGCAACCTCGGCTGACGGTGATGGAATTCGAAAGCAAATTCAAGGAATTCAAAGTACTGGTGGAACAGGATCTGTTGATCAGGAAGATCACGACACTGAAGGCGTTCTTGGGCAAAACCAATACGACTTTGGTTGAGGATATACCGTCTTCTGTGGAAGAAAAGAAGCAGCTATAGAACAAAAACGGTTGAGAACAGTGCCCAAATGAACCGTAAATTCCAGGAGATCCTCCATTTAAAGATGTAATATACTAGCCCTCCTCCTCATTTTATCCTTAAAATCACACCACCACCACGACAAGGAATCCCTCACCTCCTTTTTATCTGAATGCATGGTCGCTTGCAGCTACTCTCTCACGACGACACCCCATTTATAATATTACAGTGACCCTTCAGTCGTCGAATGAATGTAAATATTGATTTGAAATAAACATCCCAGCAAACTGGGCACATGTCATGGCCTTGGCTTTTTATTCACCCCTAAAGGAGCTCTATCTTTATGTTGTTATTACAGATTTCCGTCAGCCTAGCATGATGTATTTTCGAAAGCAACTGTAATTATATGCATTATATAGGTGGCATAATAGGAGACCGAGACGCAGCATTCAGTACGGAGGCTGATACTTCTGATAAGGTCAATGGTGTCGTGCTAGCTGAATGTCTTGTATGGACTATCGACTGAAAAGTACTCTGCGCGGTGGTTTGAAGTTCCTCGTGTTCCGTCCACAATGGCGATCTCCGGTGCGGTGGAACTTGAACGTAGCGTGTAGCTAACGCTGGGTTTGGATAGTCTATCCTTGACGTGTCGTAGCCGCCCGCTTATGGGTAGTGCTTAATGTTTGACTTTGGCCATTTCAAGTTCAGCGTGGTCAAAGAAAAATGTTCCTTACCTCTCTCCATCATTACAGAGCTCGGCATAGCAGCTGCACCCAGCAGCTGTTCCAACTCGGCGTTTGTCAGTGACAAGCGGTGAAGTAAGTGCTCTTTCTCTAGGTACAAAGTTCGAATGCGAGATTCGCGATCGCTCTGCAATAACCCTATACTCCTGCTCCTGGTCATGCCAGGATGGGTCATGGTTCCTGGATCAGTACTGGCGAGCAGCGCACCTGCGCTGTGGTCTATGTTAAGATTAAGGTGAGGATGTCCTGAGCGTCTGCCATTGAAAAGGCGAAGATGATTTCCTTCAGGTTCAGCGACAGAGCTCCGTGCACTTTCATTTACACCACCCGTTTCTCCATCCATTGCGGTAGTCGCCTGCTCCGTAGTCGGGCGTGGACGGTTGATCAAAAGCCCCATTACTGCTGTCTCGGTACGAGTGAGGCGAAAGAGTGTAAATTGCTAAAACCTCCGAGAACGAAAGCACTCTCCTATGGAACAAACTGAATAAAAAATTATTAACCAAGCTCCTAATCTTTTCATTATGACCAGCCTTTCAATACTAGGTACCAAGATCTCGGGTATTACAATTCGCACCATAAACCAATCTGTGAATCGGTAGGTGTTCCCGTCTTGCGCAACCCTCTCTACTCATGCGCTACGTGTCGCATTTGTGGTTTTTCAACGTCATAAAATGTAAATTATGAAGTATTGGTGCCTTTATTGTTTTCACTGTGTCAGTCAAAGGCAAATGCCAAGTGATGTGCATGAATTTGTCTACAGTGCTTTACAGATTGTAGAAAAGTCGATCAATACAACTTTTTATTCAACACGATTTTGGTGAACAAATCTCGCCTTGACTGACTCGCTACAGTAACACCAACAAGAATTATTCAACTTTCGTACATGCTGCGCAGTCAGATGTTGCAACTATACGTTTTGCATGTCTTTGTCCTTCCTGGGACTGTCGCCATATACAGACGTTTAGTCAGCAACACAATTGCTAGGTAACCCAGCTGAATTATCAAATTAAACTTGAAAAGCGGGAAATAGCACGACTATTAGCCACTGTTGCAATATGTGAAATGTGAATTACTTCTTAGTACAATACTTCATGACGAATTGCTATGGAATGATGAAAAGAAAGCAGGCGAAATTCAGTAAGTCCAGCTCACTTTCGTGCAATGCATATAAAATTGGTGACGCGTGACATTATTTTCGTGAATATGATGTGCTCATCTCCAAAAAAAAAATCATGGAAACGAATTCAATGTGAATTTAAATCTATTTGAAGACGACTGCCCCGAGAAAACTGTGTTGGCTGACCTATATATGCCTTGGAATGCAATTTTTGATCATAGAAGATAGCGCTGTGGTAAATTCTTACAAACCACGGAAAGCAATTTTCCGTTGTGGCGTACTGAATATTGAGCTAAATGCTCGCATTATTAACACGATAAAACATTCACAATACAATTCATTTTCCAATAGAAACACATATTTGAAGACGGCTAATTGAGACATTGATATTCTAAGATGCGTGTACCGCTAGGCAAATGGGTTTTTCAAAAGATATACTGTGCTCTTCTGGCGAGTTGGGGTTATTCGAAATCATAGTCCACCAACAGCGTCATTCCTAAATCCGATGTCGCCACTCCAAAATGGGGTTTTAAAATGACTATATAAGAGAAACCAGCACCTTCGATCATTTTCCATACTCACATCCATCATGGTCGCCCAACGTAAGTGGTACCCGACTATACGCTTTCACTACACTCATAACCCTTTCTAACCGTTCAATGCCGATTAGCCAAATTAACCTTCTACACCAGCGTTGTCTGCCCTTACGCACAGCGAGCTGCTATTGCTCTCAACGAAGTTGGCGCAGAGTACGAAAAGGTTGAAATCGACCTCCAGAACAAACCTGCCTGGTAAGGACAATGAGAATAGGTCCCTGCCTCTACACAACAACATGTTGCTGAACGGGCTCTCCCTTTTACCCGATTAGGTACAAGGATGTTAACCCTGAAACCAAGGTCCCAGCTCTCACCGTGGATGATTACAACATTGCCGAGTCCCTTGTCCTTGTAGAGCTTGTGAACGACTTGTTCCCGGAGAAGAAGTATGTATGAAGTAGATGTTCTGGTTTAATGGGACAAATATTGACATATTGACGTGTTTATAAGGTTGCTACCTGACAACGCTTTGAAGCGTGCTCAAATCCGATTCTTCGTCGAATACTGGAGCAGCAAAATCAGCCCTCAGCAATGGAAGATCATCGGCAACCTTGAGGATAAGGAAGGGCGTCAAACTGCTTATAATGATATTAATGCTGCTTTGGTCAGAGTAAGTGTGTAGTGCGGGGTGAGGAGGCCCGGTGGTGACAGTGAACCCTTACCCTGAGGTAACACTTCTTCCTAATCTAGATTAATGAATTGTTGCTTGAGCAATCTCAAGAAGGACCTTACTTCTTGGGCAAGGAATATTCCATTGCTGATGTGAATGTCGCTCCATTCGCATACCGCTTGAAGGTCTTGGTATCCCATTTCTTCAAGGACGAGATTGAGCTTATTGACTTTGCAAAGTACCCTCGAGTTAAGGAGTTCTTGGCGGGCATTACCGAACGAGATTCGTTCAAGGCCACTATCGCCAGTGAGGAGTATTTGGCACAAGCATACGAAAAGGCTCGTGAGAGATTCGCTGCTGCCGCTAAGAAATAATATGGATTGTAAAGCAATTTTGAAATAAAGACTTTTTTTAATCGTAGGTGCCTGTCGTTTTTCTGCACACGTTATCAACACAAACAGCGATCGATGCCAAAAGAATGGTGGATGTCACACCTTATCACACCTTAGCTCTTGCTATTCCATTTGGTTATGGATGAACTGGCGATCGTCTTCTCCTGCATTTTCAGCCACTCCTTTGGTGAAGATACTGATTGACCGAGATCCCCACCAACCGAGTTTAAAGGTCATAGAGAAAAAACCGTTGGGAGTATTTTCATTGGGGTCTTGATCAAATCTGTATGCATGCATTGTGTCATTTGGAAAAGAGATAGATTGATAGGAATATGCGAAACCCATCATGCCCCAATGAAAGACATACTACTAAACTCATTGCGTACAAATATTCTTCGTTTCGGTAATCATTAAAACCCTTTGATATACATCATCGAAAATAAGGGGGGGGGGGGGCTGACTAACAAACATACACACACAATTTCACCTCTTCTCCAGAGTCTTTCATCGAGAAGTCGTCAACGATCACCAGATGTCGTGTTCATTGGTTCGCTGGCCCAAAAAAATAAAATAGTTTCACTTTGACCTCGATGCATGAATACATCCGGTACATTCGGACCCCCTTTTTTTTTAGACAAGAATTTCATCATCCCTCACGTAAATTACGGCGGTCATACAATGCGATCGAAGCAGTGAAAATCCAGCCGAGTAAAGCGATGAACGGCACAACTCGAGTTACTAGATCAAGTCGATTGCAAATGCTTCATGGTGAAAGCAATGGCCCCCCTACCCTTTCAGCTGACCTGTCGAGGAAGGGGGGCAGAGGAGACAGACGAGAGGAAAAAGACGCAGGAAGATAAAAATAATCAAAAAAGACCTCCTACACAAGAACCCTGGTGGTGGACTTTTGCTTGAATAAACTTCGGGCAAGGCGCGACCCTGGAAGGATTTGGATATATTGATTACTGCGAACAGAATAGAACGCTTTCTTATTTCAGAAGGTTCGACCGAGCAGAAGGATGTTAAGAGAGAGAGGTGTGATCGACCTTTATTATTGTTCGGGAATGTAGCTATTGTATTTCCCAACATTAATATTAACATTTATGCTATCATCGGGGCCGGCCGCTGTGGTTAGCCCTTCTCTCCGGCTGCATGATCGCCGATTCCATCCAACTTAAACTATGTGAAATGGCCTACCATGATGTGTATCGTTCGCTGATATTGTTGAGGCATTCTCTCCTATTTCACTGGAGTAAAGAGGGGTCAGGTCGGTCAGTTGCAAAACAACCGGAAATGGGAAGGAGGCACACAGTCACACTTGGAATCGGCAACCTCGCCTGCCAAAAGCGCATAAATTGAAAATTCTCGAGTCCCAAGGGGGGCGGAGCTCTACGTTTAAGATCCCCTTTCTCTCTTTTTCAAACCTGAAAGACTCTCTTTTCTCTCCTCCTTTCCAATCATCGTTCTATATATAAAAGCAACAACTTGGTGCCTTGATCTCCCGCTCAATCAATTCGGTTGCCACTTACCCTTCACTCGCCACTCATCATGGATACCGTCGACAATGATTCACCCAGGTTCCGCCCCTTCGCCTCGCCGAGCCATAAACTCATCAAGGTCAAGAAAGCGAAATACTCCACCTCACTCGATCCACGCGGCTACATTCCCGGTAAGCTTTCTTCGGAGTCGACCTAAATGCGCTGGGAGCACAAGAATCATACCCACATGACAATCACTGTTAAGCTCACTATATATAATAAATTATTTGAACAGTCTACGAATATACTATCAACAACCAACCCATCATGTGGGATCGGGAATCAGGTAAACCACCTGCTCACAGACAGACAGAGAAAATAATGACCTGCGGGCTGACCTCAATCATCTGCTTCACTCCAAATAGGCTATGTTCATTTCACCGGTATCTGGAAATCGCTCGGCAATTCAAAAGCAGATATTGTCAAGATGGTCGATTCAAATCCAGATTTGAAAGTCAAGAAAATTCGTGGAGGGTTCTTAAAGATACAAGGCACTTGGTAAGTAATACTCTATTATTTTATGTTATGCCCCCACCATTGTAAAATATTATATTTGGATGGGGTGCTGATGACTTTTTGGCTCGGAATGTCATCCACCAAATTGACCATTTCCCATGACCGTTCAATATTTGCCTCGGTCATGGCTATGGGCGATCTCTTTTTGTTTGGCACCACGCTGACTGACTGATACCTCCCTTCCATTTAGGATTCCATATGAGTTTGCTTATACTTTGTGTCGTCGGACAGCTTGGAATGTTCGCAAAGAGCTCGTCCCCATCTTCGGCCCACGATTTCCTATGGAAGCCTTGGATACGTCACACCCGGAATATGGCTGCCTCCTGTTGGACCCATCCAATGCATCTCATTTGAAATCCGCCATGCTGCAGCGAAGGAATAGCTTCACGACGTTGAGACAAGTCCGATCACCCTACAAACGTGATTACATGCGACGGGGTTCTCGGGATCAACGCCGACCCTCCATGGCCGAGCGATCGCAAAAGTCAGACAGAACGTCATCCTCCAGCATGTCTCTCGCCCATCTCTTGAATCAGCCCGATGCCGGTATGGAGGAGGAGGAGGATAATAACTCAGATGTGTCCATGATGGATCGTGCTCGGGAAGAAGACGACGCTGTCAGTGACAATGATAACACTTCACCAAGCTCGTATACCAATAGTACAGCAACGACCCCTTCTCCTACGTTTCGAGTCGTTCCCACGTTTCCATTTTACAAGTCTCGGGGAGGTCTCACCATGGCCGACGATGATTACACCCGACCCAATTATCCTCCTCCCATGATCAACGAGAGGCATTACATTCCACCCTCACGATCGTACTCTCTGCCACTGCTTTCGCCCCTTCCCGTCAATGCATCGGCGGCACCACTCCAGCCTAATACGGAAATGCATCCACACTCAACCTATTCTCAGGAGATTCGGGACCATTACGCTGCTGTTCGACAAGCTGGTGGATATGGCGCTATGAGACGCCCGTCTGAGCCACGAATTCTGCGTACTGGCTCCGCTTACTCTTATTGTCACCAGAATGGGAAAGTAGCCTCGTCACCTCAGCCGTCCGTTCCATCTGAGGACATCATTGAAACCATCAACGCAACCATACTACTCCAGCGCCTATCACAAGACGATGGGGCTCGACCTTTCCGTCCTCGTAAGCCTGACAATGTTCCCAGTAAAGTCATTGTCGATAATCAAGAATTCAAGATATGCTGGGACTAAAAAAAAATCCCCTCCCCTTGTGATGGATGTGAAATGAGCGTGCTCTTTCACTTCCCATTCCCTTTACCTGTTTGCAACTAACCTGCAAAAAGTACCTCGTCTTTTACATCGTTCTGTCTGTTTTACTATTGTCGTCCTTTCGTTGTCTCCATTGCTCGCTTGCTCGCTTTTACACTCTCCTTCAGTTAGAAACACTACCTTCTTCCTTTGTGTGGTTTGACTCCACTCTCTGTGTATATATTTATTCCTCAGTTTTTTTTTTTTCCTTTTTTTTTTTTTTCCCTTTTGCGCTCCCTTGCTCTCTTTTTTCGTTATATCCATTAATGCCTCCGCTGGTTACCTTCTCTACGTATTGGTTCTCTTCCTCACGTATCTATACAGTTTGATGAACTCGAATAAAGTGAAAAAGTAGACCCCGAATCTCCCCGTCTTCCATCGTACGTCACGTAAAAAGTTCATGCGAGTTGCATGGGCTACTTGCTATACGGCCGATCCCTGATTCACTCGAAACGGTAGGTATGCTCATGTTTAAACCCAGTTCATCGTAGGTCGAAACGTTCGGTGTTGCTTGACATTAAGGTTTTCGACGTGAACACGGCCGAGGTTTTGGTTTCGCATACACTTCCTCGAGGTAATTAACGCCGAAGTGAGCCCTTTTTTTATGTTTGACCTGGCGGCGCGCCTGAGCCAATACCGAAACCATTCATTAGAGAAAGTTTTGATAACACCCTAGAGGAAATTGAATCGTCTTTCATTCTAATGAATAAACACCCTCCCTCTCTCATACTTTGTCTCCAGGGAATTGTGAATGGCAAAAAAGTTCAACTTTCATCATAAAAATGATGACGTCTCGATTTCCTCAGGTTTTCTTTGTCCGTCAGTGCCAACACGGTGGTCGAAGGGAGGAAAAAAAAAAAAGGCGAGGACCTATTCACCGTTCTGTTGTTCTCCCCACTCTTCTCGTCACACAGCAATGTCGGATAAGTCTGGTGGCAAGCCACTCCCTACCAACCTTGCAGATTTTGATTTCTCAGATATTCCATCCGATATTCAAAGCATTTTAGATGACACAACGTTTCCTCCGGACGCCGCGTCAGGCGATGGACCGCATTCATTACAATCAATAGCACAGGGAATGATGGGACAGGGCGAACCAATGAACCTCAATGATCTTCTAGGCCACCACCACCACCATGATCCTACTATGCAAGGCATGGGTGGTAGTGGAAACACGACACCAAGTCATACAGTGGAAGGTGTCAATCTCTCCAACATGCAGTCACCTGTATCGGACGGTAATCAAACCAATGGCAACAACCGCCTAGTTTCAACATCACAAACCAATATTCGAACACCTTCTGCGTCACCTGCAGCCCCTTCCACACCTGTCAGGATCAAGCATGAGGACGTCAACATGTCGCCACATCACTCTCCCTCCAATATGTCGCCGTCTCGACCTGAATTAAGTGTGCCAGTCATATCCACGCCTAGGACGGGCACCCCTACCTTGTCTGCGTCTGGAAACACGCCAGATATGAGTCCCGCTGATGCGTCTGCTCAAGTCCCGTCATTATTGGATAATATCAGAGCGAGGTTGACGCCAGAGCGTAGAGTGAGATGGGAAGAGTTATTCGAACGGCTGAAGGTAAATGGCTTCCCAATTCTATGGGGCGAGAGGGAGGTGTGCCGCCTTTGGCTTATCCAGTGTCTCATTTTTTGCTCCAACTTTAGGTGGGACAAATGACTGCGGAGGACTTTTTGGCTGAATCACGGACCCTGTTGGGAAACCAACAATATCAGCAATTGCAAGATTTGAAAAACAGACCTGTCCAGCCGCAACAGCCACAGCCCGTCAGAATGCAACCACAAAACGTCATGGCGGATAACACGGATGGTCGAAAACGAGGTGGATTTGGAAATGAAACCCCTCCACAAACGTAAGTGGTCTCCCATCAACTGCGCGCTATTCCCGCGTCATGTTAACCTGGTATATCAGTACCCAACCCAAACGATTCAAAGCTGAAAATGCACAGCAAGGCATGGTCATGGGACCTCCCTCTGCGACCCCCACACCCTATCGGACCAATACTCCTATATCCACTCCAAATATACCAGGTAATGTATTAACACCATGCTTTCCTCTGACGTTCACACCCATTGATTAACACTATGTGTATGTAGGCATGCAGACCCCACGGCCCCCAGGTACACCTGGTAGACCACCGTTAGGCAATACGGGTACTTCGTCAAATGCTGCAGATGAAAGAGTGGACTATGACACGCTGACGGACGTTATGGGATACGCTGGTGTGGACTTGAAGGTAAGGAGGATGAGCTCTTCACATTTTTGGGGCAGCAGCCGTCTCCAACTATGTAAAATGAAATAGTGTCTAAACGAATGGTCATCATGCAGGAGGAGGCAGAGCAAAGTTTAAGTCACGGAGATTCAGCAGGCTCAACCATGACAGACGGTATTGATCGAACGAAGCTGCAAAATTTTATCAACATGGCCATGTTGAAAGTTGTTGTTGGCAAAATTGGTAAAAAAAAAAAGCCCTTCTTTTTTTTTTGGTTGGTTCGATCTTCCCCGTATTAACATTATGTTCTGTGATGGGGAATGCAGCTACTAAAGCATCGGTCAAAGATATTTCCCCTGATTTCTTGTCGTATTTGGCACTTGCCACGCAAGACCGTATACGAGGGTTGGCGGAACAAATGGTCAAGGCCTCCAAGCATCGAGTATTCTCCCAAACGTTTGATGCACCCCCCATAGACGAAGCCACAGGACAACCACTATATAAGATCGTCGTGCAGCAAGATATCAGAAAGCAATTGCTGGCAATTGAACGAGTTGAACGAGAAGAAGAACGGCGGCGAAAAGAAGCCATGTCTGAGCGAGAACGACGAGCGCAGCAAGGTGAAAGTGGAGGTGGCGAGGACGATGACAAGCCTAAGAAGAAGAAACAAAAGGCCATGGGACCTGGTGTAACCGCTCGTACCATGAGCGAAGACATGCGTAACAAGAAGGCGAACGAGACGGCATTAATGAGCGCTGGTGGCAAACGAATGAGTTGGATGACCTCCACCGCAGACACACCTTCTTCCCCTGCCAAATCCGTTAGCAGTCAACCCAGCACTCCATCTGCCACGAACGATGGGGGTGAAACTACGCAAGCTACCAAAACCAAGGGAAAAAGAGGTCGACCACGAGGAAGTGGTGTGGGTGGAAGATCAGGTAGCTCTCGAGGAGAAGCAGCTGCTCCCAGCAGTAACGTCAATCTCTTCCTACCCCCTTCGACCGTGACGCGACCTCTACGAGCTGGAGATGCAAGTTCACGAAAAGTCACAGTTAGAGATGCCATATTTGCCTTAGAACGTGAGCGGGATGAAGGCATTGGCTCAAGTGGCGAAGAACGCATCCTTCTTAAAGTGTATACAAAGCTACTCAAATGAGTGACATCCCTCACATTAAAACTTTTTAAAAAAGAAGAAAAATGTCAAGACCGTAACATTCTTTCATCACTTGTTGTCTCTGCATAGTTTAAACTTGTACACCCCACTTTTATATAAATTTTTAAAACAAAAAGAAAATCAACACAACATGGTTTTCTTTTTGTGTGCAAAACCCCACTGGCTCAAACGTAGTATTTATGTATGTACAGAAGCCTATGAGAGATGGGCGGCGGGTATCACAGCCATTTTCACTTCTTGTTGCGTATGCTGCTGAGAAAGGAAGAAATGGATTCGTCATCAATGTTAGCCTTCTGTGGGTGAGAAGAGGCTGGAGCAGCGGTTTTTTGCTGTAACAGTAATCTGCGAGCATTGATTTTGGCTGCGTTCCGTTCCAGTGCTTGTTTTCGTTTTGCCGATACACTCATGGTATGCGCTCGAGCCGTTTCTGTTTGCTCTCGTAATCGCTTGAGTTCTTCCATTTGCGCCTTTCGCTCATCTTCGTCTTTTGAAAACGTATAAAATCCTACACCTTTGGTTCGAATTTCTCGTTCCGCATCGTATCGTTGTGTTTCTCGTTCCTCGCTTCCTTCGCGTTTGCGTGCTTCATAGTCCGCTGTGGTAAATACAGGATAGGCGGGCTCGCTCGTCAGTTGGGGCGATGGGGATCGTGGTCGTGATCGAGGTACCTGGCTTTGTCGTATGGTTCTCGAGCGGCCAAATTCATCCTCATAATCCACCCAGGGATCATCTCCGTCGCTCTTTTCTTCATCATCTTCTCCATCCGAGTCAGAAAACGGTCTACTTTCAAAGTCAATGAGTTGGTTCTCGTCGTCGTCGTCGCTATTATTGTATCGTCTTCGTTTTCTCATCTCTTCATAGATCTTGGCTTTTCGCTGCAATGCTGCTCGGCTAGCTTCTAAAGTTGGGGCACCGGTTTCTTCTTCCATCCTTTGATCATTTTTCGCTCGTTGTTCGACTCCTTTGTTCCGTCTCGCCCATACCGTTGGTTTCTAGAGAAATAATTCAGAGTGAGTGCAAGAACTAGAGTGAAGAACAAAATGGAACAATGCTGATTGCACTGAGAGTATTACCTTGGTTTGTCTTCGCTCACTAGCTGCTATCTGTTTTCCCTTTTGCCGATCTAAATCAAAGGATTCCCTTTGACTTACTAGCTGCGCCCGCAGATCCAGGGCCTAGGATGAAATGCGTTAATGCAAGGAAAGTACAACCCTCGTAACCAGTATAATCCACAGCGATGCTCGCCAACGTTAATCAATCTGTTACTTACTGTAGCTGAACTAACATCTATAGGTTTAGGCATGACTGACGGTTGATAGAGGAATTACAGGCTTAACACCGACCCCTTTTGGCTGGAGAGAGTCGCAGTCACGGAATTTGGCCTGCCCGAAATTCCAAAGCAATCAGTCACGAACATGCCTTCCTCGTCTTGTCCCCCTACCCATCATTCACGCAAGTGACCCATTTTTCATTCATTATACTCGGATTTGGAAGTACAGCGATCTATAGTAATTGGCTGCAATGTCATTTGGATGATTTTATATTGGTTGGACGGACAATAATGACGGAGAAAAGTACACATAGAAACAAGTTGACACAGATTTGAAAATTGCTACGAATACTGATAGAGGGCAAGGAATGATCAGGAAATTTTTTTTTGGGTGTTTTTTTTAATTGACGAGGCAAAAACGATTTGCAACAACAGCAATCAATTCACCGATGTCGATCCGACCGGTGAGTACGTGGAATAGGAGGCGATCCATTTGTTGCCGTCAGGAAAAGGAAGGGAATGTGGTTGCCAAATTTTGAAGTTTTTGCCTGGTTTTATATTTTCTTTCAATGAGGAAAACATTGACGATCGAATAATAACATTGCAGTAATAAAGTGGCGAGGGTTCGTAGTGGAGCAGATGATACACAATGAGAGATTTTAGTGAATATCTACTTGTTGTATCAAGGATGGCAGAAAGGACTTCTGTCTTCACTCTGGCAGGATGCTGCACCACGTTTGTCTAATTCGACATTGACGGGAGCAGCGGAAGCAATTGTGGCAATGACCAAGAGTAAGACAGCGATCAGGCTTAAAGAGCGATGCATGGGAGTAGGATGTGTTGAAAAAATGCCAAAAACTGGATGGTAGTTTTCAATACTGAAGAGAGAAAAAGGAAAGGAAGAGCTTTGAAGAGAAATGGCAAGGCAGAAATTTTTATGCGCAATATATACGTTGGAACGGAAAATAGTTGAACAGCAATCAATTTAAATATATCGCCAAGGTAAATGAATAGAAACCGGCTGATCGCTAACATGCTTTGTCTGAGATATATTTCATTCCCATGTGCTGCTATGCCATGACATTCTAGATATCATTATCGCTCTCTGCTTCAAATGATGTATGGACACAGATCCCTTTCAACTCCTTTCATTCGTTCTTGTTCACTGACTGCCCCCTACTTTCAAAGTACAATTTAGGGTTCTCCTCCTTCGTTCGACCCCAAAATAATCTACCTCTCCTTCGAAAATTTACTCGTCCTTGAGCGCGCGTGAGACTCACTTTTGAATATCATTGCTCGTTTTGGCAGCGTCAACTTGATTAGTTTGAACACACACGACATCATCACAACGCCGATCCGAACCTCGCTAAGCCAAAAGCGACCCGTACCTCCTTAGCCATGTTTCAATTACGTTCAAGAGCCAAGACCTTGCTTTCCGTTGCATCAAATTTTCATAGAAAAATGGGTCTCTGCGGCCACGTTTCATGACCCATCGTGCATATACAAACAGGTTTATGTTTTCCATCGCTTTTATCCTTCTGCAACTTCCCCAGTGTGTTGTTTAATCCTAGATACTCAAAGTCAACCTACCAGATTCCGTAGAGACGCCACATTAACTTTATGACCATTCTTGTCAACCTTCGTTTTGATACGAGTTCCATGTTGTACGGAGCTTAACCAAAAGGAAATGTATTTATATATATTATAAGCCAAAATGATAGCATTTCAGCAACACCAGGGTCTCTCGTTCTAAACCATGTCAGGCAGCCAGCCTGGCCCCAGAGCCACTATCCACTTTTGAGAACTCATTGTTCTAACCATGGTGTGGAGTTAAATGTCCTTTTGTCAACATTCAAAGATAAACCCTATTAAACAAAACGCCATGATTTTGTTGATCACAACCACCTTTCTACCAAAAGCAAGCAGCCTCGTTCACAGAAATGTAGGATAAGAAATTTCTCACTCATCTGATCGTCTGCAGAACTTCCTAGTATCGTCTTGGTTTGCGGGTAAACAATACGGCATTGTGGCTCGCTCGTCCACTTGGCCATCGCTCTTTGTGCTATCGGATTGCTGGTATGAACCCCCTCTCAGCTCCTGTCTTATTCATATATATTAAAAGATCATCGCATACGAACGCGTGTTGTTGTAAAATTGTGAGCAAATAACATCCCACGTTCACTGAAAGAAACAACAACCCAATGTCCCTGCGTACAACATCTTGCCACTAAAACCTTACAACCCATGTGTATTCTATTTTCATTTCCGAATCTCCTGAAGTTGGACTAAATATAACCGTTCTTCCCATGGTCAGCAGCGATCAAGATATGCATTTCCTTAATGATGAAGAAAGCGGGAGCGGGTGTCGACGGCAAGCTAGTCAGATCATAATGACTAGAGAAAGATGGATCTTAAAAAGAATAGTAAGCAATTCGATTTCACGTCCCTTTTCTTTCATGGTGCGTTTGAGTAGGTGCCTGCCTGTTTCTACTGAGGAGAATTTTTTATTGGCTTTGCGGACCTGCCTGCCAATGAGCTCATATTACAAATTTCCACTCAGTCTCAAAAAAATTAAATCAGGCACACCTGCTTCGCTTTTCCACACCCATCGTACCTACTCTCTTCTATTTCACTTGACTACCAGCAGAGTCATTCTGGTCAAAGAAATACTCTTCCTATGCTCATCTCGATACTCAGTGGGCAACGCACTGTCCATAGTTGTTCCCTAGGCAAGACAGCCATCGACCTTCCATGATCATATGAATCTGCACTGTATCCTTTGCTGAGGTATAGATGAGGCATCAATGACTTCACACAAACACAGTCCTATACAATACCGCCCTCACTATACTCTCTTTCGCCATGGTCCCAACTTAGAGAGGGCAGGCTCACTAAAAATAGGAACAGTGGCAAATCGGCCTACAACATGGTACTTTCACAAGTGAAACCCAATGACTATACCACTTTAGCCGTGCAAACACGTTTTGGGATATGTCATCAATACGTTATGCAGACCACAATCAAACCGCGATTTCCCAGTTGTACTGTATTCAGGCACACTATCTCAGCCACTTGGGATCGACGTCGTCTCAACGAAAGGCACATCACATATGAACACTCTATAGCAGCCTTTAATTTGGCACGGACTATGGTGTCGAGTTCTTGGTATGCATCCTGCCAGCATTGACGTTGGGTCAACCGAAATACGTAACAGGTGGTCCCCGGATGATCCACGTCGCACATAACAAATGTATTACATTTGCCCCTCCTGGGATTGAAACAGCGAAGTGAATGAGTCTTGAAAGTGGAGCCTAAGATTAGCCAGAAGCGTAGGTTGTAGCAATATGCCTACGCTGCAAGCAGACGACATGCCGAGTGATAGACGGAGGACCCATGGTTTAGATCTACCTTTCTGACGTCAGGTCAGTATACCTGGTGCTGTCATCCTCCCTGGTTGCGTATAGTGTGTGTAACCAAAGTAGTGGGCCTGGGTAAGGTTTTTATATTTCGTCTCTGTTCAATTTAATTTTTTTGTGTTTTCCCTTTTCCAAAGATCTCCTTTTTCCTTCTTTATTCTTTGAGTATCGATTTTTTCCACCTCCAGTCATTTTAAAGAAACATGGGCGACGGCAAAACAAAAACGCTTCATAAGATCACTCGATGGGGAAGCGCGTCTAACAGCGGTAGCAGTACTCGCACAGGTGGAGGCGCTCATGCTGCTGCCAATCAACCTCTCACTCTCGTCGAACCCCTGGATCCCGAAGATTTGAAGCAAGGACAGTTGTACATTGTCAAGATCTCGCTTGTCAAGTTGGCTTTGTTTGAAGGTATGTTTTAGCTGCAACTGGTCAATAAGCTTTATGGCACCACCATGTCAAACTTTTTTTTTTTGCGACTGTGGATGCATGTCCAAAACAAAGTTCGATTTATGGAGCAAGGATAGCTAAACTGACATTTACTAAATTGGCCAACTCCTTTTTGTTCATCACTAGGCTGGCAAGATGATATGTGTTGTTGGAGTGTATTGCGTAAGGATAATTTTTTCTTTTCATCCAACATGACGGACGGGGGGTATCAGCATTTTGAGCGAACGAAGAAGATATGTATGATGAAACCATCTATCGGGGCCTCACCATTTGCCTTTCTCATTTAGGCGACGAATCCAAGCCCATGCGTTGGTCGGAAGCCCGTTATCTTCCAGGTGATTTCTATGCTTATGAGGCGTTTGATGAAGCGGGCAATCCCCCAGTCTATATCTGGCAAAGACTGTTGAACACCGACATCCCTCCCAACTGGTTCAGTATGTTTGAGGAAGCTCGACGAAAGCAGCGGGAATGGGAGACAGGTTTCGATCAGGTACATGCCAATGGACCCACTTATCAACTGACTGATTATCATGCAACCAATGAAGAAGCTCAGGCTGCTGCTGGTGCAAGCGATGATGTTTCTGAGGTGTCAAATCAAGTCAGTGCTAGTGAAGATCGTGAAAAACTTCGCGACTTTTTGGTCGGAGAGCAACCTCAACGTGGAAACTCCATCAACAATGCTTCCAACGTGGAAAACAGTGCTCCTCACAGCCCTGTCCCTTCCCACATTAGTCAAATCCCCGTAGCTGCTCCCGTAGATGGCAAGTATGACCTGGAATCCGCAAATGGATTCGGTGCAGAGAAAGCTGGACAAACGCAGGCAAAGTACGATGATGATTCGATTGATTTTCCTCACGACCAGCTCAACTTTTCGATTCCTGATTATCCTACTACTACCACAGCAAAGGACACTAAAGACCGATACAAATTGCCTGCCACGGCAAAGGCTCACAGACCTTCTGTGAAGAATATATTAAAGTCCTTCAAGCAACATGATCAGACCCCGGCAGGTGCTGTTTAGCCATGATATTCCTTTCCCTTTTTCTCCCGTCCCTCCTTTCGTTCGTTTGTGCGTACATTGTCCTTCCTTCCTCCCGCCGTTTTTCTTCCTCTAACCCCCTTTTTCAGCAGTATCTTTAACCTCCCTCCTCGTAATGAATTAGTATGTCGTTTCAGTCTCTTGGTCCACTTTACTCTCATTCCATGTCCAACCGCTAGAGTATTGTCACTCAATTTTTTTTTCTCTCTCTCTCTAAAACCTCTATTTTCTTTACCCCCACTATAATAAGATATCCCAACCTCGCATAGAGTCTCTATTATTATTTTACTTTATTGCCATACCGTTGTGCTTGATTTTGCTAACTTTGCAAGAGTCCAGCTCTCAGTTGAGATAGCCGATCAGCTACCCTCTTCTTTCTCATTCCTTTAGCAACAATGGCTAGCGTACCGACCAAGCCAAGTTGTTCCATACGGGTATAATGTGAATCGATACGAAACACCTGCGACAATATCTTCATAATTTCAGACTCGTTATATTCTTAAAACAAAAGTCTTTTGCGTCAGTATGTTTTAGAGGAATAGCAAAGCAATCGTATCACATCAGGCTTACTTGTTGGTTCTTTCTTGATCATGCGAATCAAATTTCGCTGGATATGAACTATGGGTATCGCTTTAACGGAAGATGGAGGGAGACTAGATGGTCTCGGCGTGCTAAACCGTCTCTGGTGAGTCGTTATCGCATGAGTTTGAGGTGTGGCTGATCTTTGAGTATCTGGAGTGCTTGGTGGAGGAGTAGCGGTCTTTGCCCGCAAAGATGGCGTTGAGATACGTGGAGCAGGAGGAGTGAGGGTAGGCGTTGGCACATCGTCCGGTATAAGGCTAACGCTCGTTGCTACAGGATTCAATGGTGGTGCTGCTGTTGTGACAGTGTCCTCCGTTTCGTCTTTGATCTTTTCTGCGTCTACAGGCAAATAGAATGCTTCCCGAAGAGTCTCCAGCACATTCAGCAGATCAAAGCGATGCACATCGAATATATTCTGACATAGTTTTCGGTTCTATGAACATATAGGTGGTTTAGCGATGGACATTATTGCGTTCCCTTGTTCCATTTTGTCGTAATTTTTACCTGTGTTGAGCGCCCTGCCATAATAAACTATCACTAGAGGGTGAGCGCGACCGATGGTGACAGCCCGTCTGCTATAAATTTTGGTTACCAGCAGCTCAGTCACAAACTCATTACCGCTCTCACTTGACCATTTGCACATGAGCCCTATGCCAGGTCTAGGTAAGGCACTCGCCACTGTCATGTCCGCATTGGCTTTAGCTCACCATGGTCAAAAGAATCTTTAGGTGGCCGGTTAGACCAAGATTTCACAGCGCTAATGACGGCCATTCCAGACCATACGGCCAAGTCGTTCCAAGCACTGCGATCGACTGCTCAGTCCGTGAGCAAGTATGCCGAGGTATGATATACATATCTAATGAACCTGCATCCTGCCTGCTTTTCTAAAGCTCAATTACCCGCAGGAAACTCAAACCTGTACAAAAGATACCCTGAATAATCTGGAAATAATATCGACATCCTTGGCTAAGTTACGAGATCAAAAATTGCCTATGGTGTCTATGCCCCAGCGCACACAAAGTTAAACAGATCTCATCCCCATAATAAAATTCCTCATATCACACACATCATGATCGAAACCCACAAAAAAGTTTTACAGTTGCCATCCACATACTATATTGATGACTCATGAACAAAAAAAAACTGGAGAGTATAGTAATGCGCAAATGATCGATTCGCTTAGAAGACAAGAGCAGCACCCTTGGTCTTCTTGTCACCACCGAGTTCGAAGTGCTTGCAACGCTTGAGAGCCATTTGCATCTTGTACTTGCAGACAGTGCATTCGAGACGAAGGACAACCTTCTTGGTAGTCTTGGCCTTCTTGTGGAAGACGGGCTTGGTCTGACCACCATAACCGGATTGCTTACTGTAGACGGGTAAGATTGAATTTCAGTTTTGGGGCAAACACGTTTGTGCACGTAGAAATAGATACATACCGGTCATAACGTCTCTTACCCTGAGCGAACAAGGAAGCCTTGCCGGTCTTGTACTGGGTGACCTTGTGAGGAGTGTGCTTCTTGCAGGTCTTGCCCTTGCAGTAAGTGTTACGGGTCTTGGGAATGTTGACCTAGTGGAGCAGCGATTGAGATGAGTTATGTTAGCTCATCAATAATAGCTTAAGGGTTATGTAATTGGCGGTCGTGAAGTATTTGAGTGAGAAATGTCGAATCAAAGTAATGTTCCATTTTGGTGGTGAGAATCTTTTTAAAACTACTTTAGATGAATGTAGGGTGAATGGTGAAGTACAGCGCCGAAAAATGGGTATCCATAGTACTTTGTTCGATTGATGGGTGCATCTAAGGTGTGGATCATGCCGTATGTGGGTCGGATGGATGGGATTGCATATGTATGGATGTCCAAACTCACCATTTTCGTGAAGGAAGGAACCAACTCATTGCCCTCACCTGCGTTCAAGATATACTGAATTGAAACGGCGACCTATGATTGGCCAGAACAATTGGCTGTTAACCCCGCGAGGCCCGCCCACTTCTCTGTGAAAGTTGCTGCGAGACAAAGTGTGTTTCAAGTCATGACATGAATATCGCATTATCCTACTCCTGGCCAGATGGACACCACGTGAACGTGAGACGGTCCGCAGTTCTTTTCTTTTAACTACGAATAGCTTGAGGAGATATTGGATTGGCGTGCGCTGGACAACGAATAGTACAATGAGAACAGCTTGCGCTCAATATGATTTATTAGCTTATGACAGTGTGCATCTTAATGGTTTCTTCGCCATTTTTTCAGAAATAGAAACACATAATATCTGATCTGTTCGTCTGAACTACGCCACCTTATTGAAAGATAGTCTCCTCATGCTTCTTCCTAGGTCTAAATCCTCCTGGCTTGTTCTGTGCTGCTTCATGATTTGCCAATTCCGGAGGAACCTTGGATATGGTGGATTTAGAGAGCATTTGCTTCAAGTCGTACATAACATCTGTGTCATTGTTGGTCAAGAACGTAATGGCAGTACCAGATTGACCAGCACGACCCGTACGACCAATACGATGGGTATAATCCTCGATGTTTTTGGCCATATCATAATTGACGACCAGTGAAACGTTCTTGACATCGATACCTCTACCAGCCACGTCAGTGGCTACCAACACATCCGCATTTCCTTCCTTGAGCTGCGCAAGAGCCAGTTCTCTGTAATCGATGTATCACTAGGTTAATAAACATTGCTCATGCATATTGACCAGCTACCTTCTACCTACCTTTGCTCTTGTGATTTGCTACCATGCAACGTAACAGCGTGATAACCAGATTTGTTGATGGTTCTTGCCAAAAGGTCAACATTTTTCTTTTGGTTGACAAACACAATGACGGGGGCAGGGTAGCTGCCAGAATTGAGAAGCTCCAAGAGTCGATTCCTGCAAAGCAAGTTCATTAATGATCTGTCTCTCGAGTATCTCTCTATCTTTAAAGCTTTTGGATGCTTACTTTTTCTTCTCATCTCCATTGACCATTTCGACCTTCTGTTCCACAGTTTCGACAGCTTGACCAGCAGTACCAATGGTAACAACAGCCGGACGGCGTAAGTATTTCTTGGCAAGTCGTTCGACAGCTGTCGGCATGGTGGCTGAAAACATAGTAGTTTGTCTATATTTATGACCATCCTCAAGGGAGACTTGCATGGCATCACCGTCTTCCGCCTCTACAGAATCTGGCTTGACATTGGAAACTGGAAGAGCGTCGAGAATGAAATTGACATCGGCTTCGAAACCCATATCAATCATGCGATCAGCTTCATCCATAACCACATATGTACATTGATTGAGAACAAGAATTCGTCGTTCCAAACAATCTCTCAATCGACCTGGTGTGGCAATGATAATCTCTGCACCGTTACGTAAATTGAACGCTTGTTCTTCGATGGCGTGCTACGAAAATAAACGTATGTTAATTGTCTGACCTGCAGCCCACATAGATACATAGAATTTACTTACACCACCAACGATAGAAACACAGTTGTATCCAAGCGGCGTAGCAAACTTGAGGGCTTCCTGTTCAATTTGTTGCGCTAGTTCACGAGTTGGTGCTAAGATCAGTGAATATGGACCATCTGCCATGTTGGATTCGTCAAGCCTGGGTAGGTCGTTAATGTAGACAAGCATTGGGATGACGAAGGAAGCCGTTTTACCGGAACCTAGAAAACATGTTTAGTGATCTGCCACCCAAAGGATGTTTAAAATTTAAATACAAAATAGTCTTACCTGTCTCAGCAATACCAATAATATCTCTGTTCTGAAGCCCAATGGGAATTGTTTGACGCTGAATTGGAGTGGGATCTTTGTATCCAACCTGGTCGATGACGGCCAAGATCTTTTCCGGTAAGCCTGATTCTGGCCATGATCGAATGGGATTGGGTATACCTCCTCCTTTGCAGGAAATATTGAAATCTTCCTTGAAGATACGCCAATCTCTTTCTTTCATCTGTGTCAATGGCTTGTCTGACCAATGGCGATCATCCCATTTGAGTTTTTCTTCCCTCTTCTTATCCATATCAATCAGTTCACTGGAATGCCAAAAACAGTCAATTCACTTCATACCAGAACACAGTAACTCGATGCGCGGTCTGACATACCTTGCTCTTCCTCTCTCTTCTTCCGTACGGCGGTTATCGAGGAGTTTGTCATAAAATCCTGAACGCTGCTTCTTTTGTTCCTTTTCATCTATACCCGCCATATGACCTCTGCCAAACATTTGGACAGTATGTCGCTTAGCATAAAGAGGGTTGAAGTCTTGAGAGGTATCTTCACCGGCATCCCAGTCGAAGACAAACTTCTTTTCGTTCATTCTTCTGATTTTTCGCTTCTTTCGCTCTTCACCCATATATCGTGCCTACATTATGAAATAAATTAGAGGTGCCATTATTTGCAATTGTGATTTACCATGCGATAAATACCTTGACAGCTTCTATTTCTTTCTCAGTCAGGCCTTCTGGTATTTCCAATTCCTCAGGACTTGGACTTCGCTCACGTCTACGGTTGTCTCTACGTCGTCCACGATCTCCACGGTCACCGCGGTCTCGATCATCACGGCCCCACCTGCGATCCGATCGACCTCCACCATATCTCGATTCATCGTCCATGCGACGAGCTTCATCTTCTGCTTTTTGATCAAATTCCATCTTGTCCTGCGCATCACGCATTCTTCGCGCTCGTTGTTCTTCCACCTCTTTTTGTCTACGTTCCAATGCCAATTTTGCTCGTTCTTCTTTCGTCAGAAAAGTTGGCTAATGGGAAGTAATAGTTGTTAGTTTAGATGAAGGAGACGTCTGATGATGTATCAATACACATACTCTATTAGCAGCTCTTTTCTCTTCTTCTTTCTTTGCAAGGAGTTCTTCTAAGGAAATGGGAACTTTCTTCTCCTTTGGTTGAGCATCCTCCGTTGTCATATTTACGTCTTCAGTTATCTTTGCTTTCGAATTGTCGACCGCAGCAGGCTTCGAGTGAGAGCTGTATGAATCTCTGTCGTTTCGAGAATATCTTTCTGGGCTGTCATACCGATCACGTCGACTATTTCGACTGTCTCGATTATCTCTCTGTCGGTAGTCACCATGGTCTCGCGACGACCTGTGATGGGGACGTCGATCCGAAGAATTGTATGCTGGCATTGCTGAGTGAAAGACGATATTCAAGCAGGAACCTCTCTCATCCTCACTTTTAACAGTCCAAATATGACGTGGCTATGTAATAAATTGAATTTACGCAGCCAAAAAAGCGCAAAGACAAAGGATAACATTCACTTGCCATCCCATAACCGTTGATTACCGTAGCAACCTGTTCAAACCAACTGGCAAAAGGGGCGAAAAGGTTTACAGGCAGCCACATATAAATTACTAAAACCTTTGGTACGCCTGGTGTCATTCTCACATTGGTGGCAAAAGCTGGAATTCGAGAAGAAAATGGCTGATCAAGCCGATCAACAACCGCCGACAGAAGTTACACGCAGCGAGAGCAATAGTCCAAACACTACCAGTCGTAGGTCATCAGCACGATCGACTGGATCGCTTACTAGGACTCGTGGGGCAAGTGGCACAACAGCGCAGGCACTGGCATCCACGTCCCGACCGCGATCTCTCTTTGACAGTGACGGCAACCTCACATCCCTCAATATCATAAATCCGAACTTGTCGCCCGCTGCATCTACCAGAAGACATCGTAGAACATCGGACAATGACAGTAGCTCTTCTTCCAAGCAAAGTTCACCTAACAGTGTACGACAGCTAGGGACCCGAGGCGACACCCCAAATAGATCCCCTATCGTCACGTCCAAGCAACCGATTAAAAAGCTGGATGTCGCCAAATCTCGAACAGCGCCGCCAGAGCAATCTTTGCAACGTAAAAAGAGACGAAAAGATGAACCTGTGCAGTCCCCTGAAATACTGGTCCCTGCACTTCCATCTACATGGTCAAAACGAAGGCGCACCTCGCCCATGGAACACAAACCTGCTGTCAAACAGGCAAACGAACCATCAGTCAAAATGAAAGCGACGGAAAAGCGTCAACTGAACGCAAAGGTTGCTAATTCCCGGAAAGGTGGCCAAAGTGTCCAAAAGCCGTTAACGCCTTTGGAAATGAAACGACAGGAAATCATCGCTCAACGTGAAAAGGATTTGCAATCCGTTGTTTCTCATCATGATTCAACCGTACGTGAAATGTTTTTCCTCGAAGTTCATCAAAATATGCTCGATTACGACCCTGCAAAATGGAAGTTGAATAGAGAAGACCGACTTATGCAGGTGAGTAGGACGAGGTGTCAAAAATCATACCAAGGTCCATGTTCAAATCTAACACTAGACTCTATGTATTTTTCAAAGTACATGCAAAATTTTGATCTGTGGTCAACTGTCACTGAGCAACTTATAAGCAAGACGACTTCGGGATCAAAAGGAATCAGCACTCGAAGAACATTGAGTCAGCGCCGCGACTCGTTGCTGAACATGCTTCAGGATTCAGTGGGTATATCAACAGCTCAACCGGGAGCCAAAGGTATATTAGATCCAACGAGACGAATCACAAAATTTCCTGGCATTACGGCATATCGACGACCTGTTCGAGAGTATCCAACGTTAGAAGAATACCTGGCGTCTTTTGTATCGATGGAGGAAAACGAAGACATCACGGTCGAGCAGGCAAACGACATCATTGTCAATGAAGCAAGTCTTCGTGATCGTATAGATAACGTCAAAGCCAAAGGTGGATTGAATAAAAGTCTACAGACTGCCTTACGACGTCAAGTGGAGCCAGCAAGAGGAGAATCGCATCACGATATGTTGATGACGCAAGTTGTTTCAACATCCAAGCTTTTCCACAACAACTCAAAGTATCGCAAAGCTAGTGCAAAGAAAGTTGCAAAAGCAGTAGAGCGTTATTGGGAGTCACTACGAACGCAGGATGAGCGATTGGTGAAGGAAGAAGCGCGCCGGTTGCAACGGTTAGCAAAATGGACAGCGCAAGAGGTCAAGAAAAAGTGGAAAGTTGTTGAGCGCGTTTGCGAAGCTCGATACAAAGAAATGATTCAAGAGGAGCAAGCACAACGAGGCAAACGGCATTTGGACATGATTCTGGAACATTCCGAGCAAATGTTAGGCGTAAGAATGGGCGAGTTGGCTTCGAAGCAGACTACGGAGACTCCTCTCGGCTCAGATATCGACACACCAAGTACATATGTCAATGGTGCGGGTAGCAAGGAAGCACCTTCTGCTACCGAAGAGGACGACAGTGACTTGGAAGATCCCTATACCTGGCAAAACGGCGAAGACGAGGCGGATCATTTCATTGACGATCAGTCCAGCTCAGATGATGAGGAACTTGGTGGTTTAGAGGCAGATCAAGATTTGCCAATTGAAGAACTGTTGAAGAAATATAACTACCCGGGTCAAGTCGTCGATGACGGTTCTCTGGATGATGATAGCCAACATGGTTCGAATACAGATGTGGACGAATCAATAGATACCAGCGTGGTACAGATTGTGCGTGAGGACGGCACCCCTGAAGAAGAAGACGTTCAATCGGCTTCTGAACAAGGGTCATCTGGCCATGTGTTTACCAGTACGGAGACAAAGATTCCAACCGCTATACCTGACGCAACGACTGAAGACCAGGACGCCGAATTTTCAGCGCTAGCATCTGATGAAGATATTTTGATTGAGCAAGATGGCGATAGTGAAGATGATGATGTCGAGATCAACGGATTGGAGGACGATGCCAATGTCCCTATTGAGGAATTGCTAAAGCGCTATGGGTACGGTAGCCATATATCGACAGATGAAGACGCCGACGACGAAGAGGAAGAAGATGGCGTATCAGAGGCAGAAGGATCTGATGCAGCGTCGGACGCCATGGACGTGTCTGATGTTGAGGTCACAGAACAAACCGCAGACAACGGTGAAATCACAATGCCAGTTGCTGATCACCCTGACCCAGAATTGAAACTAGCGGCCGAGGTTTCGAAAGACCGAGCACCAGCACGACGACCTCACGATCCTGACGATGACATTGACATTATCGGTGTAGACGAAGACATCCCAGGACCAGATGATGATGAAGCGATGGGAGCTAACAAAGACATTGAGATGTTGGACGACAGTCATCCTGGCGATGCTGGCGAGGAAGACAGTGATGGAACAGAAACCGAAATGGGTGACGAAGTAACTGAAGTCAGCGACGATGATGACTATCAAGATCTAGATAAAGCCAATGATGGCAAAGAAGCTGACCCCAACTCACCACCATCTCCAGCGCAACCCACAATGGAGGAGAAGAAATCCACCGAACAGCCTTCTCAAGCACTTGTTCAGTCTAATCCATCATCAACCTCTGTTCAACCGACTGGCACAACTCTCTCAACTACCACTGTGAGCACCAAAGTTCCCTTTTTACTTCGTGGCACCCTTCGTGAATACCAGCACGTTGGCCTGGACTGGATGGCAAGCTTGTATGCTAATGGACTAAATGGCATCCTGGCGGATGAGATGGGTCTTGGTAAAACAATTCAAACTATTGCTCTGTTGGCGTACCTGGCATGCGAAAAGGGCATATGGGGCCCGCATCTGGTCGTCGTCCCTACCAGTGTCATGCTCAACTGGGAAATGGAATTCAAGAAGTGGCTACCTGGATTCAAAATCTTGACGTACTATGGTAACCCCAAGGAACGAAAGGAGAAAAGACTAGGATGGTCCAAAGAGAATGCGTTTCATGTTTGCATCACTTCGTATCAACTCGTTTGCCATGACCAAACTTCATTCCGTCGAAAAGCGTGGCAATATCTCATTTTGGACGAAGCGCATCACATCAAGAACTTTCGATCTCAACGATGGCAGGTTCTTCTCAACTTCAACGCAGAACGTCGTTTGTTATTGACTGGTACACCGTTGCAAAACAATCTGATGGAACTGTGGTCTCTGCTGTACTTTCTTATGCCGAATGGTGCCTCTCAGTCTATGCCCATGGGCTTTGCTAACCAGAAAGAGTTTCAAGAATGGTTTTCACATCCCGTTGATCGAATGATTGAAAACGAGCAACCACAAATGGATGAGGCTTCCAGAGCTGCCATTCAAAAATTACATACTGTACTACGGCCTTACCTGCTACGACGATTGAAGATAGATGTGGAAAAGCAGATGCCTGCAAAATATGAGCACGTTGTATATTGTCGACTTTCCAAACGTCAACGCTATCTTTATGACGATTTCATGAGTCGAGGAAAAACCAAAGAAACCCTAGCCAGTGGCAACTTCTTGAGTATTATCAACTGCTTAATGCAACTGCGAAAGGTTTGTAACCACCCGGATCTGTTTGAAGTGCGACCCATCGTGACGAGTTTCGCCATGAACGACAGTGTACAAATTACTGGAAGCATCACAGAATTGCTTGTTCGCCGTAATTTGATCTCTGATGTCGATATGCTGAGAGAGCGGTTTAACCTGGAGTTTTTTAACTTTGATCTCATGAAAAACGAGTCTTGTATGTCAGCTACAGCTGGACAATGTATGGATGACTTACGAGCCGACACATTGTTTGAGGCACGGATATGTCAGCGACGTCAGCAAATTGCCACGTTCGAAGCACGACATGTCAACCGACGAACCTATTACGATTTGAAGCAACATGCAAGAGCCATGCGCCTTCAACGAGCTCAAAACAAGGTTGAAAGGTTAGAACAGATGCTTTACATCAACAAGTGGCGTTGCGCACATCGACCTATGTTTGGTACGGCGTTCATCGACTTTTGCCGAACGGCCACAGCGAACAGTGTGGATCGAGTTCACGAGACTGCTAGTCCACGGTTATATCTTGAACGACCCGATGCTATTGAAAGTATGGTGGTTCCCTACGACACTAGAGTGACGAGTGGCAGTGATATTTGGAAACGATACGCATTTGTCACCCCTAGCGTGTTAGTACGCGACTGGAAAGCTTTAGTTCTAGTCGATCTTTCTTTGGATGTACAAGAATCATTACACCAGCTGGCTCGCTATGATATGTTCCATGGACTCCGAACCTGTCTGTCGATCGCATTTCCCGATAAGCGACTTCTGCAATACGATTGCGGAAAACTTCAAAAGCTTGATACCCTATTGCGCGACCTTAAGGCTGGTGGTCACCGTGCTCTGATTTTTACTCAAATGACCCGTGTTTTGGATGTTCTAGAGATATTTTTAAATATTCATGGCCACCGTTATTTACGTCTTGATGGCGCCACCAAAGTTGAACAGAGACAAATTCTGACCGAGCGATTCAACAACGATAACCGAATTTTAGCCTTTATTCTCTCGACGAGAAGTGGAGGTCTTGGTATCAATCTAACAGGTGCTGATACTGTCATCTTCTATGATTCGGATTGGAATCCATCTATGGTATGTCTATTTTTGACAATAGGAGCATCGTTGCATCAAGCAGCAGACTAATCCACTGTACCTTCATTTATTTCACTTAGGACAAACAATGTCAAGACAGAACACATCGAATTGGTCAAACTCGGGATGTACATATATATCGTTTTGTGACCGAGTTCACGATTGAAGAAAACATTTTCAAGAAAGCAAACCAAAAGAGGTAAGTCGAACGTGTCCATTGGACTATCCCCCAAATCGCGATGACTAACGGGGTTTCTATCAGAATGCTTGACAATGTCGTCATTCAAGAAGGAGACTTCACCACTGAATATTTCGAGAAGATGGATTGGTGGAAAGATTTACCGGAGGTTGCAGGATCTCAGCAAGTGGGTAAAAACAACCTCGTCACCGCGACATCCAATGTGGATATCGAACAAGCTTTACTGGAAGCAGAGGACGACGAAACAGATGCTAAGGCTGCCATCGCTGCACGCCGAGAGATGAGAATGGATGAGCGAGAGTTCGCAGACACACCTAATCAAGATAAAGTGGTCGGTACGGCCATCTCTTCTCGGTCAGCTACCAATTCACCTGGTCCACGAGAAACTGGTACTACGTTTCCTTCAGACGCCATGGAAGTGGACGATGGCAACCCCATGGATACTGATCAAATCGATGAAGAGATCTCCGAGCAGGAGATGCAAATTGAGGTTGGGCATGTTGATCAATATATGCTTCGATTTTGGGAGAGAGAGATGTTTGGCCAATACCTCGGATTTGGCGGACTTCCTGCTCCCGAGAGTGTACAATAATGATGCGAGAAGCCACAGGGAAAGCATGGCATTTTGCATTGCCTCTCTCTCTCCTCTGGGCTATACTTGTTTACAGTACCCTTTCATACCCTTTCGCAAAAGCACCTTCTTCTCATTTTGGCACTTTCCGTTATCCTGTAGAAAAACAAGGTGGGGCTATCATTTGATGTACCATTAACACTCTCCCCAACCCAAACACAAAATAAAAAAGATAGCCCCCACATCATTAAAAAGAAACAAACAAAATCGATTTGTAATTCTTGTTTTGATCGAGCGACTGACCGTACTTGTCATCTACCGTTGTGCAGTTCCGCAAACTTGTCATGCTGAAGGATCGACAAGATCGCCCACCAAAATCAGGCAACGGAGTGTGTTAATAGCTGCCCCCCCCCCTTCAATGACAAGCTACATTTATGATGTGTTCGGTGGAGGAATGATAAAAATGAGGCCTTTGTTTCGATACCGAAAAAAGGGGACGTTCAGTAACGTAAACATTTGCAAAGGCGGGCGCGCACGTACTGAGACCGAAGGGTCCTCGTGAGCAGGCGCTCTGACCAATTTATGATAACAGACAACACGACACTGGTTGTACCAAATTTGTTGACGTTGCGCCCAGGAGGAAAAAAAAAAAAAAAAAAATTGGACCATCGCTTTTTATCATGCGCTCAACATGCAAATATCGCGTTGCAACGCCCATATTTAGAAGTATCGACAAAATCACCCCTCCCTGTCAAAGGCATTATCCAAATGAAGTGTTGTGTTGTCGGTATGCAATAGAGCATTGAAAGAACGATATCATGGACGATGAGGCCACTTGAAACAGACGTTGCTTGTAAATAAACAACATCGCCGCGCCAGTCTGCGCAGTCTCAGTTCACGGACACCAGTATTACGTCGTACTACAACAAGCATGTTTACGCCATCCCCGACATTTTTATATCAGAAGGTAGAGTGGGAGTAATAAAAGAAAAGCTATGTGAAAAAAGAAATAAAATACTGTAGACCCTTTGTCTAAATAAACGCGTTCATCCTTTACAATGAGTCAGCCACGGGGTCTCTAACCTAGTAAACGGCTGTAAACACAAGAAGTCAGTTGAAACAAATGGGGGGGGGATAGCAGTAATGAGATCTTTGCTATTTGAAAGCGTAGCACCGAAACCCACTGTGAAAGTGTTTCCAATGGTTAGGTTTGGTGGCCAGGGTACGTCCTGCACTGCACTACCCAATCTGAATGCGGAAATCGAAGAGCAACCAAAAAATTTCGATCTCTTGGTCCGAGGGGTTAGTTTATAAAAAAGTTTCGATGATACCAGAACATCTCTTATGTGCCTTGGGAGAACATTAGAAAATGAAGGGGAGAACACAGGATAGAAATAACACCAAATCCCATTGGCTACATATTGACAAGTACTATGCTTCCACAAATTTGCATGACCCTGTCATCGCTTGCTTGACATGTCAAGACTTAAACTACTTTTTTCATACTGTACTCTCTAATTTCCACTGTAGCACATGTATTTTCGATAGACTTCAACCCATTCGTGTTGTGTTCCCCTCTCCTTATCAGGCAAGCTGTCGATCGCTAGACGATTGAAAACGATTAGACATGTTGCTACGGCGATGGTAGTATATCCCTATTGCTATTTACAGTAAAGCCGCCATCTGTAGTTGGAAAGAAGGGGTTGAAGTTTCTTGAAACTTTATGAGTCGGGTATTGCTTGGCCCAGCCTAAGGTGCCATCTTTACCCCCCACACAATCCCGTATAAAAGACAAGTCGAAATTTCCCACTTTATTATTTATTTTTCTTCTGGATCCTGTAGGATTTTTACATATTATATTTTTCTCACTCACTTTTTTCTTCATCGATCCATCTGGAGGAGAACAATTCGCTTGTTTCTCACTAGAATTTTCGCCAATCGTTTCATCCACAATGCCATCTGATAGAGTGAAATTAAACGGCTCACTTCGGCAGGCTAGACGTAGCGCCGCCTCATTGAACGGCACGGTGAAGCAACAGCAGTGTATGTTTACTTTCCACATTATCCCACACCCCAAAAACAGAAGTCGTAACGATATGCCATTTTTTTATGGAAAATAGGCATGATAGACACTGCACTGGATGGAACATATTTGGAAGACGATGGGTACGCTTTTTATTCGGTTATGTTGTATAAAAAAGATGGTTCTTCCCGCCAATTTTTTCATCTTCTTTCCTTCATCACTTTTGGCTAATTTTGGCTCCACAGACAAATGATTGCTGATAAACGAACCGCGCATAACGCATTAGAACGACAAAGACGCGAAAATCTCAACACAAAGTTTCAGGAGCTGGCTCATACTTTGCCTGGACTACAGACGGTGAGACGACCTAGTAAGAGCATGATTGTCAGCAAGTCGTTGGAGTTTGGTAAGTCATCCTGACAGATTCACCTTGTCTGCTGCATATTTGGTTTCATATGTATTGATTACATCCATCAATCTTTTTAAAAAATAAATCGGAACCAATTGTCTCAGTTTCGCAAGCGAAATACAGGGAAATGAAATTTCAACATCATCTCACTCAACTTTACAAGCAACAGCAAAAGTTACTGTCCAGTGAAAATCAACTGCTAGAAGCACGATCTTTCAAAAATCCGTCAGACCAAGCTGCTGCCATAAAAGCAAGTAAAGTACCATTCATTACCAAAGAATCACCTCCACCCACACCCGAGAGCTCGCTTTCTGGGAGCAACGAAGTGGATATTGACGATGTCGGCCACTCACGTCGTATGAGCGAGCATGCTGAACGCTTCATGGCCGAAACCGCTGGTGACAATATGCCTTTTGCCGTGCCTGTTTGCCAACCTCCCCAATTACCAGGTAGGTTTCTTCAACTCACTGTCACCCTTCGATCCTTGTGCTAATTGGAGTTTGGGAACACTGTCCATTTTAGATACCACCGAGTTCCATCCCATGTATTGGCAAAATTATCCCGCCATGTCCCCACTCATGGGCGCCGACTTTTCCCCATATCCAGAATACCCACGTAAGGCAGTGTGTGGTGACGATATGACCGATATGCTATACGGACCACTAAGTACCCTCTTTTGATAGCAAATACATGACGGTACTGAGCACTGTATGCCGATCAAAAGAAAAAATCCCCCCCCCAACCCAATTATATAGGTTATTCCTTGTAATCCTAAATGTTATCATCCCCTCACTTATTCTTCATTTTTTGAGAAAACGGAGATATTGGGAGATGTATTTCATGACCATCAATGTACTTTTATTTCATACGAACCCTTTATGTCATTTTTGAATCCTTTGTAGATAGCTAGAATGCCTGTTCCTATACGAGCAATACAGCTATCTCTCTACCTCTTTACAAATCAATGGAAAAAAAAAATTTTGGTATGACAAATCTTTGAGCCGAATCCCAAGTCACGGTGAATCAATGCTGTTGCAACACGTACTCAACGAAGCAATTGTCTGAGCCTATTATTACTTGCTTTTTATTGGCTTTGACCTGCCGAATTCTGTTGACCTCCAACAATCCCTTCTCGTTCTTTCATAGACCATGTTCAAGTGGCAGCGATATATTCTATTGCTTTCAGCAATCAGCTTATTGTGGAGTCTGCAATGCTCCGCCAATCCCCCGTCATCGATGTCACCAGTTGCTCAAGATTCTACCGGCGTGAAATTTGTAGAAGACGTTCTAGACATAACTGAACAACAGGATTATTGCAACGTTAGTTGAGAATTGTATGCTTGAGGTCACAATATCTTTACTTCGATTTGGATGCTTAATACCATTGTTTTCTTTGTCAGCCTACTGGAGCCATTAGAGACTCCTGTTGCGACGTGCAAACCGTAGAAGGGGTCAACCAAGCCATTACACCAATACTAAAGAAACTTGTATCATCCAGATTCTTTCGGTATTATAAAGTAGGCTTGTGCTTGCTTGACAACTGTTTCATTTTCGTGCTTGTCAATTAAACATGCGAGGTTTTTTTTTTATAGCTCAACTTGTGGAAGGATTGTCCCTTTTGGCCGGATGATGGTCTCTGCATGAACAGAGATTGTTCTGTAGCAACTATCGATGAGGTCAGTCCTATTCCTCTTCAGCATGACTCCTATTTTTCCACTCTCTGACTAATCCTTTCTTATGTCGTTAGGCCGCCATTCCACTTGCTTGGAGACAAGATGCTTTGGGAAAGGTTCATACCGTTTCTTCCTCATCAGATGTAAGTCTATACCGTATTATGGCTATGGATATGTCTAGCGTTGCTGATCACTGCTATCCTTAGCTATTTGGAGTTAGTGATACCTGCCAATACAAAGATCAAGATTTTTGTCTGGTAGAGAATGAGGCTGACACAGGTATGCATGAACAACTGGCTTGATCAATATTGGTCCTATTTTACCCCTCTTCTCAACTGACGTATTCCACTTTTTTTTCAGATGGCGTCTATGTTGATCTCCAACAGAATCCAGAACGATTTACGGGTTACGCTGGAGTATCTGCTGCACGTGTGTGGAAGTCGATTTATGAGGAGAACTGTTTCAATATTGTGCACAAAATGACTGAAGGGTGTGAGACTTGCAACAATATCATGAACACTGGAGAGCAAAAGACCACTACTGGAAGCTCTCTCACTCCTCCCAGTTTATCACAACCTATCCAGAATCCCTTTGCAGTGGTTCCCAATGACCGTAAAGACCTTGACCGTTTGCTCAATGATTTGGCTGAAGATCCAGACTCTGAAAATGAGGAAGTTTGTCTGGAAAAGCGAGTATTCTACCGTGTCATCTCAGGTAAGCTTTCGTTGGTAACTTGATCTACAGATCGACATGATCTATTGACACTTATGTCACAACAGGTCTTCATTCTTCTATCTCCATCCATATCTGTGATGAGTATTTCAACCAAACAACTGGTGAATGGGTAAGGACTTTCAGAACAATTGGTAGAGTCATGTGAGTGGAGGACTGACTGATTAATTTAACACAGAGCGCCAATCTCGATTGTTTCGTTTCTCGAATCGGTTCTCATCCCGAGAGATTGCATAACGTATACTTTACTCATACATTACTCATGCGAGCCCTGGTGAAGCTATCTGATTATCTGCATGAGTATACATTTTTTACTGGGGATGCTAAAGAAGAAGCAGAGACAAAGGTACGAGAATCGTGATGTTTGATATTCATGTGCAAGTTTCACGGTAACTTAAACAATCGCCTTCTTGATAGCAATTGGTTTTGGACTTGATTGAAAACACAAAAGCATGTCCTTCGACCTTTGATGAAAGACAGCTTTTCCAAGGTCAAAATGCTCAGGTAAATGGATATGCTTGCTTTTGAGGGACAGGCGCCACTGCTTACTAAGAAACACTTTATTTCAAAATAGGCACTCAAGGAGGAGTTCAAGGAGCATTTCCGAAATGTGACTAGGATCATGGATTGTGTTGGCTGTGAGAAATGCAAGTTGTGGGGAAAGATCCAAACAGCTGGTCTAGGAACTGCCTTGAAAGTTTTGTTTTCATACGAGGACAAGAGTTTAAAGTAAGTTATTGGTATACATTGAAGTGCATCCAACATAACCCATTCAGTTAATTTGACCACTGTTATGGCACTCAGCGCGAAAACCAACCCAGCATTGTTTGAACGGTCCGAAATCATTGCCCTTATCAACACCATCAACCGCTTCTCTGAAAGTCTACGAGCTGTGGATAAATTTAGAAAGATGTACCAAGCCAAGACCCACCCCAATGTACGTATTTATACCATAAGTATAGTATCACACTGTCAAAACTCACACATATTTGGTTTCAAGCAGAACCCAGAGCCAGTCCATGGCGAAAAGCAATTTGGTATTATCGATACAGATAATAATACGTTCAAACGTGTGGTATCGTCCACTCATGAAAGCTTTAACCGATGCATATCTGTGGCATGTCGTTGGGCAGCCGATACCATGGAAAAGTTGGACCTTCCCGTACCTCAAATCCTCAAGACATTCAGCACGTTTTAATGCCTGCATTGCATTCACCACCACCTCTTGTAATTTATTTCGTAAATGAGACAATCATAAAACATAACAAATGTATTTAAGAAACATTAAATTAGTTTCCAAATGGCCAAAAGTGTTTCTATCTCTCAGCTATCAGTGGGTTTAAGGATATTAGGAATGATGGTGTCTATGACAGCTAGACCCTTTTCTGTCGGTCGAATAGTCCCGCTGTAGAATTCGCTGACACAGTCGGCTGGAACGAATTCCGGTGCCGATGTCTGCACATTATTTTCTGTTTTGCCTTCATCAATGAGTAATCCATGCTCTACATAACTTTTGATTACATCGCCTCTTAAAGCCTGTCAATAAGCACAATGTCAATAATAGCAGTCAATCCTTGATGAGCCTATGAACACCTACATCTTCCAGCTTTTTCCCGCCTGTCATTGTACTAAATCTAGAGCGAGGTATACCGAGCTTTGTTCGAAGTCCAAACAACACCAGTTCCTGATCGACGAAGGGAATGTTATTGTAAATACTCTCTGAGATGTCATGCTGTGCTTATTGAACATGTAAAAGTAGTCATACCTCTGGAATCTGGCGATGCTCCATAGGAATCATTTTCCTAATCCTAAGAAAATTGTTAATGCGCAATCTGGCCTCAGCACCTACTTCCTATACTTACCCGTCACCTTCATCTTCACATTGAGCCATCCATCGCTCAGGATGGAATTCGCCAAATGTACGTAACCTTTCGCCGTTCAGTTGTGTCAGTCGTCCGTGAGCTCCAGGGCCAATGCCTTTGTAATATACATATTAGTGTCACCCTCGTTGCAAGTGCTCTTGTTCATCATGTTATACCTATGTAGTCCATGCCACGCCAGTATGAGAAGTTATGGCGGCTCATAGCTGCTGTAGTTCTCGCATAATTTGAAACCTCATAATGAAATAATCCATGCTGCGCGGTCGCCTATTCGTAAAACATACTGTTGAGCATTCAATGTAATACACTATCTCCAAGCGTACCTCCGCGGTCAGGCAACCAAGGTGGGGTGTATTACGAGGTTATTTACCTCAATGACATGCTCGTACATGTCCGCAAGCTCTTCTTGACCAGCAATTGGAGCCAACTTTCCTGCCATAACATCTTTGAACAGACTAATATGCCATGGTGCAATGATAAGCTCAAAGTACAATGCGGGAAAAATGAAATGAACGAGGACTTACGGAGTGCCACGCTCAAGTGTCAATTGATATATGGACATATGATCTCCTGCGATTGATAATGCTTGCTGCTCTCTTTCATTAAAACGACTTACAGACGAAGATTAGCTTTACTGTCTATAAACAGTACTCGCCTTCAATTCTTTTTGCCAATCATCTAGTGAGTTGCCTGGTCTCCCAAATATCATGTCGAAAGTAAAGCCCTTATCGCCAAATATTCGCTTAGCTGACTCCAAAGCGTGAATGGCATCCTTCGTATTATGATCACGTCCTATCGTTACGAATTAGAGGAGACCTATGACATGGAGCATGGATTGTATCATTTATGAAATTACCTAGTATAGGCAGATCTTCATCGCGTAGAGATTGAATACCCAATGACAGCCTGTTGACACCGATCGTGTGCAACGATGAAAGTTTGCTGATTTCGCTGGACTTTATCAAAGTATCATCAACGTCATGATTGCACTCTTAAAACCTGATTGTTCTATGCGACCGAGGGGGGTACTTACTGTAGGATTGCCCTGATGAAGCAATACACGATTACCAAACTGTGAATGACAGCATACACATCGAATGGTTAGTCACCTCAATTGTAATTTCAATATCACTGTGTAATCCTCCCATTGTCTTGTCTATCTCGTCTATAATTGATTGAATAGTCGAGACCTTTTGACATTGAACGTTTCAGCATGGCATCATTGACACTCAGTTTAAAAACATATTTGCACTTTACCGGTGCCAATGTTGGTGTTCCCCCACCAAAATAGATACTATGTAATTTGCGGGCTTGGAGACCAAACTTCGGATGTCTCATGTAAAAAGCCAGCTCACGTTTCATGGCTGATAGCATTCTTTCATTCGGAGGAGAAGCTGGATTGATGTATTTGTTGAAATTACAGTATGTACACTTGCTAAAACGATGATGAGATCTCAATGAGATTAGGCAAACAAATCATATGGGAGAGATATATTATTGATGATGCACCTTTCACAATACGGCCAGTGGATGTATATAGAAAATGGTTGCCCTGCTGCTATAAGACGTTACACGGATATACTTTGAGTGACAAAAGGGAAGCCATTTAAGGGACAACATGGCGCTTCATCACGACGATGAGGCAACAACGTGCAGACGCACATTACCTTGAGAACAATCACTGAAATGTCGCCTTCTTACATTGCTCAATGCAGAAAGAACGGATTGGGTGTTGACCTTTTTGAAATTCATATAACACCTCAAAAAGTGTCTAGAAACGCGAACTTTTGGATTCATGCTGCTGTGAAAAAATAACCAGTCACGTGTTCGAAGCTCATGGAAGGGTTTGTCGTCAGGAAGTGGAAAAATGGGATAGCGTCCAGTGGTGTGGAAGATCTTCAATGTGGAAGCAATAGTTAGGGCTGAAATCTAGTTTGCCTGCCAGATGCAATTGGGTCTTTTTGTTCTTGCAATAACAACAATGATCACCACGCAATAATGTCCGTTGCCGATAAGCTTCAACATGTTTGCTATCCTAGCTTAAAACCGGTTTAACCCGGATGGCTATGCAGTCTCCCATCATTGTAGTATAAAGGAATGTTTGTTGGCGTACTGAAGCAAGCTTGAATGTGACCTTGAAAACCCTGGATGCCGAAGGATTTTTTTGGTACTAACCTTTTGATTACGTCACGTTTTTAAGCAGAAATGGGTAATCCTTGAAGCTCAGAAAAAAAAGTTCCAAGAACCATTTCGTAGCTCATGGTCACTCTCCACACCAACCCAAAGCTCACTTTACGTAATTCCAGCAGCTAACAGTGATTACAATAAAAATTGCACTCCGGCATCCCTGAGACCATGTCGCATGCCTCGACTGATACTCAGCAGCAAAAGAAAGTCTCAGACAAATCGGGTGATCAACCAAACGACTCAACCAACTCCAATTTAAATAGTACAGAGTCTTTCTTTAAGTTACCACTCGAACACTCGAAACCAAACACTTTACTTCAAAACTCGAATAGAAGCCAGTCCTCGCAGAAAAGTTGTAACAACATTGGTCCTTCGCTTTTACACCGCTGGCTGGAAATATCCTCTGAAGATAGCTACAGCTCTCGACCTCCAGATTGCTTTTCTACCGAAGTTAGCGACTCCAGCGACACTACTATGGCTTCCAACCTGCGTGCAGAGATGGATAAGTCACAAAAGTCTGCTAATACCAGTTTAGCCTCCTCCGCTCCACAATTACCTCAGGTAAAAAAAAAGGAGATCGATTTAATCACTATCGAGTTTCGCCTTACACAGTTTTCCTCCTCCATTCAACAGGCATCCGCTTCGTCAATAGACACGACAACCATTGTTCCGAAAGACAATCAACACTCAAACTCCAAAACCCAAATGTAAATATCCATTTCTTTTTGGGGGGAGAGAGAAATGAGAGCTTTCCACAACCTATCACTAATGAATTCAAATCTTACACATCCAGACCTACATTAATGCCGGCTCCCGAACTCTTGAACAGTCATTCAACTGATAGTATATCCAGTATACAGAGTTTATCAACTGATCTCGGTAGACATACTCAGTCAACTCGAGAAAGTCCATATCAGAGCGTTTTGAATTCTTCCGAAAGTAATATATCGAGCATAGCGTCCGATACGCGAAGTGAACAAAACCTTGCTATGAGTTCAAGATATACGCAGCCGCGATCTCTCCCATCCATTCCAGAAATCGGATCAGCGGCACGTGCCAGCTCACCCTCCACACTGCCGAGTGAACCTAGTCAACCTGCCACGAGGGGTGACTTAAGGGATGGAGCCAATTACAGCCGAAAACGAAGTCATCATGAAAGCATGCTTCACGCTCGAAATCAGCGAATCGCTCGATTCCGAGCCGATTACACAGCTCGCAAAGGCTCACACAGATTCGTATCGTCACACTACTCGTCCAATAGCAGCCTTACGGTATCAGGAAGCAACACCAGCGATGCCTCTGACAACAACAATGAGAATGAGGTCCATTTGTCCAACTGGAAATTAAAGCGCATCAAGGTTGGCGAGGTAGTATCTATTTGAGTTTTAACAATCCACAAAATGTGTCAATGGTGTACTGATAGGATTGTTTGTGTGATTAGGCTCTTGCCATTGTCATTGGTGGCATTCATTGTACGCTTGACAAGGTAAAATTGGGCATTGCGGTTGTTTCTCATGTTAGCTTTTCCATCAGTACTTACCCATGCATGTCTCGATACAGCCTTGGCACAGCACCAGAATTGTCTCCCGAATTAATGAACGGACTTTGGTTTCCAGTAGTGGGAAAATATACCGATTATTTGGTGAGATCGATATTGAAGGCATGCTTCTAAATGGTAGGTGTCATGGGTTTTGGCTGTTGTTGAAATTCAAGGATAATATTAACTTCCTACCACAGAGTTTCCGCTGGAGCTTTGCCATCAGTTTCAAGATGGGTTTCCTGCCAACTGGGGACAGTTAATCCTGCCCCATATCTTACCACAAGCATCGGCAGAACTGCCTTCGTTTATGCAGAAATCCAGCAAAGCACCAGCGCCGTCTGTGCTGTCGTCAGCCACCCTCTCCACGGGGACGGACTATGATTATCCAGCTGAACTAACGAGCTCAACTGCCGCACGGTCTAAAGTTGAAAACGAACATACCTCACCCATGAGCTGGCGTAATCCATCGTCACTGTCTTCGTCGCCACATTCTATACCCATGAGAAATCTTGTGACTGCAGCGGCGCAGAATGCCGCATGTGAATCCGATTCCTGCCCAGGAGACTATTCTAACGTAAGTGATACGACATACCAAACGGACGGAAGCAAACGTGAGGCAAGTACTTCAGCGGGAGTTCAAACCTTCGTGCCACAAACTGCCAGAAATATGGATGAAAGCGGCCCATTTTCGCAGTTTTCTGTGCATCACATTCAAGCCAATTCCGTCAACTATCCTCACACGCCGTGGGGGATTACATACAAAACTCTGAAAAGAAGACAAGACGAAATGAACGATGTTTTCTTCCAATTGCCAGCAAGAAAACGCGTTGTCTCTGGGGATACAGCTGGGTCTGATACCGCCATGAATGATTTCGCCTCCGAGGTATGGACTTGGAGATTTTATGACGCAATCGTTGAAAGACATGAGCTCACCAAAAGCATATCTTTTTCTCTTTTCACAATAGAGGGGTGGACCATCCACTCAGGACTCTGCCGTCAAAGCTGACGCTGTTGAGGCAACACCCACCGTGTTTGATTCGTCCAGCCACGCAAACTTGCCCGAGACCGATAAGGAAGGCCGAAGTACAATAGGCGACGGAGGGACGAAATTTGGCGTTGGCTAGACGTGTTTTGGAAAGAAGTATACACGCACGCGCGACATCTCAAGTCCAGAAACATGTTTTCATTCCTAATCACCATATATGTAAAATACTCCTAACAAGCCCAGCTCACTTCTTCTCCCATGGGATTGGATTGACGCTCGTAAATATGATCTCCCAAAATAACCAAGGCACGAAATTGATAATGATGATCAACATTCAGTGACATACCTTATCAATTTTCTTTTTCTCCCTTACCAAACCCACTTGTTCAATATCAACAAGCTGAATAATAAAAATTGCAATGCCCAATCATGCTGTGCTGTGTATGGGTGAAGCATATGAAACAAGGGATGTTAGCGGCAGCATGTACAGCCAAGCTTTGATGACTATTCTGCCGTTGCTGGGAAAGTTCACGATAGGGTCTAAGAGGTTTCGCTTTGAATGGGCTCAGGCCAGGGGTCCGCACGAACCGTGACATATTTAGAAATTTTGACGCCTGTGCACTGGAAAAAATAACTATAGCTATGATAGTGAATTTTTTTTTTCTGGTGCCAATTTGGTCGTCCTAACGACCTTATGCACTTCCTTAGGGACTTTTTGGCGCCAGCGGTCATGTCCATATCGGTGTTTCATTCATAGCACACGGTTTCACTAGCATGCTGTTACTGTATGGCAGCGGAAGTTAGATTAGAGTAGTTGAGTAATCATGGGTTCAAGTTTTCTCTGCCTTTGTGCGATCAGCGTGAATCAAAGCATGGTTACACTGACTAAGACAAGAGCCTTCAAGCCAGGGAAAGTGTGAAATGCTTGTGCGGGAGAAGCACGGTTTCCTCGCTCTTCAACACAAGGAACATAAATACTCGTCCAACCTACACCAAAACAAAGGAAAAATAAATATTCACACTCTATCTTTCACACACTCCTTTATAAAGCCGCCTTTTTCACTTTGTACCCCTTGTTGTTGACATTCCTTTCTTTCACATACTTTTACCTTTTCACACATAATATTCATGTTTCAATTGCTCAATTCTTTGTTTGGTCGTCAGCAGCACGAGCAGGAACAACAGGCTCCAGCTTGCCCTGAATTGCATACACCCAATATTTCACTGTCTCACCGATTTTATTCTGGCTTGAGACGGCTGTTATGCCCATCTTCAACCATTATTGAAGTGTCATGGGATGACGGCAAAACCTGGTTACCTCTTGATCGTGACAACTCTAAACAAATCGACAGAGTTCGCTCAAAGCAAACGATTTCCTGCGTGGATATCCGTAACGATCGTAACCTTTGTAAACATTTGACACATGAAGGCGCCGATGTCATGATCAAAGTCTGGCTCAAGGACGAACCCTTGGAAGAAGATGAAACTGATAACGATCAAATGCAACAAGCCAAATGGACGGTACGACGCGTCAAGGGCTGGAAGAAAGAGACCCTCGGAAGTGCCAAAGTTCCCGTCAATGATTTCCAGAACACCAAATGGATCTATCTTCCAGGCCCTCCACAGTATGAAGATTCGGCGTCGCCCGTACCTTCCTTTCGTGTCGATTCAGCCGTCGCGTCCATACATGAGAGCAAGTCAACATTGGATATCAAAGCTTTGGCGTCTAAGCCTTCGTACGAATTCACTTTTCAATGCCCCCTTCCATCTCACTATCAGTACCCTACTCAAGTCAAGGCCATATCAAGAAAAGGCTCACGAAATCTCCTCCACAAGATCAGCGCTTCGTCTCTGCAATCCACCCAGTCGGACTTTGACAGTGAATTGGAATCTTGCGGTTGGAGACTTACTCAGATGCAGTGTCACCCACATTTTGACATGATTAAACCTTTACGCTACACCACCATTGAATCCTACGGTGCTGTTGAAGGGGTTCTTGCCTGCTAAACATAACGAAGAAGTATACCCTCCTCCACCACCGAGACAACCATCTCGTTCGCTCATCGATGAAAGGTCTTTTTATCAATCTGTATTTATATCACTGCCATTTTTTGCTTGACTTTGAGTTTCAAAAGAAATAAAAAAAAAAAAGTTTACAACGGAACGAAGTGTCCGTTCATCTCATACATGATTATTTTCACACAAAATGAAATGCACGGTATGCATGACGCAATTTATAATGTTATAGATATCCATCTCTTTCTAGAGAGAAGGCAAAAAAAAAATAGTTTGACGAGCTAGTGAATAATAATGTTAAAGTGCGGCTACAGCGATATTATGTGCTCTTCACTGGTAATTCCTATGATACAAGTGGAAAGGAAAGGTAGTAATGGGAAGAGGACCTGCCCACACGTGTTTGAAAAATGTACAGTGGCAAAAAAATTTCCCTCCCCCCAAGTTTCATCTTTTTTGCCAATTCAAGCTGAGGAAAACAAAAACATTCGTCAATACAGGACGTTGACCCCATCGCTTAGATATCGATTGATAGGATTTTTTCGCATGGCTAAGCTGCGCTCCAACTCATAGTCACGGATTTCTTGTTCAGTCATAGCTGGTTCTTCCTCATCTTCACTCTCCCAGTCGCCGCTTTCATCCCATCTCAGCTCTATATCCGCTTGCTTGATGGCATCCCCTAAAACCGAGTGAACTAGATCAGCTAGTCCCAGACCAGTTGAGCGTTTGGTAAATACATCGGAATCCGCTTGACTCGACCTCGACCTGGTTAATGATGGAGGTTTTGATGATGTGTATGCTTTTGTAAACGGAAGGGCCCATACGTCGAGCTTGTCTTTGCTCGTAGGGCTGCCCTGGTGTATGATGCGAGAAGAGTCTAAAAGACTACCGCTTTCCACTGCAATACTGAAGGCATGATTGTAATAAGGTGTTCGTGGCGTGGATGGTTCAGATGTCACAGACGAGCATGACTCGCTGCTGTCAGTCACGTCGCTACCACTGGAAAGTCGTTTGTCATACGTTTGAACCTGAGTCGCACCGTTCTTGATGGCTTGTTGCAAATCTCCCGTTGACAACGAGTGCGTAGCATCACCTTCTGCACTCGTTTGGTCTTCAACTGCGGGACTGTTCGAATACAGTCGATGGATAATCGACTGCGCGGAGCCGATTCCAAGTTGAGCCTTGCCATTGCCTCTTTGGGACTTCACATGATTCGACATCACTGTCGAGTCCTCCTGCGCTTTTTGCACAATGGACTGTTTCAATTTGTCAGGCAGATGACCTAGCGTCCTATCGCATGACGAAAGCAGGACAAAGGCTGTCTGTAAAGCTTTATCCAATTGCTTCATATCGAATTCTATGCAAGGCGGCGTTAACTCGTCCTGCTCAACAATGGTGTACGGTACACTGCTGTTCTCTGAGGTAATGAGGCTGGACACGGTGAATGAGCGTGGCCGTTGCTTGATGGGTTGATATCTAAAGCTTACGAGACCATCCTCAGATTGTTGTAATAGAGGATGGCCGCTAAAGCTTTGTCTATGATGAGGTTTGTATTTTGGATCATGTTTAGGAACGTGTGGTTGCCGGGCATCCATTTCCGTTAGAAACGGAAGTGTGAAAGAGATATAAAAAAGCAAAAGTGCTGCTCTGTGACGTTATGGAAGAGGGATACTTTTATACTGGGAGGGTGGCGAGATGCTAAATTTAACCCCACACAACAGAAGCCTTTTCAAAGAAAATCTCTATTTCTGTAAAAAAAAAAATCCACCCAAAAACACCCGTTTTTGTTTTTTAGGCCGGGCTACTCAGCTTCGTTCATGACAGCCACACTGCCTAGCATTGGGCAAGTGCCAATGCTAGTAGCCACCCTCGCATGCATGAGCTTCACCATCGTTTACTTGGCTGGATTCTACGTCTTTGTCGACATTCGAACAGGTGGAACAGGTCGGTCGCGCAATGAACCCAAGGTCATTGTGGCTCGGTGCAAGGCTGTCATCATATCCTCCATCCTCACAGCATTCTTAGTATGGCTTATACTAAGACTTTATGGCGCATGGCCCGATAGCGTAAGGGAGTCCACATATAAACAAAACAATATAGGTACCATGACTACTAACTCGTGCGGGTTTTGCTCGGAATAGTCATCTATAATGGATCAAATCCATTCTTTGCTTTGGATACTTGGAGTAGTACCACCATCGTCGTGGTTTGCTTTGGTCAATGTGATCTGTCTGCCCGTGCTACTGACGGCAAGTCTATTTCTCGGTCCTCTATCATTGATGTTCCTGGATAATTCTTTGATCTTTCAATCGAATTTTTCATTCCATCGCGATGTTCGACAAAACATCCTGTCTCTTGAAGGAGTGCGTAACTTTGTCATTGTAAGTAACGGAGGTGCAAAAGGAATTGCGCAGCAAAATGTCGTTTAGGATCTAACACGCAATCTTTACTGTCAGGGTCCGTTGACAGAAGAATTTGTATTTAGAGCATGTGTAATAGCACTGCTGAAATTCTCTGGATACTCAAACATGTATCTGGTATTTGCCTCTTCACTTTATTTTGGCCTTGGTCAGTCTCCCACTTCCATCTTGCTATTTTCAGCTTTGGCGTAAACAATGCATAAGTTTGCTAAATTTACTCACAAATAGCTCATCTTCACCACGCATGGGAAAAGTATCATGATTACGGCGCAAACGCTCGCGCTCTCAAGACTGCTTTACTTCAATCAGGTAAAGTGATCTATGCTGAGCCTGGCGGGCTTAACATGTCTCATAACTAACACCTTTTCTTTTATTTTTCTTAATCATTCAGGGTTTCAATTTTTGTACACTACGGTTTTCGGCTGGTATGTAAGCTGGATCTTCATCCGAACCGATAGCATATTGGCCCCAACCCTTTGCCATACGTTTTGCAATATAATGGGATTCCCTGACGTCAATGCCATTAAAGACCATAAGCCAGTGACACAAAAGAGTAAGTCGTACGATGGATGCCCTAAAACTTTAAAGCCTGTGTTCTAATGATCCATTTTGTCTTCTTTACTCCTGTCGTCATCTTTCTCAGTTTTATGGTGTCTATTCTTCTCTGGTATAATCATGTTTACCGTGCTGATGAAGCCATTGACTCACCCATCATTATACAGTAGTTCAGTGTATGTCTGACTGAAAAACAAATCTCATTGGTACATCACTTTATCAGTTTTCGCTAGTTGGAAATGCTTATCAAAAGGAAATCAAATAGAAGTAGGAAAGTGGTCAATTAAGGTACAAACAACCTGTAGGGTGATTTTCTTTCATCTATGAAGAGAAGTCACTGGGTAAATCTAGCATGTGGCCCATTTTCTCCACCTTGACCTTTAAATATTTGTCCATTTCATTCAATCTCTTGTGGGGTGGAGGGGATGTGGATGGACTGGGCGTGAGGTTGTTCAGTATCGCTGCTACTCTCAGCGGTGTGACAGGCTCTTGATGGATATGGGCATCCAATGCTGGTGATGACGACCATGACCGTGGCACCATGGGATGTCGCTCAACAACCTTAACACATCCGTATGACTCTATTTGTTGTATCTTGTCAGGGTTGTTGGTCAAAAGTCGGACATGCTTCAATTGCAGGTCCTCTAAAATAGCGTTCGCGATTCCGTATGTGCGACCGTCAGCTGGGTGGTTCAGCAACACATTGGCTGCCACAGTGTCGTGACCAAGATCTTGCAAATTGTATGCTCTATTGGAAATGGTTATGTTTTGTCTTTTGAGTGGAACAAACCTATATACTCCCGGTTCGATCAACTTACTTTAGCTTCTCCAACAAACCAATACCTCGTCCTTCTTGTCGCAAATATACAATTACTCCTCTACCTGCCACTTGCATCAAGCGCATAGCCTCATCAAGTTGTTCGCCACAATCACATCTTGCCGAATGCACCGTCTCTCCTGTATAGCACTCGGAATGAATTCGAACCAAGGGCGGGACATCGCTAGGTTTCCAGTTTCGTTTTGCAATCTCTTGTTGAGCCTCCAATTTGATTAAAGCTTCTTCATCATTTACCAAGCTTCTTGACTCCTCTTCTGAAACAATCTGCTCCAATCGGCCATAGTACGCACCCCTTACAATTCTGTTCAGGATGGTTTCATCTCGCCATGCACAGTCTAAACTCCTGGATCGTATATCGTCGCCATAAACAATGGCCATATGTTCCTTGTCATCTTGGTTATTTTTATACAGGTATAGGTACATTTCTCCTCCTTCATTGGTGGGAATTCGAGCTCGCACTTGACATTGAATACGGATAACTGGTGGTTCAGGGAGAGGAGGTGTGACAGCTGCCGGGGAGTGGACTTGCTTTTTCAAAAACTTGATATAGTCAGCGTAGGTAGCTGGGCTACCGTCTTCGTTATTGTCCGCACCACCATCATCGTGCACGACATTCATGCCGAACAGTGTGAATTGAGGACGCATGAGGGTTAGATTGTGGTTGAAAGCAAAGGGATTCAAGTTTGAATAAAAGTTAATTTTTCTCGGTGCCGGTTGGTTTTTTAATCCAATAGCAATTTTCAAGCTGAGTCAGAAACATTGATGGGCAAAGATGTGTCAGCTCCGGGTAAGCGGTTTATCAGCAAGTCGGGTGGAATAACTTTTTGCATAATGTAACTATTTTACAAGGATATTTTGCTTCGTCATTGAGAATTCTTTCTAAACCCAACATAAAAGATCATAACAATACCTTTGCCCAAGCCAATGCATTCAAACCGCACTCTTTCGTTACGGGGATCTTCACGTGACACGACTGCGTTTTGGACAAAGGCACAACAAGTGACATCAGCGCCAGCGCTTTCTGCAGCTTTTACCTGCTTTTCGCTCAACCCATAGTACAACCTCACTAAAGTCAAAAATGGCAACGAGTCAGCTAAAGTGAGTGTTCCATAACCCAACATTGCTTGTCGATCCCATGGTGTGGCATGGAAATGTTTTGGGACCGGCACGTTCAGGCTAATTGACTTGTGACTAATTTCTACTTTGCCTCGTTCCCACCTTGCAACCAGCCACGAACATGATGGGTGGAAGAAAGATCTCCAACTTCCCGCAAAAGATAACCGTCCACAAACCGAAGTATGTCATGGACTAAGCAACCTTATTGAAGTTGCTATAGACCCAGCTAACGTTCTGCCTATAGGATGTCACAGCAACGAAGGGAAATGAATTCGAAGACTATTTTTTGAAGCGCGAGTTATTGATGGGTATATTTGAGGCTGGATTTGAACGACCCTCCCCAATTCAAGAAGAAGCTATCCCAATTGCTTTAACCGGTCGTGATATATTGGCAAGAGCTAAGAACGGCACTGGTAAAACCGCTGCTTTCGTTATCCCTACCCTCGAAAAGATCAACAACAAGAAATCCAATATACAAGCTCTGTTGCTTGTCCCTACACGTGAGTTGGCCCTCCAAACCGCTCAAGTCTGTAAGAATCTCGGAAAACACATGGGCATCCATGTTATGGTCACTACTGGTGGTACCACTCTCAAGGATGATATCATGCGTCTCGGCGAGACGGTTCACGTCGTGGTTGGAACACCTGGTCGTATACTTGATTTGGCTTCTAAAGGAGTCGCCGACTTCAGCAGTGCAACAACCTTTGTCATGGATGAAGCCGATAAATTGCTATCTCCCGAATTCTCACCCATTGTCGAGCAACTTATCTCATATTTCCCCAAGGATAGACAAATAATGCTTTTCTCCGCAACTTTCCCAATGATTGTAAAGACTTTCAAGGACAAATTTCTTGTCAAGCCCTACGAGATCAACTTGATGGACGAGCTTACATTGAGAGGTGTTACCCAATATTACGCTTTCGTTGAAGAAAAGCAAAAGGTACACTGCCTGAACACCCTTTTCTCCAAGCTTCAAATCAACCAGTCCATTATCTTCTGTAACTCCACCAACCGTGTCGAACTTCTCGCCAAAAAAATTACTGAACTTGGCTACTCTTGCTTTTACTCACACGCGAGAATGCTGCAGAGCCACCGAAACCGAGTTTTCCACGATTTTAGAAACGGTGTTTGCCGTAACCTTGTCTGCTCTGGTGAGTGGCCATTTTTTGCCGACCGATTCCCGAATTGCGTACTGATGTCCCTTTTTCTATTTAGATTTGTTGACTCGTGGTATTGATATTCAAGCAGTCAACGTCGTTATCAACTTTGATTTCCCAAAGAACGCCGAGACATACCTTCATCGCATTGGTCGTAGTGGACGATATGGTCATCTTGGTCTTGCTATCAATTTGATTACCTACGAAGATCGATTTAACCTTTACAAGATAGAACAAGAGCTTGGTACAGAAATTCAATCTATTCCTCCGGTTATTGACAAGCGCCTATATGTTGCACCCAGCGCTCTTGATGATGCTCAAATTCAACAACCCAACCGACAACAAGCTTTAATAACGCAGAAACAACAGCAACAATCACAACAACAACAGCAACAACAACAACAACAACAGTTGCCTCCTCAACAACAGCCTCAACAAGCACTCCCACAACAGCAACAGCCATTACCGACGCATCCTCAGCAAATGCCTCCTATGCAACACCCGCAACAAATGATGCCCCCATATCAACAGTACCCCCAGCAATATGCTCCTCAGTACCCTCAACAGTACCTTCCACAGTACCAGAATATGCCAGGCTACGCACAACCACAAATGAATTATTACGGTCAGCCCATGCCTCCTTATCAGCAACACCCAATGCCGCCCCACATGCAAGCACAACAGCAACAACAGCAGCAGCCTCAACAGCCACCATATAGCCCAAATCAGCCTAATGGCGGTGCCGGCCGTGGTGCTGGCAAGCAACAGCCAAATGGTCCCCGTGGCCCAGGCATCAAAACTGTGTCTTAAGGCGTGAACATGTTGAGCGACAGATGGAAGTATATATGAATACGCGGGTATGTCATTGCAATCGGTCCTTTCTTTTATGTTCCTTTTTATTATCTTTTTTCTATGTGTGTTTTTCTGTTTAACATGGCCCTGTACGGCTTGGTCAGTCGGTTGATGCGCGCGCTTGCGTGAACTCTTTTGAACAAGCATCACCATCGTTCCTTATTTCTTTTTTTCTAACCGGGCTTCACTATGATTTTGTTGATAAAAGCCTTCCCCCCCCTCTTCTTTTCGCTGTACATAGTACTCTTTTGTGGAATTTTCTTAATGGCGGACTGAACCCCTTCTCTCTTTATTCTTTCAACCGACTTCTTTCCGATCTCTGATCGCCTTTATCCGCTCTCACTGCTTCTATTTCTCGAATGCAGATTCCTTGTTCTTACCGTGCAATCTTGCTTTCGTTTCTCTTACGACCTCCCGTCTCTCACCCTTCACTCCTTTACAAATATGTTGAATCCATCAAATGAGTTCGAGAACACCACCCTCCCACTCCTTTCCTTTGCATCAACCAGAAACGAAACGATCAATTTGGCAACTTGTGAGTTTGTTACAAATCCCCCCCCCAATAAAAAATATAAAAAACCCCCCACCAAAAAAAAAGACCACGCTGCAATATAAGAAGATAGGCACATGAGATAAAATAACGTAACGTTTTTAGAACAAACATAGGGAATAATGCGCCTGCGATACAGTCCTATGATTCGCTGGGCGGGTTGGCAGTGACCGCGGTGTTCAAGTAACTCGCGGGGAATGAGAAGTACGTGGTGACATCTGCGAGCACCGTCAGGTCTCTCAACATCATGATCACTTCGGAAGACAACAAGACATCTTGCGGTAATGGAGGATGAGTGGCTGGATAGGACTGACAGGCAAAGCATGTGTTAGACAGTTGGGTCAGGTAGTATGGCCTCTCCATGACTGAAAGACTCTACCTTCTCCTCTTTGAAAGATAAATGGCAACGGAGGATCACGGTGCACAGGACAGTGCGGACGATGAAAGATCGAAGGAAGTCGTCCTGCATGAATCGGAGCACACTGGGATCTAAAATATCGAAAGTCATGAGTGTCGTGGGTACCACTGGTGGCCGGCCGTTGCTAACAACATGCTTTACCTGTTTCCTGATGGGCATACAACAAGTCGGTGATTTTGGCCTCAATGTCGTTGACACGGGCGACACATTGATTCCAAACTGTTTGCTCCAAATTGCCAATGTCAGATACAGCGCAGAATCCAAGCAGTGGAGCGTGCAAGAAGAGAGTGAACAAACTGCCGATTTCACTTTTATCTATGGGATTGAAACGGAACGGTTTAAGGAGGTCTGCCATCTACTTACTCACAGCGCCACCAGTATTCAATGCTTTACCTTGGACTGATGAAGGGTATTCGGTAGGCGAGAGAATGGCCATAAACGGTTGATCAAACACATTGACCATATCCTATGTTCAAAAAGGGAGGGTCAGCCTCATGGCACCTCTTCTGAATAGAACTCCTTGAGTCCAACTTACCTTGAATGCCAAACTGTTATTACTGTCAACAATTAAAAACATAGGTTTGCGTGTAAATGGGATCAGGTCTCCGGGATACAATCCACCAGCAACTCCAGTTGAGTTGACTCCATCCACCACGCCTTTTTCGTTTGTTTTTCTCTGGCTCGTGGTGATGCCTGCACTGTATCCGAGGTGCTTGATCGTCTTCTCACCGTCTGTTACTGCAGCTGATCCGAGACACAAGAAGAGTGATTTTAATTAGTACACAATACGAGCTAATAACTCCCACTTTATCGTACAGGCCACATACCTGGATTAGTATTGTCCTCTCGTTTGGGCATTCCATCGGCCGATAGGTATATAAACATTGCCGATGTATCACTGATATCCTGTAAGCCAGACAGATGGCCATCCATCCAATTTAGTGGCTAAGGCGTGGTCGATCCTATCTCTAAAATATGGGGCTTACCTTGAATGCAGTGCTTATATACACCATGAGCTGGCTAAGAGTGGGCCGGTGGAGTAGGTATTTGTGAGGATTTACTCTCTTGGCCATTCGTTCTTGTGCAGTAGTACTGTTCCCAGCTGTAGCTCCAGTGACGGGCACAGTGGTGGTTTGTGCAGCACTTGGCGTTGACTTGACTGTGCTCTGCTCGTCCAGCTTCTGAACCTTAGAATTAGACGGCGCATCCTTCTTTTCAGCGTCAGCATCGTTGGCAGGGGTTGCAACGATGGTAGATCCAGGTCGATTAGATGTCGGTTCTTTCTCTGAGGTGCAGTGTAAGATAGTTAGTGGGTTTGAAACAATCGACATCAAAACGCACTAAAGTACACACCAAGTGACTGCAGCATTCGATACATATCCAGTGTCAGCTCGGAAAACTTGATCTGATGCTGATAGTTGCCAACCAAAATCGCTTCCTGCAAACGAAGCTTGGGAGTTGTCTGCTTGTCTTTCGATGATTTCACGTAAGCCGGTAGACGATGTGCAACTTGAACAGGTTTTTTGTCAGCATTAACAGGAATAAGTTTTTTCTCTGCGTCCATAAATGTAGTTATCTCCTCAATGACCATATGCCATTCATTGGCATCCCCGGGTTTGAATGTTTTTACATATTCGTCGACCAGTGCCTCAAGTTCCGAAATCAAATGTCTGATATCGTCATTGTTGTTAAGTAAGAGGCACACAACAATGAATCTGGCATAATAGCGCATCTTCTTGATCATCAGGGCAGAGCTAACAATGACGTTAACGACTGTATCGTTCGATGATAGGATATATTGAATGCCTTACTTCCTAACATCCAGAATATCCTTAAAGTACTGTCGATCATGGATAGCTTGGTAAAATACAGATGCTTCATTCAAGTAGTTCGTTTCGCTCGTTCGAAGGCTGGCAGTTTCTTAGAAAACGATCTTTCTAACCGATGTCATCAACATAGAAAGTCTTACTCACTAGTAATGATAGTACAACTGGCCAATCTTGCTAGCAATCTCGCCAATCTCCCACCGTTTCAAACCATAATAATTCTTATCTTCCAGAATTGCCCTGAAAAGCAAGTTGTGTAAACATATGGGCGCGCCGTTGTTGACTTCCGTACGCAGCAACCAGATCACACCACCCAATTCTACCTATGGATTTGCTGGAACTTCCACAGCTTTTTGAGATTTTTTGTAAATCGTTGAAGCCAGGTGAGTAACTGATTCGTCCTACATATGAACAATCAACCTGCGGGTTTAACCAACCTTAGTGTACACTTCAAATGTCTTTTCAAAGTACTTGGAAATTTGAAAGCAACGGAAATTCGTCAGTCATCGTTAATGCTATCCTTGAACATGATCTCCACTTACTGGTTTCCATTGTCTATTGCTGCCAGTAGGTGGAAGGTCTCTGACGGAAGTTGCAACGTGTCAAATCCTACGATATAGAACTTTATACGCGGCACAGTACGATTTCTTTACCTCAAGCCCGCAAAAAGACTCTGGCTTTTCTCTAATAAATATTGAAATTCCTCCACCAGCTTCTGATTCTTCAATGTGGTTTCGTCCGTCTGCATAACTGACGATGTGGAGATTGGAGGAGGTAGCGTGGACTTTGGCTGACTTTCATCTTTAGCAACGGCTCCTTCAACTTGAATGGCCGGGGCATGAGATTGTTTGACTGGTTCTTCTGCCATGTTCCGTACTGTAGAAGGCTGATTCAACTTGTTTGCACGGGATTCCATAGGTTGAGCCGCTTTGACCTCGTTATAGCAATATTGGGTCTTTATATTTTGAAACTGCGCACTACACACTTTGCGCAGTCCACCAAATTGTATCGCTTGACTTGACAGACATCGCACTCTCATAATGCCTCTTTTAATCAAAGGTCGTTCTAGTGATTTTTGATAACTCACAGTAGTAGCAATATCTCGTTTATAAAACTGGTTAATTCATAGTCTAGGTTGGATTCTGTTTGATATATGACAGGTTTGAAGAAGTATGGTTTTTGTATCTCCTCCACTCGCAGTAAGCCATGAGCTTTTTGAATTGCAAATGGAAACTGAAGAAACATCCAAATACCTTGTCTATAATCCGGTATCTAGATTCTCTTTGTTCCTATATCGATCTAATGCGTAGTATGAGTGCTTGAAGCAGGAAAATAGCGTTGGCAAGCGAAGCATCGTCATAAGTTTGCTCATTGACCCGCTTTCACCAAATGAAAGAGAAAAAAGGACTTCGCAATTGCTTCGCTACGGTATAACTGCAGCTTAGAAGAAACTTCTTTGCACAACTGGTCCTCTTGTACTCGCACCTCTCAATGTCCGCCTTACGTCTTCACCAGCATTCGCAGCAGGTCTGTAAAAGACCGTCAGCACTTTCCTGATCAACCATAACAAAGCACATTGAGGGAAACCATTTTAATCGTGATGTTCAGTTTATTAATTGTCATTGTGAGCCCTTTTGGTCAAAGAAGCGACAGAAACAATGGTCACGCTTACGATAAGGTATAGCACAAGTTGATATGCAGCCGTTTTTAACCGTGGGAGGCTGGGGCTCAACGATCTCCCGCTTGTAACATTGTACCAATGACACAGTCGAAAAAGCCAGTTGAGAATGCTCTGGTAACAGGCTTTGCGGTATGTCATAGAGCAGTGAAGATCGAGTGCATAGTTGAAATGGGAACACTAATTAACTTGCCTTGTTCATAGCCTTTTGGTAACGTACTGCGCGGACCTTGTGCAAACAATCGATATTGCCACCTTCCACTCACTAACAACTGTTCTATTTTCAAAAAGGCCCTCACAACATAAATCCTTCATGGGAGGTATGTGGCGTTGAAGTCATCGAATGCCTTCATTACTACAGTGTGTAACCGCTGCTTCATCCACCTTAGGTCGCGAAATTGTTATCAGGCACCACCATGACAACTGACAAACAGTCTGTTCTCATCTCATCTTTACTCTTACCAGTGGAGTATCAACCAGTTGTCGACATTGTGAGTCCTCTACATCGAGAACCACACCAGTACAAGTATATTTTCCATATTGGTGTAGGATTGGACGGTAAGATGAGTTTGGCACGATATACTACAACGTGAAGCTTTCTTACATCCCTTTCTACCTCATTTTAGGTCCAGTAGAAATGGAAACATTAGCTCGCAATGGACCTTATCAAAAGGTAGATAATCGAAACGAGATACCCGATGGAAACTACACAAAGGGACCGGACACGCTGTACACCAAGGTAGACGTGGAAAAAGTTCTCGAGTGGGGCAAGAAAGAGAAAAAATGGGACGCCGAGGATGTCCGTGTCTGTGCAGATGCTGGATTATACCTTTGCGAGTGGACATTCTATCTCAGTCTCCGTGAAAGTCAAGAAAAAGATACCAAGCATGCAACGGTGCTTTTCATTCACGTACCCACCATGGGCGACGGTAAAGGTCAAAAGAGTTTGCAGAAAATGACTGAACTCGTTCGTGAGATCATCGAAGGAGTGATTAGTCACACCTGAACCCTCAGTTACAATATAGTTAGCCAGTGTTGTTATTTTTTTATTATCCAACTATTTGTAATGTATGTGATGGAAAAATGGGGGGGGGGGAATGGTGTTTATTTAGCAACCTCGGCTTCAAAGACTTCGTTGAGGTTACCAGCCTTGATGGCAGCTTCCAAAGCAGCACGAAGAGCTTCATGTTCGGGAAGACCCTTGACCTTGGCCAACAAGTCATCCAACTTGTTCAATTGAGTCTCAATTTCAGTAGGACCAGCAGCAGGGGCACCGGCGGGCAAACCGTAGTTGTTGTCCTTGACCAAGGACTTGATGGTCTTCTTTTCCTTCTTCAAGGCACGCTTGACAGCTTCCTTATCCTTCTTGGCAGATTCGGAAGCAAGCTTAGCATCAGCTTCAGCCTTCTCCTGAGCAATACGGTCTTCTTCGGCCTTGCGAGCAGCTTCTTCAGCAGCAGCCTTATCAGCAGCAGCCTTTTGATCCTTCTTAGCATTACGGCGCTTCTTATCTTCAGCCTTGAATTGGGCAATACGGGGATCCAAGCCCAAAGCGGTATCGACCAACTTGCGAAGACGAGCATTGTCGTCCTTCTTGAGCTGTGCTCGCTGAGCACGGTTCTTCTTTTCTTGGTAACGCTTGTCATCACGGCTATCGGCACCTTCGGCACCTTCCTTATCCAACCACTCGAAAGATCTCCATGATTGAAGGTTGTAGAAGAAATCGTAGAAAGCTTCAACATCTTCCTTGGAAGAGTTCTCGTCACCAAGGCCAGGAACGGGTTGCTTCTCTGAGAAACGGCCTTCACGGGCAAACACAGGGCGCCAGAGCTTGTAGAAGTCACCCTTGGTCTTGGCATTGGGAACACGAGCTTCGTACTCGGCCATACCGAAATCAACAGAGTCGTATTGGCGGCGAGTGACGGGGTTCATCAAGGTATCGAAAGCCTTGGAAATGCACTTGAAGAAAGCATCATCACCCTTGTCGGCCTTCTTATCGGGATGGTGCTGGAGGACCATGCGACGATGGGCCTTCTTGATCTGAGCCTCGGAGGCCTTGTATCTAAGCTTAGTCAAACCAAGAACAGCATAGTTGTCTTGCTTCTTCCATTCTGCGGGGTCCATGTTGAACAAGGCTGGGTCAATCTCCTCTTCTTCGAGGACGACTTCCTCCTCTTCAACAACTTGAGCAGCCTTCTCTTCGGCGACGTGGCGCTCATCTTCAGAGAAGGTACGGTTGTGACGCTTTCTGCGGGCATAGGCGAGGAAATGGGGACCAACAGGCTCCAACAAGCGCTCAGAGGTAGCTAGTACGGGTAGTAGAGTGGTTAGTTAATGGGTCTCGTGAGTGGATGAAACATGTCGGTAATTACCAGAGATGGAGGCATGGTTGACGGAAGTGGCGTCAGCAGCCCAGGTGGAGGGAGGAGGGGGGAGAAGGAAATCAAGAGTCAAAGACATGGTTGTAAAGTGAGATGCTTGGTGATTTGAAGGTTGCTTGTTTAACAAAAAAAAAATTGACCACGACAGAAAATTCAGCAGTCACCATTGTTTGATCGATTTCTGCGAGAAGCCGTACACATTTACTCATATATATCAATGTACAGACAGAGAAAGTGCATCCTGTTGCTGCAGGCTCGATGGCTGGCCTGCAATCCCACTTTGCAAGCATGAGATCTTGTTTTATTACCAATATTATACAAATTCATATTCTAAACAATTCTTTCTTGATCCACCATCGAGCATTCTCATCAGAAAATCTAGAGCTGTGTACTAGTTCATCCACTGTTTGCTCCATCATTTCATATGCACATACACCCACGCCAACGTCAATATCAGGGTTTTTTTCCTTCAACTCGGTCATGTAGAGGTCGATATTAGGAGGACCAGAGTGAAAGGTAATGGCGTCGCTGAAGGCAGAGGGTAAAGTGGAATGATGGCCCGTAATATATACATGGATATGGAAGGTCACCGAAGACTGCTTGAGTAAAGAGAAGATTCTCGGATTGAAAACATCGTACGTATCTGTAGGGTAGTATGAGTTATGGGGGTCCACCACGCGTCTGTTCAATGCATTTCTTACACATACCTGGTTCGTGAATGGACCATATGACATGAACATTCCGAGTCCTAGAACTTCTTGATTTGGTGGCGATGTGCTGCATCACGGCTAGCCAAGGGGTAATACCAACACCAGAACAAACGAACAGAGCCAATTCAAAGTCAGTGTAGTAATGCTTGGCCGTACTGAGCCATGGCGTACCGTAGGGGCCATCGAGCTCCATGTGAACCTGATTTGGCGTTTTGCTTTCAAGATCTTGCTGAGACGCAGCTTTCAGTAATGCGGTTGTAAACGTTCCCCTAGAATGTATATGCAGGTCGACCAGGTTGGAAGGATGATCGGCTTTGGAAGCCGGTTCATCGCCCCTGCCGTGTTCAATACTGTTGACGGTCTGTTCATCGGGCACTTGCGCTGAAGACGATTCGTGATGGAATCCAGGTCGTTGATGGGTGTCTTGCTGAAGATGGAGCCTGGATATAGTTGTTTTCGCTTCGCCAGGTTCCTTCTCTTCTACATTCGATGCGATCCCTTCCATCTGGCTGTGTATGCCACTGAAAGAAAACGGCCTTGCCCATCCATATTTGGTAAATCCAGGTCCCCTCACACCAAGGTAGCCAAACTGTCCAGCAGTCATGTCCTTGAGTGAATGTTCTAGCGTAACATGTGTGATTCTTCCTGTTGAATGTATGCTGACAACCTTGGGTGGGGCTTGCAGTTTGCGTGAAATTCGACTTCCTAACCATGCAGCTATGCCAACAAAATTCAGGGTCAAGAAGGATGCATTATGTAACGTTGCCGAAATGGTCAAGCTCAAAAACAAGGTCAAATGCAGTGTTCGAAACCAGGAGTACTGGTTTGCCCGTACGATTTCGTGTGCGGTCAACAGCATCAAGCCAACGATGGACAGACTCGTTATGCCAGTGATATGTCTGGATGACTCGATGATGGGTTCCAATGATTCAAGTCGCTCTGATAGATGATAACAACCGTGCTGGGTGGCGGTGATAAAGGCCAGAACAGCAAACACTCTATGCCATGATATGGCTTTATCGTAAGGTAACCAGCCCAAAGACCGGATAGAAAGGGGAATTAATAGCGCGAAATTCGCTATGGAGAGATAGCCTGTGCGATTCGAGGTGTGGGCTTGGCTGGGGGATTCGGGATACACCGTACAGAGGAGGTTCAATAGAGCGATGGCCAATACAACTAGCGCGGATCGCAGTGTAGTTCTCGCGGTGACCAGTGGTATTGAAAATGATGTTTCTAGGTATCGGTAACACATAGTACTGAATGTCGAGAAAGGAGTCGACCGTAAAAATGTCTGTTCTCGCTGCAGTTCGAGCTGTCGCTGTTGCCATTGGGTATAAGCAGTGTAGGTTGCCGAAATGGCGGCCATAGTGAGAAGATAGTATATGGCAGAACAGTATGCTGGTAAAAGCAGGTCATCAAGCGCTTGATCTGGCAAAGTCAAGACTGGCTGATCTTGTAGTTTTGCCGAGTAATAAATGTAGGCAACTAGGCGAATGACAGACACAGCAACAGCACACAGGGTGATGGTAGTGATGATGGACCTTCGATTGAAAGGGAGCTTTCTCGACGAGGTCGGCGTGAGAGGAGAGCGCAGCTGGTCCACATTACTGCTTCCATTCATGTTGGATCAACACATGGATGAGGAACGTTCCTGGAGGCGAGGCCCTTGCTCTTGGGACTGCGTTTGCCCCAGCAGTTTTAAAAGTCCGTTGTTAGGAAAACTCAATCTGAAAAGGTTTGGCCAGATATGGGAACAAGCCTACCGCACATGGTAGAAAATATCATTTCTTTATTATAGTGAGGTTGTGTTGGGGTATCTGGTGGTAACAAAAGTAATACACCAAAGAAGATGTCGAATAGATATCTATGCATTACGGGGGTTTGCTATACAAATGTGTTAGGTGCAGATACGAGGCTAGGTGAACTGTCGCATGATGAAGGCAAGCTGGGCGCGTTGTTATCTAGCTTTAATGACGGTAGTAGTGCCGCTATAGATGAAGCAGCATTCGTGCTTTGTTCTAAATCATTCAACTTGGAGGATGACTGGGGAGATACAAACTCGGATAGGATGGAATTGATAGCGTCCAGCACTTCATGTCCTCGTTCAGATTCAGATGTGGTTGATTCATATGGACCCAAGTAGCCATTAATTTTCTTGTCGTTCTGTCAATGCAATGGAACCAATCAGTATAACTCTTACTGATTATGAAACCCATAATGGAAAACGAAGTCTCACATTGATTGCCTCTACCAAATCGTCGCCACCTCCTCGGTCATGCAGCGCTACAGCCAAGCTGTTTGTTGCATCACATCAATAAATAATTGGTCAATCGATGAACAAATCCAACATGATGACTTACCTCTTTATATTTTGAATCAACTCGACATATTTCGGCCGTAATGATGATGGCTTGGGTATTCTACTGTGTTCAGGATGAAAGTTGAGAAGGTGTGTTAAGGTGTTGGGTGTGACTAGCGGTGGAGATACTGTGGAGGTGTATTAGACAATGAATCTTAAATAGCAGACATAAGCAGTGGACGTACATTTATGTTCGTTGAGATTTGCGAGGATGGAGGAGAAACTCTCATCACGAATGTTGGACATGTTCGGAGTAGGAACGACGGGTTGTTCAGTCCAGTTGGAGCTATCCCAAGGATCGCCTGTGGATCGTTGGGGTTCTTTGGACTGGTCGACGGGTAAGTTGAAGTACATTGAGGAAAGATGACGTGAGAGTGAAATGATTGAAATGTCTGACTGACGAGGAGGCTTTTTCAGTCAGTCCAATAAAAACGGAACAGTTGCAGATGTGTTCCAGAATTTTTTTTTTGTTCTTTCAAGATCGGTGAGCCAAAAATCTTTGTCCCTGTCTGCACATGGAACTTTTTTGAAACCGTTCCTTACCCGTTTGAATAAAGCTTTGAAACTCAATCAATATATACTACCTTTAGACACTTCGTTACCCAAGGGAAGTAACATCAAGTATATGGTTGATATGTTTGCATCGGTTCATTTAATTTTAAACCAGCATTATTTGTATGGTTCTAGTGCTGTTGCTCTCGCGCTAACTTTGTACAACTAAGCAGCACTAATCTCGATCAGAACCCCCGCAGTATATTAGCAGATTTGCAGCGGTGTTACCATTTGCCACCAATGAAAGTTGTAGTTCTCATCGTAGGGGTATTGTCCTTAGAGACCGAAAGCCATTCTTTTTATGGAATGCATCAGTACGAAGACACCAACGGCGCACAAGCCTGCATTATTACCCTCTACCCTGCTGATGAACGCTTGCCGAAAGTGTTGTATTATGTATTTCAGTTCACGGCGATGGCCATGAGTTTTGAGGATGTTGGCTTCTCAATGGCCCCACAACAGCGTTCAATCTCCTTTCTTTCGTTTCATGCAAAACAGGATATGGAACCTAACTTTACCAAGAGGCACCTGAAGGTATTGTGCCCAACTTTTCATAAAAATTAGCATTTAGGTTTTAGTTTGTTACCAATATAAAAATTCTCTACTCATTTTGTTATATGGATAATATCAGCCACGATTCCTATTAGCCCAGTTCATATGAAGCAATACGAAAAGAAAAAGGTAAGTTATATGGGTGAATAATCGGTTAGAGGATATTTTGGCATTTGCCACTGGGTTTCCGGCTGTCAGATAGCTCTATACATCATATGGCTACAATGTAAAACTTAAAAAATTATACGGTTGAATAAATGTTAACTTGAAAGGACCTGTAGAGTACAGTTCACCCAGTTGGGTCAAGAAGCTGTCATCGTCACTTTTTCTTCTTTCATTGAATAGCTAGGACATGAGTTCCAGTGACGATTTTTTATTTAGTTTTTTAAGTAAGGGAAAAAAGAGTGAACCACTCTCCCAAAACATACCAGTTGAATGTCGTCCAGAGAAAGCATTTTTCAGGAATAGAGTCCTAAAAAAGCGATCCATTGTGAGTGTCCAACAACAAATCCACATTAACCAAGTCCAAGTTGTTATTGTCATATACTCCCAAAATAATTTTCTAAATATCTTCATGTACCACATTTTATAATGGCTTCACGTCCATCCTCATGCCAACTGAAAACAAAGGATAGCATATGAACCGCCACCATCAGCGTGCAGTGTTCAACCAAGAGCTCTACTGAAATGATGTAGACCATAAAGTAACACGTGTTGTACTTCGACTGGAGAGTCGTCGACAATGTGTTTTTAAAGCCATTAGCTTTACATGCCAAGTTAAAATAGTCGATTAATAATCATAACATGCGGTGTGAAGATTCAATGTAACGACCATAAAGGATAAAAAAAACCGAGTAAAATGGCGCAATAAAACTTTCCATTATAGATTCGTGGACAATTAAGATGAAAAGAAATGTGTCTTCCTATCTAATTGAATAATGTTTATGAGGCAGAAAAAAACAGTTTAAAATCTCGGTTCATTCTTCAAAAAACCCGAATCAAAATTGACTTTTACCGGCATTCGTAAGGCAATCGTGATATTGGGCTGTATTTAAACGCCTTTTTCTACCAAATAAAAAATGGCCATCTCCTTTGTTGAAAAAATGAGATTATGCCGAAGCCATAAATTGCTGGCCAAATCATCAATTGCTTTAGCACTTTAAGAAAGTTACTTGACGCGACTTAGTGCGAGAAGAAAAAAATTGCGAAAAGGTTGCTTTGCTCAGCTAACAAGAAATTACTAATTTTCGTGGTTTTTTCGATTGTACCGAAAAAAAAACTTACAATATGATCCAAGGTGCGGACTTCCATGGCTCGTGGCGGTAGTGTGGAAGCGGCAAAAGTGCTGACCAAGAAAATATGCCATGACTTATTGTTCAGCACATTTGGATTACAGATACAACCATCTTCTTCCTTTTGATAGTTCATCAACATGTAAGATTTTAGCGTGTCGCAACTTACCAGTACATTGTCTTTCTTCATTTAACTCAAGGTGTAATGTCGTGACTTCTTTTGCAAAGGTCAACCTACCGCAAGATTCAAGCAAAAGAGCTTGGTAACAACTTCAGAGCCGTGACCGAGATCGTCGAGGCCAGCCTAGACGATTTGCTATCAAAGATGCAACCCGATAGCATCGTTACCAAGAACCATTATGTCGCTATCAATGCCTCCGATGTCAACTTCACCAATGGAAAATATACTCCAGATGTCAAGCCGTAAGTTACCCGCACTGTGAAGCACGATAGTAATTGTGAAGCATGCCGTAACTGACTCATTTTTTCTCTTCCTGCCATTATACACAGTCCATTCGACGTTGGCTTCGAGGCTCTTGGTGAAATCATTGCTGTTGGATCAAAGGTCCCGCAAAGCAAAGTTGGCTCCTATGTCGCAATCATGTAAGCAATCCACTGCAGTTTAATTTATGGATAGTTTCTCAGAACTCTAAACTCATAATATAAACTTCAGGCAATACGGTGCTTTCTCTGAATATACTTTGACAAAGTTCACATTGGCCATCCCAGTACCTGTAAGCCGAACATTTTCATGATCTTAACATCACTTCGGAACTTCGTGACTGAGCTATATGCTATTTAGGACTTGAAACCCGAATATCTTGGATTAATTTCATCGGGATTGACGGCTTCAATCGGCTTAAGAGAACCAGGTAGAATGACAAGTGGAGAGACCGTTCTTGTGACAGCAGGTAGGTTAGCCTAAAATGAGCTAGATGAGCGGAGATCATATTGGGCATTTCGGCTGATCAATTATAAAACAGCTGCTGGCGGTGCTGGTCAGATTGCAGTACAGCTTGCAAAGCTTGCTGGAAACCACGTCATTGGTACCTGCTCTAGTGATGAAAAGGCTGCTATGCTTAAGGTGAGTAAAAATTATAGGAGAGCTGGCTGAAGAGATCCATCATAACCAGGTTTACTAATGTGATGCTATCTTTTTTAGTCTATGGGATGTGATCGTGTCATCAACTACAAGAAGGAGGACTTTGCCAAGGTCTTGCGAAAGGAATATCCCAGAGGAGTTGATATTGTTTTTGAAAGTGTTGGTGGAGACTTCTTCAAGACATGCCTGCGCAAGTAAGTAGTGGCTATGATAATGTCACTTCATGTCCTCCCTCATCAAACTAATGTGACATTTGCAGCTTGGCCCCCAAAGGTCGTTTGTTGGTCATCGGTACCGTCTCTACTTATAACTCTGAAAAGGGTATTCAAGGTGACAAGGTTGACACCTTGCAACTTCTTTCCACTTCTCGTACCATTTCTGGTTTCTTCATGCCTGCCTATGCCAGCCATTTCCAACAGCACATGAAAGAGATGGTTCAAGCCTTGTCATCAGGCAAACTTATTGTCCAGGTCGACGATGGTGGTTTGTGTGGCCTTGAAGAGGTTGCATTCGGTGTGGAAAATCTCCTCCAAGGCAAGAATATGGGTAAGGTCGTCATCCCTTTGTTCAAATCACGACCCAGACTGTAATTCAACGCTGGAAGCTGGACACAGCCTAATCTCATTCAATAAATATGGTTGCTGTTAAATTACTACTCACACGGTGCCTTTTGTGATGTGTTTCAGATGATGACAGTGAAAGAAAGAGGAAAGCAGCATGTTTATTGTTCATGGCCTCGGTGTGAGGATTAGCCCGCCTGAAATTGCACATGTTCGATCAATGGTGTGTGACCGGCAGTGCCTGATTTTGCCTTGTCCTCGAAAATGATACTGAAAAAAACTACGCATTCTTCTACACATTCACTTGTTGCCAAGTCTTAATACCATGGCATCTAAAAAAGAGTTACAAGACCGTGATCAGATACTATTGGTATTCGTGCATGGCTTCAGAGGATCAGAAGCCTCATTTCAAGTAAGCGCCAAGTTTAGCAGTATACGCCATGCCCATTCTAGTTCCCAGCTTTTTAAGACGGCCTTTATGTAGGACTTTCCCGAGAGAGTGCGGACAATGTTGACAAACAGCATGCAGATGGATGTTGATGCTGTCATCTACCCAAGTTATAAGACACAAGGGTACATATTGATGGCTGGCGCTTAGAGCTTTGAATTATGATCGTATTAATGACGTTTCATATTCAGAAATCTGAAACAAGCTGTGGACGGTTTAAGTGATTGGCTTTTGGAGGAGACACAAACGCGAGAAGCAGATATCAGACGGTTAGGAGGCAAAGGACAACTTCTGGTTGTTTTGTAAGTTGGATGAAGATTGGAGTACAGATTTCTCAATATCTATTCTCACCTTTGACTATACCAGAGCGGCACACTCCATGGGCGGAATTGTCTGTAAGTCAGTGGCAACTTCCCCGGTTGGACCAATCTCCATCACTCACATGTATAGCTTATTTCAGCGGCCGAGGCGATTCTTCGATTTCAACCACAGGACATTGAATCACAGACTAGCTCCTATTCACTCTCAAGAACCAAACCCAACATTGTCGGGCTCATTGCATTTGATACGCCGTTTTATTCGCTTAACCATAATGTGGTATCGTCTCCGGCTTGGGATCGATTTCAACAAGTCAACAAACATGTCAGCACTGGCTACGACATCATGAATGCACTTTTACCTGCTACTGCTGCTTCTGCAACTGCTGCAGCCGGTACTAAGAGAATTACAGAAACAGCAAACACAACCACTAGTAAAGGCGGATGGGGTAGATTTGCTGGTGTTGCTCTAGGTGTTGCTGGGGCAGCAGCAGTAGCCGCTGCCGCCTACACACAGAGAGAACGCGTTAGTGGCAGTGTTTCGTATTTATTGGAACATTTGCAGTTTGTCAGTGCTTTGGCCAATCTTTCAGAATGTCGATCTAGGTAAGTCATCGATACGAGCACAGGAAGTTTCATATTTCAACAATGATCATAATCATCTGTTTCTATGCAGAATGGACAAGATAACACATGTGCCAAACCTAGTGTTTCGGTGTTTTTACACTCATCTACAAAAGCCTGAAAAGCCAGATAGTCCGCGAACCTTTATTGCTAATCCGCCAGAGGATAAGAAAGAATTCTTTGAAGCGGCCGAAGCATCAGCCTCAGATCCTATCAGTGCTCACACTGGAATGTTTGATCCAAAGACCAACAGCAACTGCTATGCTCTTGGAATATCCACGGCTAGCTTGATAACGGAGATGGTGAATCGATTTGAGCAATGGAGAGATAGCCAGAGCGAGTGATTCGCGTAATGATCTTTCGTATATATTTTAAAAAAGATAACTCATATTTATAGAGTAGCCATAAACCATAAAGCAAATAAGCAGTGGAGGGGAACGTTTGTGAAATCATTGGGTGGGGCTGCTGTCAGTGTGCGGAGTTAGAGGTCTCATATGACTTCTGCTAGACCGGACAAAGTGGAGTTTCAGCTGAAGTTTTAACACCCACACCCAGGACCACTATATCATTTCCCCATGGTCAAGTTCCTCGAAGGTAAGCAAAACGCGGGAACAATCTAGCCCACATGGCTATGTACTTTGACATGAACTAATGCTATCCCATCTATAGAACCAACACTTGAAGTCATTAATCAGGCATTCGCATGGGAGACAGCTGAATGCGTTATCACAGGCAGAGTTGAAGCATACTCATGTAAGTGACCACCAATAAGGAAAAACGAACCAAGATATATAAGCGTTATTAAAACCTTATAATGAACGCTTGGTTGGCGCCCGTTCGCGTCGTCCATTATAGGTAAATCAGCAGGAGCCGACAAGAAGTTATTTAAGCAACTGGAATCGAAATATAGCTTTGATATAGCCAACAGCTCATTTTCACCAGAAGATCGACAACTCAATAACTTGGTATCGCCATTTGGGCCGTTGGATCAAGCAGCTTCGCGAAAAACGCTGTTTTACTTATTGGCGACACTGAATGCGGCGTTTCCAGACTACGACTTTAGTGAGGTCCGGCCAGAACAATTCTCAAAGCAAATCTCAACTCAACTTGTTATAAATTCAGTCAATACGACATTGTTCAACCTTGGTAATGATGTAATTGTTAATCGATATCGGTAAGTGTCCACATTTTTATTTTTATATTTTTGAACAGAACGGCACGCGATGACGCACCATATTCATCCTCCTTACCGACCACCAGGTTATGGGATGTCTTGGATATGATTGTAGAACTGGGAGATTGTGATGTTTACAGCTTTAATCCAGATATGGATGATGACCCTATGGGAGAAGAAGGTTCAATGTAAGTTGAGTCTGCCATGATGCAATGGTGCCTGAACGGTTCGGTTGTCTTTGTGGGTTAGACCCCTTAATATGCTTAAGCTTACTTTTTGGAAAAATATGCCACAGATGGTCTTTAAATCACTTTTTCTTTAACAAGAAACTCAAGAAGATCGTTTTCTTCTCTATACGAAGTCAAAGGTAATACAGGTCACAAAGTGTCTGGAACATGGGTTCGGGAAACGATCGGGGAAGACCTAGGTGGTCTGAGCTTAAGTTTTGGGGGATGGAAAAAAGACGTCAAAGGTCCAGCCAATTCCCATAATGATGTGTACTGACGCAACGTTGATTGAAAAATTAGTATCAACTCCCCTGAAGAGGATGAAAGTGAATTTGAGGATGACGACAACGAGTAAGTCACTTCTATCTTCTTGTTATGGTTTGATGCAGCATCTGTCAAAGGAGGCAGAGAAGAGCTAAGAAAGGAATGGAAGAGGGCGTTTGAGAAATATGAACTGATGGTGTTCCCTTTTCACTTTTTTTTTGCAGAGTCATGGGCAATATGGAAGTGTGATGGTCCATTTTTTGCAATATCCATTTAATCATAGTCAGCCGCTGTATGATTCCATGCTGACGAAACCCTTTTTTTTTTGGTACCTTTCTATTGTAAAATAAAAAAATAATTTTTTTAAAAAGGTACGGTCTGTTATGGAGGTCATAGTCTACCGAAGCAAATCGAAGAAGTAAGCCGATAAAGAAACAGATTTGGGGGAGTAGAGAGCTATTTAGTATGAAAAAGCCGTATGACATTTCGGGGGGGGGGGGAACCTGTTCAATCGGCGCCACTACATGTGCTGTTAAAGGCAATGCTTATGACGTCCCTATTAAAAAGCACAGTCCAAGAAGGGCGTTGAGGCCAACAGAACCCGCCCCGCCCTCCTTCGAAAATAAAAGAAACAGCCGTTTTTCAGGTCCTGAAAATCTCTTCTCTTTCTTTACTTCCCTTTTCTTCTCTATTTTATATCATGCCAAAGACGAGCACTCGCAATAAGCACCGTGCCGACGGTTCACACACTCGATCGAAGCAGAAGCTGTTCCAATGTACTGGCTTTGGCGACTGCAAAATGGTATTCACGCGCAGTGAACATTTAGCCAGACATGCTCGTAAACATACAGGAGAAGTAAGTTTTCCCTCGGGAATTTTTTATGGGTCTAAAGCAGCAACTGACATAGAACACTTTAGAAACCTTTCAAGTGCGTCGTCGATGGATGTGCTCGCATGTTTAGTCGATTCGATAATATGATGCAGCACACGCAAACGCACAATCATCAGCGTAACAAAAAGAACCGAGAAAAATTTACCGAAGACGAGACTAAGTCGCCTCGTCGCAAGCAACAGCAAAGACGAGCCCTACCTCCACCACCCCTTCAAACCACCATGTTGACTCCACCTCATTCGCATCAAAAACTGCCGTCCATGGACCAAGTGGTCGTGGGTTCTTGGCATTCACTTCCCGAACTACCTATTTCGCCTGTATCGCCGACTTACAATCAATGGGCTCACTCGGTCAATTCTCCGCCAACCAGTCAACACTCACCTGTTTCTTTAGTTCACTCAGCATCATCACCTTCCTCTGTGCAATCCCCCGATGAACCTTTATTTCCCTTTCAGCAAGGTGATCGTCGACTCTCCGTGGCTGAACTTTGCAATCCTGTGGAAGAACATCCTATCCATAGTGACTCTATGTTTCTACCATTGGACGAGCGTATTTCATTGACCAAGGACGAGTACGAAGCTCTTGAAGGGCTCACTCAATTTCAACGAATATAAACAAAGAACAACAAAAAAAAAAACGTTTCATTTCCACCGCCTCAGCTTATTATATCGAACCACGGCTGAACTTCTGTATATAGCAAAAAAAATGGTACACACCTTTAAAAACGCCAACTTGTAAATTTCACCCCTTTTTTTTCTTTTGTTTGTCGTCTTTGCCCTAACCCGCAGCCAAATACGCCAGCTATTCTTTTCTCCTTCTTCGTTCAGTAACAAAAATTGTAAGATATAACAATATAAACCAAGACTGATGCCTATGTAAAAAAAAATAAAAAGGCACAGAGAATAAAATAAATAAAAAATACAAATCCTCGTGAAAACACATATTGGCCCATCAGTTTATGAACAAGAGGGGCATAATAGGATCATCTTATCTGGAAAAGGAGTGCCTTCTGATAAGTTGCTGAACCATGAAAGACTCGATATGGTGGGCAGTGCTGATGTCACCATGCTGACACTCGGAGTTTGCGATCCCTCACTTGCAAAGTGACTTTTGGAAAACGAGGTTAGCGGACCCATAAAAGACTCACTCTCCAACCAAGGGCATATTTGCCACACGTGCCTGTCTGCCATTTTGCCGACTGTTCTTCACCTTCCACTGCCCTTCACAAGTTGTAACAACAGCTACTGAGGCGTTTCGGTGTTATGTGAGATTTGTCAATCTGTCATATTCTTTCCGCGAGAAAAAGATAAGCTATGAACAAGGCTGTCGTGTTTTAGTCGTTGGGGTGACTGAACCTACACACACAAAATTGAAAAAAAAAAATGATTCTCATAAACACAGAACATGTGTAATTTATTCTGGATGATTGCCAAACATATTGGTGCATCCCGTGGCTGATTCATGTACTGCGATCCAGGATTTCTCGAGATTCTTTCTACCTAGCCAGCCAGGTTTTGGTGTGTCCACATTGTTGCCTACGTACAAAACACTGGCGCATGTTTGTTCATCTGGTTCCGTTCCGGCGTTGATAATTATAATGTTGGAATATTTTACTCGGTTTTTTTGGGATCCCACCATGGAATCCCAAGACGTCGCAGTGCGTCTTAAAAGAAAGGCTTTGATGAAAGATCTCATCTGGGTAAAATTTTATTGCTTTATGCGAGCAATTTATTATTTTATTATCTCCATGGCTAGTAGTAATGTTATTTTCCTGAGCTCCTTTGTAGTGATCGACACGACCATGTTGTCGCGTTGCGGGGAGATAAATTGGATAAAGACAAAATATGTTTCTACCCGGGAATTCAAACGATAAATAAGATTGCCTTTCCCGAATCATATTAGCGAAAAACCAACTTGGCTGGCCAAAGGCCATGATACGAGTCAAGGCATCCATGTTTTGACGGTATTGCCTATTCGAGTCTCCGCCTGTCAAATCGCAGGAAAAGCTCCACCTGTAGACAGAAACGGTTTCTATTGGCTAAATTTGTCAAGGAAATCCCAAATAAGATTTGAAATGCACTGTTACATATGGCGGATTTTCACTTCATCTCAGCTGAACCAGAGCAAATCAAAGACAACTTGCCGTAACATAGTGGCCGATGCGCAAAAAGACTCAGTCTTTGGTGGCGGAGAGGTATCATGTCCATGCTGTCTCGTCTTGCATTATTATTGGCTTAACCCTCATTGGTGTCCTTATATTGCGCATGTTGCTAAAAAAAATAGACATTGAAGTGCACACACATATAAAACCACCCTTTTCATTTGCATTCTGTTTATTCCCCTGTGTCTCTTCTCGTACATCCCCTTCCTTTGTTACTTTCCTTGTCACCTCCTTCGAGAAAGCTATTCATAAAATGGCTAACTATCAGCAGGGTGAGAACTACATCAGTGGTAACAACACTGATTATGCCACCGACTACTCCAACAACGTGAACAACAACTACGCCAGCGGTAACGAAATGGTTGACTTGAACGCTCGTCGTAAGGCTGCTTTGGCCGAGGTAAATGAGCCATCTCTTTTAATTATTTCTTGCCATGTCGACGCTTTTATTCACTCACACAAATTTATTTTCTATCTAGATCGACAACGCCAAGTTCGGTTGGTTCCACATTCGTGCCTGTATTGTATCCGGTGTCGGTTTCTACACCGATTCTTATGATATTTTCGCTATCGGTTTGGTTTCTTCTATGTTCGGATGGATTTACTACGCTCCCACTCATAAGACTCCGTAAGTATTTTCTCTGGCCTGCGCTCTTATGTTTATATTTGGGTGCTTTAGCCCACCATCGTGCTGCGCTACCAAATATGGACATTTAGTGCCAGTTCACATTTAACCCCCGCGCACCGTTGTCTTATCCACGTTTACTAATGCAAGCCACACTACAGTTACAACGTCGATACCGCTCTCAAGGTCTCTGCTTCCGTTGGTACCGTCGTTGGTCAGCTTCTCTTCGGTTGGCTTGCCGATCGCGTTGGTCGTAAGCGCATGTATGGTGTTGAATTGATGATCATTATTGTTGCTACCGTTGCTCAGGCTCTTGCTGGTAACGGTCAGGCTGTCTCTACCTGGGGTGTCATCACCTTCTGGCGTGTCATTCTTGGTGTTGGTATTGGTGGTGATTATCCTTTGTCTTCTGTTATCACTGCTGAATTCGCCACCACCAGCCGTCGTGGTGCTATGATGGCCGCTGTCTTTGCTATGCAAGGTTTGGGTCAAGTCTCCGCTGGTATTGTTGCTCTTATTGCCACTGCTGCTTTCCAAAACTCCATCCGTGCTGACCCCGCCAACTTGGACTATGTCTGGCGTATCGTCATCGGTGTTGGTGCCATCCCTGGTTTCATGGCTCTCTACTACCGTCTCACCATTCCCGAAACCCCCCGTTATACCATGGATGTTGAACAAAAGATCGAAAAGGGTGCCCGTGATGCTTCCGCTTTCATTGAGCGTGGTGCCGCTGCTGGTGACTACACTGATAACATTGCTGTCGCTCGCGTTGAAGGTGTTGCCACCAGAGCCTCCTGGTCCGATTTCGGCAGATACTTCGGTAACTGGCGCAACGGAAAGGTCCTTTTCGGTGCCGCATACTCTTGGTTCGCTCTTGATATCGCTTGGTACGGTCTTGGTCTTAACAACTCTATCATTCTTAACAACATTGGTTTCTCCGGTGGTAGCGATGCCTACACTGCTATGTTCAACAACGCTGTTGGTAACATCATCATTACCCTCCTTGGTTCCGTTCCTGGTTACTGGATCTCCGTCTTCACCATCGAAAAGATGGGCCGTAAGACCATTCAGATCATGGGTTTCACTATGTTGACCATCCTTTTCATCATTCTTGGTTTCGGTTACCACGCCATTCTTGCCAAGTCCCAAGCTGCCTTCATTGTCCTTTATACCTTTGCCCAGATCTTCTTCAACTGGGGTCCTAACACTACCACCTTCATTGTTCCTGGTGAAGTCTTCCCTACCCGTTACCGTTCCACTGCTCATGGTATCTGCGCTGCTTCTGGTAAGCTCGGTGCTATCGTTTCCCAAGTCGCTTTCGGTCTCCTCAAGGATATCGGTGGCTCCAACGCCTGGATTGACCATCTTTTGGAGATCTTCGCTTTCTTCATGTTGACTGGTATCTTCTCTTCCCTTCTCATCCCTGAGACCAAGGGCAAGTCTTTGGAAGAACTCTCCGCTGAGATGGACGAGATCTACGCTGGCAGCAACCACACTGCTGCTGTTGACCAATATGAGAACAGCACTAAGGCTCTCGCCTAAAATTGATAGTCTGCCATTGTATCCCCATTCCTATGTAACCGTATCGTATTGATAATCTTGTTTCTAATATTTATGTATGTAAATCAAGTATCTCTAAAAGAAATGGTTGCCTCCTTTATACATTTCCTTTTCTCATTCAGTATGAATTTACATCACTTTTCGCAACACCCATCTATATTTATATAAACATTAATGGCCTATTATTCTCTTCAACCTATGCAGCTTTCTTTTTGAAACTCAAGGTGAATAATAAGAATAAAAAAATCCCATTTAAGGGCCGTGTTCGTTGATCGGCACTCCCTTTTCCTTTTAACACTCTCATTCATTTTTGCAATGCTCTCTTTTTTTTTTTTTGCGGGAATACGAATGTTTGCCCTAGAAGTAACCATACCAGAAAAGTCATTGGGTATGGCGAAATAGGGCCGGTGGTGGTCAAGATTGATTTGTTTGTATGTTAGTTTTAATAGCCTTAGGAATGAATTCCATCCGTTCATAGCAACTGAATACCTGTGTCCACTTTGGAACCGTTTTTCCATGGTCTCCGCTGTAACAACCGTAGTCGAGCGCAGCGCTGTCTTGCATCACAGACAGTCCTACACTTTCAAACAGGTTGCGCAGAAGGAAACCAGTCACGGTAGTCCTTTCCCCTCTCACTTCATGCCAGACCTCGACGATGACAGGGCCGCTCTAATGCTTGGAGTCGACGACGACGAAGAGCATTTCCTGTAAGTATGAGGACAACAAGGATATTTTAAAACGGGAGGATTTTCTGTCTTCATTTGACGGGCTTGCCAATCCCATGACAATCATCTTTAGCCAAAGCACAGACCGCGCCGAATCATGTTCTAATTCCGTTGCATCTACAGTGGCCAGAATTTACCGACTCGTACCCAGCATGGATTAACACGAGCTGAGGCAATACAAGGAATGGCCAACCGGTTCATGTATTCCCGTTTCTACATCATGTTCTACCTTGGCTTGGCGGGGCTGAGCTTGGTGTCTATCATATTGGTGAGATATCTCCTATGCCTCGGCCAAAATGCGCAACACCCTTACTCACTATTCACGATTGCAGTCTCTAGCAGAGACGTGTCCGTCACTGCTTTTTATTATATTAGAAGCAATCATCAACGCTGCTATGATTCTCGAAGTATCAATACGAATGGTGGCGCTACGAAGGGTAAGTCCATTTTCCCTATGTGGCCGTTCAAGCGCTTTGAACTGACGTGGAAATTGTAGGTTTATTGGAAATCAATTTGGAATATCATTGATACCATTCTCGTGATTCTTTGCGCCATTACACTTATCGTGATCGCATCCGGATGTTCTGCTTCCGAAAGAAGCGAGGCATTATTCGATACTATTTTACTTGTGATACGAAACTGCGTGCAATTCTTCCGTCTTTTCATGATGATGCGAAAGTATGTCTACATTTCCGATCTGCTTGAGCTGATGAATCCCCTCACACATGTACTCACGTTTGTCTCTATTTTATTTCTCCTCCCTTTAGAAATCAACATTCGCTAAGCACTCGGTCGGCACGGATCGATTTCGATGACCTTAGAAATCAACCGCGAAATGCCTCAGTGGAGTTTAGTGCTATGGAGCGAGGCGTCAGTCTAGAGGGTGGCTTCTTGGATGACAGTGATGATGACGATGAGGGCAGAATTATATAATGAACCATAGCTGGATTTGTACTTTTATTTGTATCGAGACGTTTGCTTTTCATAAATCGTTTAGGATGGCGGGGGAGTTTTTTTTCCCTAGAACCAGGAATCAAATAACCATCTACATATGTTTACACTATTGTTTCATCCCCGCACTGCATCCTTTTTTTCATGTCATGGCATGGGAACCAATGTTATTCAAGTAGTTGCACATTTATTATAAGCTCGCCGTTGTAAATATAAATGGCTGAACCAAGCGTGTGCTAATTTTCTTTTGTTGAAGGACTCTTTCAGTTCAGGCGGCGGAAAGGAACTACTATTAAAAGTCATAGCCATCAACCTTGAAAGTAACGGCGTTATCAAAGTACTGGCAAATCAACCTGTAGATGGGTTCAATCAAGTTCATAGCCGTCAAGCTGTTTCTGACCTTGGAAAGTCCGTGTCTGCTGATAACCTTGTTCAAGTTCATAGAGATATGGGTTGGGTTCTAAAAATGCGAGTGATCAGCGTCAATATTGCATCAGCTGCAAATCTATTACCAACGCATTTGTTGGTTTCGAGCAGCACTTACTGTCATTTCGTTGTACCATCTATTGTGGTATATGGTGAGTTTCACTACGGCCATTAAAGCATTGGGTAGATCACCTTCATCAGCGTATAATTCCAAAAGACGTGTCCACGCTCTTGGAGAGAATCGATGGTCGAGGCAATTCTCATACGCTTCCTTTGCCTCCGGCTATAGATAAATAGGTGAGAACTAACAGTACATGTCAAAAAGCATCGTTTCCTGCCTTACCTCGTGGCATAATCGAGTGGCTAAATCGCCAAGGATCTCCCATTCCGTAGAGTTCTTATGATATTCTACTTGCTGCGATCTGTAGTGCTGTACCTCTGTGCGCCACACAGTGTACTGTCGCAAATCTTCGTATAACACTATAAAAAGATTGTCGAGCCAGCGCTCACATAAGCGCTTATGCTTCAAGTGAAGGTCAAGGAACAGAGCTCCGGGTTCCTTTTTGTCCTTTACTTTGTCTTCACTCTCCTCCGTCTTTACCTACAATGTCCCATTTAGTTTAGTTTACCCTGTCATCCAAATACTCATTCATAGGTTCCTAACACTCCCTACCTGCTTGGAGGCTTCTGCTGGCTCTCGCACTGCTTCAGAGCTTTGAATGCCCAGTCCGTTGCCGCTGTTTTCAATGGGTACCTTAAGTCCTTGCAAGTCCAAGGCTCCGACACTTCCATTGGTATTAATATCGACAGCAGGTTCCAAATCAGTTACTTCGGCTGGCACCGTTTGATCGGGCTCTTCCACAGCTGTAGTTGCGGACTCTGGGGCTGAAGGCTGCTCTTCCTGGACGCCATTTTCTAACGTCTCCGATGTAGCCTCTTCGTTTTCTGCAGCTTCAGGAACTTCTACCATAGCTGGTTGAGAGCTATTGATATCGATCTCAGCAAACTCTTCGGAATTAACGTCCAATTTTTCATCTGCTGTGATTTCATCCTCAGTAGGTGCAACAACGGAAGGCATCTCAGGTGCGTCTTCCTCTGGGGTGCTCGGTGACGGGACTTCATCAAGATCTGCGTTGGCATTCGCTTCACCGGGAGATACGGTAAGCTTCTTGTTCTTATTCTTCTTCTTGTTCTTCTTCTTTTGATTCTTTTTGGCATTTTTGCTCATTGGATTCTGTAGTTCCTTCTCCTCACCAGTATGGGCACTTGAAGGTGTTATTACTCCGGAAGGAAGATTGCTATCATTGTCGTCAGTTTCTGCACTCTTGGATTCGGTCTCCTTAGATTCTGACTCTTGCACATGATCACTATCGTCGACATGGGCCACCTCATCTGCGACATCGACTTCATCCTGTTCTGGGGCAACTTCAGTGTGATCTATAGTGGCAGCCTCTTTGACTTCCACAGCATCCTTTTCCTCCTCATGCAGGTCTGGAATGGTTTCTGTCTGATCCAAGGTGGCAGTCTCTGCGTCTTCCAAGGTTTCCGGTTTATCTTCCTGCTCGTCCTTGTCTGCCGTCATGTCAGCCGTAGAAGGAATATGGCCGTTTTCTGTAGACTTTTGTTGCAATTCAGTTTCGGGTACGTCGACGTTGGTAGCGTCACCGTTGGACAAAGTGCCGGTTTGCTCAACTTGGCTGTGACGGTACATGCTTCCATTTTGCTCGGATGCCGTCGGGTTGCTATCGAAAGTCTGATTTGCTTCTTCCAGCGCACTCAGACGTCTGTTTTCTTGGACCTGCTTGATGGTCTCTATCGTGACCGATTTTCTTTTTGTCTCCTCCGCTTCCTTAGCCTTTCGATATTCCTCTTCCATAACGAAAACATCAGATCTTGCTCGCAACAGCTCGTCCCATCCAATTTTAGATGCTAATTTCGTCAGCAACGAATAAGCTTGAAGGAAGGTACCATGTAGCGCGGCAGCTGGAAGCCTCAACAAATTTGGATCGCTCTGGAATACTTGGATGTTAGTTATTATCCATCATGTATTGCACATCATTCCGAAAGAAGATACCTCTGGATCACGTATTTCATGCTCCAATAAACCAGATTCTAGAAGAGCGAGCTTAATGGGCAAATGAGTCCTAGCGGGAGGTAGCATGCGATGCTGGTCGCGCTCAGAGTATGTAAACATGGGGCATGAGTTCAGAGCTAACAAAGCCTAGTATGGACGAGTTAGCAGTAGTTCGTTGTACACATCCTCGTCAACTCCCAAAATCTCACCAATTTATATTCCCCAAGTTCAATATACACAGAAGCCAGCTTCGACCAGGTCAGAAATTCGGACGGCATACAGTTGACTGCGAATTTAGCTATTTTGAGCGCATTGTCGAAAGCTCCCTACGATGGTGTTAGTTTCGTCACTACAAGTCATTCTGAGTATGTCTGCTATTTACCTTGCTAACGAGGAAATCAACTTGAGCATGCAAAACAGTGTATTTCGTAGGTGCAATCTGTAACGTTTTGTAAAGCAGATGTACAGCTTTGATTTCTTGATCTATGCGATAATTAAAGCGCGGATGGAACGGTTAGGCGAATGCCTGATTGACTTGCTGACGACCATTCAAGTTCTTACCTGACTCAATATAAGCTTTGGCTAATAAAGCGCCAACCTCTGGGTCTTTACCATACAATCGTTCAAGAAAATCAAGCAGTGGCTCAAATTGGAAGTTATAAGAGAAAAACTTCATCAAAGCATCCGACAAATGGTTCTTGACCAGGGTCGCTGTTTGTACCTCTGGGTTACTTCCCAGTAACCATCCTGATACGAAATGAAGCGTTAATACCAAATCTCCTCATCAGCTACTCAGAATATTTGTCACCCACCTTTGTCAAACAAATTGTGTGCAGCTTCCAAAAATCTTGCTTCAGACGCGACGTTTGGAATAGGATCAAGCTTGCGGTAGCCGGCTATACGATAATTACCATCGTCTGCAAACAGAATGGCTCGAACGCAAGCCGACAGGAACGCTTCCTGCCACATTTCATTGGTTGCTTCATGCCTAGCCAATCCAAAATGATAAGTTTCCAGATAAGGACTCTCTTCCTACAACACTAACACCAGCATACCTCTCTCCATTTGTATCAACGCAATAGCTTTCCACGCCACCAGGTATTTTAACCTCCACCCGGATGTCTAGTCTTGAAAATGCGTTATAGCAGCTACAATGCAAATACCTGTCAGTCTTATAAAGGGGTGGCTGATTTGACAGGCGACTTCATACCAGTATGTAGCTCCTCTTATTCTCCACTCTCCTTTCCCAAACCAAGCGGCATTGTCATCCTAGAATCGTTCAAGATATTCATAGGCAGGTAAGACATTGTTTGCTGCATAAACGGCTGACTTTCTAACTTACCACAGAATATGTCAATGAGTTAAGATAAGCAGCTATTGAAGCTGATGAGGAGGCATCGACTCCTGATACATAATGATAGCTGCCGATCTGCAGGTCAAAGCAAGGTTAGCCCATGGACTCGGAATGGAAACACAGAGGCGGGAAGAGCCTTGACTCCGCTGAAGGAGTCCAATAAAAGTAAGGAACTTACCTCTTTTTGTCCAGGTTTGAGGTTTGTCTTGGTGATATGACACAAATCTGGTGGTCCCAGTTCACGAAACGCGCCTAATAATAGATACTGTTAGGAAAAGAAAAAGAAAAAAAACCTCTTGGCCCGCCCTTTAAGCTGGCCACCGGTGCCTTGAAATGTACACAGGGCACGAGGTTCTGACATAGATGCCGTTTCCTACCTAGTTGATCTGTTCTTGTTGCTAGCGATTCCCCTAGCGAGTTCTCAAAGAATTCTGGAATGTCTTTTAAATTTTCAGACATTATGGGAAATGGACAAAGCGTTTGAAAAGTGCAAGAGACGAGACGGCCACTGATTCAAAGGGACTGGCAATTTTTTTTTCCCCAAATGGGAAGCGCCGTAAATTTCAAACGCAAGGGACTCATTTTTTCATTTAATGAACAGGTTGTAACAGGGGCTTCTTTAATTGCTGTTGCTGCTTTGAAGAACGGAATATCATGTCTCCATCCCATCTAATAAAATCTCTATCATCGCCGTCAAATGGTTTAGCGGCATACTTTCGCAGTCAACTTTAGTGCCTTGCAATGACGTTTATACTAATGATTTAATTGCTTTGCAGTCTACATTTCACGTGAAATAATGATAGCCAACGTCGTTCGTAATGATAAAACTAGTACAGGGCAATTGGTGTAAAGCTCATATGTTGTTTTATTTAGAGCGCATAATGGAAGCTTATTCTGTAGCTGTGTATTCTTGATTTCCACTCTATTCGTGATATTTTTTTCTTTACATGCTAAAGTTGAGCTGTTGATCACAATGGCGCATTCATGGTCACATAAGGATTTGCCATTGAAAAGTTTTTATAATCGTTCATTCTGATGGCTGGAGGTATATACGTCTTGGGTTGCAAGTTGAGTTTAGCAAGCTGGTTATTTGGAAAAACTACTTGAGCTGCATTCAAGCGTTCATCAAGAATTCCTCTTGTATCTGATGGACAAATTGGCGCATAAATAGGTCTCTCTTTTCCGCCAATTCTTTTCCAGTTGGGGTTCGCATCATATTCTTGAGTAAGAACAATTTCTCTGTCGATACGATACATGCTAGAAGATTAGATCATGGGCATCACACGCCCTATCCAAAAAAAAGGAATCATCTTACCGTGGAAATGATTGATAGAAGAACCACCTCCATTGTCGGTCTGCCGCTCATATTGTTCCTTGGTCATGCCCTCAATTGGAGCATCATCAGGGTTGAAGAGTGATATGTTACGGGCTCCGCTGAAAGCTGCACATCGAAGGACGCCAAAGGCTCCGATTGCATCCAATTTGTCAGCATCTTGAACACTGCAGGGTGAAAGAAGTTATAAAGACGTTGAGACTGTGGCCCACCCCCACGGCTTTCCTGATTTGATGGCAACTTACGCATGAAGCTCTGGGCATGATTCCCTCCAGGTGATGAATTCTGTATCGTCCTTGGAAGACCAGCCAAGTTCCTTGCGAAATCCAATATTGTCAACGATTCTCCCAATCAACTGCGCCTTCGTCGCGTCGTAATCCAGGTCCATGAGAAAATCAATGACAATTTCACTACCTGTTCGATGGTGGACGTGATTTTTGGCATACTTTGCGTCGGCTACGTCATGGAAAAGAGCAGCAAGTTCCACGACTTCTAGATCACCTCCATGTTCCTTTGCAATATGGAGAGCTGTGCAAATAATTTTTTTTTTTAAAAAGGGGAAAAAGCAATGGAGTAGGGCTGGTTGACTGGAGACATACCTGATCTTCTTACTCGGTCTACGTGCAAGAAATCATGGGAGGAGTCGAAGCGAGACATATAGTCTCTGACCATGACTTCAGCTTTCAGCAACACGTTGTTAGCACTCATAAAAGTTAGAAGAAACGAAAAGAAAGTTGTCGGTGTTGCAGCACGGTCAAGTTGGGAAGACCAAGTATTGTTTCCAAAAACAGCCAGCCAATGAGATTTCGTGAGCATTAGCACCGAACCATGGTCCGCAAAATCCAAACTCACCCACAGCATTTTGACCTTGCTCTCATTTTCTGGATGGATTACGTATACGCCAATCAGCCTCAGTCGCCTGGAAGTTCTGTCGACACTCCGTCTGTTTACCTTCCTAATGCTGCTTACACGCAAAACATACAAGCTCCCGCTGCTGCAGCTGATCCGGCAACACAGCAACGTTATTTGCATCAGCAACAACTCATAATGCAACAGCAGCAACACCTCGCGCAACAAAAACAGCAACAGCAAAGTCAACAACAACAACAACGTGCTGCAGGTCAGCCAGAAGCTCATTACCAGCGAACAACAGAAGGCTTGCCCCGAAGTGCGATAGACAGAGCTGCTTCGGCCAAACTTCGGCTGGAGAACTTCTACAAAGGAACTTTGGCACAGACTATAGAGAGAAATCAACGGTAAGGCTATGAACTAGCTGAGCTTGTACGGTTCGATGAAAATATACTAATCATACCGCCAATGTTTATATAGTCGAATTGATATGGAAAAGAGATTACAAGCCGAAGCTGGTAGCACTGAACGCAAAAATAGACAACTCTTGTCATATGGTCGGAAGGAATCTCAATACTTACGGTTAAGAAGAACCCGACTCGGCTTAGATGATTTTGTCACTGTGAAGGTCATTGGCAAAGGTGCTTTTGGTGAAGTGAGTACTTCTTTCGTGCGAAGATGTCTAGCCTCCAAATGAAATCCTCTCAAACTCATCTACCTTTGCATGCATCAATGATTTAGGTTAGATTGGTTCAAGCAGCAGATACTGGAAAAATCTATGCCATGAAAACATTGAGAAAATCCGAGATGTTCAAAAAGGATCAGGTCAGTTTTCCATACTCTGCTTGTGTTTGCAGCAAGAAGAAAAACTAACATTATTTTCAATCCCCAGTTGGCACACGTCAAAGCAGAAAGAGACGTTCTTGCTGAGTCTGATTCTCCATGGGTTGTACAATTGTACTTTTCCTTTCAAGACGCACAGTTCTTGTATCTCATCATGGAATTTCTTCCCGGTGGAGATCTGATGACAATGTTGATTAAATACGATATCTTCAGCGAGCCTGTCACCCGATTTTATATAGCAGAATGTGTCTTGGCCATTGAAGCCATTCACAAATTGGGATTTATCCATCGGTGAGTCTCCCAACTTTTTGCCATCTGTTCGTAATCTAGCAGCGCCTTAATGTTATTTTCTGCAACCAGTGACATCAAACCGGACAATATATTGATTGATAAGGACGGCCACATCAAGCTCAGTGATTTTGGTCTATCCACTGGATTCCATAAAACACACGACTCACAATACTACCAAAGGTTGATGGAAGGAGTGCAAAACACAAATGGTATGGAGAGTATAAATTTGACTATGTCACTCAAAGACAAGGACAAGATAGCGACGTGGAAGAAGAACAGGAGAGCATTGGTAAGGCGCCGTCCTTTGTAAACGTTGGATTCTTTGAACGAAAGATGTCTCATCTCCTATTATATCTATGCAGGCATATTCAACGGTCGGAACGCCAGATTATATTGCTCCAGAGATCTTCTTGCAACAAGGATATGGTCAGGAATGTGATTGGTGGTCACTTGGAACGATCATGTTTGAGTGTCTTTGCGGATACCCACCATTCTGCTCTGAAAATCCACATGAGACCTATCGTAAAATTATGAACTGGCGCGAAACGCTGTATTTTCCAGATGATCAACCACTGAGCAGAGAGGCTGAAGACCTCATTAGAAGGTAAGGTATTTTCGTTGACAATGAATGGCAATGGTTTTTTCTAACTTTTAAATATTGCAACCAAAGGTTGATCTGCAATCCAGATCAACGCCTTGGAAGAAATGGAGCAGACGAGATCAAAGCACATCCATTTTTCTATGGTGTCAACTGGGACCAAATAAGATCGCTGCCCGCTCCTCATGTTCCTCAACTTCGTAGTATAACAGACACTAGCTACTTCCCAACTGAAGATCTAGAAGCTGTTCCAGATGCTGTCGATGCTATGAATCATAGTAAGTGTTTCTCAATACTAATTTATGTCACTGCATAGGAACTAACTTGGGGAATTTTTTAATAGCTTATGGACAGGGAGATAACAGTGAACAAAAAGATCTTGCGTTTGTCGGATACACCTTCAAGCGCTTCGACTACCTCCTCACAAGGAACGCCATATAACCCTTTCGATACCATTTATTGTATTGAATCCAAAGCAATAAAAAGAGAAAAAATAAAACCCTTTCATTTTTGCTAGCTAACGCAGTGAGAGTGATGCAGCAGCTTGTGACTTGAAAATCAAAAAGACGAACAGACCCGCTGACGCCGTTGTCTTGGAACAAGGCAGACAGCTCTAATGACTTTAAAATGCACTCTTCAACCTACCTGTGCAATACCAACACCTGTACTATCTATCTTATTTGGTCGCATACCTCAAGTTTCCACCGTTGTCAAAGATATAAGTGAAGATCCGTCACAAGAAGCCAAGATTAGGGATGACGACGAATCCAAACCTAGCAGGGACGATGAAGGTAGAGCGTGTAACCACCGCTAATGCCTGCTTTTCTATCTTTCAACAAGCCAACTGATAGTATACACCATTTGATGTAGGTGACGGCTGGGATACTGACTGGGGCTGGGCCGATGACGATGTTAAGGTACAGTCACGACGACGTTCTACACGCACAACGCCGCTTTTGATCCTTTGACGTTAATATCTACTCCTCTTTGGATCTTTAAGAAGCACTCGGAACCCAAGTCTACTCTTCACTTAACAAGCGTGTCGCCATCGTCAGTATCTTCAGTTGCAACCTCAACCTCTTCTATTCCGCAAAGTCCGACTATCGAACCCTACCTTGTCTCAGCATCTGCAGATGGATCACATATTGCTTTAGCGCATAAAACGAAATTCGTTGTTGTAAAACGGCATTTGGAAGAAGAAGAATATTTCGCTATTGGTCAAGGCTCTGGATGCGAATATACTGGGTAAATGAAAACATATGTCAACCGAGGACCTCTCCATGATAGTGAGATCATTAACTCATGCCATACCTTATCTTTCTCAGCGAGGAAATTACGGCAATACTCTGCCTACCTTTATTTGTACCTTCCATTCGAAAGAGCCAGTTCTTCATTATGGTAGGATACAATTCTGGTTGGCTCCGGGTGTTTTCAGAGGTGAGTGTGTTGTCATTCAATCCATCGTCGTATGTTCACATCGCTCAACATGTAACGTTTAGAACGGCGTTCTCTTGACCTCACAAATCCTGGAGCAAGCATGTATCTTGCGAATCAAAATGAGGACTCCTCCAGCCGTTATCAAGGCAAACACGAGGAATGTGGTTGATGAAGATGAAGAAATCACCATATTGTATCATAATGGCCAAGTTGTTAGTATAGACGGACAGAGCCTTTGGATGGTTCTTAGAGTATGCGACGGACAGCGAGAAAGTGGCATCGGTAAGAATGATTTATCTAGTTTTCCACCGCTGCCATATCGAATTTACCAAGGAAAGATTAACATGTTTTATCTTCTTGAAGATACTTCACGGGGTCAAACTGCGTTTTCATACAAAAAATGGGATCTTCAGTATCAAGAAGGGATATCTGATATAATTAGTCTGGGTCAGTGTTACGATGCTATGGACCCTATGTTCAGTGAATGCTGCCAAATTAATACTTTCCGCTCTTTTACGAATAGGACCATCATTGCAACGAGGCCGAAATAATCAAATATCGTTACCGGGGGTGATTTCCACAGATGTCTTAGATGTTGATATGACAGCGAGGTATATTGCGGTAGGATCCAAACCAATGCTCGCTTACTATGGAACAAGTGATAGCAGCCGACCTTTACTCTCCGCCGTATCGCTTGCCAGTTACGTGGTATCACGCGTAGCCACTCCGGTATTTTCATTAGCGAAATCATGGTGGGGTTCATCTCGGTCGGCTTCAAGTTCACGATCGGCATCTCCTTCACCTTTTGTACCAGATATGCCCCCTCCACCCACTCAAATCGAACCTGCCACGACACTACCAAATATCTTATCTTTGGATGACCCAGCTCGTCGAATTGTACACATCTGGCACTCGCCACCGTCATCTAGTCCACCGATGCACTCCCTTGCTGCTGTCAGCGATGTATTGGGACGAGTTATGCTATTGGATGTCGACACAGGAGAAATCACCAGAATTTGGAAAGGATTACGAGACGCAGTATGTGGTTGGATCGAGATACCTGATCCCAGCAGTCCATCTCGAGGCAACATACTTTTATTCCTAGTAATGTATTCGCCACGCCGTGGATTACTCAAAATATTTCAAATGAGGCATGGAAAGCAAATCGGTGTTTTTCATATCGGTGTAGGCTGGCGATTAGTCAACTGTGGTGGTGAGCCGCTTGGCAGCAGTATGGTTGGCATAGAACGTAGGCGACCGGCAGCATCTGCTAATGATTCGACGCAACAAGGCCTTGCTGAATGCTTGTTGATTGGCCCTACTGGCGAGGTTAGGCGAATCGAGGTTAATAAACGATGATTCCCCCATGTTTTCAAATTCAGTGCGCTTATTAAACGTAGGCAGGCACATGCTTACTGTAACCATAGTAGTAGGAACCCGTCGTACAAAATCGAAATGTTCCAAAGTATTGGTGCTAACTATAAAGGCATTTAGCCTGGTAACCAAAGCTTGGGTAATTTTAACACGATGATCACCTTGTCAAAGTCTCTGGTCAAATATGCCATGTTTCGACTGTATATCACCTGTTCTTCACTACCTCACAGAAGCGTTGCAGGTTTTTTTTCTACCTCCCAATTCTGCCCTTCCTATGTGATACGGTCGGCTGGCTGAAATCAATTCGCAGTTTTTATCTATAACCTCAGATATTTTGTACCCGCAGACTCTTTCAAACATTATACGGGTTGAAATGGTCCATCCCCTTACAAGCTGCTTGCAGCAAACGTATCGCCGTCAGCCTTTCATTATCATCATGGTCAGCTTGTTATCTCTCTATCAATGTCGTCTTCATCTCTTTTCATGTTGTAACAAAAATCGAACACCAAATAGTCTCATAATGTATTAACTTGTAGTCAGTTTCAACGTGGTTGCTGTTACAGGCGTATAGACGGCAAACGTTGACATAAAAATGTCTTTTAACTACACGTGAGGCCATACATGTCTTCAATCTATCTAAAAACATATAACACGATTGCTAAACCTGAGTCAAGTCCCACGTCGCATTTGTTTCTGGACGTAACACTGGCTTACTTAACAACCCGTTTTTGGGACGCGCTAGCAAATGTGAAGAGTGGTGGACAGCAACGTGTACATGAAAAACGGTCAAAATGTTAGGTGCGTGTTTACCCACTGTGTAGCGTCGTTAATACTAGTTCTGCACAATGATGATGCGCGCCAAATGCACTTTATAGAAGCTACTTTCAGGTCAATCCTTACAAATTCTCGCTAAGGTTTGCCCGCTCAGCATGTCACAAATAACCTTGCAGTGGTCTGTGGTTGTTACACCGCGAAACCACATTTCCCAAATTGAACTCTGACTATTTGGCCTCAATTTCTCTTCCCTCCGTCTTAACTCCAGTTCTTGCTCGGCCCTGAAATACTACTTTGACGGGTGGTATTTCAATCCAACAACCTCGATTTTGAAATCACTTGAATCTCTTCCAGTCATTTACTTAGTCGTCAACCAAATCTGTCGTTCCCTCAAGTGTCATCGCACACGATCTCTCAAAGTCTGGCCATGAACGGAAACACCAAGCTCATCTTGAGTCTTGTCAACAGACTCACAGCTCGAGTAAGTTTCATATCACATCCCGAGGCTATAACAACCCCTGCATAAGATTGTTCTCGACGCTAATCGCTTCACATCTTGCAGCTCCCGGTAAATAGCGGTAACCAGTTGCATGACTTAGAGACAGATCCCACGGTTCAACAGACCGGTAAGTGATCATGTTGATTGATTCATTCAGGCCATTCATGGCAAAATATCATATCACAAGGGGGACCACGGACGTTTCCTTTGATGTTGGGGGCGGATTTGTGGGTTTCTAACTAATCAAAAAAAAAAATTAGTGGCCGCTCTGACTGAGTTATCGGAATTTCGGTTACCGTCAATTGCAAAAATGCTAGCCAGTAGTATCGAAAACCTTAGCAAAGTAAGTAATATTTGACTTTACCAACGGTCAAAGGAAAGAAGTGACGAGAGGAAGGAAAGAAATGGACTCCAAAATCTTTTTAATGCAATGCATGAAAGAGAATATCTTCATATGCAGTGTCATGACTGACCGCTCTTGTCATACGTTAGGCGTCGGAGGAATTATCAGCGTCGTTGATTCCGTCAGAGATACTACAATCGCAGTTGTTTCTGCTGAGGACCCTGGCAACATGTATGCAGCATCACCAGCAATTTAATCACCAACAATGCTGTGAGCGAGTCAAAACCTTAGAACGCAAAAGCTCGCAGACCAGCCATCGAACAGAGGAAACACTGGAGGATGAGAATCATTCGGTTGCAAATATATCAGAAAGCAGTGAACACACCTTGTACGAGAAGTACTATTCTGTACCTAGACCATTGTACGATCCACCGCCACTGGATGATGAATTGACCGATTACATCTCTACTGTACTTTCGCCGTTCCTTCATCAAATGCAAATGCACGAAGATCAAGCCAACGCCCAGCACAACAATGTTCCGACTTCACCCTTGCCCAAGCGTACGGACAGCATGAGTAGCCTGAATCTGGACAATACTGGCGAAATGGTATTGGATATATATCAAACAGCTCGCAAGATCTTATTCTATACCAGCGCCAGTAATTGGACCACTTTCTTTGCAAGAATTCGTGCACGACTTGCTATATTTGCTGCTGCTTCAGAAGAGCTAAAGGAGTGGTCTGATCTTCGTCTTTTAGAGTGTGCTTCTCTCAACTCAAAACGTCTGGCACAAGTCATTAGAGGTATGGCCACATTCATTTTCCGTTTGTGAATTGATCAACATAGACTCACTGCCTCATTGATTTGTAGAAATGACAACATGTTTCATGCACTTGGGCACCTCCTTGCAGTTGCGAGTTGCTGTATATTTGAGAAACGCCATTTGGAACTGGATTGAACTTTACACTCTTGAATTCATAGACCTATCCGTCAACTCCAAACGTGTCGACAACGGTCCTGAGATTCTTTTTGACATGGCTGCTGCTGTCATTGACAATACCAGGAAAAGATCTGTCATGTGGCCTTTGCAAACCATGTTGTTGGTCCTATGCCCAGACATTTTGATTCAAGCGTTCATGAGCGAAGCTCCCTCGCAAGCGTCTAGACGGGTAAGTGAGGCACTCCCGATATTTGCTACTCGTACCTGTCGCTAATATACACTGTTACTGTTGGGGAAAAAAAGGGTGCATTCCTTGAAACTCTTCGAAAGGCTTTACGAAGTTCCAAAACGTCAGCAATCGCTACGGCTTGTTACGTCGACATCTGTAAGACATCGACGTATGTTCCGCCCACCGAAAACTGTGTTCTTCGACACATTGCCGCTGATATCGAGAACGAAATTAGAGAGAAAGTTTTCGATTTCTCTAAGCCGGCAACTAGCAGCATGATTAATAGCGGCATGAGCGGCCTGCACATTGATCAGCAAAAGGTCACCACCGATTTTATGCTATCCCTTTTCAGATTAGATGCCAGAAGTGTGCTGGAGAAGCTAGTGCCTAGTTGTCTTGAAGATCATGTTCACATCTCTTACAAACTTGCCCTCATCAAGGCGTGCTCTGAAATATCCGAGTCGCAGAAGAGACTTCCATGGTATCCTTTGATTATGTCCATGCATAGTTATCTTGCAGCTCCCATGCGAAAGTTATTTCTGGACTATGCCGATCTTGAAATCCTCCATATGCACACTTTCATAGAAGGTATACCACCGGATCGAACCAACGTCATCGCGTTAAGGCGACTGGACGCTCAAACAACCCCAGCTGAAGTGCAAACTCTTTTACACAATATACTGAAACTGTTCTCGAAAAACCCATTGATTGCTCTCTTGGTAAGTTGCAACTCATAATGATCATGAAGTAGCCTCCAAAAACTCATTGTTCTGTTGATCGCAGGGGTCCGATGATGACAATGAACGAGTGTCGCAAAACACCAGTATGTTGCTTAAAACAACGTATCTTCTATCGTCGCCAAAGTCGACCATACAAACCATGGCAGCAGCTTGTCTCGGAGCGTTCTATCAACCATCGAGTATCAGTAACTGGTGCGCTAACAGCTCCAAGATTGTCAGTACTTTTTGGAAGGGCTCGACTCAAGTGATTAGAGATATATGCATTCAAATATTCCAAACCCGAGAAAACGAAGATTGTTCAAAGCAATTATTAGAAACCTTTTATAGATTGATGCGCCTTGCTGTTGAATTCGTCACACCACATCAGGTACGTTGACACACTTGTCAGCTCACTTACCCACAGAAAGGTCGATGTCTAAATATACTTGCAAAAATAGGAAGCCGTTGCTGACGGGGCAGATACCATCGAGGCAATTCAAATATCAGTGTTCATGGAAGCTGCACTTTTGGTCTCGTTCTCGTCGTTGAATACCGACATTTGCGCCCTTGCTATCCAATGTCTTCCTTTTGTTGGGTCCAGTGGCCGTATGTTGGAGGAGATGGAAGCATACTCTAATACTGACCTATTGATGTTGGGAAATCTGTCGATCTACGAGTCCATCGTTAAGAATAATGAATCGTTCTTGGGTCGTAAAGCGCAACAGCGACGTATTCGTGAATCTCTTCGACTGTTGAATCAACAAAACCCCGGAATTTTAGGTGCTTGGGAGGAGATTTGGCAGCGCTGGAAGATGCTATCGCAAAATGATCTGGACGACTATGAAGGCTTGATGTCCAACTCTGATCCTATAACCAGTCGGCTCTCTAGAGGTGCAGACAAGAAGGTCGCATCACCATCCCTTGGCCGCCACTCAAGGCCGTATCAGTACATGACTCTGGAAGAACGAGCCTTTCAGTGGCAGGTGGGTGTGTTGTAAAATGTGAATACGGTTTGTTCGTGAAGCATGCTAAATCGGGAATCTGTCCATAATAGAACTACACTGGTTTCTTGGCAGCTGTGGGTGGATGTTTGTTAACAACGTCGCAAAGCGATAAGCTGCTGGACATTTGGCTCTTTACCGGTAGAAAACCAATTCGTCAACCGAGAACTGCTCCCGAGTATCATGCCATGATCAAAATGTTCGTCATGGAGCTCTTTGAGCATTTGATCAGTGATAACATTTTCATGCGAGAGACGGCGAAGGAAGCTTTGGGTCGCGATTTATCTCCTGTCCTTCACGCCATGTTGCTGGAACATATGGAAGAAACCCTGTCTCAATGCTTTGAGGCGGATGGCGATGTTGTCTGCTCGCCACGTTTCAATTTACTCATCGACCAGTCTATCACCATTCTCAAGCTCATTCTTGACCGAATTAATGCCTCATCTGAGAGCGTATTCGCCATCAACTTCAGTGGATTGATTCATCAGTTTGCAAGGTATCTTAACAAGCTGGGAAGTAGCCAAACTGCGCTCAAAATGAAAATCAGAATGTGCAACTTGTGCGAAGCTCTCATGCAAAAGAAGGATTATGTAACTATCCGTCAAGAATACCTTGTGAGAAATCGATTGCTGGAGATCATTGTGGAGTGGACTAGTGATTTTGCTTTGGTAAGTGAATGCCGTGCAAAGACCAGACATGCAACCGGATGAGGTGCTCATACGATGTTTTCATTCCATGCCAGAAACCGGAGAGTAAATCCAACCATAATCCAATGGATACCGCAATGAATGAGAAGCTTTATCATGATCTTGATCAAGCTTGTTTGAAAACCATTGTTGCCTTGCTACACCAATTACCTTTACAACCACTGGAGCCCGCTCAAGAGGGTCAACTAGGACAAGTCAAAAGTCGTATTTTCTACAAATACTTCACCTTCTTTTTAAAGCTTTTGAATAGATGCAAGAACATCGAGGTAAATTGACATATTTGAACATGGAAATTGGTTATCATGCATTAACGTACTTACATCAGCAGACGCGGGCGATTGTCGATTCGAAGACTGCAAATGGCTTGAAGCCTAATAGAGTAAGTAAAATGCGAAGTATGCGCACTAAATATTTGCCAATTAATATAGGACTAACATCGACCGCCTTTACTTACTTAGACTATAGAAAATCCAAAGGATTTGGAGCCGTTGAAAAATTACACCATTTTGGCCATGTCCAATCTACTGAGTGCTAACGTAGATGCTGGCCTGAAGTATTCGCTGACAATGGGGTATCATGAAGATACTCGTACCAGAGCCGCGTTCATGCAGGTCTTGACCAATATCTTAAAGCAAGGTACGGAGTTTGATACCCTAGCGGAAGACTTCGAAGAAGAAAGAAATGAGAGGTTGGTTAGGGTAAGTTACATCAATAGACAGTGACACGCAACGAAAATGACCAAGATAATGAGAGTGTGTTATTTAGATGCTTGTTGATTCCGATGTCAACATTACACTGGCCTTCTGTGAAGTGTGTCCTGCTCAGCAGATCGAAGAAGTTGCCGAGGTTCTTATGGCATGCTTCGAATCTCGAAACAAGCATATGGAACTGCTTAAAACTCTCATATCTCGAGAAGTTGAATCTACAGGTACTTTGAAATTTATACGTGGACAAACGGTATTGCAACGAAACTAACCCCATACAACAGAGCAAGAAGCAACTCTGTTCAGAAGCACCAATATCACGACTAGAATGATATCGTTGTTCACACAGAATTCATGCACTGATTATCTGCATATGACATTGCAACCTGCCCTTGAAGCGTTCAATGAGATTCCGCCAGAGTGCACGTCGTGGGAGCTAGATCCTGAGAAGGTTGGACCAGATGAAGATATAGCTAAGAACAGAGAGAATGTCATAAAAGCAACGGAAATGCTTCTCAAGCCAATTTGTGACTCGGTTAAGAAAGCTCCAAAGTAAGTTTAGTTATGGGCTCACTATAAGCGTTTCTCAAATTTTAACACCTGTTTTTCTCTTCAGCATCTTCCGTGAAGTTCTCTCTCTCGTCGTTAAGGCAGTTCAAAAGCGATTCCCTGAAGCCAAATACACTGCCGCTGGTGGTATTGTCTTTTTGCGATTCTTCTGTCCTGCTATTCTCACGCCTGAAGGCCTTGGTATGCCCAAACGATGTTCTCCTAAAACCAAGGAAATCCGAAAGCTTCTGGTTCAAGCAACCAAAGTCATTCAGAATTTGGCGAACAATGTCTTGTTCGGTGCTAAAGAAACACACATGATCGTCCTCAATGATTACTTGACTACCAACATTTACCGGGTTACCAATTTCCTTCGAGATATCTCAACGTCTCCATCTCAATCTGAACTGCAGCCCACGAATATTGTTTCAACAGGAAAGGTTGACAAAACCATACATATCAAGTTGCATAGACTTCTGTTTAATAATTTGGAACGTATGTCTCGATATGTTGCAACGCAATCAGTCCGTAACGATTCTGGATCAGGAGATGTATTTCAGCTCAAGAAGACGTTTGATTCGCTATCAAACCTGCTATTCCAGTTTGACAAGCCAGCTGAGCTGCCCAGAGAAGACTCGCCGGCATTCAGACACCATTCGCCTCGGCCCAATGAACACGTCTATTCAGATTTGATCAGACGAAATGAAAACCGCAGTTTGGAAGCCCTACTTGCCAAAAACATATTTTATGAAGGTGGCGCCTCCAAGGCAGGAAGACCAGTGTTTTATTTCATCATTAGACGCATGGAGGGAGAAAACGTTGATTACGAATTACTTCTTTACTATATGATGAAGGTGAGTCCGGTTTCCATGGTTTTAGCATCTGTCCACGGAAAACAGCAAGTAATTAACGTTGTTTGATTGTTGAACAGCAAATGACCCGAACGCCATCAAGACCGTTTGAAATCGTCTTTGACAATACTCAGATCAGTCCAAAGCATGAATTCCCCGGCCAGTGGCTAAACCAAGTGTTTGGAATGATGCTACATGATGTGGTTGACAAGATTACCTGCTTGTATATTTACAACCCATGTACATACAGCCGCTCTTACTTTAGAAAGTTCAATCGAAATTTGATCTCGAAATTAGCGAAAAAGACTGTGTCTATATCTACGCTAGCAGAGCTTCAAGAGCATATACCAGCATCGAAAATACGATTGCCTCAAACCACAGGTAAGGAGTTATCCTATGTGGAGGAAGCTTTATGCTATGATGCAATGTGCTTAACTATTTGTATGATTTCAAAGTTGAGCTTGATGCCCAAGCTAGTGTCGTGTTTTACCCTGTCAACCGTCTATCCACCAGCAATACTTCCACTGCTGTTACCGTGAAGGTCGGAACCACTCATGTTCAGATTATGACGGTCAGTTATTACTCAATAATGGGCGATGCTTGCCGGGACGTTTTCTAACTTCAATATGTTTTTGATAGACTCGTAAACAAGAGCTTGTACCTGGCTATTCCAGTATCATCAACGACGTCTTCCACATTTCGGATATCGATGTGACATCCACCATTAATCCAAGATTCGATGAGTCCAACGAATTTACGCTGAAAATTGATACTTTGAAGGCTTCCATGGCTTTTGTTACCCCTAGAAAAGAAGCATTGATTTCGGTAAGCTTTTAGCAGTATTATAGCTTGATATCGCCTTTTTCTGATCAATCCTTTTTTTTTGGGACTTGCAGCTCCTGAATCATAATAAGAAACGCTTTAAGCAGACCACACCAAACACTGTCACCGAGCGTATCATCCGCCCAGAAGACGTTCCAGGAAGACTACTGAACATGGCGTTGTTGAACATTGGAAGCGACGATCCTGATCTGCGATTGGCAGCGTACAACTTGCTCTATTCGCTCAGTCTTAGCTTCCGATTTGACATTAGTAATCGCCTGTTGAACTCCAAGGACCATTGTATCCCGGCTAATAGCACGAGCTTCATTGTTGGTATTAGTGAGAACCTTGCAGTTACAGAGCCGCATCTCACTCTGGAATTCCTTAATGAATGCTTTGTCGGTTTCAATAAGTCGAGTGAACCCTTACGACAGTTGTGTCTTGAATACATGGCTCCTTGGCTGCAAAACCTAAGCATTTTCGCAAGAAATAGTCCTGATGGAAAGAACGACAACGTCATTAAGACCAAAGAGGTTATCCGGCTATTGATTGACTTGACCGTAACCAGAGTCGATGTAAGTGAAGCAGTAACCTTGACAATTACCGATTCAATCACGGTCTTACTAACCATTACTTTCCATGCTATCAGATTTACCGACTTGTTCAAGATAAAATATGGAAGACCATTAGTCAAGTGGACGATGTCATCAACCTTGTGCTAGACACATTTGTACAATTTTCTGTAGAGCATGGGATTGGCTCGCCACAAGCTGAAACGATGGCTGATACACTTGTTACGTTGTCGAATGTGGCTGTCAAGGGCAAGATCATCGCTCGCCTTCGCAAGGTAAGTTGATTCCCAACTGTGGTCTCCTTTGTTAATATAATGATTCTTACTCATATTCTTGTACTCAAGGTCATTCAAAAAACCTCCCTCCAATACAGCAGGACCTTGACCGAACATCCAGCTTGGATAGAAATCGCTACACTCGTTCGATTTACGCTCATGCTTTCTTTCCACAGTACCAGTCCAATTAAGCCTTATTTGGCCGAATTAATGTACATCGTAACTCTTCTGGTGGCAACTGGCCCACTTTTGATAAGGACGTCTATCCATGGCATGGTGGTCAATATCTTACAGTTGCTCTCAACTGAAACGCCTTTGCGGGAAGGTCACATTAAGAAGCTTCATTTCCTTGCCAACGACATTTCGGAATCCAGCAATCGTGTACTTTTTGGTATTACAGAAGAAAATATCAATGCTTTCACGATCTCCCGGGAGACCTTGGTCGGAAATCATGAGAATCTTAGCTTGCAATCATTGGAGACTATCGTCAAGACATTGATTGAAGCTATGAGTTTGGGAGCACCGTCCATAGGTATGATACTTTAGTTACATGAGCCAACCTTGGAACAAAGAAATAACCATTGTTGTCAATTTAGATATCTCGAACACTTGGCGTGCTCGATGGATGGGATTAGTGACCAGTACAGCGTTCCAATTCAATCCCGCCATCCAACCCCGAGCATTCATTGTCATTGGCTGTTTGGCTCAAGACGAAGTGGACGACGATCTGGTGTACCAAATCTTGGTAGCTTTACGTGGGGCATTGCAGTTCCATAGCAACACCGAATCCAACCTTCTCATTAGCATTTTGATGTGTCTCAAGAACATTGCTCAAAACATGCCACCTACCTCACGATATCTGTTGCCACTATTCTGGATTGCTGTGGCACTTGTGGAGATCAATGATCCAGCTATCTTCTCGGCCTCCACTGAGCTATTGACAACTATCATAGAAATCCTGGATCATCACCGTCTACTGTATGAAGATGAATCTATCATCGAAGCCTTGCTCAACGCAAGAGAGCCATTTGAAGAAGCTGCCATGGAGCTGGACGTTGAATGCGAAGTCAACTTTAACTCACATTTCCAATTCGCCATGGTTGCCATCTTATTGAAGGGTATGAAGCACGATAACACCCGAGATGCTATTCGAATGGCTTTGTGCAAGTTTTTAGAAATTGAAAGAAAGTACAACATTGATCAAAGAATCGTCAATACCGAAATGCTTGGCTACCTGGTCGCATTACTCCCTCTTGCATCTAGAGATGATGCACTTCCTGACGCTCTTCGACTGGCTGGATTTGACTCACACGAACTAGATGATGAGAGTATCTTTGAGAAGACAGATATCCCGGACAACACTACTGGTCTGCTAATGATTTCGTTGTTGGTCAATATGCTAAGCTTGCCAGACAAGGATGTCGATAGAACATTTATTTACAGCTTGTTAGCTGAGGCTGCCTTAGCTATCCCTAGCGTTTTTGGTGTCGTGTAAGTTACTGGTGAATAACGTTACCGTCATGATGCTTTATAGATTAACGCATTCTTCTTAGCTACGACTCTTTGCTACCCAAAATGAACCAACTGTTGTTGGTCAGTCAAGATACAACGTTGCTGGAATCCATCCATAAAATCATGCTTGCTGCGTGCTCCGAATCTGCCATACAGCAAGCGCGTATGCAACCTTCACAAAAGTCATTGCTCGGCGAACTTCAATTTGCAGCCCTGGCAGATACCACTCTTGGAGCCAACAAGCTTGAACCCGTCAAAGCCGCCAAACTGGCGAGTGCTTTGGTTGAAAGCATTATAAGCTAGATTCTGTACTTTTAGATAATACTACATTGTTTTTGGCCTATATAACTGGTTGTCCCCCCCTAAACTTTTTCTTCCCTTCTACATAGCACAGTATTCTTTAAAAATTTGATAATATTTATGTTTGATAATGAATCCTTCAAACAAAGGCGCTACTTTTATTGCAGAGTGGTGGCTTTTGATTAAAAGAGGATTGCGACATATTTAGTCGAAAAGACCGAAGCCCATGTCCTGTAAAGATGATGAAAAAAGAATCAGTTAGCTTCCTACGTTGCAAACACACACACAATGATTTCAGTAAAACGCACCTCATCGGACTCCTCCTTCTCTTCCTCCTTCTCTTCCTTAACTTCCTCAGCAGCGGCACCAGCAGAGGCACCAGCAGCACCAGCAGAGGCGGCACCACCGGAGGGAACAGAGGAAAGCTTGGCCTTACCCTCAGCAATGATCTATATCACAATGATTGGGTGTTAGTTTGGTGAGTCGACATATTGCATTGGACGAGAAAAAAGAAAACACAAGTACCTCATCGACATCCTTACCCTCAAGGGCAGAGATCAAAGAGGAAAGACGGTCAGAATCGGCTTCGGCACCGACGGATTCCAAAAGGGACTTGACATCATCGGCAGCGGGGGCAGCATTGCCACCAGCGCGGAGCAAAAGATAAGCAGCGAGGTACTTCATGTCGATTGGTAACTGAAAGAGGAGGAGCTACTACTTGCAAAAGGTTTTTTTCCTTATGAAAAAAAATTGTTTGGCTGAGGATAAGCCACTGCACGTGGCTGTAGTCTGTCATGTCCGACAGTCACATGACTGATCAACCATAGATTCCGTTTGTTTCCATTCAATAAAAGACAGTTCTCTTTCAACTCATAAATAATAAG